ATGCCCTATAATAGCTACTAGCTTAGACTGCTATTCTAAGAGGAACTAGAAGCACTAGATAATCTCGTCTTAGTAGAAGAGATAGAGAGAATCGATACCTCTCTACTCCTAGTATTATTAAGCTAACGACGCCGAGATACCGGAGTAATAGAAGGGCTAGCTTAAGGCTTCTTCCTAGGAGTCTATATCTTCCTACTCTTAACTATAGTTTAGTCGGCTAAGTTACACTCCTACTAATAATTGCCCTAGAGACAATTACCGTAAGCTCCCTACTTAAGTCCTCCGTAACGATACTCCTTAAACGGGCTAATCGTGCGGGTCTTACGACGGCATCTATAAGCCTACTTAGGCGCTCCGCCTAGCGCTTAAGAAAAAAGAGAGCCTAAACGCTACTATAGTAAGTAGTTAGGTATATAGCCGATATTCGTATTCTATTCGATAGGGCGAAGGTCGTCTAGCTAATATTAGTATAAGGCCTCGATAATAGCGCCTAGCTTATAGATTTCGTACTTCTTAAGGCGCTCTTATAGCCTAACGCGCCTATTAAGAAGGATTAGGATAAATATTACCTTACGTATCTAAGTATCGGTAATGCGTAAGAAGCCTAGGACACTATCTAAGCTTATYRTACTCGGCTCTAAGAGAGTTACTAACCGTATAARYAGCCGCTCCGAGGTAGCTACTAGATTAAAACCGCCTTAACTACGAGGCCGAAAGACTAAGAGACTATYGTATTACYTACGAAAGCTTCGGGGGAAGTTCTCTAAGRAGCGGTTTAAGAGGGGATTAAAGGACGATATCTTATTATTTCCCTAGCGAAGGCTCGCCTTACTTACTAGACCGCTAACTTAATCGAACCCGAACTTCTCGTATTCTACACGAGTAGCTATTACTACTACCGGAATTACGGGCACTAGCTTCCGCTAAACGCTTATACTACGGCTTAGAGTGCCGTAACTAGGAGATTAAGGACTTAAAGCTTTCTTAATTACCTATAGTTCCCTCTCCTTCCGGAGATCCGCCTTAGAGAGACTTAAACGTAGCTCGGAAGTTACCTTACCTAGAGATAAGCCTAAAGTAGCGCCTAAGTTATAAGAGCGTAGAGAGCGCCTTAAGCTTATAATAATGTCGCTAGTATTTGCCGTAGGTCGCTTTCCGAGTAATTTCGCGCTTAGAGTAACTAGCGGGTCTTAACCGTTACCCTTCTTACTCTTATCGCCGTCGTCGCTCTTCTTAGATCCCTCCGCCTAGCTACGAGTTATATACTTGTCGCCTATAGCTTCTTAATATATATAGCTAGTATAAGAGAAGACGTATATAATAGATAGAGGAAGGGGAAGTGTTAATTAAGGGACTTAATTAGGGAAGGGGAAGATAGATATAGATGCGGAGGAGAAGGTTAGTAGATTAAGAGGGCGAGTTAATATATGCCCTAGTAGCTCTTAAGCTGCCGGATATACGTTACGCCTCGACGCTCCCGCACCCCGTATACTACTCCCGCTCCGCTACGCTATAACTACCTACTTAAGCCGAAGTAGCTAATYRYATRCGCTATATACGTACTRCTCTAAGCCGCTAGCTATATAAAGGATATAGCTTATAGYAAGGYAGAAGTRAACYCTACGTCTAAGCCTTTTACTTAAGCGATAGGGCTCTATAAAATAACCTATARGGACCCCTTAGRTCTCTTAAGTAACTCCTATAGTTTTAAGGGCAAAACGACTTAGTAGGGGAGGATGTTCTTAAAGTCTCTACTTAAGAACTAAGCATATATGCCTAAGGCTTAAGTAGTTACGTAACTTAGGCAGGACTATATAGCCGAGGAATTTTCCCTTAAGTAGATTTAATTAGAGTTCATCCATTTTAGAACACCGCCTTCTAGGCTTCCGCAAATGAAAAATCTGAACTGCGTGCCCTATTCACTAAACAAACGAGTGCGGATACATGTTATTTTTACTCCATTCTCTTTTTCAGGATGTAGACTACTACATTAGGAGAAGAAGCCCCCCCTTAACTGCCTCCCTCGCCTCCTTTTTGTGCCTCTCTCGCCTCCTTTTTTAGCCCCTAGGCAACGAGCAGCACCCCAAAGACGAATATAATGGTTTGCTGGGACACCTCCCTATGCCTTGCAATCGCAAAGGCTGCATATCCCATCTCAACGCCCTTTCGGATCCTCACAACATGTCTGTCTCATGTGTCATACCTATTTTCTCTTCCGCAGGAATGATTGCCTCCTCTATACCCTGACGAAATTGAAAGATACTTACTGTCTGTTATGGCTGTGAATGTTGTGTTATAGATTTTCGTGATTGGATATAGAATTTCTAGAGGACAGTATGGGAGAATTCATCATGTCCCGAGCGCTAATAGGTCAGGAATGTGTGGGTTATATTGGGTAATGAGTCCTAAGAGCTATGAGTGTGGATGCTATACGAAGGGATTTGAAGACGAGGGTTTGGGGCGTTGGGTTTGAGTGTTTTTTGGTGCTGGGGAATTGGGGAAGGGAATTGGGGGAGAGGTGAGAGAGATTCTGGAAGATTTCGATGGGTGATGGGATGTCTTTAGTAGATGCATATAAATAAGATTTTCTGTGTGATGACATTTTTTACTCGATGTGTCATTCAGTTTGGTTAACATTCACTTTCCTTGCTTGGTGCGAGGATTTGCGGTTTGAATAAAGCTTGTCAAGTTTTAGCGTAGTGTGGTACCGTGACTCACTGTGACTCTCTTTCTCAACTCTACCTTATACATCAATCTGTGTGTTTCACAAGTCCACATTTCCTTCGTTCTACTGGCCCTCATCTCGACACCTTTCCATCTACCAACACAATTCCTCATACTTTCGCAAGAATCAAATCATGTCAACCTCCGGAACGGAAACATATGTCGAAGAAACCCAAAAGACAACCACTCTCGACGCAGCGACTGCTCAAGAACTAATATCCTCCTTCTTCCCCCTCGAATGGGCAACAACATCTGCCTCCTCCATCTCTATTCAAAATATCACCGGCGGCCTAGTCAATACCCTCCACCTGGTCCGCCGCTCATCTCCCTCCCTCCATGAACCCCAAGCAATCCTAATCCGCCATTTCGGCCACATTTCCCAAAATGAAGATCCTCACGCCGATGATGTTTTGACTCTCTCAGCTGTAGACCAAGCTCTTGTAGCTTGTGAAATGGGCCGCAGAGGATGGGGTCCGAAAGTCCATGGTATTTTCCAGGGAGGCAGATTAGAGGAGTGGATTGAAGGATCTCGTACATTCCACCCCGAAGATGTGCTGGGAGATGTGGGAAGAGGGGTCGCGAGGGGGTATGCGAGATTTCATTCGTTGGAGATGCCGATTAGGAGGGATGGGTTTGAGAGGGTCGTCAAGGAATTCCGCGATGGGGTGAGAGGGAAACGGGAAAAAGTTCTTGATGAGTTGAGGGCTGTTAAAGATTCTATGGGGTGGAAGTATGCACTTTTGTTCGAGGAGATGGATTGGCTTGGGGAGTTGGCGTGGGTTGTGAGTCTTATCGAACAGTTCAAGTGTAGGAAGACTTTGACGCATGGGGATTCGAATCATTTGAATATTCTGATTTGGAGTTCCGCGCACAAGGAGGATGCACTTGATTCTGTTGTCTTGATCGATTATGAAATGGTCTCTTACTCCTATCGAGGAATCGATATTGGAGGCCACTTCAACGAACGCATGTACTGCTATACGCAACCCGATACGCAACTCACTGGTTATCCTCCTCCGAATTCTGACGAGCAGAGAGGATTCTGCGAGACTTATATACACGAGACGAGAGAGTTGAAGGGTATGATTGAGGAGGGAGATACAGTGGAGCAGCTTCTCTTGGAAGCGAAGATTGGGCAGTTGTGTCATTTGCTGTTTACGAATTTGATGCTCACGGTCTTGGATGAGGTGGAGATTGAGCCTGTGTTTCTTGAGGGAATGGTGCATATGATGGAGACTTATGGGCGGTTGAAAGAGGAGTTTATTCGGGGTCGTATGTGATGGTGTCAATTGACGTGGGTGGAGTTCTCAGGAGTGATTGAATAGATAGTATCGCGATTTGATCCATGAACTTGGCTGACTAGGTATGAACAAGAGTCCGCCGTATAGCTTTGTCACAAGCTGCTCTTGGCCCTAGGAAAAGTGCTACGAATGTAATTTGCCCCCAATGGAAAGTTATTCGTCCTGTGTCCGCTCAAGAGTGTTAGCAATCAGGATAGATTGGCACGAGAAGCACGATATGCACCTCAGCCGGGAAGACGTCGATAATTCTTCCAGAGTCATCTTTCTCGCCGCAGCGCTCCAGAGCCACTGATGGACCGAGACGCTCGAAGAAGCGCATTTCAAACCACGCAGGGAAGAATCCTGCGTAATCCCAATCAATTATAGCGTTGATTTTCAGCGAAATCGGATCGACAATGATGTTTTGCTGCTAGAGATCGTTGTAGCAGAAGATGTATTCCTTGTGAGCAGATGGCTTTAGGTGCCATACATCTCTCGCCATCAAGGAGTAATAGGTTTCTGGCTTGAAGGCTTCGGACTTGGTTTGTTGCGAGGGTGGAGTAGAGGGTGAGGAGCGTATGAAGACATTTATGCAGAATTTGATGTTTTGGTTTTTTTCGTTTAATAGTAGAGATGAAAGGTTTAGATGTTATGCCACTAGAGGCGCTCGTCGTCGGTATCTGGTATAGAGGACATTTGGACGGGATTTGACGATATTTGATGGGTCTTCGGATAAGAGGAAATAAGACTGGGTTTTTCATGGTGGTATTCTGTGTCGTGTGATGAAGGGCTGGATATGTAGATCTGGAATGCTTCAGATCCTCCAAGTTAGCGGTGCAATGCTTGAATATCGAGGCTGGATGTGAAGGAATGGGGATCAGGCTGTGCATGGATTCCAACTGGCATCCAAGCTTTCTGAATACCGGCATTCCGTCAAGCCTCCTTCTGATCGAAGTCGACGTCTTAATGCTCAACACATGCATTCGCGTTCAGCAGAGCGACCCACAATGAGTCACTCAACATCAATCTCAATCTCAGGTCTCGCCTCCCCCTCATCAATCGCCACCTCCCCCATAACCTCATAAGTACCCCCTCTCCCGAAACCAACCCTCCTCATAGCCGTCCAGACCACCCCATCCCCCAACCCCGTTTCAGCTTTCCACTTCCTCGTCTGAGCAGCCGACCAACCCGCATCAAAAATAATCCAAGGATTTTTCCGGCCATGACTTTCCGTTGGGATCAAAACGACACACTTCACAAATTTGTTCCAGATATTGCCGGAAATTGAAAGGAGTTGGGAGAGACGACCAAAGCGCTCATCACCCCGAAAGACGAATTTGTGCTGGGAGAAGAAAGGTTCTGCGGCTTCGGACCGTAACTGGCGGTTTGTGTGGAGAAGTGGATGGATGACTGCTTGTTTGTGCTCGTGGATGGTGGAGGTTGGAGAGGGGTATTGTACAGCGTAGGAGAGGATGATGTCTCGAAGTTCTCGAGGTAATTCGAAGAGTGGGAAGGGTTTGGAGATTGAAGTTTGTGATTTCTCTTCCTCTGCGTTGGTTGCTCCTTCGGATGTGTTTCTGGGGTTTGGTGTTGATGCAAGCTGCTTGTCGAGTTTGTGGGAAATGTACTCGGCTGCTGAGATTAAATCCTCAGGAGACATTGCGTCAAGGAGAGGTTTCAGAGACGTGAAGCTGGCCATGTTGGATACCCTTGGGTTGAGGTGTTCAGCGTTGTCGGAGCTGATGGTTCATTGTTTGTTGGAAGGAATGCACGAAAGAAGAGCTGGTACCTATGAGTGATGTCCGATTAGTCATGTCTGTGAGAGGCGGTCGATAGGTAGGTACCTATATAGACTAGACATTTGAACCGCGTGAATTTAGCTAATAATCTACWAGGTTTCTCGAACTCGAAGTATATCTAATACATAGGGATTTAACCTCCTACGCTTGAAAGTTGTCGCCGTCAGATCAACTACCCCAACCCTAACCCTAACCTCCAACGTAACATCATCGAGTAGTGCTCCTATGTATATGGTGAATACCCTCCCTTCAAATCTTGCTTCGCATAGACTCGCAGGAGTCCAGTGGCTGGTCTGATCTGTATCATATGCGGTAGGTCCGAATTTCGCAGAGAAGCCAGCCTACTCTCTTTTCTAGCTGATGTAAACGGCAAAATCCACTGCACAACATTCGATGGCACGTCTCGTGCTTCTCCCCACGCCATGGGAAAAGACATGCATTTCCTCACTCGCTCGCTCGCTCGCTCGCTGGGTATTCATAACAATCATAACTCTCCCGTGCCCTCTCTGGACTCCAACTTTTACCACGCAATCTTCCGAGTGCGTCCGGTATACTTGCTCGAACTCTTAACCACCTTCCCCTTGCCCTCCATCTGCGCCTTTTTCTTCATGATCCACGCCTTGCCCCCCTTCCTCCCCACCTCGACGCCTCTCTTCCGCTCCTTGCGCCTCGCATCCATGACATCCACGCCCTCCATCCCCTGTACCGTCCCCGTGACATCCCCTCCGCCAACCGTCAAGACGAGGTACAACTTGACATTCTTCGTCTCCGGGTCATCTTCCAGAATTCCCGCCCCGAAACCCGCTTTAATGGCCGCGGAAGAAATCATGGTCCGTTGCAGGGCATTTTTGGGGTAGAATTGACACACGGCCTTGCCTCCTCGCCTCAAACTGGCATACAAGCCATCGAAAAATCTTTTCAATCGTCCTTCGGGACTCACATCCGAAGTCTCGGCATTACACAACCATTGAATGGCAGAGATGCTAATCGCCGCATCGAATGTACCCGCGCGAAAAGGCACTCCCTGTCCGATATCCGCCAGCAACATATCCCCATCGACATCCCGATCTAGCGCTTGAGCGAGCATGCTCGATGAGACGTCCATGCCCACCCATGTATGCGGTCCACCTTCTTCGGGCGGGGTTTGAGTGAGGATTTCGCCCGAGAGACCGGATCCGCAGCCGAGATCGAGGATCATGGAGGGTTCTTGGAGATCGAGCAGTTCGAGGGCGCGAGTGGTCATGGAGGCTTGAATGTTGCGGATGCGGGAAGAGGTTGTGTATTTTCGAGATTCGACGTCATTGTAGAAAAGATCGGGCGGGAGGATGTCTTCGGGGCGGGACATGTTGGCGGTGTCAATATCAGTGGAAGAGAAATGGAGGTGGACGAGATGAAATTCCGAAGATTCCATCGCCTCGTTATCGATAAGAAGCGGGAGCTTTCCAGGGTCCACTTTGTGTAATCCAGTCCACCGGGATTGATACGTAGATCAATGGAATATACCTTACTGTATCCCAACTTTCCCCTCCGATCAACACACATTTTCCCCAACAATCATGTGGATTCTCCCTCTTCTGGTAGGTCGAGAGAGCGGCATTCTCAATCAATGTCTTACCCTCCCATCAATCCCCCTCTAATATATTGAACAGGGCTATTTAGGCCTCATCCTCGGCTTCCTCTTCCTCACCTTGGCCATAGCCAGCGGCCTATACTATCTCTCAGAAGTGGTGGAGGAACACACAGTCCTGGCCAAAAAAGCTCTCACGCGCCTGATTTACTTCATCATCGCCACCCAACTACTCCTACTCGCCATCGACCGCTTCCCACTCCTGCCCTCCCTCCTCAGCATCGGCAGCCACGTTATCTACGCTCTGAACCTGCGCCGCTTCCCCGTCGTGAAACTCACGGATCCCGTCTTCCTCGCGTCCTGCGTCTTGGTGCTGTTGAATCATTGGGTCTGGTTCCGCCACTTCTCCGCCCCACCCCCGAGCACCACGAGCAATGGACGATGGTCCGTCTACGAACGTCCCGAAGTCYCCACTTTTACGGAAATCGCGAGTTTCTTCGCCATGAATGTGTGGTTGGTGCCTTTTGCGCTGTTCGTGAGTTTGAGTGCTGGGGAGAATGTCCTGCCGAGTATGGGCAGTGAGTATGCCACGGGGAGGGGCAGTTCGTTTGTTAGTGCGGGGGTCGAACCCTCTATTTCTTCGACCACCGGTGGGGAGGTGCAGGGAGGAGGGTATGGGTATGGAGCGGGAGGATATGGACCGCCGGGAGGTGCTATCAAGACGAGGCATAAGCGGAGTAATACTCAGACGGGAATGGCCAAGGCGGCTGTCATGGGCGTGCAGGACTGGGTGGGAGAGACGGGGGAATTGATGGGCTTGTGGAAGGGGGAGAGGACGAGGCCGATGTAGAGTGGAATGTTATTCATTTTTCGCATCGCTGAGGGCTTGTTGGAGAGACTTGTATGATGGCCGCGGTGGTKACGTGGAAATGGCATGAATGGGATGCAGAGACAACATCCTACCATCTCTTTCACATCTCCATCGAYTCAGGAAAATGACGGACGGCATCCCATGAGGCAATCGCAGTCCCCGAATTTCGGATCCTTCTTCCTCCCTCCAGAGACCAGGACTCTGCAGAGAAGTCTCGCCGTCGATCATCCTTCAAAAGTGCAAGCAATACCTATGCCTCCTCGAAGACACTAGATGATATACATGGAATGAGCGAACAGAGGAACGTCTCCAATCACAACCACCTCATCAGTCAGGAATCAACTTTCACAACCATCCAAACCATCCCATGCCCCGACGATCGAAATTTTCATCCCCGACCAAATCAAAGTCATCAAGTTCCGGAACCAAAGACAACATAATTTCCACGACGATGGAATCAGCCGGCCTGGCCAGATGAGCTCGGATCATCATCATGATATTCACACCAAGCACGAAAAGGAGAGAAAAGGAGTCGATTTCCTCCATTCCATTCCATCCATCCATCCATCGGGACTATACGAAAAAACGCTTCGAGAACCTTCGAGACCTAAGTTCATCATCTCCAAACCCCAGAAAACCTCGTCCAGAAGCGCCCTCACCAAGATGACGCCTCCCCTACATTCTAGATTCTCGCCACAGACATCCCTGACGCCATCGCTCCCAACACGCTCGGCATCCCGATGAGCAACGATGTGGTAGGTAAATATTAGCCGCCGTCGTTGTCTCCGCCACGATGATCTGACGTCTCCTAAATAGTAATTGGGAGGGGTCTAAAGGGAGAAAGGAGTTGTCTCGCTTGGCTGGACTGGGCTGTGCAGAGCATGGGCGCTTACACCAACCTTATACATCCTACGCGCTTTCGTGAAAAATTCGGGAGGGTCTTGTTGATGTTGATGTTGATGTTGATGTTTGGGGTGGCGATGGGAAAAGTATGTTTGGCGCCGAATGACTGACTGATGGACGGGACGGGACTGGGAGGATTCAGGTACTTTTGGCGCCCTGGTTTTGTTGAGTCGAGGGTCTCAKGGACCTCTGCATCCACGACGCCAGGGGAAGATGGAGGACTGCAACCTGCAAGCCTTTCTTCGAATGGGCACAATGAGATCGATCTAGAGCCGACGTGAAGTTTTGGTTTTGGATGTTTTTTTGGTTGTCTTCCATCTACAGAATAAACTCTCTACCTCAGTTCCTCAGTTCCAGACTGCTGCTGCTACTGCTACTGCTACTCAACCCGAAAAACCAATCCCATAAATCCTCCTCTTCTTTCATCCATCTCATTCCATCATCATGATATCAACCAATTTCCTTCCTTCCTTCCATTGATTCGTTTGCCAAAGTAGAGAATTGTTCCGCCTCCCCTTCCCAATTTTCCAAAACCCATCCCCCCCAGCCGTCCCCCCATCCTCGTCGTAAAGGCTAATATAGAATGATTCCTGCCCATCGCTAGATTCAAGGGGTATATAATATAAATGATGATGACTTAGTAAAAGATGCTCAAGATCAAGAACCAAGAACAAACAAACAAAAAGAATGTGACCACATCATCTCATCTCAATCACTCCACCTGCACCCCATTAACCTCCACCTCAAACCCCTCTCCCTTCCTCCTCAACGCCTTAGCAAGCATCAACTCCCTCATCCAATCAATCCTCTCATCTTTACTCCCCACAGCAAAATGATGCGTCTTGCCCCCCTCCTGTCYCACCTGCGGAACCAACTGAAACGAAAAGTTCGCCTCCCCTTCCCTCTCCGGAGAAGATGAGGAAGAGGATTTAACGCCCAAAACTTTCAATCCCGCGCGAAATTTCCCTTGCGAGGAAATACTCGTACACGCGACCGCGTAGCCATCCACATTGATTGTTTCGCGCGCTGCGCTTTCCAATTTCGCATTGTCGTGGAGGTTTAATTGCGTGCCTTTGAGACGACAGTGTGCGTCGTTCCATTCGTGACGCAGGAGTTTGGTTTTGCGTTTGCGCATCCAGCCCGAATGGGTGCAGTCGGGACCATAGCCAAAGTCTTTGGAGATGGGGGAGTGGTGGGATGGATCGCGGATTGTTGTGGTGGAGAGGATGGAGGTTTCTGGGAGGGRGGGGAGAGGGGTTGCCATTGAGGGACGGCGCCAATCTCGGGTTGAGGGGGTGCGGGATGGGGTATGGTGGGGTTGTTTTTGTTGGGGGCGGAATTGCATGTTTGGGGGAACGGATTGGGAGGTGTCTCGGTCCAGGATGGCGGTTGTGGGGGTGGTGAGGAGTGGAATGTCGATTTCCGAGGAAGGGGTTCCGTGGCGGTAGATTTGAGGGGTTGTTGGGGTGTAAGTTTGATAGTGGGAGAGGGTGGAAGGGGCGGTTTGTTGTCTTTGAGGTTGTTGTCGGTGGTGGAGTTGAGGACCTGCGCTGGCGGATCGCGGGCCTGGAATGTCCAATTTGGGGAGGGAGTGGAGTTGGTGGGAGAGAACGGCGGGWGCTTCGTGGTATTGAGCGGGAAAGGGAGAGACTGATTTGGAGGGGAACATTGCCAGCTCSGGTGCCGTCTCCGTGGTTGGTGAGGTTGAGATGGGCGACTGTGTTGGAGAATTCATGTGTTGATAGTGTAGGAAACGTTTGACATTGTCTTGTGGATCTCTCGAGCCGAGCTGGCTGAGCGAGTCTTCTTGGAGGGCGAATTGAGGTAGTTGACCAGGTGTGAGGAGACCAGACGAGGCAATGACCGATAACTTGGCTTCCGAGTTTGGACGGAACGGGTCTGCCATGGTGTACTCTTCAAACGGCCTCATGTTGTCTGCAGTCGTGGCGTTGCCCGGGTCACCAGCGAGGAAGATGCGGCCTCCTTTGGTTGGACTGATGGGAAAGCGTCCAATGCCATGCTCGTCGTGGAGTTGTTGGAGTTCCCGTTGCTGCTTTCTCCACTTGGCACAGCGCTCTCCTTTGGCACACTTGTGCGGTTTTGGGAGGAGTTGCTCGATGGCGACAATCGAGACGGACTGCTCCGGGGTGATGACATCTTGATTGCGTGGTTCCTTCCGTCCACGTCGTTTCTTCTCCCCASCCGGAGCGACGGGATCGACATACCATTCATGCGAAGGTGACTGCCTGCTGTGGGATGTGCATGGTCGGCTAATGTCTTGGAAAGGAGTGGGTTGCGGGCTGGGGATACCATCCTCGCCACGTAACAGGCAGATGGCGTTCCACAACGCGTGTCGTTTACCAAAGGATTGGATGTCGAGTTCTTTGAGGTCATCAAAGTCGAGATCAACCAGAACGGTGCCGTTGATGTCGTTTTGCTCAAAGCATTCAATCACCGAAGCGTCGCATCCAATCTCCAGCATCCAGTCGACGACCTCCTGGGTAGACCACGATCGAATGTGGGCTTCCGGATCGTTGGTGTTGACGTGTGGAGAGTGGTAGAAATTCTCCTCGAGTGCATTTCGCGTGACGGTGTCTTCGGAGAACGCCGAGGGCACCCTACTGGATAGTTTGGAGTCCTCCTTGGGGAGGAGGGGTGACATCTGTAATGCATAGTCAAAGTAGTCGAGTTCTGCCGATGCCTGGGATGCACGGAAGAGATGGGGTCCTTTGGGGCCCTCGACAGGTTGGAGTCGGAGGTTGAACTGGTTCCGGGAGGTACTTGTCCTGGGGCTGGGAGTACGGGCCTCGTCGTAGGAAGAAATTGTCGTCTGACTCCGTCTTCTGCTGTCATACTGTAGGTAGATTGTTAGCATTCGTTGTATTCACATCCCAACCCAAGCCACAACTAACCGACTCGAAGCTGGCACCCCTCTCGTAGTCACTTTCATCCTCGAAATCCGTGTCGAGAATCTCGGTCGCTTCCGACATGATGGAAAGCGGCCTCATTTCCCAGGCTGAAGCGGGCTTGGCTCCTTGTCTTGACATGTTCGGTTCCAAAGTGATGGCCTGCATCACGTCGTTGTGGTTCAATCAACAAATGGTTTCTTTTTCCGTTGCCGGAGGGTCAGGTCATTTCAATCTTTACAACGCTGCATATAGGTAGATAGATACGCGGGATCGGATGGGAAGCAAAACATGGAAAGGTCGCAGATCTGGTCTCGCGTGCACGGGTGGGAGCGGTGCATGACTTGTATAGAATAGTTAGCAGAACGAGTGATGGWTCTGGTCGCCTGCAGCAGCTCTCCTACAGGCCAGGCCTCACCGCGATGATTCTACAGGCCAAAGAGTCTCGGCCAATGGGCCCTACGAACCCTGTCGGGTGTGGCGGCGTGCGACATGTGCGGGCGTGTGACCGAGAGCCATCCAAACCCTGTCACAGGTGCGACTTCCAAGGCGGTACTGGCCCCTCAACCACTGGTTGACACCTTCCAACCTCGTTGATTGTCCTCGCTGTACCTCCTCCTTCCCGCTTGGGCTCTTGGTGTCACTAATTATACCCTTTGGGACAATGRGGGATAATTGACCGTCTATCTTTGGGATCTGATAGATCTGCTGCGAGTAAGGTGAGATAGCGTTGAGAGTTCGAGTCCGCTCTGCTGATCGGAAAGTCCTTTTCGCCGCATCGTGCCGACGCGCGAAGCGAAGCCGAACGGAGCTCTTTCCTTTCTGGAATGACTGGTGGGAACCGAAGATGGCCCAATCCTTCCTTCACCCAATATACGATGCATTCATCACGCTTGCACGGCAGCATGCATGAATTGATGCACTCGCACCGGGACGCGTTCCTGGCACATTAGGTATCTTTCACAAAGTGCTTGCAGCATGCGGAGGCAAGGGACRTCACAAAGCGCGACTGCCACGAGGGTAGATCCAAGCAAACCAGCGCGCGTCGTGCGACGTGAACACGACATGTAATTCGTGCGAGGTCACGGGAGCTGCTCTCGCTGGACTGGGACGAAGATGCAGCATCGGTTTGGGAGCGTGACCTCCCATCGCATCGCAGCAGGATGCCTGTAGAGAGCCGTGGATGCGTTGTTGAAGACAACAGGGTGGTTGAGGCCAGTAGTCCAGTGGAAGAACAGGACAGTTCTTCCGCCATGCCATTGGGCTGCACAGCATACGAGGAACACTTCTGCGCTTCCCCTTCCACTTTCGGTCAGGAGGCCTATCATTGTTGCAAAAAGGCGAGGATATGCGGTGAATTGGCCGGTTTAATTCTCCACGCCGCCGGTACCCAATCGTGTGGGCAAGTGGGTGGATGATCGGTTACAATCTTTGAATGCGCATCTCCACCTGTTGAGGAGACTTGCCCTTTCGCTTGATGTGATGTGACGGGATGGTCGCGATGCGAAATGTCGCAGTCTCACGGTGGATGTCGACAAAGCAAGGCGCCATGCCATGCCATTCGAACCATTCCATGCATTCAATCCATTGTTCCAAACTCCACGAGGCGTGATGAGTTAGTTCTCTGCGTGGAAGAATGCCATTGCCACGCCACGCCCGCCATCCACAGTCCGTCTGTGCTGGTGCGAGACGAGCCGGCCGGCATCTCGGCGTGCCCGTTAGAAGATGCGGAGGAGGGGGATGGAAGGAGCGTCCCGCGGATTGGCTCACCTTCCCTCCCCCATCACAAAGCTAAATGGAAGCTAATGCTCGACTTCACCCATCGCACAGCGGTTAAAACCACCCCATTCGCGCGCTGGCTCTTGACTACTCCAGGTCACAAGTCACGCTCGCGATCCACTGGTAGGAGTAGTATGCTGTCTCACTCGCGACGGGACTCTGGCTTGCTTCGCACCAAGCAGTGCCATGCCAAAAATGGCCCCGTCCCAACCAACGGACTCCAAGGCCCTGATGAAAAGCACGGACGGTCATGGTGTCACCGCGGCCGGAGAATTGGTGGCCTTGTGAGCACCCCAAAAAACGCCACCATGGGCTCTCTTGAGTCTTCCCCCATGTCCAGGCCATGCAGGTCCGAGATCTTGATGTTCGACATGTCGAGTCGCACACAAAAGACGCCACGAGCTGGGAGGAAATAGGAATTGCGCGCAGGAATTCGCGGCACTTGACCTCACTGAGGCTRGCGATGCTGCCGTGTGCAACTGTGCATGCGGGGCCGCTACTGCTTGCTTGCATGATCCTCCATGGTTCAACGGTCCGCTTCGGAAACGCATTGCAGACTACTGCACTCACACAAAGGCATCATTTTCGTGCTGCCCTACCAAGGTCCGAAAGTGGCAGATTGCGGTCAAGGTGAGATCCACTTGGCGGTGACGGATCGATTAATGATTGCTGTCCCGATCGTGGAGACGATGGAGGACGTGCTGCCAATAGCAATCTCAAGATTCTCAACCTCCCCAAATGAGGCGTCGACAGGCCTTGGTAGCATGCCGTATCATCTATCCAGCCATCTTCTCAAGCCGTGCGGGGCCATATCATAGTGCGCTCGCAACTGAACAGTGCCCTAGCCTAGACAGAGCTCCCCCAGTTTAGCGGGCATAGACAGATTGCATCGTCGGCCAGTCGGGTGAACGTATGGGCGCCTGCAAGAATAGTGCCAACGAAGCGGACCGTCCAACTCGACGGATCTGCAGCCACGCTCATGCAACGGCCAATAGAGATGTGATTTAACTTTCACAAGGACACACAATTAGTCCACAATGATGAGCACCCCCACCTGCTCGATGACTGCCTTTATGCACCTGAGGAGCTCCAATCTATTCTTGGAAGAGGCCTTTTAGCCCACTTTTCGGCCAGCAACGCAGATATAAGGTATTCATCCTCACCCTCTCTCCCCAACTCAGCAGTCGTTGATCGATTAATTTGCCCTCTTTTTTCTTCCCGTTCTTGTTTGACTCCTTCGAACCAAAGCTTGCAGGCCAGGCTTTTGTGTACCCTATCGCTTAATCGAAGCTATCGTGGTCCCCTGCCCGAACTTCCCGGCCTATTGTTCGTGGCCGTACATATACTCACAATGTCTTCTTCCGCAAGACCTTCCGGCATTACCAAGCAGTCCTCCACAATGGCTGCTTCGAAAAATGCAGCTTCCGAAGCTAAAGCTGCGGCGGCGAAGATGCACAGACGTTCGCGATCGGGTATGTTACTTTTTATCTTTTATGAGGTGGTGTCTCCGCGCTTGGTAGGTAAATGCTAATTCATTCATCCAGGATGTTTCACTTGCAGACTTCGCAGAAAGAAGTGTGAAGAAGGCAAGCCACACTGCAAGGCCTGCGCACATTTAGGTCTACGATGCGACTACAAGCGACCGATGTGGTGGAGCAATGGAGAGGAGCGACGCAGACAAAAGGAAAGCATCAAGAACGCAATCAAGCGTACGCAGCTTTGCAAGAAGGAAACCCAACAAGCTCAACAGCCACCGCTCAACACCAGCTCACCTCCTCCTCTTACACACTCGGCACCCGCTTCGGCAGAGGTTCCATTCGCAGAGGCATTTCCCCCATCCAACTGTCCTTCGCAAGACTCGCCCTTTTCCGATGCTTGCGAGTTTACGTACGGTGCTCCCGATGGATACTTCTCCATGCCTCCACCTGCTCAGCCATACATCACGCACCACTCGCAATATCCCATGTTCTCGCCGTATGAGGTCGACATCAAAACGGAACGCGAAATTTATGTCAACAACGTCGCAACCCGACGGGATTCAACAATCTCAACGTTCAGTACCTACCAACCTCCGCCAATGATCAATGGTCTGCCATCACAATCTGCCGATAGCTGGATACAGCAGGAGCTGTACGAGAGTACCTCGGAGGAGTTCGCCGAGGAGCCAGTTGACTTTCACTTCTTCGACTTTCCGCATGGCCCGCTCACTCCTGGCCACGAGACGATCATCAACGTCGATGATTGCGACAAGTATCTTCTCAACCATTTCTTTGACAAAGTGTTGAAGCTCATCTTCCCCGTCTTGGATGCCAACCAGCATGGATCAGCGCGCGCGGATATCATCCTTCCCGCGTTGGAGTCGAACAAGGCGTATTTGCATTGTTGTCTCAGCATCGCGGCCACGCACATGAAGGCGACAGAGGGTGTGGTGGGCGAGCAGATTGACAACGACGTCGTTCGTCATCGATACTCTGCCATTTCCGAACTCTGTGAGGCTCTCGGCTTGGACATTAACCATGCGCAAATTCTTGAGGCCACCCTTGGTATGATCTTCTTCCAGTGCTCGGTCGGCCGAGTCGAGGACGCGCTTCCAGACATTCCATGGCACCAGCACTTTTCTGCCGCRACTAGCCTGGTCAATCGATTGGATCTTCCCAACGCCGTCCTCGAGCAAGGTCAACACCCCGACTTCAACATGACCCTCACCTCGTGGATTGATATTCTCGGCTCGACAATCATGGGTCGGCAGCCAACATTCGCCGACACGTACCGCGAGCTCAACATGCAGAACGGTAGTGTCGGWCTATCGGAGCTGATGGGATGCGACGACAAGGTCATGTTCCTCATTGCCGAGATTGCCTGCTTGGACGTTCAGCGCGACCTTGGACATATCGATGAAGTGATGATCTGCGAGTACGTTCAGACATTGGCCAATGCCATTGGTGCGACCGAAGTTCCAGTCGGCTCCGTCCAGAGCTGCTTTTCAACCACGGGTGCCATCCGTCCCAAACAGCTGGCCATCAACATCACCTCTGTCTTCCGCGTTGCTGCACGCATCTACCTCTGCACTCTGGTTCCAGGATACTCACCCACCCAAGCGAGCATGTGCCACCTAGTCTCGCACTTCTCCGAACTGATGAATTTCATCCCCGCCGGCCCTGAAGGTTTCGACCGATCCCTCGTCTGGCCACTCCTCATCGCCGGCGCAGCCTCCACAGCCACATCACCTTTCCGATCCATGTTTCAAGAACGCTGCGATCGTCTGGGTGACGCTGCCAACTTTGGCTCCTTTGGCCGCATTGGCGAACTTTTCAAAGACCTCTGGCACGTCAACGACACTGCCATGGCTCGGGGAGATTGTCAGGGCGTCCGCTGGCGTGACGCGATGCAGCAGAAGGGTTGGGATTTCCTCCTCATCTGATGTTGTTATCTTGCCCTGTCTTCTCCCCCCACATACACCACACCACACCACACCACACTCCCAAATCAGCATAGAGCTCAGGCTCTCCATATACACTTTCTTTTCAAAGCATAGCGACGGCGCAAGTAGAGCCTGCCTGATGATACCCCGAGCAAGCGTTGGATTGGCTCGGGATTTTTTTGTTGACATGATACCCCCCCCAAAGCAGCGAGGATGAAGCTCGCTCGCTGCAGTTTTTTGTTTTGAGTTGGAAATGGCCTGATGACCTAGTGCAGCTCTCGCCAGGCCGGGAATTGTTTAATGATGAGAAGGATTGATGGATAGATTGAATGAAGACCCACAAGTCGTCTTCATCGATACCTATTCTAGCTGGAATGAAATGAAAAATCACAAAAATTCAACCAAATCTTTGTCTGTCATCAGTCTCATTCATTCATTCATACGTACGTACGTACGTACGTACCTCGACGCGTCAGTTTCGCCTTGAATCTCACTCACGTGTTGTTGATGTTGATGATGATGATGGGGGAGAGCAGGCTCACCCGCCCGCGTTTTCCCCTTCAGTCCAACCAATCCCGATCTCCGATCTTGAAGGTTCCGAAGCGACTAGAACTAAAATAGCTTCTCACGAACAGTGCATAGTGCGCAATGCACGCGTTAGGGATGGCGGTAAGTTGCACGATCCGATGCCGAAATAATTCAAGAAATAAACGTTGTAGGTAAGCAAGCGGTTTTCGCAAGCTAAGGGTAAGGTATCGGCGCAAAACACAGATCGTCTTTCTATAGCAACCGCAATACACACAGTACTTCCCCTACCAATAATCTTGTCTCTTGTCTTTGTGCAGCCGTCCCGTCTCCCTCCCCCCCCCMCATCTCCTTCCACTCCCACCATCGTCAGTCCAAAAGTCTATTGCCACAAACTTGCCTGGATCCGATCCATCCCGAGCGCGGAGCCGCCATGTCCAACAACACCACTATCGACACCACAACCCCTCGAGTGCCCTTTGATCCCGTAGATACGACTTTCAACCCATCGGAGCACGCAGAAGCACGAGACGATGTAGAATCACCCTCCCTCTCAAGCRGCAACGCGCTCGCGAGATTCGAATTCGAGGCGGGGAAGAGTAAAGACTGCACCAAAATTCTGCTGGTGGAATGGGAAGACGACGCAACAACCAAGAGCATAGCAGAAGATTGGGAAGTCAGCTGGGAGGGCAAGAAGACGGTTTTACCCGCGAGGGATCCTGATCAGTCGAAAGGAGGCATCAATCGGTTATATTTCTTGCTGGGACCTGGACTAGAGATTCCTCCTACTGTGAAGCTTGACAAAGGGCCCGGGGTGAGTTGGAGGACGAATCCTCTCCCCGCGATCTTCTCGCCTGATTTGGGCGTTTCGGCCACGCAGGCTGGGAAGAAGGGGGTGTTGCATACGATTTGGGCGAAGAAGAGATTACAGGTGCTTAAAGGGGAGATTGAGCATGAGAGTAAAAATAATGTCGAGGGGATCGCGTTGGRGATGGCTCTGGCGGAGATGGAGTGGATTGAGGGGAATTTTGGCGTCGCTTCGAAATCGTCGTCGGGGATATCGACTTCTGCTATGAGTGGTGTTATGGGGGGATTGAATAATACTCCTTCAAGTCCTAGGAGTCCTGGTGGAGGCCGCTTGATGGAAAGGTTAAAAGGTCTCAAGATCGGGACCAGCGAGAAGGAATTGTCGTCTCCGATTAGAGCTGGTTTTAACCATGCGCCCGCGCCTCCGGCCTACAACCCTCTAAGTCCCGAGAGCTCCGACGTGGCAGTCGGCTCATTTGGAAGTTTCGCCGCTTTGAAAGGAATGCCTCCTGCATCGGACCTCGCAGCGAAACCCGCTCAACCACCCGCACAGCGACAAATAGCCGTTCAGAGACCCCCGGAATCCTTCGCAGCGCAGCAACGTCAACAAGCAGGGAGTGGCATGGGCTCACTGAATGCCTTTGCGAGTCCTGACATTGGTCTGCCACCGGCCAGTATTCAGGGCGATGATCTTGACGATAAAGATGACGATGATGATGATGATCTATTCGCCCTACCCATGAGTCCAAGAAGTCCGGAAATGTCCAAGAGTCCCTTTTCCTTTGCGGTGCAGGATACTTTAAAGTATGCGCAAGGAGAGCGAGCCGCGTGATTTGACTCAAAAAACCGAAAAAAAAAAAAGAAAAGAAATAAATCCATGAGTGGATCAGATGCATTTGGAAGGAACGGGTTCTTGCATTTGTAGATTGGACTTTTCTATGATATTATACCCCTAGATAGCCCCCCGTTGCCGTTGGTGGTCATATTGTTTTTGGCTGGCAGAATTCGAAGAAGAAAGAGTTCATTACCACATTCGCAGTCTCTCATCAGTGTTCTTCAAGGACTTTGGAATAGATTTCTCGTCAAAATGTGAAAAGATTGCTGGCCAGGGGACGGAGAGATGCCAACGTTTTTGATGCACGTCCTGGACTTTTCAACAATGGAGGCTTCGGTTTGACGCAGCGAACTATTTCTTGCACCGTGTATATGAGGGTAGGCACCTTGGACAACAGCACTTGTCGCGTACTATAGTACACACAATGATGAGCCCAAATCAGCAGGCTTAGGCTGATAAGTCTATCATCATGCTCTCCACGCTTAGTGCGCCGTTCCTATATGTAGCGTTGAATGGGAGAAGCTTGTATGCTAGGTTTCTGCCAAGTTGAAGTGATGGGTGGATGAGTGAATGAATGAATGAACGAATGGATGAATGAGTGAACGAACGAATGAATGATCGAATTAAATTCACTAAAGCTTAGCTAACAACCACTAGCAAGCAAGAGGGACACAACGAGAAGATAATGGAAAGGGATGGGAAAAGTTGTTGGAAGATCTCAAAATATATTCACAATAGATGCGAAGATATGTACAAGAAAGTCTTCTAAAATATCAGCCAGACAAGCGATTATGCCGTCGACTCGCATCAGTATATCTCTCCCACTAAAAATAGCGGGAACCTGTGCATATGCGAAAATCCAAACAAATTGCGTAAAAAGAATCCCCGACCAAAAGTCAGTCGAAGATCAGATCAGATCGAGGTGCGATCCGCTTAGAGAGCCTCAACAGCAGCAGTGAGCTTGGCCTCAATGTCGGCAAGCTGGCGCTTGGCAATGTCGCAAGCACCACCGGGTGCGTTGCATGCCTCGGCCTCACGCTCGTCGAACTGACCCATGGCGCGGGCGGCAATGGTAGAGACGGTTTCCTCGTCACAGTCGTAGTCTTCGCAGATGGAGAGGAGCTCGAAAGGAGTGGTGTCCTCAGTGATGGCCTCGGCGTCACGCTTGATGGACATGAATGCGGCGTGGGCCTCACGGAGAGCGGTACCCTCACCGTTGTCGGCATCGCGGACACGCTTGAAGAATTCGGGCTCCGCCGCATCGATGGAGCGGGCAAGGTTGGCCTGCTCCTCGGAGATGGCCTCCGCCTCTGCATCGGCGTCACGCTTGGCCTTGGCGCAGGAGACACCTCGGGGACCACAGAAACCGTTCTTTCCGCGAACCAGTCTCACGGGGTCGGCAGCGGCATCGCGAACCTCGAGGATTTCATCGTCCTCCTCGTCGCGCTTGACCTTGGCGCAAGATACGCCACGGGGACCGCAGAAGCCCTTTCCTTGACGGACGAGCTTGATAGCCTCGGCGTCGGCCTCAGCATCGGCCTCAGCATCACGCTTCGCCTTGGCGCAGGAGACACCACGGGGACCGCAGAAACCGTTCCTGCCCTTACCACGGACAAGTCCGGCCTCAGMGACGGCCTCGGCATCGGCCTCCGCATCACGCTTGACCTTTGCGCAGGAGACGCCGCGAGGACCGCAGAAACCGTTCCTGCCCTTACCACGGACAAGTCCGGCCTCAGCATCACGCTTGGTCTTGGCGCAGGAGACGCCACGGGGACCGCAGAATCCGTTCTTTCCACGAACGAGCTTGACCGCCTCAGCGTTGGCGTGTGCCTCGGTGACGGCATCACGCTTGACTCTGCGTGCGCAAGAGACTCCACGGGGACCGCAGAAACCGTTCCTGCCCTTACCGCGGACAAGTCCGGCCTCAGCGTCGGCCTCACGCGCGTAGATGCTGGTAACAGCCTCCTCAACGGCATCACCGACCTCCAAGATGGAGCGGCGGGCCTTGTGGCAGGCGACACCAGGGGCACCACAGACACCACGCTTGGTGTGGTCCTCGGCGAGAGCGAAAGCTTCGGCGACGGCGTCGGCGGAACGCTTCAGACGAGCGCAGGGAGATCCGGGAATTCCGCAAGTTGCGACGGAACGAGCGCAAGACACTCCACGGGGACCGCAGAAGCCATTCTTGCCGCCGCCACGGACAAGTTTCGGCTCAGCGTCGCGAGCCTCGATTTCGGGATCGACAGATCGTGCGCAGGAGACACCGCGGGGACCGCAGAAGCCATTCTTGCCGCCGTTGCGGACAAGTTTCGCCTCGGCGTTGGCAGCAGGTTCTGCAATGGCGCTGGCAAATGTTGCGCCAACAAGGCAGAGGGTGGCGAAGGCGTACTTCATGTTGCCGGGTTTGTTTTTTGTTTTCGGGGAGTAATGAGTGAGCCCTTCGAAAAGAGATGTGTATGAATGAGCGTCTTGTGGGTGGGTGGATAGGCGGTAATGAATGGGTAAAGAGGAGAAGAAGAGCCCCAGAGGTGTCTAGGTGAGAGATATATAGGATGTTGTCCCGCGTGAACATCCCGATATGGGTCTCAATAGGAATATTGAATAAAGGAGAAATGCCTTGGTTGGCTCAATAGAAGAGAAGGAAATGGTTTGTTCAATAAGGAAAGGATGAAATGGGGAGTAAGATGAGGAGAAGATGCCAATGAAGATGGCTACAATTGGTGGAGAAAGGTAGAGAGACATCCGGGCGTGGTAGGAGAGGTCCAGTTCGATACTGTCAGAGCAGAAATTGGCAAGACATGAATCATAGTATGATGTTAGCAGTCTCGGCACGTATGGTGGCACACCCGTGCATCGCATACTGCTCCCCCAGTGTAAAGATCCCGAGGCACTGGGTATCATGGAGAAGCATTGCTGGGCAAAGGCTTGAAACCTCATTGTCGTAGAGACCTGCCAAGTGCAAGTGAATACAATGAGTTCGTATTTAGCCATTCAGTGGCGGCCCACATAGCAGAAGCGTTTGTCCAGATTGAGGTCTGAATAGACTTCTTATTGAGGYATGAATTGGGAAGAGTAATTCGAGATTTTTCACCTCGCACTGACACATGCCGCCAGTCGCAGGATCTTTTGCGATGGCATTGAAGGGGAGGTGTTGCTCTGTCCGGGGCGGTGGCACATTTTGATAGGGCGGACCTGCGGTGCGGTGGAACGGTGGACACGCCTTGTCGAAGGTGCGGATACTTCTTCAAGGGCTTTGACTATTAAAATGACGGCCGCATCTGAGCTCCTGGGCAGTTTGTGTATTCCTCGGGATGTTGCTCTTCCAAATTTTCGCGGTGCGGCTCTTATGGTGGTGTCGTGAACGGACGACAGCATGTCAATCTTCCAAAATTGACAACCATTGACAGGGCCATCCTGATTCCATCCGCTTGATTGCTGATGATGTCGTGGCCGGACTCTCCCGCAGGTTGGTAGACGCGGTTGTGATGTTGCGTGGTGATGTTACAAGCGAGATGAAGCTAGTCGTCGGGACAGAACGGATGCAGTATCACAAGCGGTGGTCGCTCCGCTTCGGAAGTCAAACTGTGAAAGCTTGCGGTTGTCGCTGGAAGAAACACCTGCACCCTCGACATCACTCCTCATATCGCCAGAATGTTCGCTAGACGGGTAAGAATTTGAAAAGTAACGGTGATCTGAAATGCACATACTGATCCTACCCGCGCGCAGGCCCTCCAGACGCTCCCCTCCAAGAGGTGTACGTGATGTCCTCTTCCGCCGCCGATCTGATAGCGAGATGCGCTCCAGTATGCGACTGATCTGACACCTTTCTCAGCATATGCCACCATCCAGTCGGACATTTTCAAGCCCACCAAGTTTGGTGGCAAGTACACCGTCACTCTGATTCCAGGTACGCAGTCCCGGGAGAGAAAGACAACAAGAGAAAGACGCATATGGAAGGAATGCTTGGAGATGGGAGATATGCTGAGATAAACATCTAGGTGACGGAATTGGTGCCGAGGTCTCTGAATCAGTAAAGACCATCTTCAAGGCCGACAATGTACCCGTCGAGTGGGAACAGATTGACGTGTCCGGCATGGAGCACGGCGGCAAGCACTCCGAGGAGCTCTTCYGCGAGTCGATCGCGTCGCTGAAGCGCAACAAGCTCGGACTGAAGGGAATCCTACACACACCTGTCCACCGCTCCGGCCACCAGTCTTTCAACGTTGCCCTGCGACAGGAACTCGACATCTACGCTTCGATTGTCCTCATCAAGAACATCCCCGGCTACGAGACTCGTCACAAGAACGTCGACTTGTGCATCATCCGTGAGAACACTGAGGGAGAGTACTCTGGTCTCGAGCATCAGTCCGTGCCCGGTGTCGTCGAGAGCTTGAAGATCATCACCCGCGCCAAGTCGGAGCGTATCGCCAAGTTTGCCTTTTCTTTCGCCCTCGCCAACAACCGCCGCAAGGTCACTTGCATTCACAAGGCCAACATCATGAAGCTCGCTGATGGTCTGTTCCGCAACACCGTCCGCAAGATTGGCGAGGAGTACCCCACGATTGAGACCAACGACATGATTGTCGACAACGCCTCCATGCAATGTGTCTCCAAGCCCCAGCAATTCGATGTGATGGTCATGCCCAACTTGTATGGTGGTATTCTCTCCAACATTGGCGCTGGTCTAGTTGGTGGTCCAGGCATTGTACCTGGCTGCAACATGGGTCGTGAGGTTGCCGTTTTCGAGCCAGGCTGCCGTCACGTCGGTCTTGACATTCAGGGCAAAGACCAGGCAAACCCCACCGCGCTTATCCTATCCGGATCGATGATGTTGAGACATCTTGGACTTGACGACCACGCCAACCGCATCTCCAAGGCCGTATACGATGTCATTGCCGAGGGCAAGACACGAACACGCGATATGGGCGGTATGAGCACGACTCACGAATTCACGCGCGCCGTGTTGGACCACATGGAGGCTTCAGGATAGATGTGGAACGATATGAAGACTGGCGGGAGAGGTTATAGAACGTAGAGCGATTTCTCTGGTCTTTGGAACATTCCCCCTTGAAGTACTGCAGCATAGCCCTGTCTTTTTACCTGACATATGTAACTCTTTGTGTGTGTACATTGGACTGCATGATAGACCTACCTTTTCAATTACCTGTGATGTGTCGAGTTGTTCGATAATCAGTTGTGCTGGCATGTGTTTCAACACATCTACCTATCACTGTGTTGATTGTGTTGTCCTCGCATCATCATACTGTACGGACATTTCTGCGGGACAACTTCGGCTGGAAGCTGTAATAGAGTTTCCAATCCGACCCAAGCTTCGCGAACATTATGCGACTTCCTCATGAGGGAAACAACAACGTTGCCCATCATGGCGAAACGACCGGCGGAGTCGTCTCTGGAGGATTCCATCACCGACTCTCCTGCATCCAAACGAGCCCGAGTCCAGGACGTCCCCGACGAGGATCTACCACCGCCGCCGCCAGAGAATAATGGGCATGCGAATGAGGATGGATTAAACGATGAGGATGAGGATGAGGATGACGACGAGGAGAACGAGCGAAGTGTATCAAGACAGACAGCACCCACAGCCGGCTACTCGGATCTCTACCTTGACACCATATCACGAACGCGCCTCGACTTCGATTTCGAAAAATTGTGCTCCGTAACGCTGTCCAACATCAACGTATACGCCTGCCTGGTATGCGGCAAGTACTTTTCAGGTCGCGGCCCAAAAACACCCGCATACTTCCACGCGTTGGAGGAAGGGCATCACGTGTACATCAATATGGAGACCAAGAAGGTGTGGGTCCTGCCCGAGGGGTACGAAGTCAAGAACAAGTCTCTGGACGACATCAAAGTGGTGTGTGATCCTCGCTTCACTCCGGAAGAAGTGCGCGCACTGGACAAAGCTCCCAAACCTGCGTGGGATCTGCTGGGGAAGAAATATATACCCGGATTCGTCGGGTTGAACAACATCAAAGCCAATGACTACCTCAACGTTGTTGTGCAAGCTCTCTCACATGTCGCACCACTGCGGAATTTCCTCATGCTAGAGGACCTATCCTCCCGGCCACAGCTGGTACAACGCTTCAGTGTCATGGTGCGGAAGATTTGGAACCCCAAAGCATTCAAATCACACGTCTCGCCGCACGAGCTGATACAAGAAATCGCCCTGAAATCAAACAAGAAGTTTCTCCTCACAGAACAAGCGGATCCAGTCGACTTTCTCAGCTGGTTTCTCAACAACCTCCATCTTGCTCTGGGCGGCAGCAAGACCAAACCACAATCATCCCTCATTCAGAAAATCTTCCAAGGCAGCTTGCGAATCGAATCACAATCCATCTCTGCGCGCGCAGATGCCAGCGATCGTTTACGATTCGAAGATGCGGGTGTGATTGAATCTCAGACCTCGCGTTTTACCATTCTCACATTGGATCTACCGCCTGCGCCCCTCTTCCAAGACGATGTTGAGAAGAACATCATCCCACAGGTACCGCTCACGACAGTACTGAACAAGTACAATGGTACCGTAGCCCAAGAACGTCTCAACACACGCATAAGGTATCGATTGATGCACCCTCTGCCTCCATACTTGATCATGCACGTCAAGCGATTTCAATCCAATAAGTTCTTGCAATCACAGCGAAATCCCACGATTGTGACTTTCAACCCTCGGAGCTTGGATATGTCACCATATGTGGAGCCAAACCCGAAGCTGCATCCGTTAAACGAGCCACTCGTGTACGACCTTGTCGCGAATATCACGTACGAGGGTGTAAAGGTTAGAGATGACAGTGTGGAGGGAGAGGCCGAGAAGAAGGTCTGGAAGTGCCAAATCAAAGAAGGAGGGGAGGGTGGTTKGTGGGAGATGCAGGACTTGTGGGTGGAAAAGGTCCAAGCCGATCTGCTGTCTACGAAGGAAAGTTATGTGATGGTCTGGGAGAGAAGAAAGGGAACTAAAAGCGGGAAAGCAAGAGCTTGACCGGATTGAGAAGCGCGGACAATCAAGCCAAGATTTCACATGCACGTGTTGAAAGCTCCTCAAAGTTCCAACCGAAATGTGCATGCTTTCGTACTTGATCAAAATCTGCTTGTGATTTGATCGACACTTTCAGCTGCAAATCAAGCTAGTGTGGATGGAACGTGATTGCCGAGGCTCACTTGACATCATTATCGATCAACTTCACCAATGCTCCCAAAACATCAACCTCAAAGCAACCACATTCTCACCAAACATGCCAAACAAAATCACCCTCTTCGTCGACATTGTCAGCCCGTTTGGCTATCAAGCCTACTGGCTGACCCGCAACTCTCCTGCCTTTACCAAATCCAACATCGCAATAACCTATGTTCCCATACTTCTCGGTGGCCTCATGAACGCAACCGGCAATCGTCCGCCATTAGAGATCAAGAACAAGGACAAATGGATCGATAGCCAGCGGAAACGTTGGGCCAAGACGTTTAAAATCCCCATGACTGAAAACACACCCACTCCATTCCCCCAACCCACAGTCGCTACCCAACGAACTCTATGTCACATTCAAGAAGCACACCCGGAGAAACTCGCAGCTTCCCTGGATGCTTTGTTCAAGGCTTTCTGGGTGGATGGCAAGGGTCCCATTGCAAAGCCCGATGTCATTGCCGAGGCATTGGAGCCTGTATTCGGAAAGGAGGGATTGCAGGAGATTATGAAGGGTGCGACGAGTGACGCTGCCAAGGCGAAATTGAAGGGTAATACGGAGGAGGCGTTCAAGGCGGGTGGATTTGGATTGCCGTGGTTTGTGGCGGAGAATGAAAAGGGTGAGAAGGATACTTTTTGGGGAGTTGATAATATTGGGCATTTGTTGGAGTTTTTGGGAGTGGATGTTAAGAGTGAGAATGGGAGGTATAAGGCTATGCTTTGAGGGTGGAAGCTTATCCTGGTATCGAATCCCTTCTATTTCCTTCCTTCTCATATGAGGTATGATTGCTATCAACATTGAGTCAYGAGGGTGCTGCCTTTTGGAGCCAGGTTGCTAGTTTGTTGCAAACTTGAGCAGGCAGAATCAGTAGCAATCTTGCAGAGCTACAGCCTGTGAATAAAGAAAGCTCTGGTCAAATCTTCCAGGATATGATCAACGCAATCGATCCATGGAAACACATAGGCAAGCTCGTCTGGGTTTTTAAAACCCACCTGCCATCCACTTCAAAACATCCGTTCCCTCTCCATCAACGCTCTTAAACTAACCGTTTCATCCTGACAACACTACAAGCTGAAAAAAACCCGTCATCATGGACCCAGTACCTGGTTCTAGCGGCGTCCACTGGTCCAGCGTTCCTAGATCGCCACTACCTGGTCTTCCTCTGAAGAAAGCGCGTATCTTTGAAGGTTCCACACCGCGAGAGCTGTTCACGCATCACGCATCTGAGCATACGGTCCTTCGATGCCACCCAGATGCCCACCGCCTCGTCCGCCGAGGAGATGATCGCGAGATGCTCATTTACGTGGACGGCTCCTGCCTAGACCAAAACGATGCCACCAACGTCGACATTCGCCGCGCAGGCTGTGCGTGGGTCTTCAAGCCTGAGCCGTATGCTTTCGATCAACGCAGTGTGGCCATTCGTCTGGAGCTGGAGGGTCCGGATGGACAGCAATACCCTCAGACCAGCAATCGTGCTGAGCTCCGTGCTGCTCTCGGTGCATTGCGGTTTCGCGCGTGGGATGGTGAAGGCTATCATAGAGTGGTGATCGCTTCAGATAGCGAGTACTTGGTTCTGGGAATTACGGAGTGGATTGAAAATTGGGCCGATAATGGCTGGCGTACTGGTTCTGGGGATGCTGTCAAGAACGAGGATCTGTGGAAGGCATTGCTGGAACGAATCAATCATTTTGCGAAGATTGGCTTGGAGGTCTTGTTCTGGAGGATTCCGCGAGAGTTGAATGGCGAAGCTGATCAGGCGGCGAAGGCAGCGGCCCAGAACGAACCTGCAGTCGTGAAGTTCTCGAATCTTCGAGGCGCACTCGTCTGATCGTTCTCGCTACGAGCATGCAATCAATCTACTTCCGTTGATACAGAGACTCATAGGCCATTACGGTACGTCCTGAGATGATGGAAAATACCCTTCCTTCTCTACTCAGATTCGCTTCTAGGCATAGTTATCTACTCAGCCAGCACAGAAATGCATCGATCGAGCTCATGGTTTTGACTGTTCCTAGGACTTCATGGCCTTACCCCGAGACTTCTGTTTGCCACGATATCCTGTACCATATGTAGCATGAGCATTGGCCATCTTGAAGCCATACATACAAGTAAGTCTCCATACCATCTTCGTACTCCTAGGCAATCCTACCCGGATTATCAAAGCATTCCATGAGCTTCTTTCCATATCCGATTGCAATATTTCACAAGCTCCAATACACCATCTAAGAGTGTGCCGTAGGATCTTGTACGATATCTGGCGGTTCTTGCAGAAGGTGGCTGTCTGGACTCATCCGATTGCAACAATCACGAGCCGCTGCAAAAATCGCCTAGACTGGGCTCCCTCGCCTCTCCCAGCTAATGGGGCAGAAGACAGCAGAAGGAGAGATCTACTGAGATCGATTGCGCGTGATATCGGCCCTAGTGTAATGGATGGTGGTGTACCTATTGATCCTACGATCTCTGGGAACACCGAACGATTTCACGCAACGAGTGGTTGTAGCATATTGTCAATTCAACGATTCCACCGACCCGTACGCTGTTCAAACTTCATTCTGCCGTGTATACTGGTCACATCTCTCGCTCGAAGCGAGAGAGTGAGTAATTGACGCGTACGTACCCTTTCGGCACCTCTGTTGCGGAGAATCATGTATGAGTGCCTGGTACTACGATTCCTGACGCCGTCGACAACTACGTCGGTGGTGAAGTTGCTGTAATTTCTCCACTGTCTGTTTCCTAGTATATTAATGCATTAAGTACGTGCCATTCTTCTCTCGATATTTTTTTCATCATCCTTCTCAGACTGCTTCTCCTCCTTCCTCCTCTCTAATCGTCTGCTCCTTGCTCTTTTTTTTGAAACTTCTGCTCCTCTCCCTTCTTCTTAATTTTCTACTCCGTTTCCTCCTTCCCCTCTCTAATCTTCTACTACTCCTCTTCCCGTCTCATATTATACCTCTAGATTTCCCCAGCCCCTCCGATTCTCCGCTCCTGGAGACTCGTCTGTTCCTTACCTCTCGAGCTAAGCCAACTTCTTAATCGTCCGAAAAATCCACACATACAACTCTTCGTCGGTTGGATTCTCAACCTCTCCCATATCATCGAACGACTCATTCCGCTTTGGACATTTGGATTGGGATCTGGGGAGATGGAAGCTCGTGCTTACTTGTCCGGTATACGATCTAAAGGAGATTATTCTGGTCCCTTTGTAGGCTTTTGGGATAGTCTTATATTGTCTGATGAATTTCATTCTCGGGATCGAGCTCGCGTAATGGGTGTCCGTGTGTGTTGGTCGCCATGATCTAGGACGAAAATCCTCCTCACATGCTTTCCCACTTTCTCCTCTAAAGACTTTCTCGTCTAGAGAAGAGAGATACTTCATAAAGGACAACCTACGAGATACATGTTCAAGTTGATATCCCCAAGGCAAGCTTCATCCTACTTGAGCTCGACGAGATTATCTATGATTGCCAGCAGTTAGTCCTCCTATACATCATCTCCAAGGCTATATATATACATATCAAGTCATCGAACCTCTTATCTCAAAAATCCCTCTAAACGAAAAAGAAATCCCGTTCTATCTACCGCTTATAAAACGTACCTTTCCTTTCCCTTTATAGATTAAACTATTCTTATAGGCCTCTTACATCAATTTATCACGATATATATATATATACATATATATATCTAAGGTCCGGACGGCATATACCTTTTAAATCTTATCGAAGTACAAGAATAATTCTGTCTTTTTAATAAGGCGAACTGGCTCTAACCGACTTTCTTCCCCTAGGCTAATTGACTTGAATCACTACTAAAAGTCTTGGCTTTCAGATGTAAGAAGCAAGAAGTATAGCTCGCGGAACTTGGAAAAAAAGKGGAAAAATTCCGACGAGAGTTGGAGAGTATTAATATATATATAATCACGCCACATTACATTTCCATCATACTATACTCATGCACGCATATGTAGATATCGCAAGAGAGAGATACCCATACCGAGTTCCGAGTCCTTTCAATTACTAACAACAAAACGAATACATCATTACAACCTCTTATCCATCGATTCATTTCCAAACTCCTCTTCCATAGTTCTGTATCCCATCCCATTCTATTCAATCTCCCATCCATTCTCTGTCGTTGATCATTATTGTCTGTTGTTGATCGTCCCCTGTCCCTCAATCCCTCCCCTCAACCCCTCATCCCATCCCCTGCTCCCCTCCCCTCCCCTCCCCTCCAATCACCCCTATACTACACAACCTTCCCAACCCCCTTCCAAACAGGCACCTCCTCAAACCGACAACTCCACACCATCCTCCCCCTCTTCCCCCCCAACCCCTCCCTATCACCATCCTCCAGCACCTCAGCCCCCTCATCACTCGTCTCAATCCCCACCAATTCATCCTCAACAATCAATTCCTTACTAACCCTCCCCTCATCATTCCCATCTCGAGGAATCCACACCTTGGGAATACGACTCCCCAAAGCAGGCGCCTCATAAACTTTCTCCACTTCCTCTTTACTCAAGCCCTCCACTCCCAAAATTTCATCCTCTTCAGCACTAGAACTCTTCAACCAACCCTCCGCTTCCCCTCTCGAATTCGAAATAATCCCATCCAAAAAATCCGATAATTTCCTCGGGAGAATTTTCCCCGGTAATTTCTTCAATCCCAATCTCCGACCATGCGAAGCAGCATGTCGATCCGCTTCATCCCCTTCTTCATCCTCCACATCATCAGCACCATCCCTGCGAACCAACTCCCCTTCCTCCTCCCTCCAAACATCCTCTCCAAGAAAAACTTCTAGAGGTCTCAACATTCTCTCCACCACGATATTCCCCACGGCAGTCAATGCCAACAACGCCACCATCATGCCCACCTGCGCCGTAGCTTTCCTCGCGGAAAATAATCCCACCAGACATAATTCCGCCAGATAGACGCCTGTAAGAACAGACTTCAACGCTCGTCCATATCCCTCCCCTTTCGTATCCACTTTTGTCTGTCGTACGTACAATAATCCATATCGATGACTTAGATAATACAACCCGACGCCCACCCCCGCGAAACCCAATACCAGAGGTTGGATACAACTATACGCAATGGCGATGATTAAGAAATTGGTGAATTTCGGATACCAGCTCCCCCACGGTGTGCCGCGCATCTCGGCGTAGACTTCGAATTTCTCGCGCGGGGTTTTGGTCCAGAGGTATTGGTAGAAGAGGTAGGTGAGTGTTTCGGAGTAATCGAGGAGATTGCTCGCGGCGGAGCTGGTACCTTGGAGGAGGAAGTAGGTGAGGTAGAAGTTACTGGCGGTCGGCAAGGCGGAGGCTAGTAAATCGGGAGCTTGGGTGGGATCTTTTGCGATTTTGGTCGCGACGGCCGCGGCTCCGGAAGAAAAGGTGGTGACGAGGAAGACTTGGATGACTTGGAAGACCATGAACCAGGCTTGTGTTTTCAATTCCGCTTGCGAGGTGGTGGGTTCGCCGGAAAGTTTGGCGATGTGGCGGAAAAGTTTGGGGACGTAGGAGACGAACCAACTGGTTACTGCTGGGGGAACCAGACCGGTCAATAGAGCGAGCCATTGGTCTGGGAGATCGTTGAGCCAGCCGAGGAATGAGACTCTGTCGGCGAGTTGTTTGGCGTTGGAGAGGGTGCCGAGGAGACCAACGGGGATGGAGAAGAAGATGGTGAAGGCTATGACAAAGACCAGAGCGAGGGAGGCTTGCGATAAGCGGATGGAAGAGGGTTTGGAAATGTTCTTCCAGATGATTTCCTTGGGTTGAGGGGCGAGGAATCGATCCTGGAGGGGAAGTTTTCCGGGTTGAAAGGTGATGTTTTGGAAAGCAATGTGTGCCGCTCGTTGGGTGGTGAATTGGACGAAGATGGCCGACTGCTTTTCCACATTTCTTCCCGGTGCTTTGCGGTGTGCTTCAATCTTCTCCGCCACTTGGACGAGAGCGTTCCGTGCCGTCTCTACGGAATCCACTTTTTTTCCAATTAATGGCGGCTTCCTGGTGGTTGGTCGATGCGCCTTCGGGATGAGAGACTGTTCCTCTGATGATGATGTTGATGAGTGGGAAGACTGTTTCTTTCCCTTCATCTTCACAGCCTTGACAATCAAATCCATCTCAGCACTCTCCAACGCCCTAATACACCCATCCCTCTCGGCAACCAACTCCTCCAAATCCCCCAAATTCCTCGCCGGCCACGCCCTCTGCGCCTCATCCCCGAAAAACTTGCCCAACTTCTCCTTTTGCATCGCCTCAATGGGAGCATTCATAAACAAGACGGTTCGCGAGGAGATTCTCTTGGAATAACTCTCACGTAAATAACACGCCTGTCGAATACCAATGACCCTCAATCTCTCCCACATGACGGCCACAAAGACACCTCCCAAAAACACCCAGGCGACGACAACATGCGCCCAGATGAAATCATTCCTGGCGATATTCGAAAAACTCAAGCGATCCAACTGTTCCTTGCCCCCACCACCCTTGACATTGACCGCAAACAAGACGGGCCACGTCACACACACGCCCGCCAGACAAACCACCATGATGAATTTCAAAAACCGCAAAAACAAATACGMATCCAGCGAATTGTGCTGCAAGACGAAGATGTCGGAGAGATTTCGAAAATCGGCAATCCATGACGCTCCTTCTCCCGCCGGGGCATTGCTGGAAGGAGTGCGGTGTTTTTGGGGAATGGTGGCGAGAAAGGTGCGGGGCGCGTAGATTTTGCGAAAGGAATTGCGGATGAGGAGGAAGATGGCCAGGTAGATGCAGGCTATGCTGAAGGTGGGGATGAAGGCTCCGAGTATGGCCGCGAATGAGGTCGATTTTCCTGAGGATTCTTGGAGGATGTTCATTTTCATGTTGTTGAGAGGATCCATGTTCATGTTCACGTTCATGAGAAATGTCACGCAAGTGTTTGTTGGTTGTCGTGGATATCCAGGATAGACAGTTCCTGGTAAGGTAGTTAGTTTGTGACGGGTAATTCAAATCTTCACATCATCTTCAATCCACTCATTCCATCTCCGTCGTACTGTTGGACCCGAATGAAAGAGCAGTCGATGTTTGTGAGGAAGATCTTTGATGAGAAAGAAGAACAAGTCAACTAGAAGTCAACGTTGGATACCAGGCAGATCCAAGGTTTGGTGTAACTAACGTAGTCTGTGCTTGATGACGTGTTTCCTCTCTCTCACGGCCTCGGAAAAGCATCCAATCCATCCATCGCGCAAAGCAACAATCGAATGCGGCATGTGAGATCGACAAAAAGGTAAGGTAATCTGGATTTCATGAATAGAATCCACAATCAGGATATGCAGTTATGAGGACCAACAACAGCAGGCATCACTTGGTAAATGGACGTTGATAAGTCGGCATTGAATGACAGACGCTTCAAACATTAGGAGGTACCCTCATCAATTCTAATCAGCGCTGGAAGAAATCTCTCATATCCATATCCGTCCATATCCATATCCATGGTATCATGCCCATCTCAATCCCCTCTCAAGCACATCATCAACATATCATCAACAATAAATACATCAAACAAAAACAACCACCTCGCCGCGAGAATTCCTCCTCAACCGCAATCCCTTCCACAACTCTTTATCCTCGTCCTCCTTATCCTCACTCCCTCGGACATCTCTCTCGCGATGATACCTCTTCAAGATCTTGTTGATGGAACACCCGCGCTCACTCTCCGGTCCTTTGGTGATGAAAGACAAGAAGTGATCGGCCCGGTCGTTCGGTCCCATCAATTGATTGTTCGCAGTGGGTTGGACGGAAGACGGACGATCAATGGGATACTCCAACGCTCTCTGTTCCTGTCCCCGCGGCGGAGGTCTCCTTCGTTCCTCCACCGAAGACACGGAAGCGGAACGCTGACGATGATGGGATCTGCGATGTCTGCGTTCCCGATCCCCCCCCCGCTCGGGACTTCTCGAACGAGCATCACGATCGCGATGGCTGTGTTTGGTTGTGGTGGAGGTGAGTTTGGAACTGCCCGACACCTTTCTCGTCGACTCCTTCTCCCCACGACCTTCCTTTCTCCGCTTGATGGGACTGATGGGTGTGGGACCGGCATCGATGCGATCTTCATAAAAGTCGGGATCCGTCACCAGTCGGGTCAATCCACCGGTCAGGCCGGAATGAAGCACTCTCCTACTGGTGGTCGATGGTCCTCCCACATCCTCCATGTGTTCATCCCTCGATTGTGGGCGTTTGGCGGTGGAGAGATCTAGCTCCTCGACAATCCTCTTCCGCTTCTTGTCCGTGCTCTTGTCCGCCTTGCGATCCTTCTTTCGCTGTTCCTTGGAGGCCGGGGTGATGAAGGAGTTGGGAGGGGGCATCAGACTCCCGGCTTGCGTCTCTTGCGAATCGGCGGTGAGGTTGTTGTACGAGTCCCAGCGTTGGAAGGAGGGTTCAATGGGCGCATTCCCATACGACCATCCCTGGGAATTGAATGCGCCGGGGACGTGTTGGTATTGCGATTGCGAATCTCCCGATGGGGTCGTGTGTTCGATCCTCCTCCGCTCTTCGGGAGCTTGCACGGCGCCCTTGGGCGTGGCATCGCTGACGAGAAAGTCAAAGACGTTGATGTTCTCCAACGCATCCGGAGCGGGAGGGGGAGTTGGGGCGCGAGGAGGGACATCAATGACGGCAATCATGTTCATCTCATCCCCTTCGGGCGCATCCTCGACATAGGCGCCCCGAGGCACCATTCCCTCCATTGATTTGCGCTTGTTGTTGTTGTTGTTGTTGTTGTTGGTGGTGGTGTTGGTCTTGTTATTCCCCTTCGCGGACTTTTCCTTGTAGAGATGACCCTGATACTTTTGCGCCTCACTGATGCACGAGGTGTGGGAGCGATAGTCGGTGCCGTAGAAATGGACCATGCAATCCAGGCAGGTATACGTGGCACCGTAGCATTGATTGCGATGGGGATCCAGCTTTTTCTTGGTGAGCACGTCGCCGCAGGCCTAGATCGCCGCGAAGATAGATGTTGGTTAGTGGGAGATGGAAAGTGGGATGTTGTTTGTTGTGGAAGAGACGTACCTCGCAGCTAAAGGAGACCATGGCGGGCGAGGTTGATATGGTATCAGCACGAGGATGGTGCAAAGTGTAAAGGATGCAAAAAGCAAGACAGCCAGTCAGGAGGGAAGGATGGTGGTGGCAGATGAATCGCGGATGGTGGTGGTCGAGAGGGAGCTAAGGCACTTTTGACTTGGAGGGACTTTTTCTGGCGCTTCCTTCCTTCTTGCCTGGTCGGATTGTGCCTGGCAATCCTTCCACCTTTTTTTTGGATGATGCACAGACAATCCTTCCTTTCAATCGCCCCGCCACGGAGAATCTAGATGGTCGAAGTGTGATGATAATTGGTATGTCCCAAAGTGTGTCGATGTCTCCTCGATCCCGTTGTACATGCCTACCATTCTTCCATTTCTTGTGTCTGTCCATCGTGTCCACGACTTTTGCCGTCAACACTCGCCGCCACGAGCGTGCCGCATGCACCCATCTATGCACCTTTACACGCGTCACGCGTGACATTCGTTCGTCCCGGTAGTTCCAAAGTCAAAAAAGGGCAGGGTAGCTCTGAAACCTACAAAGATACGAGGGTGTAGCAGATCACATCCCGCTGAACAAAGCCCATCCCAAAATCCATATCTTCAAGATCAAAGGATGGCATGAAACCGGGCATGCATGCATATTCTACCACCGCCGGCCAATCACTCCCGACGGTCATCATGGCAGTACCTACCTACTGTACATGTCAGAAGGATGAATCCAGGCACGCCATGTCTCAGTGTCTCAGATGTTGCCTCCACAAGGTCCATTCATCATCATCATCATTCGTCCCTCCCACCCGGCAGCCATGGCGCCACGCTTCGCTACGCCTCCCCATCTGCCGCCCGCAATGGATGGTCATGCGAGCGGGAAAAAGGTCTGTCTGCTCCCGAATGATCAACGTGGCTAGTGGGTGTGGATGAAGATAACGGGCGTTCTCTTATCATTATTCACTCGTGGTAGGAGTATGTAGGTACGGATGGCATTCCCACCATCTCCCGTACAGTGGCACGTGACGGCAAATTCCACAACCATGGTACAGCGCCTTCGTCGTGTATCGGAGTTGTAGAAGGCCTGGAATCCTAGCAGTCTCGAACAGCGTGTGTCGCTAATAGCAAAATCCCCCGAGGCAGTGGGATCCAGGTTGATTAGCTTCCGTTGTTCGTCATTAAAAGGTACCCCTCCGATGTACGGAGGTGTTGTAGGTGGGTGTGGCAGGTACACGAAGACTACCTTACAGTCTTCTCTTATATCGTCTTCTCTAAGCAAGATATCTGTCCTTCTTCGGCCACCCACCACCAGAAAAAAAAAAGACTACATCGAGCGATCATGAATACCTGCCGCTCTCCGACCCTTCATCCGGTTCTTACCATGTCCAAGTTTGCACTCCTCGCTTTGGATCCCAATGCCCTTCCTGCTCTATCCTACGCCTTCGTCTTCAACTTTGCTTTGTTCATCACCTAACATACTCGCTACACCAGCCTTCCAATTTGACTAGATAAGTAGTTCTCGAGTCTTGCTTTTCAGATCTTTACTCGTCTGTCTGTTATATACTAGCGTGGCGTGGTGGTGAGATTTATAGTGGCGAAGACTATGGTCAGGGGTAGTAGATCTCTCGTTGGGGACTCGAGTAGCAAGTCCTAATCCTCGTGGTGGGTATACTAGGGCTTGAAGATGTGGTAATCCGTGGTGGAGTAGCCCTGATGTGGATCTCGGGCTTGGCATGTAAGTGAATACGTTCTGCTGGCATACAACCTCCTCCGATCCTTCTACATTAAGCCGATGTTATGGATGCTAGCTCTGTGGAGGAAGTCGAGCACTACTTCAAGCTCAAGTAGTATCCCGTGTGCGCACATCGTCCTTCGCTCTATGCCCGAGATCTCATAATTGAGGAGTACCACGTGTTGTGCACAAGTGAATGTTCGCCGTCTGCCTTGTGATCTGCCAAGTGTCACTTGACTGCAGACACGTCGCCGTCATTACAAAACATAAACCTTGATGAGCATTTATCGCTCATACAACAACAACAACAACAACAACAACAACAACAACAACAACATTACAGACTCAGCCAACACCGCCACGATGCTTTCATACCTCCGTGGCCTCTACCACGGTTCCCAACCTCCGCGCATCCTCATCACCGCATCTACCTCGAGCGCAACCCTCTCCAAATCCGGCCTTGGTCCAAAATTCTCCATAACCCTCTCCGCGACAGTCGAAGCAAGCAGCCCCATCACCATCCTCCCCGACGACACTCTACTCGACCCAAGCTGTCTAGCACTCTTCAAACAGGGCCTCACTTTCACAAACATCGCCACCGGCGAAATCGTGCCAAGATGCTCCATGTACATTTGCGCCGGCGACTTCCCACCACCTCTAACACCCAACCGAACCATTGAGATCCCACCACAGGACAATGCCGGCTCCAGCTACGAAGTCTCTCACACGTTCAAACCACCCGAACCTCCGTTCTTGTTCATTCGACAGACCACTGTGGGAGACCAATGGATTGAGCACGAGCCAGAAGTGCGTCAATATGATCTCCATGGACAGGGTCTCGAAATCGGCCAGGTCTATGAGATTGGACTCGGGGAGGACTTGGTGAAGGTTCCGTGGTGGCGTTGGGGCAGCAAGTGGGAGGTTTTTTCATTTCCTTACTATCCGAGGAGTCGTTATTCCGGTCGAGGCATGCCGGAGTTGCGGATGGTTCTGGTCAATCGAGCGAGATTTACGGTGGTAGAGTAGTTATAGCAGCAGGTCCTCGGGAGACTAATCGATGGTCAGATTGGTAGTCTGCTCCAATTTGACCAAGGATGACCATGGCTGAGTGCTCGACCGAGGGTGTTGCAGGTTGCATTGGCTTGAGCGATTCGAGCTGGACCATCGAGGAGACCTATCGACTCTCGGGAATCATAGCTGAGGAGCCCCTGAGTGCGCGGGGACCTGCAGACTGCATTGCCCAGGTCGGATAATGAGATCCATATCAAGTCTCCTTTCCCCTCACTCACAACCTTCGTCTCATCAACACGTCCCACGTGGCTGCCATGTGCCGTATGTACCGGAGCCCCATCTTTCATCTCTCCAGGAAATAATGAAGGAGACGTCGAGTATGCCGTCTTTCGAATCCCGGGTTTACCGCATATGCCGATCTTCAAAGCTCAAAGAACGGCGCGCACCGCGTGAGTTTCCTCTTCAAGCTTCTAGAAGTAAGAAGATGTGCTTCTTGTTCGCGTTCTTGGTGATGAATGTGATGGTCATAGTAGTAGGCTGCTGGGCTGAGCTGAGCTAAGCTGAGAGACAGCACTCCTGGGAGTGTAGAAAGTCAGTACAATCAGCAAGCGACAATCTCAAAGGAATTTCCAACATCTCACCAGTCCTCTCTCTCCTTCTACTGGCCACTCCCCCTCCTCCACAACAACAATGTGTCCCTCGATGCCGTATCCGCCAACGGCTATAAAGCTCACGTGGTTGTTGCTCGTGGTAAGGTAAGTTCGTGGCCTAAACCTTCCCCAGCTTCTCTTCCCCATGGGCAAAAGATCTACATCTGGAGTATGCCGTGCCGTCTCTCGCTTCCTCTTTTTCTTCTTCCATTGGATGCAAGAGCGCGGAGAAAACTGCGCTGCTGTCCGCGGGGCGTTCTCGAAGTCTGGAATACCACATAAGTTACTGCCAAAATGGAATGGAGCTTACTGCTGGAAATATTCTCAGGAAGAGCATGAGAGCGCTCGCACGTTTCTTATTCCCGTGGAGAATCCTTCGACGGTAAAGCATACATATCATATCCTCCGATTGCCATCTTCTTGTTGTCGTTCTTCTTCACCCTCGCGCACCCAAGGAAAGAAAAGGTCCGTTGGAACACAAGGAAAATCTCACACAATGGCGCCCAGCCTCGCGCATGAAAAGGAGCAACTTTCCCAAAACCACCACACAGAATACCATTCCGATACCGAGAAACAAGAGAGCGTTGAAGCAGCGCCTCCCGGTTTGGGTATCGATGCCAAAGATGCACCATGGACGGCCACGAGGTGCATTGCTGTAGCAAGTCTTTGCATGGTATACGTCGGTTCGCAAATCGTGCTCTACTTCGTATCATCGTCTCTTACGAATATTTCGGAGAGCATTGGGACGAAATATGGGAATTGGATGCTTACGGGTATGTTGTTGTCCGATAGGGAGGATGAAGGGATGCATGATGGCTGACTTTTTCTTACAGCAAATACTCTGGGAGTCGCTGCTATTTGCCCATTCGTCGGTTACATTACCGATCTTCTAGGGAGACGATCGCTTTGTTTGTTCGGGTCGGTGTTGCTCATCGTTGCGAGCGCCATCCAGGCCACGTCGCATAGTCTTGGTCAAGCGGTAGCCGCGCAAGCAATCGCTGGTATTGGTGCTGGAATCTGCGAGTTGGTTGCTCTGGCAGGGTAAGATTCTCTTCCAATCTCGTTGGCTTGCCATGTACAAGTGAGCTGAACCTCCTCATAGTGTTGCTGAAATCACACCCGCCCGCTGGAGAGGCGCCACCCTCTCTCTAGTAACCTTCAGCATCGTACCCTTCATGCCACAGCTCCTCTACTCCATCCTAGTAATCCGCGCCAGCACATGGAGATATCTCTTCCTCATCACCGGAGGGTGGAATTTCATCGGCCTCGTAGGCCTGTTCTTCTGCTACAAACCTCCTCCCCGTCACATGGCAGATGATCTCTCCACAAGGGATATCATCAAGCGAATCGATTGGTTAGGAACATTTCTCTCCATCGGCGGCATAACCCTCTTCCTCGTCGGGCTCCAGGCAGGCGGCTACCAAAGTCCCTGGACGTCCGGACGAGCCCTCGGTCCTCTGATCGTCGGCGGATTAATGACCTTTGTCGCCCTCCCCATGAGCCAAATCTGGGGAACTCACAAGTTCCCCCTGGTTCCCGCCAAAATCTTCAGAGGCCAACGAGTCGTCGCCCTCGCCTACGTGATTGTATTTGTAGCAGGTATGGAGTTCTACTCCATCCTCGGCTTCTTCCCCCTCGTACTGCAGTACGTGTACAACACCGACGCCATCACCATCGGAGTGCGAGGTCTCTGTTACCCCTGGGCCATYCTAGGAGGAGCATGCCTCATTTCCTTCTTGATGAGCTATACTCGCGGCCACGTTCGCGAAATGTTCTTCCTCGTAGCCGCCATGATGACGGCTTTCACCGGTGCTCTCGCGCTTTCGACGCCCGATAATGCAGGATACACCATCACCATGGCCACGCTGGCAGCTTTCGGTAATGGAGCCCTTGTAGTCCCTGCCCTGACTCTCGCCTTGTAAGTCCCATCCCTCAAAATCTACGCATCCTAACAATGTTAACAACAACCTCTCAGCTATGCCGCCCCAGAAGAATTCGTCGGAACAGTAGGCGCCCTCTCCCTCTCCGTGCGATTCCTAGGCGGAAGCATAGGAACATCCATCTACTTCAACGTCTTCCTCACAAAATTCACCGCCAATCTCCCCGCATACGTGGGCGCAGCAGCAATAGCAGCCGGCGCAGACATGCAAGTGACCACAAACCTCGTCCTCGCATACGCATCGCAAGTACCCGGCGCAGCGGCAAAGGTACCCGGTGCTACGCAAGCCATGGTCGCAGCTACGCAATACGCGAGCCAGATGGCGTATGCTGAGTCTTTGAAATGGGTCTGGTATACGACCATTCCATTCGGGGTGATTAGTTGTATTTGCTGCGCTTTCTTGCCTAATATTCGGCAGTTCATGACGAGCAAGATTGCCGTGGACATTCATTGATTATTCTGCACGTCTCAGATTAGCCATGTGATATTGAATGAAAGACTTACGAGTCCCATGTCGAAGAGTTTTGCTGTCAATCAACCCAAATATCATCAAGTATTAAACATTCTCTGTACAAAAAAACGCTGTTACTACGCCTTGGTAAATGCAAAATGCAAAACAGGGTATCATACGCAACATCAATCAAGCACCGAGGTTCTCTTCACTCTCCGACCYAGGAGGTACACCCGTCCCACCATTCCTGACACTATCATCTGCAATCCACAATCCTCTCAGAGGAGCCACTAAACTGGGGTTGATAAAAGGTAGATTCCTTTCTCGAAGTGCGCCGTTTTCTCGCCAATTCTGTCGTTGACCTCTCGGCGCTGCATTGTTGTCATCGGCCCACACGTTATGCGTCAAAGAGACTGTACTGCTGGTCACGCTCGGGGCAACCGGGGAAGCCGCAGGGTCCGCGTCTGTATATTGCTCTCCTCGCTTCACAGCCGAAAGAGCGATGAATTTCATCAAGGGCTTGTAAGTCTTGCCGTAAGCATTCTGGATCCATAATGTCCCAATGATGAGAGGCACCATCATGGCACTTCGAGCAAAGGCGTTCTTCAAGCCGAGCTGGCCGGCGGTGGTGAGCTGGAAGAGAATCAAGCCCACAAATATACGGTCGCAGATCATACCCCACGCCCGCCCGGATGCTTGTTGTCGATGGTCCATTGCATAGAGTAGTTGGTATTTGTAGACAAAGTGGCCCAGGCAAAAGTAGAGCCAGCCTGCCAGTAGTACCTGCCAAGACGACCGCAGCACACTGTACACCATGCAAATGATGAAGATCAGTAGAGCGTTTGGCAAGTAGAAGCCATAGCTGAATACTGGAGGTTGGACGAGCTCTGCGTAATCGCGAGGAGTCTTGGCACCCATGAGCATCACTGGGTAGAGTGTGACACTACCAATCTCCAACAACCGGAACGGGAACAACCCCACACCCTGAAGGATGATGAAGTTGACGTAGAAGTTGAGCATGTTCTGTAGTGAGATCGCCAGGGTGTAGGCGATCTTCTGAGGATCTCGTACAGCATCACCAAAGTCCTTGAAGAAGGTGTAAAACTTGGTGGCTGTACCGATGGTCGTGAAGATGACGAAGAAGTTGAAGAACGTGAAGAAGAAGTTCTTCGAGATTGTCGACAGTTCAATCTCTCCGCGCGAAATCTCTCCTTGGCACCACGATAGGTAGTAGTAGAGGTATGGAACCAGTACCATCATGAGAGATACAAATAGAGTCGGCAGTTGGGTGTTGATGAGGGACCGGAGATTCTCGTGTTCGCTGAGGATCTCTGCAAGCTGTGGGAACACCTTTCCGAGTGTCTTGGTCTGTAGAAGAGCAGCGATGGGGAGAAAGATGGCAGACCAGAATATCGTGAGTAGGACGATGAGTGATGTGACGGACCAGGCGCGGACCATACGACTTCTCCGTGAAAGGTAAGTGTTGGGCCAGATCACATCTGAAGGCTCGGGACTTTGGTTGGCGATCAACTGTAGAGGAGACGGATCCAATACCGCTTGAATAGCCATCTGACAGGAAGCCACACTGTCCATCGTTACGAAAGCCAGCGGCGTGGGGGCATACTTCTTCGCACGCAGTTCCTTGATATTTTCATCTGCCAGACGCAACTTTTCCTCGTAGTAATCGATGGCATCAACCTGATGTCTACGCCAACCGAGCCATCCAGATCTGATTGTCGCGCGAGGTCTACCCTTTGTATACGGTCTGACATGGCTACCATGACCACCGATCAATGTTGCGTTTTCGTCCGCTTCTGTGGTGGGTGCATCCGCCGAATCCGTAGGCAACGGCTGCGCAACTGGCAAGGTCTCGAGATTTCTCTCCACCTTCCTGAAGCCGAGATGAATTGTATATGCCTCCTCCAGGCGCCTCATATGGTCCGCCCGTACGAGCATGGCGTTGTCCAACTCTTTCCAATTCCGGCAAATCACCACCGTCTCCACCTTGCCGATATCCAGATTCTCGATAAAGTCCTTGACTCGTTCTTCATCCTGCAGCTCTTTTGGAACGCCTGAAAGTCTGAGGGTCCTGTCCGTGACTGTTGTCTGCGTGCCCAAGTACTCCTGCCGAACCTCAATCAYCTTTCTTGTTTCCGAATAAATCAGATAGATGGCGATGCCTGAGAAGGTGTAGGCGAAGACGAGATACATCCACAGGTAGTCTGTTTCGAAATTGCTAGGATCCCACAATGTATGATTGCCAGGCGTGGAGTTGAACAGGTTGGAAGATTGGCGCAGGTCCATGTTAAAGCTTTTCGTCTCGTTGTGTTTGCCATCGTCCTCCTCTGGGTATGCGTCGTGAACCGGCTTGATCACGAGCAGGGAGAAGAGTAACGTAGTGAACAAGAACTTGATCGCTAGCTTGAAGAAGGCCAGGAAGACATAGGCATCGAGGCCCGCCGACGCCAACAACTGCTGGTCTGTGATTCTCCATAGAGGCAATATCCAACCAAACATGGAGTCTGGCAGCTCTGGCAGTGCCGTCGCCTCATGCTTCTGCCTCTTCCGTGCTGCATAGAGTCCTGTCCATCGCGGCCGCAGGACGCAAAAGGCGAGAAAGGCGCTCAGTCCGAAGACTAGGGAAATGACAATCTGGATGGTCGTGTCTCGCGKGTTGTTCACGCCCATGAATCTCTTCAAAGGATCGTCGTCATCGTCGTCCTTCTTGAAGGAATAAAACTTGTCCATGGTGCATACATGTATGATGCATGGAGGTTGGTATGTGGGCAAAGGTCGGTGTCTTGCCTATGTCTTAAACTTGTTGCGGCGATGACGCCGCCGCTAGATTTAGATCTGGTTAGTCATCCCGATGATGAGGATTAACAACGGATCCGCATTGAACAACAACCGTTAACGTTACATTCCACTGTTATAGAGCATCTCTCCCAGCGTTGGTGCAGACATCATCGTGCAGACATCATCGTATAGGAAGTGGGTGGTCTCTGCATGGCCTTCTCAGGTGGATAAGGGTGGAAAGACTCCCATTGGCCGCCTCGCACGCCACTGCAACCCGGCGAGAGCCTCTATCATGTCTATCCAGACCGTACGCTGCGCTTGAGCTCGACGATTGTGCTTCTGAATCATGAATCTGGCGAGAATGTGTGTCATTGCTAATGATGATGGGTGGACAACACTGCATCACATGTCCCTCAGAACAGAATACTTCAACAGAGTTTATGCTGCATGGATGGAGATGAAGTCGGATCGAWTGTGGTGGGTTTTGCTGAGAGAGAGGATGCTCTTGCCCAGTGGATTGGTAGGCGCACTCTGAAGGCAGGAGCCAAACTGCAAAACGACTACACTTGACTTTCTTCTCTCACCACCCTCCATCTCCAACTCTCTACCGTCATTTTCCCTTTCTTTCCATCTCCAGTATAGAAAATGGAGGACACTACCCTCCTAAAGCCGACCATACACGTGGAGGTGCTTCTGAAGAGCAAAGTCAGCGTCGAGGTCTCTCAACAGATTGCCACGGACATTCGCGAAGCTCTCATCGGCCGTTACAAGGTACTGACCGTGAACAGCAGGATCGATGCCTATGGTTCGTTTCACTCGGCCCGAGCGCGGTACCTATGCTAACCCTCCCCGGAAGATTCAATCTATGCATCGCACATAGAGGCGTGCTTTATTGTCGACTTCACAGGCCCTCAGAGTGCGACTGGCGTCCATCGTGTTCAAGAGACGCAACTCGACGTTCAAACCTACTCACTGCACACAGTCCATGCAAGTGGAGTTCCACGCCGCCGTATCAGTCAATCAGGCGGTGCAGATGACGATGTGCCTCAAGCTCGTGTCCTGGCTTTGCCGAATGTGTCTCTTACTGGGGAATGGGACAGTCTAGTCTACGACGATGGACTGCCCGCACGAATTCTACGTTATCTCACTCGGATGCTCGGTGTGATGAGACAGCCCAACTTAAACCTCAGCACATTCAACTGGAACCGACTCGTCCTACTTCATGGACCGCCTGGCTCAGGCAAAAGCACTTTGTGCCGTGCTCTTGCCCAAAAGCTCAGCATTCGACTCTCTGCAAGCTTCCCACAAGCTGTACTCGTGGAAGTCAACACAAGTGCAATGCTCTCAAAGTACTTTGGGGAGAGTGGAAAGCTCATAGGAAAATTGTTTGAGAATATCAACGGACTTGCACAATCATCAACTACTCTCGTCTGTGTTGTAATCGATGAGGTCGAAACCATTGCTGGATCCCGGCAGAAGGCGACCGATGGTGGAGAATGTAGCGACGGGTTACGAGTTGGTATAATTGCAGCACAGTCATTGCAGCAGTAACTGACGACAAGTCTTCTAGGCCACAAATCAGCTCCTCACAGCGCTGGACAAAATTCGTGCTTTGCCCAACATAATCATACTCTGCACAAGCAATTTGATCAGTGCAATGGTTAGCATTCATGTTCACTCATTCTGAACAAGACTGACATCAACTAGGACTCTGCCTTCCTCGATCGCGTAGACATCAAACAGCTGATACCAAGCCCATCCCCTGCAGCCATCTACAACATCTTCCGCTCATGCCTGAACGAATTGGTTCATTCTCGCATCGTCGACACAGCTACAAGAGCTCCGCCAACCACATCTCCCTTCGATTCTGATCCACTCCCGCTTTCGTCGCCTTCCTTTCCTCCCGAACGCCGTACTTGGGGTCAAAGTCAGCGTCAAGGAGGCAATCCGCCACCATTCTCTCTAAAACAACCATCCGACTGGTCTTTGCTGGAAGGGATCGATTCATCTTCCACCGTAAAATCCCTATCAGGAGGATCTACCACAGCTCTGCGAATGAACTCCAAGACAAGCGGTAAGAGGAAGAGGACTTCCTCAGCAAAGACTAGCCAGWCCGTTGACATTCCGGAAATTGCTGGAAAGCCCTCATCGCCTCGCGACGAAGTAGAGCAGCCAGCAATCCCAACTTACATCGGCCTACAGATGCTCCGAAACGCAAAATCCGATCTCTCCTATGGCGGCCGTGTCTGGGCTCTGGCAGAGAAATGTGTCGGCTTCAGTGGGCGGACTCTGAGACGCTTKCCTATCCTCGGCTTGGCGATGTACACGTGGGGAGGTGAGTGTTCGCTTCATGATGCTATTTCTGCTCTGGAGTCTGCCGTTGAGCAGGAGTTGAWGGCAAAGTCCGAGTAGCTGCACTGTCATGATGTCGCGTGGCGTTGTCGCGTCATCATCTGTTCGGTGGTCGTTAGCAATGGCCACGACCTGCAATTCGAATGTGGAGTCTGTGAGCTGGTGGAATCGCTTCCACCAAGTCAACAAGATTAGTATCACGCAACCAGCTTCATTTTGCGGCTACGATACTTCCAATATCTCCAGATCTCCATTTCGTCCTTCCACTTCACTCGATAAACTTCCCCTCTGTCCATCCTCTCCTCTTAACACCCAACTCCACAGCCGCACTCCCCCAATCCTCTCCATGATTATGTCCTTTACCCGCCTTATCAATCCCCGCCCTCTCCAATCCCTGCTCCTCGGTCAACAACGTCAAGAGTCCAAAAATCACCGGACATCCCGTCTCCAATTGCACCTTCATCAATCCATGACTAACCGCATCCGAGATATACTCAAAATGCATCGTACTACCCTTAATCAAAGCTCCCACAGCAATAATCGCATCAAAAGGCTCTTTACTCGCGACAGCCGTCTCTTCTTTCTTCTGCGCCTGTTCTTTCGGCAAAGATGTCAAGTCGGTAGTACTCCCACCCAACAAATCCGTAGCACTAGCGATGAGACCTCCTGCTGATAGGGAGGTTTGCGTAGAGGACGCCGTCCACATTTTCTGCACGGCGTAGGGAAGCTCGTAGGAGCCCGGCACGGATTGCAGGACGATGTTTTGGGGGAGAACGCCTGCTTTGGTGAGGGATTTGCGGATTCCGGAGAGGAGGGCCGAGATGATTTCGTCGTTCCAGCGCGCGTGCACTATGCCGATTCGGAGAGCGGAGCCTGTGAAGAGGGAAGGGATTGTGAGCTGTGGACTTTGGAGGGGTTGGGTGGGAGGGGAGGATACCATCGTATGTGCGGGCTTCGCCGGGTCCTTTGATTGTTGTTGTTGGTGTTGCCATGGTTGATTGGGTGTGAGGTGGTGGTAGTGTTGATGTGAGAGTGGATGTTCAGACGAGCTTCCAATGCAAGGTGAAGTGTGTTGGTGCGGAGCTGCAAGCTGGAGATCTGAGAAGATGGGTCATGGCGATCATTCAATGTGGGGTCGATCTCAATGATGCAAGCAAGGGGCAGGGAAATGCATGCATGTGAAAGTGGCTTGAGTACATGATGAACTTGGACACTGTTTTACACAATCTATTGGCATTACCATGGTATACACTCTATGAATCGCCTTGTGAATCATCAGACTCCTCATCTTCCTCCGCGCCGCCATTCTCCTCAACTTCATCTTCATCACTTGCTTTGCCGTCCATGACGAAGGCACCCAAGCAAGTGATGCGATTACCAGTTTCCTGAGTCGCGACCAACTTACCAACCTGCTTTGGCCCGTCTTCTGAGACTTCGCCTGCAAGTTGCTCCCCTGAGACGGTCCACAGTCTTACGGCACCATCACTGCTTCCAGTAACGATCAAGATGTTTGCCTTTCCTTTCAAGGCGACAATTTCAAAATCCTTCACACGCCCACTGATACCCATTGCTGCTCCTCCCAACTGCGCAACGCAGGGACACAGAGGAAGCTTGGCGGCGTCGATCTCCTCCTTGACAGTGCTAACATCGTAGAAGAGAATTCGTCCATCCTCCGTGGAAATGGCCAAGATACTTTGCTCCAAGTCTGGAAGGGGTAGGAATCGCATCTGATGGACCTTGGAAGAAGGCCGGATAACCGCCTTTGGTTTCGAGTCAATCCCAAACAGCGCAGCGCCGCGTTCGAAGCCAATCACGTAGTGTTCACCAGTCTCATCCCACAACACTCTTCTACCCTCGCCGCTGCTAAACTTGCTCTCTCCGGCCTGAATGAGTAAATCGCGATCAAAGTTCAATACACCAGCTTTCTTCCCTGTCATCAGATTCCACAATCGCATGCAGCGCTCACCACGACCAACACTCAGCATGAGTTTCTGTGAAGGGTGAACTGCGAAATCGTTGACACCAGCTGGCACTTCACCAGGACCTGCCGTATCTCCCGAGGGTCTGCCCTGAGGTTTGGGAATCGGAGCTTTGATGGATGAAAGAACCGTCCAGTCTCGAGTGCGAGAGATGGAGATGGTGGCATCCTCGGCCGCGCTAAACAGCTTCGACTTGGTTGGGAATTGGAGGGTGTTGATGGCACGGTCATGATGGGTGAGGCTACCGAGAGACTTGTTGCGGAAGTTCTCTACCGTAGCGGTTCCAAGGAGGGAGGGTAGATGGGGTCCGGCTTTGACAGAGGGAGGTGCGGTTGATAGGCTGTAAACATTGATACGTTCGTCTGAGCTTCCCGTCGCCAGGAGACATTTATCTGCTTCGGTCGGAGGTGAGAGAGCCAGACATCGAATTGCAGAGGAATGGGCGGCGAAGAGGAAGCTGTTGGTAAAGGATACCTCATCGGCTGGATTTTGCACGGTATCATCTTGCTTGACGTCCAGTTTCGACTGCGGTATTCTCGCGGAGAGACCATGTAGTACGCGCTCGTAGGATCCCGTGACGACTTGGATGTAGATGGGAATGTCTGACTTGGACCGGACTGCGGGTGTCTCTGCTTGCTGAGGTGGACGATTGCTTTTGCCTTGTAGCCTCGGAGCAGACTTTTGCGCACTCTTCACGGCCACCTTTTTGACAGGATTGGCCTTGGTCGGAGCATCCACGCGCTTGCGTTTGCCAATTGCAGTGGCCATCTTTCCAGCCAGCGCTTTGTAGATTGAATTGAAGAGTGATGGGGGATTGATTTTATTTTTGTCTCTGAAAAGTAAATCTTGGGGAGAGAGGCTCTCAAAGTTTCGAGCTAGCATCGCCAAATTGCGGGTACGAGGGCAGATGTCGGCCTTCTTCCATTCCCTCCACCGACCGCGACAGCCAGCAGCGCAAGCCGGGACGACGCAGCACGACCACGACTACGACGAGAGATTAATCCACCCCACCACCACCACGACCATTCCGAAATTCTCCAACCCACTGCATCTTCGTCTCCTCTGAATGACGGATGCAGCGCACGAATTGTCGCGCTCTACATGTCACTGTGTAGTGATCTCCGCAACGCGTCCAAGAGCAAACGACATGGAGATTTAACGTGAGTCTTTATCCTTCAAAATCCCCCAAACCACATTCGTGCGCATCATCGCGACGATGCGACATGGAATCCATCGTTGGTTTGATGAAAAAGCGACCAAATCTGATGGAAACACGCTCGTAGAACTCTCACCCGGGCGCAATCCACGGCGCTCCACGCCCTGTATAAAGTGCACCGCGTCGTGCAAAACAACCAACCCATATCTGCCCTTTTCCACTCCAACTACGACCCAGACAACCTCTCCGACGACGAGGCCACATTTCTCCAAGAAAATGATATCTCCTGGTAATTAATCCATCTTTTCCATTCATCAACTACATCACTAAACACACTCCAGCGGCCGCTTTGACCCATCCACCACCTTGACATTGCGACTCTCGCCGCCTGCGCATTCCACACCACAACATCATGACGCGCAAAAATATGCATCACAACACTCCTCAGCACCTACCGAAGCTACTGATCGACCAGAAAAATCCACAAAACCTAATGCGACGGCCGTGGCTGGTCTCTCTTCCTCGACCATCGATCAATCCACCTCTCTCGACCCAGTAGCCGTTGTCGCAAACCGGAAATTGACCCCAACTGAGGTCAATAGTGATGCCGTCCACCAACCAAAGTCGTCAAATCTCAGGGAACCTGCATCACTTTCAGGCAACGTCGCTGTGTCGCCGGAGACTATCGTACAACCGTTGCCCGAGGACAAAGCACACAWTCCGGAACCCGCGCAGGAGATTGTGGACATGAAGCAGCCTCCAAGGCCCACCAAGGCTGTCCATCTTCCTCCCCAAACCGTGCAGGAGGAGCGATCAAGAGAGCGAGAGGCCGGCGAGGAACAGCGAAGGTCTGACGCGGAACCTGCCAAGTCGCAACGCCTGCACACCTCCAACGAGGTCGCATCTAGTCCATCTTCCACAGTCGGTGCATATAGTGCTGCCACACCTGGCCCGCCCTTGGACTCGCCAGACACATCGCCAGACTCCGAGAGCGCGCAAGCCGAAGTACCYCCACCCAAGGATCTGCAGCCGTCGCCGGAACAGCAGCGGGAGAAGGAGGAGCATGACCGAATTCTTGCCGCTCAAAAGGAAATTGCTCGAAAGGAAGCTCTGGGTGATCTCTCTGTTGCCGAAACGCCGGATGATCAGTTGAGATGGGAGGAACGTGAGGCGGATGCGAGAGAGGCTGAGGAGCGGGCTGCGAGAGAGGATGGCAAGGGCCCGGAACCAGATTCCAAGGATCGCAATGACCTCACTCAAGCGGGGGAAGTTGTCGAAGAGATTGAGGCTGATGCTGCCGGGCAGGAGGAGACATCGCACGAGGAGAACAAGTCCCAGGCTGGAAAGGACAGGAACGGCCGAGATGATGGAGACGAGCAGGACCAAAACTCCTACGAAGAAGAACAGCAAGCAGACACGACCATGCAGGACGACGCCGATACCATCGCGGTTGCGACTCGCAAAGCACCACTGCAAGTSGATACTTCAAGCCGACGTTCATCCCCAGCGCACATGGACAAGCATTCAATGCCTGCCACGTCGCGACGAGAGGGAATGACGACAAGAGTCTCATCTGGCGTACTCCGACAAAAGTCTGTGTCGGAAATCCTGGGGCACAGTCACTCGGATTTTTCTCCTATTGTCAGAAAACACTCTTCGGCAATATCGCCTTTGACGCGTCGACATCCTTCAGATTTCTCAGGTCATCCATCCATCGAACCTCTGCTACCTGTACAAGCAACGCGATCATCCCGGGTCTATACTCACCACCGTACATCCTCAACACTCGAATCTGCAATGGATCAGCTCGCGGCGCTCAAGGGTGCAGCAGAAGACCCGGAACGCGATTATCTCGAGCCCCTTTTCCGTATTCAAGCTCACGACTCTCCCAACACGAGGACCAAGGCATTACCTGACCTTGTCAAGGTCGGCGCCAAAACTCTGTCCACCGAAGATCACTTTACAGCAGTTCACGAGCGTTTGGACTTTCGAATGCTCCGAAGGATATATCAACTCCAGAACGCCAACAAGTGGTCTCTCCGGCAGATGGAGAAGTGCAAAGAGCCCGATGAACCAATCTCTCACCACGACCACATGATGTCAGAGATGAAGTGGATGCGTAAGGACTTTAAAGCAGAGGGGAAGTATAAGAAGAGTCAATGTGCTTGGCTTGCTGCTCGTTGCGCCGAGTGGGTGGCCGCTGATGGAGAGGAGAGGAGAATGATGCAAGTCAAGATCAAGCCTCGTCAGTCGAAGCACGCTAGCCACACTAATGAGAGCTCCATGCCGGAGCTAGAGCACACCGGAGATTCGGCAGAAGAAGACGATGGAACTCCTCCTACACCACGAGCGGGATCGCCTCTAAGGACAACTCTGGTTGTAGCACCTGAGCTTGCAGGAGTCGTAGAGGAGTTGCGCAAATCAGGTGAGCTGTCAAAGGCTCTCAAATCGCTYCCCACGGTTGATTGGGAGCCGAAGAAGCCACGCCGCGCTCGGCCAACTGCGGTGTCGAGATTCGTCGAAGGAAAAGTCTTGCCCAAACCGTCCGGTCCAAAACGCAAGCGAAGCCGATATGACTACGAGGACGAGGCGGAGTTGCTTGAGTTGCAACCTCACTTGAAGCGCGCGCGGGAAGACCCGCCTCCTGAAGTATCAGACTGCGCCCTCTTCCACGCAGACAACAAGCCAATTCGGGATCGTCTCCACTCCAACAACGCTTTCAGGCCGCCGTCGGAGTTCTTGATGCCATCAGTCTCATTCTATGAATGCCGCAACGGCTCTCAATGGATTTGGGAGGACGACCAAAAGTTGCGCAAGCTGGCAAAGGAGTACTCATTCAATTGGTCACTCATTGCTGACGAAATGGCTCTGCCCACTCGGTACAAGAGCTCGGCCGAGCGAAGAACACCCTGGGAGTGCTTTGAGCGGTGGGTCGAGCTCGAGTCTCTTCCGGCAGACATGCGCAAGACGGTGTACTTTAAGACATGGTTCAGCAGACTGGAGGTCAGTCAGCAAGCTGCGGAGAAGAGGTATCAAGCACAGGTTGCTTCTATCCAGCAAGCGGCCACAGCAAGCGGCGGTCAACCTCATATTCCGCCACGTCGGAGGACAATTCCCACGCGTGTGGAGAAGCGGCGGTCGACGAGATACCTTTGGATGGTGGAAGGATTCCGCAAACTTGCAAAGAAGCGAGAGCAGGCAGCTTGGAAGCAGGCCGAAACAGCACGAGCCGCTGCACAACGAAAGTCGCAGTCGGACAACTCGCAGGCTGCCAAGGTCAAGATGACTCCGCAGGAATTTAGTAAGAAACGCCACGAGCGAGACCTGCAGCTGCAAGAAATGCAACGACAACAACGCCAAAAGCAGTTGGAGGCTCAAGCGCGCAACATACAGCTCGCTCGACAGGCCCATCAGCAAGCACAACAACAGGGCATGCCGAACGGCGCAGCGCAGCAGCAGCRTCCTGGTGGGCCAATGCAGCCTGGTGCACTGCAGCCCTCAGGGCAGCAACCAGCGAATGCGAACGGCATGGTCGCAGGTACACAACAAGCTCGTACTGCCGTCAGGAATGGACAGCTGGCACCCCAAGTTAACGGACAAGGGATCCCACAAGCACAAATGCAGGCTCGTGCGGGTCCTACCCAGCATCCAAGCATGCAATTGTCACGGAATCCCCAATACTCTGCCCAGCAATATCAAATGGCAAATGGCAACATGCCCAGCCCGGGAGGCATGGCGACGCAGCAACATCTTGCTCAAAACCAGGCGCTCGCGGCGGCATATCCTCAGCAGCAGCAACTGCAGTCATCWCCGAGCATGCCACCACCACCGACGCCACAGAATGGCTCTGCGGGCGCCCAACAGCTTTCGTCTGGAACTACACCGATCATCAACACAATCAAGACTCAACTGCGTGCTCAAAACCCGAACATGGCGCAGGATCAACTCGATCAGCTAGCGAATCAAACGCTGGTCAAGCAGTACAACAATCAAGCCAGGCAGAGCGCCATGAATGCCGCTGCTGGCATCCCTGGACAGGGCAATGTCGGCATGCAGCAGTTCCCTCAAGCCCAGACGGCATATCAAGGCAACCGTCAGATGCAGCCCAGCGGAATGTACGCGAATGTGAATGGTGGTGCGGTCGGGGAAGGCAACAATCAGACGGCTCATATCCCCAACCCCAGCCCACAAACGCAACAGCAGCAAGCTTACAAGCAGAGCATGCAGCAGCAGCAGCAATACAGTGCGATGCGAATGATGCAGATGCAGAGCCCCAATCCCGCCCACGTCAGTCCGGCGTTGTCGCACGCCAGTCCCAACATGACAACTCCCGCGAGTCCGTCGATGCAGCAATATCCGAATATGAGCCCAATGGTCCCAGGCATGAACGGTCAGCCGCAGGCACGCCCGACCAGTCGGAGTAACACTCCACAGATGCAGAGGGTTGGAAGTTCGGGTAGTGGGATCAACGGTGGGATGCAGAGCCCAGGCGCGTTGCAGGGTAGTCCAAGGAACCTACAGGCCAACATGGCGAGGTCGTAAGCTTGACTGGAGGGCTGTGTTGTGACGATGGAATGTGACGATTGTTAGGCAGCGTGTGTGTGCGACAGATACTGCTGAGTGCAGGAAAGCAAAGTGCAGCTGTATGGCATGAATGGGATGGAATGGCACGGCATGGGAATATGTAGACCTGCTGGGAAAAACACATTCGTTCGATCAATCATTCTACGTTCTGTGCTTTGGTTATTCGATGGTATAAATGCCATGGTCGTAGACCCCATGCATTCATTCAATATTAAATGTCGTTGTGTCCTCTGCATGGTCGGTCGATTGGCTGACGTTCAACGGAAGCTAACGGCTGCCCACATTCTTCGAGATTCTGTCAAGTTTGATCGACAGAGCCTGCCACTCTTTCGTGGGTGGGTTTTAGCTTGCGGTGAGGTGATGATGAGGTCACGAAATGTTGAATAATCACTCCAATGACCCATTTTCATCCTGCAAAAACGCATCAGAGTTCCATATGCATTGGATCTCGAGTGGGAGGAAGCTATAAATGCCCACGGAAAAGCAACAGCGAAGTCGAGTCGATAGCGTCACACACCTCGCTCGCCTATCTTACTCACTCAATCGTTGAGTCATTTCTCTCCATCTATTAATCCCATATATACATTCTCTTCCAACACATCCACACCCAAAGTTACAGACACAACGAAATCCCATTCCTCTCGTACAAAATGGCCATTCTCGAAGACCTTCTCGCCCACCCAACTCTCCTCCTCCCAACTCTCCTCCTCCTCCTCCTCCTCCTCCTCCTCCTCATAATCCCCAAAATCTACAACGCCGTCTACGACCCCATCCCAGGCCCTCTAATCTGTCGTCTCACCCCCTTTTGGACATACTACCACTCCATCCTCGGAGACGAATCCACACAAATCACAACTCTACACGAAAAATACGGCCCCATAATTCGAATTTCCCCTTATGAAATTGTGATTTCAGAAGGAGAAGCTCTAGGACCAATATATAGCGAAAAGGGAGGAGGGTTTCTTAAAGCGCCTTGTTATAAGAATTTCGATTTCGAGGGCGTTGAGACGATTTTTTCTACCCTTAGTCCGAGGGATAGAGCGAGGAGGAGTAAAGCTGTGATGCCGCTGTTTAGTACTGGGAAGCTTGTTAGGGAGGGGAAAGGGGTTTTGGAGAGGTGTGCGGGGAGGTTTGTGGGGAGGTTGCAGGATTTTAAGGATGAGGGGAAAAAGAGGGTTGATGTTTTGGATTTGGCGAGAGGGTTTGCTATTGATGCTGTTTGTGGGTATCTTTTTGGGTGTGATTATGGTGGTTTGAAGGAAGAACGGGAAGAGGAAGGGATGAGTGCGACGGGGTATGTGGATTCGATTGTGAATTTGGGGAGGTTTTTCTTTTTGCCGCCTTGGTTGTTTCGGATTGTTTCTACCGTTCATGCGTGGTTGCAGGGCAAGGATTCAGGAATCGATGGGAGTACGGAGAGTGTGGAAGGATTCACGGCTCCTTTGGTGAAAGAGGCGGTGGAAGGGCAGGGTACCGAGGGAACATATCAGAGTCGGTTGCTGAAAGCGGGCATCTCTGAACACGAAACAGACGTGCAAATGAAGGATGTCATTTTCGCTGGAACGGATACATCGGCCATGAATCTTGCAATGATTGTTTGGAATTTGGTAAAGTACCCCGAGTGCTACAAGAAACTCCAAGCAGAAATTCTCGAGGCCGAACAGCGGGACCCAAGTTACAATCCACAAAGCCTCAGCTACCTTGACGGTGTAATCCGCGAAGGCCTGCGTACCTCTCTTGCGAACGCAACTCGTTTCCCCCGCCAGGTTCCGCCTTCAGGATTCACATACCAAGCCCGTGATGGACAGTCATATTTCCTCCCCGGAGGAACATTGGTGGGAATGCAGCCCTTCACCCTGCACTTCAACCCCGAAATTTTCCCTGATCCTTGTGCTTTCAAACCCGAGAGATGGAGCAATGCCACGCCAGCTATGCTTCGAGATTTCATCCCCTTTGGTCTGGGACCTAGGCAATGCATCGCGCGAAATCTAGCTATGATGGAGTTAGCGTTTGCCGTGAGAGCTTTGGGGAGGGGGAATGTGCTTGAAGGGGCTGAAGTGATGGAGGGGAAGATCGAGGTGATGGAGTGGTTCAATTCAAAGGTCGTTGGGGGGAAGATTGAGGTGGAGTGGAAGTGAGGTCAGCTTACCATTGCATGTCCTTCAATGACAAGAAATCAACGAAGCATTGCGCCAGGGAGGAACCAAGGCTGCTCTCCACGCGAGATTCTCGCCGCGTCGTCGATGAGAACGCCGACGCCGTCTCTGATGCAGTCGTGTCTGTTCGCAGGTCAGTCTACTACTCAATACCTGTGTCGTTGCACATTGAATGGGAGAGAGGATAGGTACGTACGGCGCAAAGTCCTCGGAACCCGCCTTGATGTCGTGCGCCAAAGCCGCCCACTCCATCTTGGTGATGGTGGGCTTCCAGGCGACGAGCATGCTGTAGGTCGGGATCATGAAGGCGGGATTCTCGAGGCGCATGTTCGAGCGCATGTGCACCAGGGCGTACGAGTAGGCGCCGTGGAAGCGTTGCTCGGCCGTGAATTGGTGGGAGTCGGAGTCGTTGGGGTTGTCGTTGGGGAATGGGTTCGTCGTGGTTGGTGAGAGAGGCGCCATTGTGATGTCGAGCGTGGTGTGGTGTTGTTGTTGTGGAGAGAGAAGGTGAAGTTTCGTTGATGTACTCGGACGTTGTTTGCTGGGGAGGGGGGGGAGGGGGGAACAGAAAGCAAGGAAGACAGGTCACCTGCTAGGTAGGTTGTTCGCGTTTCATTCACTTCGTTTTATCTATCTCGCTGCATGCAATGCTCTCATTCATTCGTCGCCAACACACATTATAATAGGTGGATGAATCGTCCTCGATGCTACTACACAAAAACACTCATGTTCGATGCTAACTCCTGATAACATCAGCATTAGCAGCGAAGAAGTCGCACGTGTCCGCAGCATCCGGATCTGCTATCGTTGCAAAGCGCGTCTCGTTCACCAACAAGACATCATTCATCGCCCCGTATTGCGGCCACCAAGGCCTCGACGACCCATTCCTCGTTGGCAACTCCATGTTAGGGTCCTGATTGATCACAAACGATAGGTACCAGTCCTTGGTAATATCCGCCAAAGTTCCGTTGAAGACAAACTCTTTCGGCCCCTCAACGCCCAAGAAATACCGGTTCACGGCAGCATGCGCGTAATATCCAGCGTTGAAGCGCAGTTTCCAGATGGGGACTTTGGTGGGTATGGAGTTGAAAGCTGCAGCGGCAAGATTGCGCGAGACGCAGTGAATCACGGCGTCGCCCCATATTGCTGCGTTTTGGAAGAGAGGGGGGTTGTTAGAGCTGAGGTTGAAGTCTTGGGCGAGGAAGAGGGCTTCGACCAGGGGGTATTGAGATGATTGGTAGAGATTGTTGGCTGCTTTGAAGGCTGGTCCATAGGCTGATGGGGGGTAAAGAGCGAGGAGATCTGAGACGAACTGCGGAGTCGCGTCTGGCCAGAGGTGGGAGATGTCTCGATTCACTTCATCTTCGGTTGTAACGGAACCGTTCGTGAACCCGAAGCCTGAGTAACAGTGAATTTTAGCATATGCAGTGACATGTGGCTGCAACATGTGATCTTACCTTCAAACTGATCGACGGTGTTGAAGATGGGAACTTTGGTGAAGTTCCCTGCTGCGAGTGATCGAGAGGGAAAGTCGACGAGAAAGGAACCATCAACTACAGGCGTGTAGGCAAAATCACCATAACCATACAACCCTGCATCGTAGGCATCAGAGTAGGATTGCTGCGTCGCGTTGGCAAGCTCTTCATAAGGTAAAGCTCGAAGACAAGCCAGCGATGTGCATTTGGCTGCTCCAAGTAGCTTTCCATAAATGGCATCCTGCGAGGCAGGGCTTCGATGCGGCGCGAACCCAGCGAACTCTGCTTTCAATCAGCATGACATCTCTACACGTGAGAAGTCCCATGAAATGACTTACGAGGCATCGCGGAACGGAATGGAGGGTTGCTCTCTCCGCCTCCTCGTAGGAGTTGATAGATTACACTCCCACCTCCAGCACTTCCTCCAACGATCGATATTTGTTTTGGATCCCCGCCGAACGCGTGAATGTTATCTCTCACCCATTCGATCGCCGCTCTCTGATCCAGCAGGCCAGCGTTCAAAACTCCGTCTGCTTGGACTTCTGAGCCCGCCAGAAAGCCATACGCGCCTAATCGATACTGGATGGCGACGTAAATGATGGCACCGTTGGAATAGCTGACCAGCTGCGAWCCATCTTCGCTGGTGGAGTTTCCTAGAGTGTACGCGCCGCCGTGCATATTGATTACAACAGGAAGAGATTCTGAAGCCGGTTTTGAAGGAGCGACAATGTCCAAGAACAGGCAGTCTTCGCTCGCGAGGCTGTTGTTGAATGTCTGTGGATGGTATGCAGGAGTTCCTTGAACGCATTGTAGGCCATAGCTTGTCGCATTAGTAGTATATGAATATGCTGTTGTTGTATTGCTGGAATTGATGGGAACGGGAGCTCTCCATCGCAGGTCATCAACTGGAGGCTCAGCATATCGCACTCCTAAGAAGGAGTTGATTCTGAGAAGCTATTAGTACAATTCACTCATCGGGGCGTAGAAACGGGAATGTACCCTAAAAGTGCATTGCTGCTGCCCATGTATTTCACAGATCCCAAATCAGCTGTTGGGCCTTGAATCGTTGCACCAACAACTCCCACCAAGATGCCGAAAGATAACGAGGCAGTTTGGGGTCGCATTATTAATATTATTCGAGTATTCCGGCTGAAATCCCAAGGGTGGACGTCGCCGGCTGTGTCGCAACCTTATAGCGAGTGCCAAACGCGATGATGATTTCTTCGTATATTACGAACCCTTCCCTCTCTATTAGGATGGATGCAGTACGAGAATGGAAGCCGGACGGAAGTGAATAGGCCGGGTATCCCGTACCCGAGCTGAGTGTTTTAATCGGCGCGGAAATTGCTCCGCCGTCTGTGAAGCTTTGGAAGCTTTTTTGCTCTCGCATGAATGGGAATGTTGTTCTACGCCAAAACGGCCAGATTGGGAGAATGAATTTGCGTGGGACATCCTTTCTGAGCTTCCCCTACTACGGGAACCCCCCAAACCGTTCCTCAATGATGACTTTGTAGGGTTTGTCCAATCCCAAGGGGACGGGAACCATTGAAACGTGGCGATGATATTATTGCAGATGCAGGTCGTGCCATCGATTCGCGAGCGAGACATGTATAATTTATTTATTAATCCCCGGCTTTGGCTTGATCCTTGTCAAACATGTTTCGATCGCGTTGCTATTATTGCTGGATACCTTCCACGAGCCTTGGATTTCCTCTTCCAGAAATGACATAAGCCAAGACGGGCCATCCACCGTCGAGTACTGTATTGTATTTACTAGTGACGAGGCGGCTCGTGCGCTCAATTGTCTCGATTCTGAGCCGTTGAAATATCGTCTTAGGCAGGTACCATCCGATCACAGAGGTCGAGAGCGACGCGCTCGTTATCACTCCAAACGCGTCCAGCATCTTTTGATTAGGCGCCTGCCTGTGCCTCATGGCCATTGACAGTGTTGGCGGATTGGCGCGTTGTTATGAAAGGTCGCTATGTAAGTGCATATCAGTTGAAGCAATAAGAGATTTATCAACGCGCCTATTCTACCTCGACTTGCTTTTGGAACTCTACTCACAGAATTCTCCTAACAATATGACGCCCATTCGGAGATACTGGACCTCCTTGATCCATTGCCCAGATCCAACACGCTCATCTAGAGGTGCCTGGTTATTTGATGTCTTGGCTTTTGCAGTCGCCGCTTTTTGAGCTCACCGTGGAGAGAGAGAGAGAGAGAGAGAGAGAGAGAGGGTGTGAGTGAGTGAAGATTGAACATTTATTTCAATGGACAACATCTGTATACCAAATCTGACCATCTACAGCTCAATGATCGATCGTACCAATCAATCAATCATCACTGTCTAGCGGTATCCGAGCGCGTAAAGGTAGCCCAAGGCCTCTGCTTGAAGTAACAGTCGACAAAGTGGTAGCTGCCCGTGATGTCGTAGTAACAGGAAGAACGTCGCTCAACGTCAGGAAGATGTTGTCAAAAGACACTGTAGGCGCAGTCGCAGTCCCGAGCAAAGCATTACAGCCAGCCACCAGAATGAGAGAAGTTGGTTGCTCCTCCTGTACCGACAATTCCAGTTTGATCGACCACGAAACTGCTGGTACTCGTGATGCTGTAGTTCGAGGACACCAAGTTGTTGAATGAATTGGCCGCAATCGCAGCGTTGCACGCGACACCCAGACCTACGCGCGGAGAGGAGGAGTCAGCGGAGTTCTTGGGAACCTCTTGAGAGAAGCTTACCGCCAGCCGCCATGGCCACAGCAATGTTGGCTTGAATCCTGAAAGTCTGTCCTGCCCTCGCGTTGATGCTTTGGGATATCTGCACGGGCACACCAGCAAGCTGTGGAGTTGATTAATATTCAGCGAGCGTTTATATCGAAGCGAGAGGGAGATTATTACATACTGTTGTCAAGGAACCCGGGAAGGACACTACAGCTGCCCCACTAGAAGCATCGATTGTACTGCTTCCAAAGGAGCCCTGATTTATGGTCCAGGGCGAAAGGACACGACTGTCGAATTGGCTGTTTCGCAATACTTGCCCTGATGTTGGCAATGGGCTCGTTGAAGTGGTTGTGGTCGCAACTGTGGGGGATGCTGCGGCCGGAATTCCAATGGGAGGCACAGATACTACCAGACTGCTCAAAGGAACTGACAATATAGCCGACGAAACAAGCTGTAGAGTCGACGGAAGGAGCTGTAGAGTCGAGGTGATCGATTGTGGTACCAGTGTCGGCAGTACTACAGCAGGAACAGAAAGAGATACCGATGCTATACTGACAGACAATAATGGTGTCAAGGTCGTCGGAAGGCCAACAGCCGTTGGTAGAGCGCTTAAGGAAGGTATCAAGGGCGAGATTGGAGGCAGGTTGATAGATGTCGGCGGCACGATAAGAGAAACAGCCAGCGTTGAGAGATCGACAAGAGTCGGTATAGGACTGAGTGGAACGGCTGGCGCTGATAATGAAGTCACTCCTATGGATAAAATTGGAGCTGAAATAGCCGGTATGATGCTGGCTATGGTCGGGAGAATGTTCGAAGTGAGCGTTGGCAGTCCCAATGATAGGACTGTTGATGGGATTTGAATGGTGATGCTCGGAACTAGGGGGCTCAAGGTTGGCAGTATCGATGGTGGAAGTCCAATGTTGATGGTAGTTGGGAAATCTAGCGACGTGCTCAGAATGTCTGGTATGCTCAAGGTTTCAAGTGGTAGCGACAACGTTGGCGTCGGAACCTGGAGAGTTATGCTTGGTAGTTGCAGATTCAAGGTCGTCGATAATGGCAGAGGAGCAATGCTAACGATCGGAGGGATACTCAAGGACAGGCCGGTCAAGGTAGGTATCCCAAACGACTGCGTGAGTGGACTTGGGATTGCCGGGATAATGGACGTCAAGTCGGGCAGTTGYGGTAGTATTGTCGTTGGGAAGGCAAGGGATGGGACATTAAGAGTTGGAGTACCAAATTGCAGGCTTGAGAGCTCCAATGCTGTCGCGGTTGGAACAGTAAGACTGCCGACGTTGGGGTTGGTTAAGGTCAATCCAGGGAGCTGTAAAGACGGTATGGAGGCGCCACTGAAGGTCAGGATGCTTGAGAATATTCCAGGAAGCTGCAGAGATGTAGCAATTGGTAAATTGATGCTCAAGGGCAGACTTGGAAGCTGCAGAGATGTAGCGATGGGTGAATCGATGCTCAAGGGCAGGCTTGGAAGCTGCAGAGACGTTGCGACAGGCGGCAGAACACCGCTGATGATTGGCAGAGTTAAGGTTGGATCAGGAAGGTTCAAGGACGGCAGAACCAAAGTCGGGATGCTCAAGGTCACATCAGGAAGGGTCAAGGACACATCAGGAAGGGTCAAAGACGGCAAACCCAAAGTCGGGATGCTCAAGGTAGGCAAGCTCAAGCTTGCGCTCARAGAAGGTATAGTCAACGCTGGTATACCCAAGCTCGAGACAAGGGCGGTCGGAAGAGGCGGTATATCCAAGTTCGATGGGAGCCCATCTAGAACTAATAGAAGAAGAGTCAGCAAGGTTCAGCTGAACACGACCTTGGGAACAGCTCTAGGAGTTTCGATCTTACCACTCGATAGGGGATCTGGTGATATGGTGGGTAACAGCGTTGGCAGCCCTGTCAGAGCGCTATTCAGACCATTCGCAGCGCTTGACAATAAATCGCTCGGCAGAATTGGTAGCTGTACACTGCTTAAAGTTGGCAGCTCAGGCGACAATGTGATCAGTGGTTCAGATATGAGAGTCGTGAGAGATAAATTCGGCACGGCGATGGGAACCGATAGGCTAGTGATACTCGGCAAAGGCAGAGTCAATGCAGGGATGGATGGCGACGTGGCAGATGCTGCTGGCAGCTCGGTCGGTAGGACAATTGAGATCGGTGGGATGTCTAATGTCGTCAAAGATAGAGTCGGCAGGGCGATCGAGATGGTTGGGACATCGATCTGAGGTGGGGGTCCAATCGTCGATATTGTCGGCACTGAGAGTATTGTTGATACATCGATTGCTGGAGCTTCCAGAGATGTGACGATAGAAGCCAAAGTCGGCAGAGGTAGGCTCGTCAAGGTTTGTATCGGGTCGATGATCAATGTAATGGAATCAGAGATTTCTGAGAGTCCTGGAATAACCACCAAGAGCGAGCTCGATGAAGGTGCGTCTGTCGGCACGGAAATCAAGGTGATCGAGGACGGCACAATGACCCCAGTGGGCAGGCCGTCCAAGGGCGACCCGATCGAGGTTGATAATATTGACGGCAGTGTAATTGAGAGCAGATCAATGGAGGGCAAAGTGGCGATAGGGGTAGCGATGGGGGTAGCGATCGAGGGTGGGTCGGTCAGTAGTCCGCCAGTTGTAGGAATCGATGGAACAAGTATTGCTGTTGGCGTAGGTAAGCCCACAGTAGATACATCGACAACAGGCTGACCGATTGAGGAAAGCTGCAGGCCAGTAGCAGGATTTGTCAATGACACTCCGATCGAAGGAACTGCCGGGAACGTTATCGATGGCAAGCTGGCGGAAGGTAATTCGAATGAAGAGAGCAATGGGGTCGCGCTCAGCGGAAGAGTTTGGATTGGAAATGATATTTGATCTGATGCCGTTAAGCTTGTCGTGCCCGCTGTTTCCAGCGAGCTTGATCCAGGTTGGGCGCTTCCAGCTGAGCTCGCGCTCAGGATCGTTGTTGATTGCGAAGCAGAACGCGTGGTCGACAGTGAAGAGCCAGTCCCAATGAGACTGACCACACCTGCAGTCTGGAATGCTGTTGTATCTGCCGCTCTATAACGAAGGCCAGACACAGCCTAATACGTGCGTCAGCAAAGGTTCAATGGGGATCAGCGATCAAGGCGCCTACATTTGTGCTCCGGCTGATGAAAGCGGGAGCGCCACCTCTGGCGTCTTTAAGGTAGCAGCTGGAGTCATTGGCATTTTCGAAGTATATCCAGCCTAAACAGTCGAGGTCCAAGTCGCAGAGGTAGAAGCAGTTGTTGAACCCGCCATCGACTTGTATGACGCTCAACAGGCCGCCTGAAACGATCATTAGCATCACTTGGCAGAATTGACCAACGACGCATACCACTTGTGTCCATATCGCATATGAGTTCGTAGCCACGGCCGTTTTGATCAGTGACGATCGAGATGGTGTTGTCGTCCTGTGGACAAGCAAAGTTCGGAGCAGTGGAACTCAAAGTAGTAGCACTGATTGCAGTGGATACAGTGAGCGTAGGGGATGCAGCAGTGGTGCTGGTTCTAACTCCAGTCAATGGAGTTGTAGGCAGAGTTGGCAATGGCTGGTTAGAAGACACAGTCAAGCTCAGAGCCACGGTATTGGGCGCACTGCTGTCTCCTGAGGCACCTGGAAGCGATACCGCGCTTCCTCCATTGGTTGTCGAGGGTAAAAGTGTGGTGAGCCCGAGAGAGACAGAGATCGGAGCATTTATCGTGGATAAACCGCTGGGCAGTATGGGTAGATTTTCTGAAACAGAAGCTCTTGAAGAGGGTAGGATGGTGGCTGAAGACCCTGAAGACGTGACTATCCTCGTGGAGGAGTCAAGCAATGGAGAAGGCAGAGTTAGTGTGGTACTAAGGAACGTGCTTGAAGGTGGAGCGGCAGAGGGCGTTGAGTCCAAAGTCAAAGTACTTGTGTTGTTGCCGATGACCTGAGGATTTGATGTTAGTTTCGGTGTCGCTCTGCCAGGATCATCGTCGGCAACATACATCCTCATTTATCAGTAAAGCAGAGAAGGCTGGATATGGGGTGTCGAAGACAGCAAATACATAGCTGTACAGAATGCACGTGTTGAGCGCGTATGTAAAGGCAACACAGGCGTTGTCGGGACTCGAGCATGCGGCCTGATCGTCGCAGTCAGTACTTCTCCCTGACCTATTGTAGCACTTGGAGACTCACTGTACAGTCCTGGTCAGTCGCTCGTTCCGAAAGTGGGGTGCCTATGGGATCACTGCGCCTGGTATACTGGCTCAAAACAGTGCCATTATACGCCTTGCCGCAGACTACCAGAATATCGGAGGAGGAAGAGTCTGTTCTCACGAGCAAACTGTTGGCTCCAGGGCAAGGTCCGACGACTGCTCGGCTGACTGCGTTCGCAGCTGCAGATGCACTTGCGATATCTGTKGGGCTCGCGACATTAGACACGACAGTAGTACACCCGGCAGTATAAGACGTCGTCAGACCGCCAAGGAGGCTGTTATAAATGGTTAGGCTTGGAATATATATGCGGAGCGATGAAGGATGCGTGCTTACGTTGTGACAATAGATCCACCGGTAACGTAGGTGGTGGAGAAACTACTCGCTAGCTCTGGTGTAGTAGTCGTCAAAGGCTTTATAGAGGTAGTTGGAGAGGAGAGCCCCGAGGCTCCTGGTGAAGATGTTGGAGCCCTCGTGGACAAGGAGGCTGTTATTGCGGACCCCCCTACCCCCAACGTGGGTTCGAGTGTCACGGTGGCAGATGTAGTGGCGAGCCCAGAAAACGAGGCTCCAGAAACGGTCAACAGAGATCCTGATACAGCTGTAGGGATGAGCTCTGCAGTCGCCGAGTCTCCTGGAGCTATCACGCCCCCTGGCCTGCTACTTGAGAGTGAAACATCACTGTAGACAGGGACTACAGTCTGCCCGCCGTTCAGACTATACGTAGAGAAAGCTTCTCCAGCCGTTGGAGAGCCCGTCAAGCTTTCAGCAGATGCTCCGGCCTGTGTGCCAATGGAAGATGGTTCACCAGTAGCAACGCCTGCGCTGTTCGGTGTCGTCGCGACTGGTGCACTTGTGAAGGACGCGTCTCCGGCTGAGAACGTGTACGGAACACTGCTTCCGTTACTTGAGAACCAGCCATAGGAAGGTAAAGTCGGGGCAGAACTCGCTAAAGTCAAAGAGCAAGATTTCCGCACGGTGACTGTCACGAGTGGATCTGGATCGGTGTTCAGCAGGAGGGATTTTATTAAAACTGGACTCAAGCATACCGACAGACTGCCCAAAACAAACGCTAGGTAGAATTGACAGAGCTATGCCATTGTGAGGACGCATTTTGAGATTGATGGTAATGAATGTGGTGGCATGAGTCCGCTGCCTAGGAAACGGCGTCTCTGGACTAGGAAATGACTGAAATATGACTGAACGCGATTATGCCAAGCTCGAGTCTCATTCTCGTCACTGCCACCGCCCTGGGCGCGCAGACTTCGGAGCCTCAGCTTGCTACATTCAAGGCATCTCCGCTGTGATCGGGATGAACTTGCCGAACCTGCCACATTCCGGACCGAAGGAGCGCGAGGAATGCGACAGACAGTCTTGGTGTACCGACAGGCTCACCGTCGCTCAATATTATGTTGTGTCGGCGGAGGAATGCAAGCTGCACACTTGCAGAATCGATATCATGGTCCGTGCAGGTCCTTGTTACGCTTGAAATCGCAAGACATGCATGACTGCTGCTTAGGGCTAAGAAGTGGCTGCGTAGTACTGTGTTTCTTGCTTGAATGCTGCGGATATCAAGAACAGATACTGGGTCTTTTTGGGAGTGAGCAGTCGCCAGATTTTGCCTCACACCATCGCCAAAGGGCAACCACTTGAGGCATTGGTAAAGTGGACGCGTCTTGGAATAAGGGGTGACTTGATCAAACCAAGAGCCGTGGGCAAATACACCGACTTTTCAGTGTATCCGTATTCATGGGTCGACAGCTCATGGTGTCCAATACGAGACGGTCCAAATCGGTGTTGTGATGAAGATTCCAAAGATCGCGCAGGAAGGAAGAATGTGGGAAAAGGCGGATATTAGTCGGTATAAAGTCATGGGACGCTAAATAAAGTATATATCGACCTCTCTTTCCTCCAAGGCTCGTCACTTCTTTACGACATCAACAAGATTCGCACTTGGATGGCACCATGTTGTCCCCGTGAGTACTGGCATTGCTATACATTCTCGCTTCCGAGAAGTGGCGCTCCTGTGGGTCTTACCGCAGCGATGAGTGTGGTTCTAGAGTTTTGACTTCTGGCCATTGCTATTAAGCTCTTACTCAATACGTAGTAGGAGACGCTGATGGCTGCTGTGCTCCAATATTTAAACGCCAACTATCTCCAACTAAAGTGTTGCGCTGGAAGGCTTTGATATTGACCACCAAACACACCAACATCGTCAAGATGTACTGATCTGGGCCCTTCCTTTTTTTTCTCTCCTTTGTGAACAAACATGCGTGGCAAACAAGAGCTGTAGCTACATAGCCCGACTCCAAGCTCAGCAGTTCTACTCAACCTCAAGCAGCTTTACAAGATCGATCCACCTCTACAGGCTGACGGAATGGACACGATATTTGCAGMTTTCAATATGAGAAATGAGGAGCAAGCGAGAGTCAAGCGCACTATACAACTTCTTCGAAAGCTGAATTGAGCACAGTGAAGGTATCTACTACCGTACCATGGCGCCGTTGACTGCGGCGGCCCAAATAGAAAGAGAGACAGCTAGAACCATTCTTGAGGCTGGAGGCCCCAAAGGTACCATTACCGACACAATCGAACGTCTAGCCAGTGGTGAAGAGAATTTTTTCGATCTGGGATAAAGAGATTTTTCTCATGGAGAGCGCTCAACCGGGCAATCAAATTGTAACAGTCCGCATTGCCTTCGCAGTCATTCGATGCTGACCTTTACATCGGGATCAAACAATCGCTATGTTGGAGGGGTTTTGCAAGGTGTTGAGACTGCAAAAACAAGCTGCTCTGAGCACCGATTATCAGATCTCTGTGCGAGCTGCTGTGACAGTCATGCAACACCATGTGATCGCAATGGAGAGAGATAAGAATCACGTGGATTTGGTCGGTTCGCGGCTGCTGCCTAAGATTTTGGTGTACTTCAAGGAAGTCAAGGTGCGTATGGATAAGATCCCGGAATCCAAGGCAGGAGTGGGAAATTCTTAGTCGTGGTTGATTCGGAAAGCTGGCTGTGAGAGAAGTCTGTCTACAAGGTGGGGCCTGAAATGCGTTGGAAGACATGCGGTTCTTCTGCGCCGTTGTCTTTCACTCCAATCTGATATGCCATGCAAGATGCTGCCTGCATTGGAGCGATGGACTTTCAAAAGTGAACTTGATTGATAACTGAAATGACGACCGAAAATGTTGCCGGCGCCTCGACTCTTTTGTGTAAAAATGCGACTTTATGTTACAACTTTCACATACAGCTAACCCTAGATCGTCACAGTATGATGCAAGTCAGATATATGCCTGCAAAGATGAAAGCAACCGCCAGCATCCACAACAGGTAAATCTGATGCCTCCTTGATAGTCATGCCATCGTGATTCGTCCCACACCCTCCCAGCCCTCTTTCGCGCTCGCAACAACAAGCTCGGCAAACTCCTGAAGACTCTCATTTCCGAAAAGTTGCAAGGCTTCCTTCAAGCTATCCTCCCCACTAATGAGTTGAGCCTGATCGTGACTCGTGCGAAGTGCGGCAATCTGCGACTGGGCGTGATTCTGCAACTGTCCGATCAGACGCTTCGAGAGGTCCTGCAGCGCTTTCGTACCCAGTGATATCTTCAACTCCGCCAGATGGCGACACGTAGCCATCACAATGCGCAGAGCATCAGTGTAAATATAATGATCGGTCAGGTGCTCGACCAGCGTGTCTGTCGTAGAGACAAGTGATGCGATGGGAAGAGCTCCGACTGCAGTATCCAGTGTGTCGATATGCTCTTGCTTCACTGAAGCAGACCTGGCAGCAAGCAGCAGTGCAAGGGTATGTCTGGAAATCTCGCCAGTGAGACGTTCCGCTTTGGTGAGCCCGTTACCACTCTCATTGGAGTCTGCGGCTGCAAGGCTTTCGACCAGATTCTCGGGGTTCAATATAAGAGGGACCTGTTTGTTTGCCAAGCAGTTTGCTGTGTCTGCGGCCAAAGTGTACAGCAACCAACGCTCTCCTACAACGTTACCATCATCTCCGTGGAGCGCCTTTTCGATGTTGAAGCCATAGTCGAATGCAGCATTGAAGTCCCGACTGTCTTTCAAATCCACCCAGTTCGCGAGCTGCCGAGGTCCAATCTCGCTGGTGTTCTTTCCAAAACCCTTGCCAGTGAGCCGTGCGATTCGTCGGTGCTCCAACAAGATGAGTCTTCTGGCTAGAGAGAAGCGGAGGTTGCCGCGTAGTTCATTGAGATCAAAGATCATTCCGCTTTGCCCGTGCTCAAGGACAGACGCTTCCATTTCAGCCAGTTTGTTCTCATGCCGCCCATAGATTGCCAACGCCTTGTATGTGCGCTCATGGGGATCAAACCAATCCCGGCTGGGCAGTGAAGTGCGACATGGATGTACGACCGAAAGTCGAGTGAACAATGTGTGGCCGACAGTATCATGCTGAATCTCCTTCACACTGAGCGAGTCGAAGAATTGCATTGCCAGACTGCCGAGCTGGAGACGCATATATATGTACACCAGTACAAGCCGAGCTTCATGAACGTGTTCATTGTGGCGCAGGAGCTTTTCAGCGAGGAAAGCAGCTTTCAAGAGATAGCTATCGTCTTGTGAAAGCGTATAAATCTTGACCAGCCCAGATACAGCCAAGAAGCATACATCAGCCGCGCCACGGTTTCGAGCTAGGTTGAGCTCTGTCAATGCTTTGTGAAGCAGTCGTATCACTTTCGAAACGAAATCCACCAACTTCTCGGTCGTCGTGGATTCAGCCAGCTGTGCGAATTCGTCTTTCAACTTTGCAACCTCAGCATTTAGCCATTCTCGGGGCGGCAGCTTCGTTGGATCGACAGCTCCCTTGGCCTCACCGCCTGCAGATTCCACACCAACAGGCTCGCTGAGGTTCAGAGCGTCGTAGACGTGCTTGCTGTCCTTGAACGTCCTCTCTCGTATCCCCTCCAAATCCTTCTCCGCCTTCTGAATGGCAAAGATTTGGCCGGGAACGCGACAGTCCAGGCCTTTGTCGTCATCAAAGCGTTCAGTGACAGCCTTCCTCGCTAGTCCTAGTGCTAGTCGAGATTGCATGTCATCTTTCGCTGCGGACAAAAGCTGTGTGTATGCGGCATGCGCCATGTAGGCACTTCGGTCTTTGGGCTGAAACACCTTCCACGCTATCAAAGCTTGCTGAGCGTCTGCTATTCGGTTGTCTWTTACAGCACGCGAGAAGCGGATGGAGAGGATGTCGAGCTTGTCTTCTCGGTTGGCCGTCAATTTATAAGCTGTGTCCCAGAGTTTCGCCACCACTGGACCGGCGGAGAGTGGAAGAGGAAATACATTCTTGTTCGCTTCCACAACACACGCCTCGATTGGAACCAGCTCCCGAAGATCTCGTATGGGAGGTTGTATTGAAGATAATTGGTCCAAGGTTGAGGACCAGTCTCCATGTGAATTGCAAAGAAGCTGCAATTTTGTGATGAGAAGATTGGTGTTCGTCGGGTTCTTTTTCAACAGATCATCGCAGCGTTTGACACCTTCAGCGAAGGCGCCTCGCTTGGCGTATTCCTCGTAAGTTGGATAGCGTGCCATTGTGGAAGGTTCTCTCAGACTGGCACGCTCATTGCTGCATTGTTGGCGTAGATGAAGAATCTGACTCGAGCTCCGTTTGGTCGATTCAATGTTGTAGCACGACGAATTCCACGTGCCAACGGCTTTCCACGTGTAGTTGTTCAACGAATTTTATGCAGATATGGATCACAGCACGGGATGTTTGCTCCGAAGCAGGTGCGTGCRGATGCAGGTGCTGTCGAGAAAAAGCGGCCTAGCCAAAAACAGGCTAGCGCCAATTCTCGGCTTGAAACGTAAAGTCCGAGCTCTCCACAAGTCCTGGGGAAAGGGACATCTGTCTCTTGATGCCAATCCGTTCTGGCCGGTCGTTCACTGAATATCGCTTTGTCGGGAACTCCACGGATTGACCAGAGTCTCGGACAAGAGAGCAAGCGATCGGATCTTGCAGCAGTAACCTCCACAATCCCTTCCGGCCCGGCACACGCGACACCTTCACAATGGTACAGCTCCCCGAACCTCTCACACGGGAAATTCAATGCAGTCAGTCCCATGCTAATGAAAGTGCGGACACAGGTTCAAACCCCTCAACAACGACGCGCCAACTTGGCATTTGCCAAGACACAAGAGAAGAAAATGGGACGAGCCACGAGTGATCTGCCGACGAAGAAGGAGAAGCCACAGAAGTCGCCCATCAGTCCCATTTGGTTATGTGAGTGACAGTGTTGATGGTAGGGAAAACGGGCAAAGTGCTGACGAATCTCCATCGCAAGATCTCCTCATTTTCGTCATCGTTGGTGGATTGGCTTTCGAGGCAATTCGTATGATTGTTGGTCTCTTCTAGGTGTTGAGAACTATCAGGCGGGTAGCGAGTATGATTGTTGGTCTCCTCTAGGTGTGGAGAACTATCAGGCGGGTAGCGAGTCACGCCTCTACAAACTAGAAATGGACAGGATCAAAAGCATGGAATGGGAGCGATGGAGGGTGCACAAGCGAGATGGGCAGTCACATCTGGTGCGCCCTCGAGTCGAGCATTGGGCGGAGTTCATATGGCGTTCTCTTTGCGACATTTCACCCAGCTCAGAGACATGGAGGTGGGGCTTCAAAGAAGCTACATACAGACCGCCCCTCAGAGCTTCCTCGCGACCCAGGTCAGCATTGGCGTATCGATCAGAGTGCCTCTGCCAGTGGCCCAACACTCTTCCTCGGCTTCCGCCGTCATCTTCTCCAGCGCATCCGCCATCTTACTCTGCTCAGGCCCTTTAGTCCGCATACCAACGATGAACTCTCGCACCACGAGAAAGGTAATGTCCTGCTTGATCGTGTATGCCTACATGTAACCGTTGTCAGTTCTTCCATACGATACCAATAATGGCATCTACAACAAACCTCCTTGGCCGTCCAACACCTTTCATACTCCACCAATTCCGCTCCTCCCTCTCCAAACCTCTCATGCAGCGTAGAAACCCACCTCGAAGTCTCGACATGCTTATTGTTCTGCGGTGACCGAATCGCAGTATTCAATGCCATGAGCTTCGGAGCCGCAGTACCTGGATCATTCGTCACAACTCTCTGCACTTCATAGCTCCCATCATACTCCTGCCATTGCAACCACCCGCCTACATCACATCACATCAGCATCTCCCAATACAACTCCCAACCTAACAACACACTCACCTGGCTTCAACAACTTCATCAAATTCTTCAACAACGGGATCGGATCTCCAGAGGCAATCACACACAAAAACAATCGGATATGCACAACATCATACCTCTCCAACAACTCCTCCGGCAAAGCATCAGTGAAAATATCCAATTCTCGAAACGTCACATTCTCAGGCCAGAATCCAGCAGGAGGGGCATTGGCGAGACTGATATCCGAAGCCTCGATCACGGCGCCGGGTGGGAGGAGAGAAGACAGCGAGGTGGACCAAATCCCAGTGCCGCAGCCGATGTCTGCGATCAGGGCATTTTCTTTTACTGGGATGGAGGAATGGAGGTGGCTGCGAGTGGAAGCGAGCCAGAGTTGGTGTTGGAGATTTAGGCGGATTGAACCCAGAGCCTGGATCAATCTTAGTCTTGATGGTTGGTTTGAAGGGATGTGTGTATCATGACTTACATCTCGTTGCAGAGGATAGTGAGATGCATCGTTTGGCATTGTTTCGGTGTTGCAGGATAGGAGTGTTGATGGGAAATTGAGACGAGCAAACGAAGAGACAAACTGTAAAACGACGTAACCTTATGTCACTTCAACAAACCGGTGCCTATCTTGTTATCAACCGCGGTATGCAGTTTTGAAAATTCTGCTGCCTTCAAACAACACTCATGCCGTCGAAAGTGAATGCCTGAAAGGATTTCATTTGGTTGCCTCTCGAAATTTGATTGCCTCACGACGCCGATCGCCCAACCTCAACAATAATCAATATGTTCCCATGACTTTAGTCCGCCGCCCATTGACCTCAAGGGAAACCAAGCGGGTCTGAATAAGCCTGTGACGTCTTCCACCACTTCACGACACGTACCAGAGGTTCGTAGCCGCTCCATGACTTTACAACATTAATCTCGCGCTATTGAAGCAAAGCTTCGCTAGTGACCTCACTGCATTGGAGAACCCCGGAAAGGAGATGCAGCGGGCGTTGTAATCTGTTCGCAGCGCATTTTGTGCGGGGGGAAAGGGAAAGATGCATCTTGACCCACCTGATTTGTGTGATGGTGAAAAGGAACTTCCATGCCCTTCATGGACTGTTTGAACAAAGTGCTGTACAGGGGATCGGAATAGAAGCACGATCGCGATACATCGACATGTACGGTACAGTAATCAGTGCCTTGAGCCATTAACATTCACCGCTGTCCCATTGACTTGCATCGGAGGGAGTTGCGGTTGCGGGTCCCTTCCATGAGTCTGTGGCGGAGGCGGAGGTGGTGGCCCATACGTTCTAGGTTGAACGTCCAGTCCCTCCTCTTCGGTGTCATCGTCGTACTCCTCTCCTTCCTCGTCCTCATCATACTCCTCGTCTTCATCCTCGTACTCGCTCTCGGTGGTATCGAAAGTCGCAATGGTATGGCCATTGTGAGCTGGGGATAGTGTGCGTGCGGGCGCTGCACTTCCGTACCCGCCGGTTTGCATCGCCCGACAAAGCTTTTTGAGCTTCTCATTCTCCCGAGACAGGCGGTCGATGTTTTGCTGAGATTGACTCCGCTCCTCGGCCATTTGAAAGATATTTTTATTTGTAGCCTCTTGCTTTCGGTTGAGGTTCATGTTTTCCTTTTCCAGGCGCTTTGTCTTCTTGGACATTTCTTCCATCTCCTTGCGGAACGTAAGAAACAAATCATTTGAGTTATTAAGGGTGTCTTCTACCTGCTTTGGGGTCAGTCAGTTACCAGACGAAACAACAAAAGCGTCGAGGGATGGTGGATGAAGTGAACGGGCAGACGGACTGAGGTTATTCCTGCAAAAGGACATACCTGCTTAAACTTTTCCACGTAGACGTTTAGTTGCCCTCTAAGCTCGTTCTCCGTCTGGCTGAAAGTGCTCACCTGTCTTGTCAGCTGGTGGCTTTTGGACAGCTCACTCTCTTGTGCCTTCTTCAGCTGGTCGTGCCGCGCAGTCTGATATGCAATCTCAAGATCTTTGGTGCGCAGGAGCGATTGAAAGTGCAGTTCCCGTAGCTCGTACTGATGGAGGAAGGATGTGAACTTCTCCCGGAACAGCTTGTCCTGCTCCAACTCTGCCGTTTGTCGTTCGGGTGATCGTCGATCGGACACTACCTCCTCCACGTCCAATACCAGATCCTCCAGCTTTTGGTGCAGCTCATCATTGCGGTTGGCAGAATTCTCCCTCAAGTCGCRCATGTCGTCCTTGAGCTTCTTGTTCTCCCGTTGCAGCTCGCGACTGAGCTTCTCCATCTTCTCCTTCATCCCTCGCTCGCGAGTGCGGTCCTTGCTGATCTCCTCCTTTTCCTTTTGCAGCTGGTCTCCCCTCTTCTTCGCCTTGACGTGCTCCCGCTCCGTGCGCTTCATTTCTGCCAGCAGCTCCGAGTATTTGCGCTGGAGAGTGTCCAGTTTGCTATTATGCGGCTCCAGCGTGTTGAGTAGCTGCGATAGGTCGCGATTCGCCTTTTTCACCTCTGCTTCAATCTCGGCGCTCTCGTGGGCACTTTCGGTGTTGCTCGCCTCGAGAGATGCAATCTTGGCCAGCAACGCCTTCTGAGCATCATTCGCATCGATCGAGTTGTTGCCGCCCTTTTTCCCCCGCGCTTTCCCTTTGGGTGCAGGTGCGGACGTGGGAGGTGGTGGCGGGGCTGCTATTGACGTCTCCGAGGCCGAAGCAGAGGCATCCCGAGGGTAGTCCACGGTCGATGCCGGAGAGTTGCGCGCCGCAGCATTACCATGGCTGTGGTTACGATTATGGCCCGACGGCGCGGCCTGCTGGTGGTGCTGCGATTGGCTCGGRCTGGGACTTTGATGCTGCGGCGGCGGATGCTGGTGTTGCGGCTGTTGATTGGCGACCGCCGCCATCAGAGACGCCTGTTTTCCCACCTCACTGCAGCAGTGGGCGGAGATGAATGAGGGTTCGTGGGGGAGGTGGGTTTGTTCGTGATGCGTGGTCTTCGGGGAATGATGCTATCCTGTCCGGGGGAGGATGATGTGAATGCTGGGGTTCGGACGGCTCGTGCAGATGCTTTTGCTGCTGTAATAGTATGTTAATAAACGGCGGTCTGGTCGAGGGGTGGTGTATGCGCGATCATAGGCAGTCGAGGCGAGGCGAGGTCTTGAGGTGATCTTGACTGGCCGGGAAGAACAAGTCCGCCGGGCGTCCGTTCATCCATCCTGTCCCTCTTGGCAATGATGGATGCTCTCGCCATCGACCCTTGTTAGTGAACTTCTACTTCTACATCGACATCACCCATCCTCCCTCCCTCCATGTTGTCCAGCACATTGCGTACTGTTGCGCGGTCCAGCTGTAAACAGAGCCCGACCCATCGATTGGCGTCTCGAGTTGCCCGCCGTTCATATGCCTCCGTCACCGATCTGAACAACTTCCCCAAGACCGGCGAACATATCCACGGCTTCACGCTCAAACGCGCACAACATGTACCCGAACTAGAACTCTCCGCGCTGCACTTTCGGCATGAAAAGACGGGCGCAGACTACCTCCATGTGGCGAGAGACGATACAAACAATGTCTTTAGCATAGGCTTCAAGACAAATCCACCAGACGCCACTGGTGTTCCGCATATCCTCGAGCATGTCACACTATGTGGCTCGCAGAAGTAGGTCAAGAGATGGGTCATGACAGTATCGATGTAGGCTGATGATATGGGTAGGTACCCGGTTCGGGATCCCTTCTTCAAAATGCTTCCCCGATCACTGCAGAACTTTATGAATGCTTTTACCAGCTCTGACTACACCATGTATCCCTTTGCCACCACAAATTCCCAAGATTTCAAGAACCTGATGGATGTCTATCTCGATGCTACACTGAACCCTCTTCTGAAGAAGTCCGACTTTGTCCAGGAGGGATGGAGAATTGGCCCAGAGAACCCAAAAGCTTCTGCAGCGGAAAGTGGTGCCAGCGATTTGGTCTTCAAGGGTGTCGTCTACAACGAGATGAAGGGACAAATGTCGGATGCGACATACCTGTATTACATTAGGTTCATGGAGCACATGATTCCAGCGTTGAACAACAGCGGAGGCGATCCCCAGAAGATGACCGACCTCACCTATGACCAGTTGAAGAACTTCCATCAAGGCCATTACCACCCAAGCAACAGCAAGATCCTTACCTATGGAAACCAGCCCGTGGACGAGCATCTGCGTTTGCTCGGCGAGCAGCTATCTCGGTTTGACAAGGCAGATGTTGATCGGGATGTCAAGGCTCCCATCGCGCTGAACAATGGCCCACAAAGTGTGACTGTTAGCGGACCAGTGGATCCTTTGACTCCTCCTGGCGCTCAATACAAGACGTCAACAACTTGGCTGATGGGAGACGCGAATGACATTGCAGAGTCATTTGCCCTCCGCATTGCTACTACACTCCTCCTCGATGGCTATGGCTCCCCAATGTACAGCGCATTGATCGAGTCTGGCCTCGGTACTGATTTCACTCCCAACACGGGTTACGACACTTCCGGACGGACAGGAATCTTTTCCATCGGGCTCAATGGCGTGACCGAGGAGAATGTCCCGAAAGTGAGGGAAGTCGTCGCGGCCACACTTGCAGAGACCATCGCCAAGGGCTTGGACAAGCGCAAGGTTGAAGGTCTGCTCCATCAATCAGAGCTGGGATTGAAGCATAAGACCGCTTCATTCGGCATGAATTTGATCCAACGACTGAAGCCCGGCTGGTTCAACGGCATTGATCCATTCGACGCCCTGGCGTGGAACAGCATCATGACTCAATTCAAGGCCGACTTCGCCCAGGAGGGATATCTCGAGGGGTTGTTGAAGAAGTACCTCCTGGTGGACAACACACTGACGTTCACCATGGTGCCGAGCTCCACCTTTGCTGCCGAGCTCGCATCTGAAGAGGCGGACCGGCTGAAGACCAAGATCTCCGAGGCAGTCAAAAGCTACCCGAGCGAAGAGGAAGCTTACAAGCAACTTCGTGATCGTGAGTTGGAGCTTGTTGCAGAACAAGATGCCGGTCAGACCGAGTCGCTAGACATTCTGCCAACTCTTCACGTCTCTGACATTCCTCGTGAACAAAATCACACTGAAATCAGAGACAGCTCCGTCGACCACGCAAAGGTGCAATGGAGAGAAACTGCAACAAATGGATTGACGTATTTCCGGGCTCTCTCTCTATTCAAGGACTTGCCAGATGAGTTGCGCATGCTGGTTCCTTTATTCTGCGACAGCTTGATGCGGATCGGTACCAAGGACAAGTCGATGGGCGAAATTGAAGATTTGATCAAGCTGAAGACCGGTGGCATCTCATTCGGACACCATGCCACAACGTCGCCTTACGACATCAACAAGGCTGAGGAGGGTCTTGCGATCACTGGATTCGCTTTTGATAATAATATCCCCGCAATGTACGAATTGATCGAGACTGTTCTCCTTGGAACCGACTTCGATTCTGCCAACGCACATCGCATGGTCCGACAACTCCTCCAAACAGCCGCGAGCGGTGCCGTGGATGGTATCGCGGAAAGTGGTCACATGTATGCCATGAGATATGCCAACGCTGGCGTATCACCTCACGGCCGCATCAGTGAACAGATTGGCGGAATCTCACAGATCAAGCTCATTACCAGTCTAGCGGCCGCGGAAGAAGACGCCGCAACGATGCAAGAACTCATCAACAAGTTGAAGGCGATCCAAAGTCTGGCAGTGTCTAACATGCGCAACGGGATGCGGGTGGCTCTCACTTGTGGTCAGGACGCTGTAGGTCCAAATGAGGCGGCGCTCCAAAAGTTCATCTCCTCCACCTCCAACGCCAACCTTGTGGGATCACAGATGACCTTCTCCGACTCGCCGGCTCACGACTACAAGGCCTCTCGGCGTACCTTCTTCAACCTGCCTTACCAGGTCTCCTAYTCCGCTCTCTTGTTACCAACAGGACCATACACCGATGCTTCCTCGGCACCAATCGCAATTCTTGCCAAACTTTTAACACACAAATATCTCCACCATGAGATTCGTGAAAAGGGCGGAGCCTATGGTGGTGGAGCCCTSTCGCGAGGCCTCACTGGCGTCTTCGGCATGTACAGCTACCGTGATCCCAACCCTGACAACACACTCCAGATCTACCACAATGCTGCACGATTCGCAGCGGAGAGGAAATGGACAGATCGAGAGCTGGAGGAAGCCAAATTGAGCGTCTTTCAGGGTCTTGATGCTCCGGTCAGCGTCAATCAGGAAGGTATGGTGAGGTTTGTGAGCGGGGTGGATAGCGACATGGAGCAGAAGAGGAGGGAGTGGTTGTTGGACGTTGATGCTGGGAATGTGAGAGAAGCGGCAGAAAAGCTGGTGGGAGATGTTGAGAACAAGTCATATCTGGCAGTGTTGGGGAGCGCGGAGAAGAAGGCTTTCTTGAAAGAGGGCAAAGAGTGGAAGGTCGAAGACATGGGAATGGCGGCGTGATGGTTTGGTGAATATTAGAGAAATACCCTACTCTTTGAGAATGTATATTATTGTACTATTAATGTTGATGTGGTACGGAAGGACTTTGTGCAACCATGGTCTTTGCACATGACAGATGAAGATCTACGCCCAACCCAAAGTCCCATTTCTGGTCCTGCGGATCGGAGCAGCCGTGGCAGTCTCACCATCGCGGCACTTACGCTTAACTCTCGACATCCATTAGTCTGCATCCTCCCGAACCCAATCATCACCAGAGCATCACGGTCACGACCCGCCATCTCGTTGCCGCAGCCGAGCAACGGACGTCCGCCGGGACTCAAGTGACAACAACCTCATCACATCGTCTCCCCCAGGATCAACTTCCGCTTCCCAATGCCCGCCGCCGACGGCCCTCTGAATTGATCTAGTCGTGCGGCACAAATGCAGCGACGCCACCATCAGCCGTCATCATGTATCGCACCAACGATCCCCGATTCCGCCGCCGATTGAATGAAATCGGCCAGACGCTCGAGTCGGCCAATGAAACCGCGCAGTCGTCCCTCTATATTTTCGGACAAAAGTATGTGCGGCCGTGTTTTGCGAGTATTGGGGATTGCGTGACGGGATGCGTGGATGCTAGTTGTCCGCGAGGAGGGGATCGTGTGAGGAGGCAGAAGAGGAGAAGCACGAGGGTTGATCGTGCAGAAGTGAGTTTTGATTTCTATGATGATTGGGATGAGGATGAGACGGATGGGTTGTTGGGGTGGGGGAATGATGAGTTTGATAGGCTTGTTGGTGGCGGTGGTACGGGAGGTGGGTATGGGACTGTTGCGGCACAGACTACGACTTCGAGTCAGCCAGGCCGGCAGAGGGGAATGAGTTATCCAAAAGGGAAGAGGAGGAGTGTGGATGCTGGTGGGGATGCGACGATTATACAGAGTGGGAACAATGGGTTTTGGGGGAAGTTGTTTGGTGGGAAGCCTTTGAAGTATCATCCCAGTGCTGCGGACTTGCAGGACCATCCTGGGACGAGGAGGTTGGCGAGGGATATCACTGAGGGTGAGGCATTGCTGGAGGAGAGTGGAGAGGATGAGGAGCGGATGAGACGGACACAGCGGAGAGCGAGGAGTGGAACACAGGCTTCACATGAGACTGCTAGCAGTTATAGCAGTCGTGGGGATCTGTTCCCGTCTGATAATGAGGACGACGCGATTCCTCTGGATGATGAATTCGCCATGGTATTGGAACGACGGACCACACAATCTGGAATGGATACCGAAAACAGCTCCAACAAAACAACAGGAAACAAACGCGGCAAGCGGCCGAGTACTGGAAGTAGGACCTCTACACGGCGTACCTTTTCCTCCCGAAGTTCGAAGAGTGGCAGAAAAGGACGCAGTCGGACGAACAGCTCTTTGGCGCCTGCCATGATAGACGAGGCATCCGTTGCGGCTATGAGTGAAGCTGTTGCAATGCAAGACGATGCCTTTGCCAAAGAGGCCATGCACTCTTCCACTATCTCCGAAGCGCCACTCTCCATGAGCGAGCTCGAACAGCAGGAACGGGATTTGGAGCTCGAGGAGGAAGCGGCTGTGGAAAGAAAACGASAGGAAGCAATTCAAGCTGCTGTGGAGAGGGGACTCACTATTCCGTCGAGTCTGAGTCGACCTGTGAGTCCAGGAAATGATGGACCGCAAGTGACAGCCTCGACGGAGGAACCAAGCCAGCTTCCTACGCCTCTTGGTACGGACGACGAAGATGGCGGCTCGCCTACGGTTAATGATGCAGCAGACCCTCCAATCGAGGGTAAAGGCGTTGACGGCAGTGATTGAGGGTTATGATTGGATTTATGTTTTGTGCAGCGTTCAAGCGTGGGGTTTAGGGGTGGAGATCTTGAGCAACAACTTCAGTTCGACGGGCTTGTACAGCGGCGCGATATACCCTATGATTCTTTCCGACAGAGGCAATAATACATAAGCTCTCCTTAACGAAGAGATGGATTGTACGGCTGAGATCATGTTTGCTTAGTGAGGTAATGTACAACTTTCCAAAGACACCAAGGAGTATGAGGGATAGATTGTGAATACGATGGATCATTCGGCATGATTAGCGAAGCTCTTTCAAGCCTTGTCGTTGAATGTCTAGTAATATATTGAATGAAAGAAGTGGATCACGCTCGTTTCGCGTGAGATTCGCGGCGCGTCAGATCGACGCGTATCGATCGACCCGACGTCTCCTCGACTTCAACTTTCCTGCATCCCTACAAACACACCCGGCATGGCCGTCACCAATGACGCCAGCGACGATGCGTTGCTCGCCAAACCGCAGTCTGAAGAACATGCCGTCTTGGATCGAACCTCGAGCGTATACAATCCCCTCCAAACATATCAAGTCGGACAGAAACACTACCAGCAACAATATGCCGACATGTACTTTGCCCGTCTGACACAACTGAAGCCCTCAATCGAAACCATTGCCGCAGAGGCCTTTGGCGACTACGAAATCTCCGGCGAGGCGGCGAGACAAGTCGATCGAGTGCTGGATGTGAGACAGGGGAATCTCTGCTGGGTAATTGGGACCGTCTACATGGAAATGCCATTGAAGCCGAACGTGCTGGATGATATTGGGAAAGAGCATTGGATTGCTGCTCCGCCGGCAAGAGAGAAGTATGCGGGAGATGGGGTGGAGGTGCAGATGATGCTGGAGGATGAGTCCGGCAGGTTGAGATTGACGGGCAACTTTTTGAGGAGTGTCTTGTTGGTCACGGGGGCCATTGTCGCCGTGCTGGGGACGGAGAATGCGGATGGTGATTTCGAGGTGCTGGATTTGAGGGTGCCCGATCTTCCACGTCAGCCTGAACGATGGGAGAGGGATGATGGCGATGCGGCATTGGCGAAGAAGAAGGTCACAGATGCAAAGCCGAAGGCGGGAAGGGTCGCCATTGTCTCAGGACTGTCCATTAGTGGAGACGCTGGCGATACGCTGACCCTAGACCTGTTGATGGAATGGCTGACGGGAGAAGCATCCTCATTTGAAGACCAGACTGCTGCAGCTACGGTGTCTCGGCTCATCGTTGCTGGCAACTCCCTCGCTCACGCCCAGCCCATCCCAACCCGCGAAGAGCTCATTGCAGCGAAAAAGACAAGTCAGAAGAAGTACGGCTACGACGCTGCATCATACAACGCTGCACCTAGCGATCGTTTGGACACCTGGCTCGCAAGCCTGCTCCCTTCCATCCCCATCACTATTCTCCCAGGACAATCAGACCCAACATCGACAGCACTTCCCCAACATCCCATCCATGCAGCCATGTTCCCGCGCTCGAGAGCGTACACTCAACAGCCTGTCTCCACAGCTGCAGGCAGTCATGCACCTAACTGGTTCGACAGCACCACTAATCCAGCTGAATTTGACGTCGACGGCTGGCGCTTTCTCGGCACTGGCGGTCAGACTGTGGATGATGTCTACAAGTACGTCTCCGGTGAGGAGAGACTGGAGATGATGGAAGCCATGCTTCGCTGGCGGCTCACGGCACCCACAGCGCCCGATACATTATGGTGCTTCCCCTTCCAAGATGGCGATCGCTTTGTCATGAAGGAATGTCCGCATGTCTATTTTGTAGGCAACCAGCCCAAGTTTGAGACGACCGTCATTGAGGGTCCGCAGGGACAGATGGTGCGCTTAGTTGCTGTGCCAAAGTTCAAGGAGACTGGAGAGGTGGTCGTCGTGGATTTGGAGACGCTGGATGCAGAGCTGGTCAAGTTTGAGGTATTTGAAACTGGGCTGTGAGGAATGATCCCGATGAATGGTGCATTGAGATATCTATTCGAGCGAGGCGTTGGTGGGTTGAGGTATTGACGATGCAATGTCACTTGTATGTTCACCCGACCACGTTCATTGACACTTACAAGTGAAGCAGTGTTCTCGAGGAGATGGTTTCGGCTGAATCACTGCATGCCGCGACCATCCGTTGCTATGCGTCGGTGCAAGTAATGGCCAATACTGGCCGTCAGTGGAGCCTGCGGGATGGTTCCAGAAGCGCCGGTTCGGGCAGTGAAGGTGAAAGATTTTCCGCGCTCAGGTGAGGTTACAGGTTACCAGGCCATGGTTGCTTGCTTTATTGGTACCACTTTCTTCGACCACCTTGACACACCACTACCTTCATTCGCACACCGTATATGCAACTCGATTACCCTCGCCTCAGACGCATCACCACTTCGTTCCTCTTACACTACCTTCGTTCCGGTCTCCGCCGCTCCAGCATTTTCACAAGCCAGCAGCACTGCCGTCTCCCTATATCTTCTAGCAAAACGTGCGTTGACACCTCTCAACACTTCATCCGCTTCTGCCGAACTAACTACATCGCACCCTCGGCAAACCTTTGCCTCGCGCAATTGACATCGAATAATATCACTCTCTGCTCGCAAAATTTCACCAAATCACTTACTTCAACCTTCATTCACCCAAATCGGCGCAATGCAGAACAGCAACCAACAAAAGCACACCCCAAAATCATCAACTAACTTCACCATGCCACCAAATACCACCCCAGTCCGCCCTCTGCAGCAACTCCTCACGCCCTCTCGCCCCGAGCGAGTCCGGCCCAACAGGGAAATGCGCCCGCAAGACATCATCGCCCGCTCCGACCTGGCCAGGATCATTGAAGAAGAAGTAGCATTCGCCCAGCGCGAAATCGTGGCTCGAATCGACTACATCCTGAAGGAACTCCTGACCGAAACCGATCCCACACGTCGCAAAGAGGGATTGGAGCTCCTCAATCGCTTGCAGATGGATGACTTGGAGGATTCCAACCGCAAGATCCTGGCCTATCGCGTCGAGTTGACGCAGCGGAATCGCGCGTTGGCGCAGTATGAGAGGGAGTATCAGCAGGATTGTGCGAGGGGATGATGCCTTTGACGAATTGTGAAAGAGTCGCTGGGTCGACGACGGAGTTTCGCAAGTGACTTCACACGCTTGACAACGTACAAATGCTGCCATGTACATGTATGAAGAACGAACGGACGGACGGAAAAAGGAAGATTATGATGATGTTCGAGGACAGGGGCTTCTCGAGGAGCTCGAGAATACCTTCAAGATCTGGTACTTCTCGGATCCTTTTCCTTGAAGGTTCCGCAACGCTAACCTCCATTCGCAGCATTTCCGCGACCGGAAGAATTAATTAATCACCATTATGAATTGCAAGGGATGGAAGAAGCGATTRCTGTGTGGGAAAGGGAACGACACTTGGGATTTGGATGGCGAACAGGCAAGTAACATTGTCTTAACTCATTCATCCTTTTCGCTTCGATTTACTAACTTGGTTTTTCTCTAGCCCACACAAGACTTTCAAGTACCGACCATTCTCTTACTCGCGCTCGTACCCTTGAGAAGTAATTTATTTAATAAAATGATCGTTAAATCCACTTCTCTTCTATGTTCAAATGTCGACGCCTCTTACCTATTCGAAAGTATCGCTAGCAAACCCTTACCTGTTGTTGCATACAAGCCTATGGTATTGCGTTTGTATTCCATCCTCATGTTCTCGCCCGGAGCTGATAACGGTTGTTAGCTACGAACAGGTCTCAGCGAGCAAGAGGTGAAGTCGAGAATTGATCCAGGCCAGGGGGACGTGACACTCGCCGAGTCTCATTAGGAACCAAAGTCTCGTAGTGCAATGGAATGGATCAGTCCTGACCCAAGGGTAGGAGGAAATCGAAGCTTGCTAGGCGGCTCTCCTCGCTATCATCAAGCAAGCGTCGACTACGCTCATGGACGGGTAGTTGTCACCATCAAGATAAGCGGTGTTGCGGAGAGAGATACATCTTGTCGAAAGATGTCCTTCCTACGAGGACAGCGACATGAACGGGAGACAAGGTGTTTAATAGTAGCAGGTAGGGCAATCCGTGTAAAGCGAACTTCACTTTGACACAAGCCGTCGTGATGCCCAGATGACTTGAGGGAGAGAGCTTTGGGACTGAACAACTCCATCAAAGTTATGACACGCGACAATATCTCACACTCACAGGCTCAAAGATGGTGTTCAAAAATTACAATTCATCGTCGTCAAATTGGTATATAGCACAGCTTCACCAACGCCCAAGCTCAATCCATGATCGTACATTCATGTCCCGCATAACGCTCATAAAGAACACTTCTCACTTCTTGTCACCCTTGAACGTGCTACAAACGAATGATCAGCTGGAGCTCGATCGGGAAGGAATGGAAGTGACTACGAACCTGTTCCATACATTGGCCAATAAGCCACCGCTGCCAATGGATTGCTCTTTGATGCTCGCTCTTCTGGCGGCGTGGGCTGGACTTTCTCTCTTGTACTCTTGCATTCCGGCGAACATGCCCGAGCTTGACTGTAGGTTTGTTAGTTTCGTTGATTGGGCAGGCCGGGAGATGGCACAACGTACTCTACGACGACCGGCAGAGTCGGTGGACTTGCGGACAGGGGACTCGTTGGTCTTGGGAGATGACATGTTGGTAGATTGATATTTGATCTGATGGTGTTTCGATGGTGATGGATGATCAATCAATGGACGGGTCGTAGTGGTTGATATTGTGGATGATGAATGATTTTGATGGATTGGATGTTTGAACAATGGAAAAACAGAAGATGCCCACTCCCTTTGTTATATCTCCTCTCCCCTCTGCCACCTGGTCATCCATCGCACTCAAACAACGAACATGGGGTTAGGAAACTGTGGGGTCGATTGCGAGACTTGTTTCCCCATGCAAATCGATCGGAGTCTAGGCTTTGGCCGGCCATGCAACATCGCAGCGATTTGATACCGCACAACGTGGTTCGATGTCCACATTGAAGCTCATGATTGGGTCCCTGAGAGGGGAGGTTCGTAATCGATCTGGCTGGATTCGATGGAATGGAATATGGAAGACGTCATCGAATCAGGGAAGGTGAAACGGTGAAACAAACAGTCGTGCGGCTCGTGCCTTGCGGTAACTTAGGGAAGGAAGCAGCACAGCAGGTGCCGGGAAGTCAATCGTGAATGCCGAGTTGCTTGCTGTCATCGTCATCAGCATCATCATCATCAGAGCAAACGATCGATAGTGCAGGGGTATATGGGCCAGCGACGGCAAGCAGATTGTTTCGGACACTGCCAGTCAGGCTCATGGTGAGCTGTTGACTGTGTTCAGCTGCGAGGATGAAGAGGTTCAAGCAATACAATAGCTGTTGGTCCTGCATGCTTAGATGAGCTTGGGATGCTGCAGGTGTCGCGGCTCCACCGATTCAGTCAACGATCGATCGCGAGACGGCGGATCGATACGATCTCCAGAGCTCCCACTCCACCAACGAGGCAGGCTGTCCTGAYCACAGGTTTGCATCTGATGAGTGCGGTCTGCTCGGTCGGACAGGGTACCGAACATGTCAGGACAGCGGAGAGGTGACATGCATGCATGCATAAGTAAGGGGTGAGCTGATCAAGAACCATGGCTTGGCAGAGCGATTGCAGATCTTGAGCTTTGTCCTTCCTTTGGGGGGGCATTGACATTCGCGATCGGAAGACGTCTTATGGCAGGTGTTCCCGGATTGTGACATTATTGGGGTTTGGAGCTCTTCTGAGCAATGAATGTCTCACGCGACGAGGGAAGGCGAAGACGAAGAGGAAGAGAAAGAGAAAGATCAGGTGCCCAAGACAATGCCTGATCCCTGCCTGCTTTCCACGCACACGCCGTCTTCAAGACGTCGCGACATGTCCAAATCGCGTCGACGCGTTCAAAGGTCGTCCTTCCCCTTCACCATCACCAACACTCCAGCGGACCTTCCTTCACAATGCCAGGCAAGGTTGAGATGAGGTTATTGACTTGACAGAGGATGGCCTCGAGTCTGTCGAATCTGTCGGCTCTACACCATCCAATACTCAGCCAGCCGCGAAACGCGTAAAATACACGGCAGCCCTCGGCGATGCCAACAAAAAGGCCCACGGCAAGTTCTGGGAACGTATGCGGAGGTACACTAGTTTTCATGATTGAGCTCCCATCCTCAGCTAACTCCAACAGCGGCCCTCGGCAGCACGGTCCTAGGCGGATGAGGAACATTGGTGCCCCCAGACTAGGAGATGTCTGTCCTTTCCTGGAGTTGCCCGCTGAAGTCCGCAACCGTATTTACGAGTATGGTAAGTTTGGCATGTGAAATCCATTCCGTCCTCCTGGATTGGATGTAGCACTTCTGTGGTTGTTTCCTCCACGTGCCTCATCTGGCGTTTCACGTCCCTGCTCTGACATTTCTTACAGCCCTGGGCGGACACAATCTGCACATGTTCGCTCTGGACTATCAGAACTCTTACTCAAGGCCAGACTGGTCGGTCACTCCGTACACCTACACTTACACCGACGGCGAACGGCAGACCCGAGAGTGGTTCTACTTTCAGTACTCCATTTGCAAGTGCCCTGAAAGCGATGCCGAGACGTAWGAAAACTCGGTGACGTGCTACGAGAATATCACGAAATACTTCACATCAGATGCCAGCCCAAGAGCGCCGCTGAAGTGTGACGAGACCGCGCACTACCTCAACAGGCATGCGAATTGTCTGAATGTAAGCCAATGGTTCCATCGCAAGACTCCCTTTCGCGAACGACCCACGAGGCTAGGCATGGGTCTGCTGCGGACGTGTAAGCAAGTTCACGACGAAGCTTGCCTCGTACCCTACTATGACGACACCTTTTCGTTCGCTTCTGGAAAGGATATCGATGTGTTCGTGAATGCTGTCCTGCAGCCCAAGCAGCGCGAGGCATTGCAACATCTGCACTATACTGTGGACAACCGCCCTTTTCTGGCTGGATCAAACCGAGGCTTCTCGCTCGGCATCAAACCGAGAATGGTGCCCAAATACGATGACTATCGAATCCTGTGTGGGCTTCACCAAAGCACCATCGATATGCTGGTCGGCTTGCAATCGCTCGACATTTCCTTCGAGGACAACAATTACTCCTGCTGCTTCAATGAACATTCGCCGCGCTTTCCCAAAGGGGATCTAACCATTCGCGCCGTGATCAGAAACCGGTACCCTTATTCCGAGACCAGTCGAAAGACTGCTATGAAGCTGGAATTTGGACTCTCGAGATCTGTCGCCGATGTTAAAGATCAGAGCGATGCATTCAAGCAGCTTGCTGCTATTCATGGGGGGGGGACTTCTAWTCACATCGCGTTCCAAGCGATCTCGACACTTGCGCCTCGGCTGCGGAGACGTGACGGCTCTAAATGGTTAGATCAGTTGGAAAATCAATATGGATGACTGCTGGAACTTCCAACAGCGTCTACCTAACAAGAACTAGACGCGGAAGGCTGCAGGGCTTTCGTTGATACTCCTGAAGTCGCTACACGACGACGTTGCGAGTGTCATCCATCAGCCGCACTAGACGTCGAAGATATATGACTCCATTCTTCGCCACGGCCAATGTAGGGATTGCTCATAGGCTCAATGTCGCCGGAAACTTGATGACTCCGCTGCTCTTTCAATATTGCATGCACTGTCATCGATGTGTCAAAGGCTAAAGACAGTGGAATGCYCTATTCTGGTTGGAAAAAATCACCCGTGCAGCTTGAGGCTGCGGCGAACGATGGATCGAATCCGTGGGTGCATCCACCGTGTTTTCCGGCCTGTGAGGCCCCGGACGAGAATGTATAGTTCCGATGGGTGTACGCACCACGGCATTGATCCGACCCTTTGATGTTCGCTAGCACGACAGCTTTAAACGACTTACCTCCTCTATGACCTGAGCGAGAGGTGACTGGAAGATCAAGTGGTGGTAGCGGCCTTCCTTTGCCCTACCCATCCGGACCTCGATGCTGATTCACCAGCGGCATCGACGCCTATCACATCGTCTCTAGGAGCACATGCTCATGAAGTTCAGCCTCGTACCGACGTTGCACCAGGGCGGGGGCATTTGAAGTGGCTTCTTTCATACTACGGCAGGCAGTTTGCAACGTCGGAGCAGACGCGCGCTCGATCTCTGCCTGATTGCAGATGCGCGGTGGGAGAGAGGCGTTTTGCTTCACGCCAAGTTGGTGGATTGTCCTCAGCCTCTGCAGACGCCATCAAAGTTCTTGGCCGAAGTCTCTGGCCACGAGCCAAGCGATCGACACGCCACGCTGCCGTGTGAAGCTGCGCTCATGGGTGTTACACCCCACATGTGCAGGCACAGCGGTCGCTCACCGATATCTGGAGAGTCTTTCAGCGTCGATCATGTCTCCAATCCACCGGGTACCTGCAGCGTAGGGCATTGTGCTTGCTCACTTGGTCACTGCAGTAATGGATGGCTTTCGAAGTGGACACAGACTATACCATGCCTGGTGGCTCACGCACGCGACGCTAAAGTTCATTTCTGGCGCTAGACGACGGAGTGAGGGCGTGTAGGAATGGGTGGGTTCTGAGATTGTGGACAGGGCTTCCACTGTCTCAGTCAGTATGGCCCTGACGACTTTTGAGATCGTCGCGTTCACGTGGTGTCGTCGCCCTACGTAAAGCTCAATATAGCCACGGAGATACTTCCGGTTGGTTACCGGGGAAGATGGGTTCTCACCAGTACCAACAAACAACCTCAAAGGGGCATTGCCAAGCCAGCCATCAACTACACCACCCACTGACAAGTCTGATCAACACCAATATGTACCGCACCACAAACCCCACTCGCAGCGAACCACAGTCGGGACGCTGCGTGGTCACTATCACAATACACCAACGTTCTCGGAGAGGCATGCATTTTGGCGAATGCAGTGTGGGCTCGCTTGGGCCATCTATCGAGTAATAATTCCGCTCTACAACAGCTCTTCGTGTGGCTAACAAGTACTACCAATGAGGCATGCCGTGATTCGCAATGGCATACTGCATCAACCAATGATAGCCGCCTAATTTGTCGTGGAATGGAGGCTGTTGACGCTGTGGATATCACAACCCAAGCCTCGAGGCGCTTCGGCCGTCATGAACAAAGCCCAGAGGCGCTGTTTCTGTCACACCCCTCACGAGGTATGAACTGGAATGGTAGCGTTCAATACATATACATCTTATTGAGCATGCCCCTTGCCGAGATTTCCCTTTCTTCACAGCACGAGCAATGTCTTGGTCCAGAATGCTTCCTTTGACCATCTTCTCCCTTTTGACCGCGGGAGTTGCGGCCTTCCCACAAAGCTTTCGCCTGCCTGAAGGTATCGAGTTGAACGAAGCCCTTCAATCTATCGAACGTCGCCAGCTTAGGGGAACGGGAGGCCGCCTTGGTTCTAGCACAACTTTCGATCCTGAGCGCCAGCTAATCGATGTACAAGGCGAGCACGCGTTCGTCCCTCCCAATTTTGCCTCTGGTGACAAAAGAGGACCTTGCCCAGGACTCAACGCCTTAGCAAACCACGGATACTTACCTCACAACGGTATCGCGACGCCTCTTCAATTCGCCGAAGTCACCAATCGAGTCTTCGGTCTTGGAATTGACATTGCCCTCGTTGCTGCCGTTTTGGGAGTGTATGCAGCCGGAGACGGCCTGACATGGTCCATCGGAGGTCCGCCAGGCGGCGGCCTTCTCAATCTTCCCATCCTCGGCAAGCCAACTGGCATCAGTTTCTCTCACAACATCTACGAGGCCGATGCCTCGCCCACCCGCGAGGACTTTTATGAGCATGGCAAAGCCTATGCTGTAGATATTGACGCTTTCAAATCCTTGTACAATAAGCTGCCGACTTCTGACTTGGATACTCTGGCCAAGCACCACGATGAGCGTGTCAAGCATTCCGTTGCCACCAATCCATATTTCTTCAGTGGTCCGCTGCCAGGCTTCGCTATTGGCGCTGTTGCGACCTTTTTCGTTTTCCGTCTTGCGGCAAATCACACTCCTGAATATCCTCAAGGTCTGCTCGACAAGAATACTTTTGCGTCGCTTTGGTCTGTCGAGGGCGAGGGTGATGCTTTGACCTGGAAACCTGGGTAAGTGCTTCGAGGACGAAAGACCTGCAGAACAGCTCGATAATATCTCGGAGGCTGCTCGAGGCCTTTGGCAGCATTCGAGGAATCGCTAACACTTCCACAGACATGACAGAATTCCCGAAAGATGGTATCGACGATCCTTCGACGACGAATACGACACGACGTTCATCGCCGCCGACCTCGTAAAATCCATCATCGCCTACCCCGGGACTCTCAAAATTGGCGGAAACATGGGTCAAGTCAACACTTTTACAGGAGTAGATCTCACAAACCTTACGGGCGGTGTATACAATCTCCAAAGTCTCACTCAAGGGAACAATCTCGGCTGTTTGTTATTTCAATCCAGTGCTCTTCTCACTCCTAGCTTACTCAGGCCTCTACTCGGTACCAGTTTGACTAGTGTTTTGAACCGACTCAATGCGCTGTTTGGAAATGTTCTGGCGCCGCTTGGATGTCCTCAGCTTGAGGAATTGGATACGAGGGCTTTGGAGCAGTTTCCTGGATATACTAATCCTGGCAAGCATCTGTAGCTAGGGTGGCGCGTGTTGGGGAATGATGATGAAGTTGTGCTCGTTTTCGAGGGGTTTGGAATGGGTCGGGAATGCGATGGAGTGATGATGGATTGATGGTCATATTTAAGAGACGTGGAATGTTAGATACTGCTGTAGTGAGCACAATGAAGTCTGTTTGCTGCGCTATATCAACAGGGGCTGCGGCAGGGTAGCATGCTGTGGCGAGGTCAATGTGAAGTAGCACATCAATGTATTGACTCTGAAAATCGGTAGCGGGCTGATCCTCCCAGCTGCTGTCTTGGATACATCCTGGTGAACATAGCAGGTGAAACACTGCGTAGTGCTGGGTAAGAATGTCGCAATGAAGGTCGCACACTGTAGAACATCAATAAACTTGTACTCTGTTACCGTCTCTTGACGTCCACGCCTATATCCTGTATGATTGAGGCCTATTACGTGATCTAAGGCCTTACACACACTGGCGACAACAGCTCGGACAAATCATGTGACATCCCAGTGGTATGATGCCAAGTCATGACAAGTTTTGGAGGTGTAGAGAGAGTCCCATATCTACATCAACCCTAACCCTAGTACGGGCCTCTGTAGATACAGGAGACGATTGCTCCCAGGAGTCCCGCCCAGGTAACCACACCAAGAAAGATGCACGTCTAATCGGCGTTATTGAGTTGTAAAGAGGTCACGACGCCAATGGTCGGATGTAGACACATAGTTACCAGCCCGTCTTGAAAAGGCTGCGTTTCAGATTCGTGAGGAGATGTTAAGCCAATGAACAACGAATGAAGGAATTTGCACCTCCAATTACTATACTATCGACTGATCTATCACCATTMTCTGCCTCAAGATCGGGAAAGGAGGGTCGAGATAATCCATCCAAACATGACAAAGCATGTCTACCGAGATCACTAGACGCGAATGGCGACAGCTCGCCCAGCAAAGCTCCATTTCAGCYCGAGCATCATCTCAAGCTTCACAGGTGGCATATCTTAAGAGACCAGAATCCATCGGAGCCAGCGTAGTTCATAGCTCCGTCCGTTCATTGTTCGCCTTCGGATCAATTTCGTCTCAGCTCCCCGCTGCGTCTGCAGAGATGTACATTACTAGATATTGTTGTCAGTATTGCGATTTAGTAAACCAAGAGTATGGACAAGACCAACCATTGTTTCCCCTAACAAAAGCATCCCCATAATTCCGTCTCAGCTTCCCCTCGACCACTTCCTTGCAGTTTTCGAGAGCAATGTTCATGTAGCCATCCACAGACTGCAGCTCGCCTGTCCAAAGACGGTCAGTCTTCATCTCCTGACCACGCGATCCATGGACTTCATCATACCCTTGTAGACGACTCCAGAGTTCAGCTTCACCGTCACAGGCGCCCCGATGATCTCGCTCAAGAAGCCACTTGGATCTCTGGCATCGCCCTCGCCGTTTGGCACAGTATTCTCCGGTTCAGCGCTCATGTTGTTGAGTGTTGGAAGGTTTCAATGATTGATGGCGATGTCAATGCAGTGAAGCCAAACGCGGTCGATGCTCGTTTCGAAGATCTTCGGAACGAGAATTACGTAAGCCATCGATCGAAAAATAAATCTCCAGACGTAAGGTACTACCCTCTTCACTTCACGTCAATACAAAGATCGACGACAACCATACGACGTGAGAACAGAAGAGAAAATGAAGCTCCTTACCCTAAACTTCCTCACCTGCGCACGCAAGACTTGCAAATCCACCGCAGCAGCATTCCCTCTCCACCCGAAAGAGGCCGAACTCGAACAAATCGAGATTGATCTAAACCCGCTCTTCATCACGAACATGCTGCCGAGATTAGATTGGGAGGCTATGAAGACTCTTACACAAGAAGTACCAACAATCTTGTTCCCTCTTAAAACCTGAAGTTTCATGCGACTAATAATCGAGTAGCTCGGACTTCCAAATCTTCCAGCGGAGATACCCTCCGCAGAAGAATTGCAGACGGAAGAAGGAGAGCCCTCTCAGACGCTCAAGGATCTGCATACTTTACTCATGGAGACGAGCATTGCACAGGGAAAGTTGGCTTGTGGGAATTGTGGCCATGAGTATGCTGTGAAGGAGGGAATTGCGAACTTTTTGTTGCCGAGTCATATGGTGTGATGGAATCTTCAAAAGAAGGTCGAGAAGAACAACCTTGAATCACGACGGGTCGAATGCACTCCTGCAGCTACCTAGTGAGTGTAGAGGATGGCAACCTCATTGATGGAAGTCCGCCAATCAGGACGCATTCAAAGCTCACGAGCGAGGGCTGAGCGTGCTGAACTCGAATGGAGCTTGCATGGCGATCTCGCAGATTGAAAGCATCCGGAAGATCGTGCCAGATCTGACCTCGTTGTCGCTGTCGGCGGACTCCAGGTTCCAATTCCCACAAAGCCAGAGGTTGCAAAAGCGCATCACGAATAATGACATCTATATCACAAGGGTGATGAGATCCGTACCACCTCCATGGCCCGGTGAAGTTGAAGATTGCCACCCTATCTGCAGCCTTTCAAATCATTGTACTTTCCGTAACAACCGCATCACGAATATGAGGAGATCATTCAGTAGAACACTCATTTCTTCACGAGACAGCTCATGTTTTGTGTTGGCATAGCTACCCATTCGCGGGCGTAGTCCTCGATTCACAATCAGGAGACAGCGTTCTCCATCTTCTCCATCCCTCGCACACATTCGCTTTGCCTCGTAACAAGGATCCCAAGGCGTGATCGGCCAAGCTAGATAAGCTCTCGGCCAGTGCTTATCAAAACATTAAACCGCTGCTTAGCATTACAGATTCGCATGTTGATTTCTCCCGTTCGATCTTCTCCATACCTTGGGGAATTTCAATCGAGATGTCTCTAAGAACAGTTCAAGTCAGCAAACCTACCGCCGCCATCGAAGTGACCACCTCTGACGAACCCGGTACCGATAAACTCCTCCTGGCAACAGCATCGAACGGAAATGTTCTCGGTGAGGTTGAATCGATAACTTCCACTTCTGACATTTACAAACTAATTCGCATCATAGACAATGGTCTCCAACGTGGTCTCAAATCCCGCCACATAACAATGATATCGTTCGGCGGCGTCGTCGGCGCTAGCATTTGGTATGGTGTCGGTTTCGCAGTAGCGTACAGCGGTCCCGTCGGCGCCTTGATCTGCTTTGCAATAATCGGCATCGACGTCTTCTTCGTAATGCAATGTCTAGGAGAAATTACGACTCTCTTTCCTGTTCAGGGGGCTTTCCTGGAATTGGCAGGGAGGTTCGTGGATGATAGTTTGGCTTTTTCTCTTGGATGGAATTATTGGTATCTTTGGGTTACCAACATTGCTGGTGAGTTTTCAAACGCAACGCACCGACGTCAGAGCTGTCGATATGAGAAGTCATCAACAAGACCAGCGCCCTGAAATGCTCTCTCGATTGATCGATAAGCCACTCTGCTACTAGCAAGGGTTCTAAGCAGGCCTAAAATCGTCGAGCTTGCAGAGAGCGAGGCATTGGGGCGTTGTTGGCATGACTCAGGATGTCTTAACCCGATGAACAATCCTCATATCGACAGCTCTGCGCACCGAAAGAGAATGTGGCCAAGATTGATGTTGACATATTTGATTGACCAGCTGATTTCAACGCCTCTTCAATCATCATGTCCTACTGGACTACAGCCGTACCAAGTTATGGCTGGATCCTCATCTGGTGGGTCTTCTATCAATGCACTTCCCTCCTAGGAGTAGTGGTCTGGGGAGAAATGGAATTCTACCTTGCGTGCTGGAAACTCATGTGCATTCTCGGAGGCTTCCTCTGCGCGATCCTGATCAACACTGGTGCGGTTGGAGGCAACTACATTGGCTTTCGATATTGGTCCGACCCGGGTCCTATTGCGAACGGTATCAATGGATTTGGGCAGTGCTTCCTCCTCGCGGCCGTGTACTATTGTGGTACAGAAATGTTGGCGCTCACTGCTGCAGAAAGCAAGAATCCCATGCGTGATTTGCCAAAGGCTATCAAGCAGACTTTTTGGCGGATTCTAATCATCTTCATGTGAGCTTCGAGCGTATCGTGCGATGATACAACAGATCTGACACGCTTTAGGGGCCTCGTCTTCTTTGCCGGCATAATAGTCCCGTACAACGATCCCTCTCTCCTCACCGCGGAGAGCAAATCAGGAAGATCACCCTGGACCATCGCCTTCACTAACGCCGGAGTTCCTCAAATGGGCCACGTGGTGAATGTAGTCATGATAACCGCCCAGCTCTCGTCTATGAACTCGGCTCTATATGTCGCTTCACGCAGTCTTGTATCTTTGGCATCTTCGGGTCGAGCACCAGCAATCTTTGCAAAGACGACCGCGAACGGCACTCCAGTCTACGCATTGGTATTTTCCAACGCGCTCGGCTTGATCGCCATGTTGAACTATACGGTTGGGACTGGCAAGATCTTCACCTATCTCACAAACATTACTGGATCTGCAACATACATTGCTTGGGCATGTATCGGAGTCGTGCATTTGAGGTTCCGTCGGGCCTGGAAGGTTCAAGGCTACACGATCGAGGAACTGCCTTTCAAGGCATTTCTCTATCCATATGGAACGATGTTTGTCATCGTCTTGAATACGTTCCTGGTCATTGTGGCTGGGTATGCGAATTTCGTTGGAGCGTTCCATGTGGTGGACTTTGTGATCAACTACATTGTTATTGTGGTGTTTGTGGTCTTGTATGTGGGCTGGAAGGTGATAAAGAGGACTCGATTTGTGCCGCTGGCGGAAGTGGATCTTTTGACGGGCAGACGAGAGGGATTGATGTATCAGCAGGAGATGGAAGAAGATGAGAGAGTGGGTTGGTTTGCTGCTGCGAAGAAAGTCGTCTCCAGACGGTGATGAAGATTGCCGCCTCTCATGGTGGTGAATCGACGACAAGGCTTATGAAGAGGTAAATCGACGACAAGGCTTATGAAGAGGTGAATCGACGACAACGCTTATGAACAGGTGAATCGACGACAATGCTTATGAACAGGTGAATCGACGACAAGGCTTATGAAGAGGTGAATCGACGACAACGCTTATGAACAGGTAGCCAGGAGCACAAAAAGAAGTAGCATTGGTGTTGAGGGTGTCAAAGATAGTACATGCATGACCTTGAGTCATCCATCCGTTCCATCCATCTTTCCCTCCGCAAAGATTGGGATACTAATCGAGATGTCTCTCCGCTCTCTACTTCTTCGCAGCCTTGCCCTTGTTGCTCACTGCACCCTTTGGAGGGACCGCCACTGCCACATCGACATGAGGTTGACCAGCCTTTCTGAACACCTCCTCCATCGTTCGCACATTCATGATACAATCCTGCGTAGCTCTGACATCCTTGTTCATGAGAAGAAACTCATCCGTCATCACCGTCTCAATGTCAGCTTTGGCAATATCCGTAACTCTCTCAGTTCTGCCGGTGCAGATGTGCCCGTGGATCCAGTCGGCATCGGCATGTTGCATATCCTCAGGACGTGGCTTTCGTTGACTCTTGCAGTGCCACACGTATTGCTTCCAAGGATTGCTGAACTCGAGAGAGGTATACTTGAAGGTATCCTTGATCCATTGCGTGGGGACCTGGATTGAAATGATCCAGATGTCGCCGTTTCGGATATTTGATTGCTGCCAGAAGCGGTATTTTTCGGCGGTGGCCAACTCCTGCGTCCAGTAGAAGGCCGGGTTAATCCGGTTGAAATCTCCACCGCCGTGGGTGATCAGCTTAGCCACATTGATCGATCCGTCAGTCTCGATCCAATTCTTGCACCTCAATCCTGGAATAGCCTTGTAAAGCATAGTGTGGCCCATCTTTAGGGCAGGCCGGGACTCGATAATTGTGACTTGTGCAGATGGTAGATAGAAGTCATCGAGAGTATTTTCCATGCTAGCTCGCCTAGAGCGCCCTGCCCAACTTTTGGAGCGCTCCAGCAAGACGGGGATCATGATGAGGTTGCATTCCAAAAACTCAAGCACCCATTCCTTGAGCTCCCTAGTCCGCAGGATGTCGAAACAGTTAGGGTCGAGGAGGCGGTCCTGGAAGTCCGTAGACAAGCCCATCTCAGTCAATGCATCTCTATCTTTGAGTCCCTCGGTGCCACAGCCCTCTATATGTCCCTCTATATATCCCATGAGATCGTATGGCGAGTCAAAAGGAGCATCCTTGTAGTTCTCCCAGATCTCTTGGGCAGTCTTTTCAGAGAAGCCGATGTATGTCAAAGCATCAGCTGATTCTCGCTCCAGACAACCGATGCTGAAAAAAAAGATGTCAGGATTTTGGTGGACAAAGTCAGAGCTGTCGATATGAGAGAATCATCCAAAAAAACCGCGCCCTTACTTGCCCTCTCCGTTGAATAATGGGGCACTCTGCTAGTAATAAAGGTTCTAGTAGCTCTAGAACCGTCATTTGTGCGGAGTGCAAGGCCTAAAGACGTCATGAAGACGCCTGGAAGTGTTTTGTCTCGATGAAAAATCCTCATATCGACAGCTCGGGTGCCATCGAGGCAAGACATTATCAGTTATCCTAACAATGTCTTAAGGCCTCGCTCTCTGCAAGCTCGACGATTTTAGGCCTGCTAGAACCCTTACTAGTAGCAGAGTGGCTTATCAAACAACCGAGAGAGCATCTGAGGGCGCTGGTCTTGTTGATCATACGGTATCTCATATCGACAGCTCTGGATAAAATTCTGACTTACATCTGCAGCTCCTGCTTATCGAGATCCGAGATGATTGGCATGGTCATTGCTGCGAGAGTTGATTCCGAAGGTGAAGGTTAGGTTGGGAAGAGGATGCAGACGAAGGTGCRGCTTAAGAAGAAGGCGGATGAAATGCGAGAGTTGATTCCGATGTTGAAGGTTAGGTTGAGAAGAACCTTGGAAGATGTAGACGAAGGTGTAGCTCAAGAAGAAGAACCGAAGGTTGAAGGTGGAGGTAAAAAGCTGGAAGGCGCTAGTGAACCAGCAAACATAAGTGAAGTCGCGGATTGTCTGCAAGGCAAAGTCTTCACCTACTTTAGCTCACAAACATTTGCTGCTGCGAAGAAAGTCGTCTCCAGACAATGATTGAGAAAGCTAATCCCGGATGATCAATCGCATGTCAGCTAAGTAAGGTACCWCATCTGAGCTTCAAAGATGCATCCGGGTGAAGGAAGTCGAATGAAGTGTGAAATTGAAGCTTGCCGCCCTACCTTTCAAAGGACCGCCAAAAATCGTGTATTTTCTGCAACAAGGACAGCACGATTAAAAAGACATGATTTGATAAGACTAATAAGACATTCGATCGTCTGTATTTGACTCCCCGCAATGCTACTGCGTTTTGTGCTGATAGCTACCTGTTCATAAGCGTTGTCGTCGATTCACCACAAGGAGAGGCGGCAACCTTCAATCTCACCGGCCTTTCCATCCAGATGAGGTCGATTGCAGTGAATAAGTGAAGTTGGTGTCGGAGCCACATGAAGATGTAAAGTAAAGTTCAATCAAGCAACTTTGATGTGCTCCGTTCTTTCTTTAATTAAAATTCTGGCACCGCAACCACGTGGCTGGGACGAAGCTCCACACCTGTGACCTGAGGTACCCGGAAGCTCCGTCATGGCGATCCCCGTCTCCTCGAGTACGCGTGAGGGCATGCAACAAAAGCAACGATTTAGGCAGAAATTCCTACGACACCACTATCGCCGCCGCTCCCCTCCACTCAAATCCGCCTCGTCTGCCTCGCCGCGCACCACGATGCCGCTGACCAAGGAGCGGAACAAGCGCAGCTCCGGCTCGGGGTTTCATCCTTTCAACGGCAGGATCAGCAGACATCTTGGTTCTTCGGTGAGTGCAGCATCATCAGCATCATTTTCTTCCCGACTCGGGGCAAGTTTCAGCATTTTTTGACACATTTTGCTTTTTCCCAGCTTTCCCCGGACGAAGCATACCTCAGCTACCACGATGTGCGCCTCATGCGCGACGACATCGACTCGATCAGGGACAACGACTGGTTGACGGACAATGTCATCTGCTTCTGGGAGGAATATCTCGAGCGCGAGAAGCTGTCCGAATACCCCAAAGCCAACATCGTCCTGTTGCGTCCCAGCATGTCGTTTATGCTGCAAAATACCAAAGATCCGCTCACCCTCAAGTCGGCGCTACCCAACTTTCAACAGACCACACACGTCTTCCTGCCGGTAAATGACTGCCGCGATGTCACCGCCGCAGAGGGTGGAAGCCACTGGTCTCTTCTCCTGGTGAGCATCGTGGATGGCGTGGCTTTCCACTACGACAGCCTCGGCATTTCCAACCTCCATGATGCTAAGCTCGTCTCCCACAAAATCTCACAGCTGCTGGGAAAGCCACTACGGTTCATCAACCTCGACGACTGTCCGCAGCAACAAAACAGCGTGGACTGTGGAGTCTACGTGTGTCTTCTCATGCAGCATCTGCTCATGTCGAAGCTGCTCCGAGCTCAGGCCCACGACAAGATCAGCATGAGCATGCGTGGGAAGGAGGTCGACGCGTTTGGAGGTCGAAAGGAGATGATGCGCATTATTGAGACAAGGRGGAAGGAGGGTGAGAGGCGAAGATCGCGCAGTCACAGCCCTTACACCTCCTCCAAGTCCAAGTCTCCCCCTCGGATCGGGGTGGAGAATGAGGACGTGCCAACATCATCCTAGAGCTCATGTGATGGATGGCTGCTATGACTGGTCTGCGAGGAGGGTTACTTATTTGCCAATTTCGTGTTTTTCAGCGAGGAGTTTGGGCGTGGGATATCAACGGCACGCGCGATCGATGGCCTATGAAGATCACGGAGACGTGGTAGATCGATCATTGGTGATGACGAGGGATTGTTCATATTCACAAATGAAATCTCCTCAGAGAAGACGTTCGAGAGCTTCACGTGAGCTCGGCTTCCAGACTAACAGCATGGAGCGCCTCTCCCTCGTTCGTCCACATACAGGTGCTGGGGGTTTGTGTTTGGCATGTCGATTTGCATCAACTCACTGTGCAGCAAATCCCGATAGAAGGGCCGCCAAGCACTGTGTACTGTGTGGGATGATGGATGGAAACAATGCCCGTCATCGGCGGAGTATGACACTCGTTTATAGCAGCCCAGGCACAAGGACGTACGAAGAAGTCCATCTGACTGCGTATCTCACTCCTCGGCATGCTCAACCTTGGTAAGACCACGTCGACCCTCTGCGGGAATCTTACTCGACCAAAAAGCATGTGTCTTGCCGTGAACGATGACATGGCCGTCTGCATTCTTTTCCACGTCCGGGCCGCTGATGGCATCCATGAACGTCTTCTTGGTGCGCTGTTACACGATCAGTACTCCTCCGCGCGTCTCACTCACTCCACTAGCATAAACGCACCTCTAGTCTTTCTCCCTCAAGCGCAGCAATATGCCCGAGCGTACAATACCTGTCCCACGCCTTCTCCTTCGACAACGCAATCTCGAAAGGCTCGGTATGCTCACCAATGGGAAGCGAGAACATCTGATCGTCGCTGGCTATGAGAATCGACATTGGAGTCTTCTTGATCTGCTCGTCAAAGACTTTCCGCCACTGTCCGTGGCGGAAGCGAGGAGCTACATCGCCCGACTCTTCGGCAACGCTGAAGGTGAGATCTTGTGCTACAGCTTCCCATGGTGTGGAAGCTTTGTGATCACGAGGGGCATTGTAGTCTTCAATGTTCCACACTAGACCTAGCACACCATGTGGTTTGAGCACACGATGAATCTCTCTGAAAGAATCGAGATTCGCGAACCAGTGGAAGCCCTGCGAGGGTTTAGCTCGCTGTCGTGGAATCCAGAAGAGGGGGAGTACAGCCTCTGCGCACGTCGGAGTGGAATTTCAATAGCGATAGAATGTTCTTGCCACGATTCTTTCAAGCAACGTGAATGTGATCTCACATTCAACCCCACCGCAACGATGCGTCGACCGTACATGCAGAAAGGAAAAAGGCCGACCTACCTGTGCAACAGTGACAGCATCTACGCTCTCATCGTCAATAGTTGGCATGGAACCCGCTAGTCCGTCAACAACAGTAACACCATCCAACTGCTTCTTCGCCAGGACATCCCTCATGTCRGCGTGCGGCTCTACAGCAATAATGCGGAACTTCTCATCCCTTGCGGCGAGCGCTTCAGTGAACTTTCCCGTGCCGGCGGCGACATCCACGATGGTGGCATGTTCTTTGCCAGCGACACGCAATTGCTCGAGGAGGAAGTCCACAATACTCGCAGAGTACGTTGGGCGGTGAGAATCATACGCGGCACTTTTGGTGAAGCCTGTTTGGGCACGGGAATCGAGGCCGGAGGTAGCCATTGCAGGTCACAATATGTGCTAAAATCCCGAGCGCTGGTAATTTGTCCGCGAGTTTCAAGAGGACCGGGATCAGGATGACGGACGCGGCGGGTTGACGAAAAGGAACTGGGGCGCAAACGGTCTGGCCACGCGGCTGCGTCAAAGGCAATGGTTCGTTGGAGAGTCCTTGTTGGATTGGATGGTGCTAAGTGCTTGTCCCTGCGGTTGATATGGTGACTTGTGATGATGGTGGTGCTGTTGTTGTCTGTACCAACCTTGTCGGAGCTCATTGCTGAGCTGGACTTGGAAGTGATTTGCACAGCATGACGCCATGGAATAATTAGGTATCGGCGCGCGGCGATGAAAGAATCCGCCAGTGCGGCTCATGTGCAAATAATGCATGAACATCCTACAAGGCTACAACATCTTCTTGATGGTGACTGCCAGTAGAGGGGAAGCTGCACCGCCGTTCATGATGCTGAGGTATGCAATGGTCTCCATGTACCCGATCTCCCGGAAACTTGGTACAAATGTTACGCAGAGTGAACACCACAGGCGGGCGGTCTTGCTCGTGGCAACTTTGGAAGGTTCGACCACAGACCCTTGACTCGGAATAGGCTGTGCAAGGCCAAACACGTGCCCGTGCCCATACACACCCAACCTATACGAACCAAAGAAAATCAGATGGTTCTGGCCTTGGCAGTGACATGGAATCAAAGTATACAATCGGAGGCTGTCTGAATCAGTACGGAGGCTGAAAGTAAGAACGCCGAGGGCATGTAATGCAATGCCGGGGCCACGTAGAAAGAAAGGATCAGAGCTGTCGTGGAACTACATGGCTGGTTGACACGGTGGGACGGGATGTTATCCACACTCCTCGTATTCGCCGTTTGTCGATGACTCGAATGCTGAGGCAGAAAACATTTGATTGATGAGAGTGAACCGATCTAGAGAGACGGCGTGGACGATCCGTGTCACGGCCGGGGTGTGCGATGTTTTGATTAAACACTGGACGATACCCCCGTCAATTGATGGCGCTAGGGCCACGAATATCGATATGCAGGAGTTGATGGGAGGCTAGCGAAGGTTTAAATTGGGATACCGGCTGTTTTTGGAGACTGCATTGTAGGTCGTTCATCCAAGAATTGATGGAGTTTGTGCGCTGAAGCGGGCGAAAGTCAAAGATCGTCTCATAGAAGTCTTCGCCTGCGTTGCTGTGGCATCTTTTGAAGTCGCATTCCACCAACTAACTTCCCACGCCGCTGCGCTCTCAACCCCATCGATCTGGAGAGTCCGAAACGAGGACGAGCCGAACCGAACGATTCACTCTCTGTGAAGCTCGAGCGGGCGTGCCTGTTAACTCCCAACCCGATTTTATTGATTGAACCCGCCGGAGTTATTACGTTCTCCCTCTCACGCTGATGCTGTGAGCTGGTGTCTCCGCCGTTTTACATCTCATCAAACCTCATTTACGGCAATCTTTCCGCCAACTACTGTCCTAAGGTACGCCAGGGAGTCGACCTCGACCGCCGCGCTTGCACGATACGAATTTAGATTTCGCGTGGGAATTAGGAACACAGTCGTCGCCTCCGGCTGATCGAGCTAGAGCGAAGTCAATTCACCAACTTCCCACCACAGAACCGTCCCCATCCCATCTTTTGACTGCTGCTCTCACCACTCAGCCCTGCGTGCACCACCCGAGCAGCTGCCGTCTATGTGACGCGCCCCCACGACGAAGCGAAAGCGCAGCAGTATACATATATCTTCCGAGCGGGACGGTAATTTTAGCACATGGAAGGTTAGAAGCCAGGTCCCACCACATTCAGCGCATCCGCCCCGGTCCCCTCCCAATCACGCCCACCACCCGCCTACGACCTCCTCTCCATGCCGAAGGGCCTGAACCTCAAGGGATTCGGGCGGCGGAAAAGCTCGGGAAACATTCTCGACTTTCCATCTCCCGAGGAGCAGTCCAGCGCTGCTGCGCCGTCTTCGACTTTCCGTGTCATTGAGCGATCGGACAAGAAGGGGGTGACATATGGCGCTGCCACTGATCGTATCGTGAACCGGCCCTTCAATTCTCCCATCCACGCTCTTCGTGGCAAGTCGGAAAACGACCTCAGCAAAGGCAGTGCCCGCCAGCGCAATCCCGGCTGGCCTCAATCCGGCGCAACTCGAGGCAGCGGCGGAACGACCACCTCAGGCTCCAGCGGCTACTACGATTCTTCCTCGGCGTCGGCACGCCACAGCTCAACATCGACGTTGCCATCGTCGGTGGATCCTGATCGCCATCCCGAAGAGGACGAGCTGTTCACGCAGCGGGCGCCAGCAGCAGCCTCGGGAATGTCACAAAGCGCATCGGCGGGCGCGGACGAATACGCGCCGCTACCACACCCGCCTTCATTTTCATCACGCGCAGCCCGTGCTTTCTCGTTTGGGAAGAACAAAAACGGTGGCAGACCGTCTATGGATACAAAAGACACCCCGCCGGTGCCGCCTGCTCATCACACAAACGGAGACAATCCACGGCCAACCACAAGTGCGGCAAGCTCACCTAGGGAGCGGGCGATGACTACCAGCAGCTATGCCAGCACTGCCGTTCCCTCGAAGCCCGAGCTGAACTTGGGCAATGATTTTGGCGGCGATTTTGGCAGCAGCATGTTCGACAGCTTGCAAAAGGAGATGCCTCCGCCTCCTCCGCCCGTAGCGAACTCGTTCCACAGGACGGTGCGTATGCTGACGATGTAATTGCTAMAATTCATACTGACCAATCCCAGGAATCGGAGCCGATGTACCCGCCGAGGACCCTTTCGCGAGACACGCTGTCGAATTCCCCTTCGCTCAAGCCGCAACAACCCAACCGCGACGAAAATGCATCGCCGTATTCTTATGATGAGCCCTATTCGACAGRCTTCTCGTCGAGCTCGGCGTTAAGCTCCCCCGACCCCAGTGCCCCCAGCGGCGGCCCGACCGTCGATGGAATCGCCCAAGCTTTTCTTGGCACCTCAAAAAGCGGATACGCTCGTGTTCCCATCGGAGAACGTTGCTCAACCGACAGCTTTTCCGGTGCTGGCTTTATGGCTGACAATGGCAAAGCAAGAGAGTATGAGTATCCGAATCGACAAACGCACTTCGATGATGGTGACCGCTGGACGAAGAAGGTTGAGCTGCGGGATCCTCAAGCATCAACACCCTCCAACAGGCTCGCACCCTCACGAGGCAACGCCGCATATGGTCAAGGGGCGGCGAGCGGCTCACGAGTCGGCGCGGCCAGCCCTGGGAGCTCTGCAGGTGGATCGTGGGCCGGCGCAGACTCCATGACAACCACACCGCGAGCAAATGGCCGGATAGGCTTGACCCAGGACGAAGGATCATTGTTCGATGCTTCTTCCTCCGGACCTGCGTCTCGGGCAGTGCGGCCTGTATCGCGAGATCAACGTGCCAATGACACACCGAAGAAGATGACAAAGGCACAATTTCAAGCTCTACAGAAACGCAATGAGAGCAGTTCAGAGCACAGCGAGGAAGAAGAGAATGCTTCGAGCGACGAATACGACGATGATGACGATATTGAAAGAGTAAGGAAGCTTGCGGCACAGCGGCGACAGCAAGAGGCCACAATGTCAGTCTATCGCCAGCAGATGAAAAAAGTCACTGGCGGTGGACCCACCGACCTTCCTTCTTCCGGGGCTTCGGCAAGACCTGGCAACGACCGTAGTGCCAGCAGCGCATCTGGTCTCTACTTCGGCGGAATCAGCGGCACACCACCAACGGAGACGGTCAAAGGCAACACCAACGGTGACGATGAAGATGTGCCGCTTGGAATTCTGCAAGCTCATGGCTTCCCCAGCGCCAATCGACCCCCAATGATGGGTGAGAATGACATGCATCAGCGGCGGACGTCTATGGCTGGTTCTGCAATGGGAGGTGGAGGCGGTGGTGGTAATCTGCCAGCGTTCGCTCGCAAGCTACCTGCTGATCCTTACTTTGGCGCCGGCTTGGTGAATCAGAGCGCCCGCGAATCATTGGCCATGAACGGCACTAATTCAGTATATGGGATGCCAACTGGACCCATGCCCATGTCACAACAACCTACGGGACACCCAGGTGGACTTGTTGGTGTCATTGCCGGCGAAGAGAAGGCGAGAGCTGCCAGACGTGGTAATGCCCACACCGCTGCAGGGACATTCTCGACAATGGGCAACATGAACATGAACATGAATGCACCACCACAGATGGGACGTACCATGTCAATGGGCAACCTTGCTCCGCCATCGGTATACACTCCCACAGGCATTCCTCCCATGCCAATGATGCCACCGATGGGAATGCCTCAAATGGGACAGATGCCAATGACGCCGGGAATGGACCCTCAAATGCAGCAATTCATGCAAATGCAGATGCAGATGATGCAGAACATGATCAATATGCAGCAAGCACAGCTGGGTCAACCTGGTCAGCCTCAGCAGGACAATGGCTTTCTTGGCGCGAATCGACCCATGTCCATGGCCAGCCAGCAAGGCTACCCGGGCGCACCTCCGAATCAAGGACGCTCAATGACCATGATGAACCCGCCCGCTGGATGGAACTCCAATCACTCGCCAAGTCATAGTCGACCTGCGAGCGCGATACCCCCCACAGGTTCCTACGCACCCTCCATGAATGGGCTCACCGTTAACGGCGGTGGGCCGGGAGCAGGCTACACGCCTTCCATCGCCCCCAGCGAGCGCAGTAACGTGGGCATGCCAAGTCGCTATCGCCCTGTAACTCAATATGGAGACGCAGCTGGCCGTTCGCCGAGCATGACCTCATCCCATACCTTGCAAGCGTTTACCAACCAACAGTCAGCACCCGGTCCTGGGACTCCCTACAACGGAACACAAGCGCAGACTCCCAAGTCTACCATCCGGGTTGTGGACAAGTCAAAGGGTGGGCCAAGAATGTCTTCTGTTCGCGTTGACGTAGAAGACGAAGATGAATCATGGGCGGATTTGAAGAAGAACCGCGAAGTTAAGAAGAAGTCTCGCTTCACTTTTGGTCGGGGAAAGAAGGAGTCTGCCTCCCAGGAAAAGCCGCTCAGTGACCTTTACCAGAATATGGACTAGTCGTCCTCAATCCGGCTGAGGGTGAATTGTGCGACAGGGACGACCCATCGTCGCGTTACGGACTGAGTGATTGCAAGCGTTGGGCAACTCACACGACGCGAGAACTATTGAAAGGAGTTTTAAAAAGAGATGGGGTGTTCACTGTTCATATTTTTGCAACCCGGGAAGGTTGGCTCTTTGGAATTACTGCATTGCGATGGGATGGGACCGAGAAAAGGGAACGATTTTGGATATGTCCATGGCAGGCTTGCGAGCAGACCTTTGCTTGCTTGAGACGGTCTGGGGTGAAAAGGTGAATGGCGACTTGTGTGAGGACGCTGTTCCTCTTTCTGTTCGGATCGCATGTGTAGGAGTGGGTTCGTTTCTTCTTAATTCATCGAGCGGGTGAGTGAGGACGAGCGAAAGTGAGAGGGCAGGAACTTCGTCGACTGTGTCAATACATTAATTTGAGCGCATGATCTTCCGCTGTCCGTGTACCTTTCATGCGGATGATCAAACTAGTTCATTCATGGCGCTAATATAAAGCAGCCGCTCTCCGCGGATCCCGCCGACCAAACACTACCTACCTACCTACACAGGGCAGCCCATATAATTTTCCAGCATCAGACTTTGTCGCAATACTCAACAGAATGGACAACAAACGCGCTGTGAAGATCACATCTGCGGGGTCAGGTAAGTTTATACGTGCTCGTGCGAATCATTCCAGACATTGAGGCAAATGGTATGCAGAATATACCCCCAAAGCCGCCTCAGCTCTGGCACCGATTTTCAAAACAGATCCTGTTATTCGCTACATGCTTTGTTCGCTATCAGAGACTGCGAGAAACGAGTGCCTGGGGCCTTACTTTCGTACGTTGACGAAGGCTGCTGCTCTCAATGACGCCGTGTTCGACGAGGCGAACGATTGGAGTTGTATCGCCATCTGGATGCCCCCTGGTAAACGAGTAGATAATCCTTGGACGATTCTTYAAGCTGGGTTCATCGGGAGCCTTTTCAGACTCGGCATAGGAGGTTGTAGGGTATGTCTCTTGCAGTGTTCATGTTTCCGGAGGAAATGCTGACTATATGTGTAGAGAATGTTGCTGGATTATCAATCGCAATCGGACGCTTGTAAGAAGCGTGGTCTGCCGAAGGATGTTAAAAAGTACTGGTATTTGTTCTTCATCGGCACCACTGAGGAGGCGAGAGGACAAGGACTTGCGTCGCAAGTCATCCGCAGGCAGCAGGAGAAGGCTGCGAGCGAGAATCTGCCCATCTGGCTGGAATCTACCACTGCTGGTTCGAGGGAAGTTTACAAAAAGTGTGGGTTTGAAGTTGTGGGCGAATTTGTGTTGGGAAAGGGAAGTCATGCTGCGAGCGGAGAGATGGAGAAAGGAGGGCCGGGTGTGACGGTTTGGGCCATGTTCTGGAGGCCTAAGAATGCTAAGCCCACAGATGAGTGAAGTAGTCTTATGATTGAATGCCTGGCCGCGTCAGGTGAGGATGGCTTGTAAAGGCCTCAAATGAGTGCATACAGCCCCAGTCCTGCATACAGCAAGCTGAGCGGGAAGTCCGAACTAATCCGCGTCAGCTGTCGACAGAACGGAGTGCGCATATTGAATGAAAACCTCCCTGTTTCTTTAGCGTACTTCCTGTATGCGGAATGTCCTTTGTAAAACATGCCTTGCAAAGTACTAAAGAGGCAAGAACACGCAAATTCATCCCGGTCATTGCAGCTTCTTTGGCTTTTGCCTTACAAGCCTCAGATGATGCTGTGTACTCGATCGCACCTTAGACTTACGGGTCTCCATCAACTTTTGGCGAGTCTTGGCCTCCTATTCTTGGCGCCACATCCTCGCCTTCTCGCCGCGGCTGYACTGTGGTCGTGCAGTGTGGAAGAGGTTCCCCAAGAGAGAATGAAGCGAGTGGCCTCTGGATTCATCTTTTCACCGATAAGGGACATGAAAAACCAAGGGCTTATCGACGCTTTTGTGGACCAGCAAGGCGCTTGCCTAGCAATGTGGTCCAGCGCAAGAGGTTGTGGTTGGCCGTTATGGAGCGTTGTATGTAGTCGTCGTTGCCGTTGTCTTTGTATGGCGCCGAGTTCCTGCCTTTTTTACCGGGCCGATGACCCGCTGGAGCCAAGATCGTCTTCACCTTTTGCCCGCGCCCTTCCACACCACTTCAACTATCTTCCCTTTCTCCCAGCAGCCTCTGATGCTGCGCGGACAGCCTCCTCCACTTCCTACGATGATCGCAGTGGAGAGTTGAGGCATGATGGCGTCGTTCATGCAGCCACAAGCTGTCCTGCGTGATCTGTAATGACTTGTCTCGCAGGGGAAACGGGAAATTGCCATTTCGCGGAAACGGAAGAGCTCAAGTACAGTACCAAGCAAAGTGAGCAGCAAAGATTGGCTGGGGTCTAAAAATTGGTACATGCTACCTTCCTGCCGCACTGCCGCGACGCTCACCGGCAGCCCACAAACGAAAGTAATTTCACGAGTCACGATGGAACATGTTACAATTTGGGGACCGCCAAGCGCAGACAGACAGACCTCCCTCCTGGTCTGGAGAGAGGCTGCCGATCGCTGGCATGGCTGTTGACGTTCATATAATAAGGTACAGAACGCTTTTGCAAGATTGAATCACTCCTATCGTTCATTTTAATCCGATTCACTACAATCATGTCTTTCATCAACAGTCGTACCATGCTGGCATTGTCCGGACTGTTATCTTTCACAACTGCATCGCCTCTCGTTGCGAGAGATGTCACGACTGCCAACGCGGAAGCAGCTTWCAATACCCTGCAGCAATGGTATAACCAGTCTACAGGCATATGGTCGCCAAGTACCGGATGGTGGAACTCCGCCAACTGTAAGTCATCCTCATCGATGCATCAGTCATTTCTGACACGGCATAGGCTTGACGGTAGTTGCGGATCTTGCTGCGATAGATGGCAACATCAAAGGCAATGCGGAGGGAATCTTCAGAAACACCTATTCGCAGGCTCCAGGATACAACCTGCGAATGGCCAAGACGATTGGTGCAAAGAACGTTACAGAAGGTTGTGAAAAATGGATGATACACACTTACTATACCGACCGTGGCGATTGGCCGACTGATGTTTCGGAGACTCGAAAGAAAGGCGGGTTCCTGAACGAGTACGTTGCCAGACTACCTTGACGCCGGATGTACAAAGCTCACTGTGTTTCTAGCTTTTACGACGACGAGGGTTGGTGGGCTCTTGGATGGATTGCAGCCTACGATGTCACGGGCAACCAACAATATCTACAAGAAGCCGAAAAAATATTCGCGGACATGCAAGCGGTCTTCGGCAAGACCAACTGCTCTTCCAACGGTCGTGGATCTGGTGGGATTTGGTGGGACCGACCGAAAACTTATGTCAACGCCATTGCCAACGAGCTTCATCTCAGCGTTGCAGCCCACCTGGCCAACCGAGTCGGAGGTAGCAACTACCGCGACATTGCACTCCAGCAATGGAACTGGTTTCTCGGAACAGGAATGATCAACTCCGGCAACCTTATCAACGATGGTCTCGACAAGAGTTGCAAGAACAACGATGGAACTGTGTGGTCTTATAACCAGGGTGTAGTACTTGGAGGTCTAGCCGAACTCAGCCGAGCTACGGGCGATACTTCATACATATCAAAGGCACATTTGATCGCCGACGCGGCGATTGCCTCTCTTGCTCCAGATGGCATCCTCAAGGAGGTATGCGAGCCCAACTGCGGTCTAGATGGGCCTCAGTTCAAGGGCATCTTTGCGCGCAACCTGATGCTCCTGCACCAGGCTAGCCCACGGCAGGAGTACGCAAGCTTTTTGGAGAACAATGCCAACAGCATTTGGAAGAACGATCGTAATGACAGGAACGAGCTCGGTCTCGTGTGGAGCGGTATGTGACGACTGACTACAGATGTTGAACGTCTTCGACCAGAGTGCTGACTTGCTCAAAGGGCCTTTTCAATCAACGAATGCAGCAGCACATAGCTCCGCCATGGACGCTCTTATCGGAGCCCTGGCCACTTGAACTTCGCCAGGCGCGAAACGATTTCCTTTTACATTTTTCTCTTGAGCACTTTAGCGTACATTTGTATCCAAGTTTGACTATTACACCACTATACAATAACCCGACATCACTTCGGAGTTCATCCTTTTGACACAGGTATACGGCCTGATCTCGAGCAAGCGGACTCCGACAACTGACCCGCGGCTCTACACGTCCTTTGTCCTTCCACCGAGGATCCTAAATGCTATGATGGATTCGCAGAACTGCGGAGCAATAGACATATCGGGGTGGAGATCTACCCTGCGGAGCAATCAACTGGCCGTTACAGAGCTCATGCTTCTTGGCCTTGCCTTATACAGACGTGCAGACACCAGATTGGGACATATCTCCTCTATATCTTTAAAGCTGCAGCCTACAAGGTAATGACGCCTTCTTATCCCGATCACGCTCTGCTACAGGCCGCGGAGCCCGGAATTCGTTCATACTCGGTCGGAGGCCCCGCACTCTGGGATTTCAACCACAACAAACAACCTCACAGGTGACAGGCCATGCGTTATCAACAAATTACACGCCGCACCTCGGCTTCATCTCTCTGCTTCGCCAAGCACTAAATCATTACCGTAAGTTCAAGTTCATCTAAGCTTTGTGGTGCGGAGATCAGCGTCCACGCACGAGTGAGCCAATCGTCGTGCTCCAACCATCCCTTGCCTCGGCCTCGGACGCGCGATTGTCGTGGCGATCGAACATTTAATTGAAAGTGGAATCCAACCCATCTTGTTTGTACATCTCTTACTCTCCTTCACGTCGCAAGATATACCTCCGTACGCAGACGCAAAGATGGCCTGGCAACCCTTCCCGGAAAGCGAGGACAATTACGATGTGATCATCATCGGTGCTGGAATCTCAGGAATCAACTTTGCATATCGTCTCCAGGAACGCACACCAAACCTCAAGTATGCGATTCTGGAAGGCCGCCACGAGATCGGTGGCACCTGGAGCTTGTTCAAATACCCTGGTATGCATAATCTACGCTGGACTCGTCTCAGCTTGGCTAACATTTTGCTTCAGGAATTCGATCCGACTCTGATCTCTACACATTTGGATTCGCATGGCGTCCGTGGCGTGAAAAGGACTCGATCGCCCACGGTGATYGCATCTGGAATTACATGAAGGAGGCTGCGGAAGAGAACGGCATTGACAAGAAGATCAAGTTCAACACCTTTGTTGACCACGCCGAGTATGCCGACAACACATGGTCACTGCACACTTCTGGGGCTGCGAAGAAGACATACAAAGCTCGCTTCATCATGATGTGCACCGGTTACTATGACTACAAGAATCCCCTCGAGACTCACATCCCTGGTATCGACAACTTCAAGGGCCAGGTCATTCACCCACAGTTCTGGCCCGAGGATCTCGATTACGCCAACAAGGAAGTTGTCATCATCGGTTCCGGCGCTACAGCCGTCACAGTACTCCCCGTAATGGCCCAGACGGCCAAGCATGTCACTATGCTTCAACGATCGCCTAGTTATATCATGGCAGCTCCTCGAGAGGACGTTGTCGAGCGTTTCCTCAGGAAATGGTTCTCATGGGCGCCCTCGTTCCAGGACAACGCTTTCCGACTCAAGTGGATCCTGACCCCCATGATGTTGACCACATACTCTCAGTACTTCCCTGAAAGGGCGAAGAAGATGATGTACGACCTCACACGCAAGCAGCTTCCCGCCAACGTCCCTCTCGACCCACACTTCACACCAAGCTACTATCCTTGGGAACAGCGTCTCTGTGTCTGTCCCGATGGCGACTTTTACAAGAGTCTGAGGCAGGGCAAGTCAAGCATTGCCACCGGACACATCGAGACCGTCACCGAGGACTCCATTAAGCTCAAGAGCGGGCAAGAACTACACCCAGACATCATCATCACCGCCACCGGGTTGAAGTTGAAGTTCGCGGGCGGAATGAAAGTGACCGTCAACGGCAAGCCTTTCGAGATCCCCGAGAAGTTCACATGGAAGGGCGTCATGTTGGAGGATCTGCCCAACGCCGCATTCGTGGTTGGCTACGTCGATGCTTCGTGGACTCTAGGAGCAGACGCAACCGCGCAAATGATGACGAGAATCCTGAAGAAGATGGAGAAGGAGGGTGTGGTTGAGGTCATCCCCAGGAGAAGCGAACAGGAGAAGCAGACGATGAAGGAGATGAGCATCCTGAGGCTCAACAGCACATATGTCAAGAAGGGCATGTCTCAGCTTCCCAAGTCTGGTGACTCTGGTCAATGGGTGCCAAGATCGTACTACTTCAAGGACATTATGATGGCATGGTTTGGTGATATCAAGACGAACATGGAATGGGTGCGAGCGGTGTAGATGAGTGAGTGTATATGGGGGGGGGGGGTTTTTTGTCCACGGCGTTCATATATCAGCGGCGCATAGCCAGCATGCATTGTTAGAGGTCAATTGCTTTAATAGACAACGTTCGAACTTGTAAACACTCCATGACACTCTCACACTTGTATACATAGCCTCTTAAACTTGCATAGATCACCACGCAAAAGCAGCTCAACGATGATAGCAACTTCAATATGCATTGCTATCATGTTGGTGTTGCGATGAATTTACCTTTTATACGGGCTTTCTTCGGGAGGTGATCCCTGATTCGATCCCTGCACATGCAATGCATATTCCTTCGCCCTTCCTCCTTTGCTCCCTCTGATAGGTGAGATCGCATTCGCAAACTCATCTCGGCGATGAACATCAATTGAGGTCAAATGTGCCTGTGATGCGGTGGGTCAACGACGGCAGCACCCCAGGATATTATCCCATGCTGATCTACTTCACGAAAGGCAGTACCGTACACGTATCATCGCCGGTGCATGTACGATAGCATTACTGCTTACGATTTCCCTCCTCGGTGGCACATCACGCGTAGGAATACTGAAAGATGACATAGATGTAGAAACTCAACTGGCATCATCAGACGATGTGGGAGCATTCGCCGTGCTACGGCCCCAAAGCTCAAAATGTAGCGTCACGAAGCTATCTATGCTCTATGGAACCCACCGCGTTCCTCAACTGGAGCATGCTCTCCTGACCCATCGTCGACACAGTGAGCGCTGGGGCTGCGGATATGAAGTTCTAGAGCGTGATCTCACGTCCCGGAAGCTGTTCAGCAAACAGTACTACCTCATGTCTATTATGTTGCGGGAACTGGCAAAGCCAATAGAAGAGAGACAAGAATGGCTCTTGTGGGTCGATGCCGACTCTATGATCCTCAACCCCGCCCTCTCGCCAGAGATCTTCCTGCCTCCAGCTCATCTAAAGGATGTCTATGCACTTGCAACAGCTGACCACAACGGTCTCAATTCCGGAATATTCTATCTCAGAGTTCACCCTTTGGCCCTAGACTTACTCACCCAAACTGTTGCTTACCCTCTCTCCCACCCCGAGGACGACCTTGGATGGTTCAGTGAGCAAGCTGCCATGGCAAAGGTTATCGAGTCTAGGGAAACAAACCAGACGTCACAAGCATATCCTGGAATAGTCTGGATGCCTCGGGTATGGTTCAACGCTTACGAGTTCGAGTTCGGATTCGAAGGCAAACCTGGCCATATGATGGTGCACTTTGCGGGCCTGGGCGAGAAAAGACTTTTGCATATATCAAATTGGCTGGAAATCCTAGAGCAGACTCCTGGAAAATGGGAAGCGCCTTTGGAGAAGACTTTTTATAAAACGGCAATCTCGGAATTCTGGACAGATTTTGAAGCGAATTATACGAAGCGAAGTTGAAGTGTATGCCCGACACACATCCACAAGATAAGCCCTGGACGACAGCCTAGCTTGATGCAAGATGTTGTAGATCATCTCAAATCGAGGTCGAGGAAGCAACCCGCCACCAAATTCGACTTGCCGGAGCAGCGATTCGAGCGAGACGCCTGGAGATGTAGCAATGTTCTCATGCAAGACTACGTCGTAATGTTCGACGAGCCCCTGCTTGATGCCTCATCAAGCAAGGTCTTCTTTGGGGTGGCCACAATCTTGACGTGCAGATCCTTCTTGTGAATTAACTCTTCGAAACCTTTCTCGGCGAGGTCTTCCACCAATATCCGGCTCGTAATCATCTTCCCTACACCCTCGAACTTGCCCGCCACAAAATCCTTGGTGACCTGCTCAAAGTCCTCGTGGTCATATGCAATCGAAAACTTGATAGTCATCTCCTTGAACATGGCTGGTGCCATTGGCATAACGAACTGGATCTCCATCAGTACTGAATGCGACTTGCTTGGCAAGAGGTGTGCGTACCGGTTTTTCCCAGCCAGCAACGTTCACATAAGTTGCACGTGTCCTTGCTGCATCCATGCCCGCCTCAAGACCGGCCGGTACACCAGCGCAGTCAAATACGACGTCCACTCCAAGGCCACTAGTCAGAAACCTGCATCCCTCGCCAATATTGTCAGTGATTGGATCCAACACATGATCTGCCAGATCTCGCGTGTGCTCCTGTCGTAACTTGGACGGCTCGGACACGATTATTTTGTCGACGCCTACAGCGCGCAGATTCCATATCACACTCAAGCCGATAGGACCACCACCAAGGACCAGCACACTGAGCTTTGAGTAGTCCTTGATACTGGTCACCGCGAGAGCATGACGGCCAACACACAACGGCTCTATCAAACTTGCTTCGTCCATGTTCACGTCGTCGGGAAGAGGGTAGCACATTTTTGGTTCGACTGCCGCATATTCCGAGAAACCCCCGCTGTTTCCGTTTAATCCAAGGAAGCCCCATTCACCACAAAGATTATCGATCCCACTTGCGCAACTGTGGCATGACTTGCAGTTGATACGTGGGTCGACCATGACGGCCTGTACATATCGTTAACACCGATCCTTCCTTCACATGTGACGATTCCAACCTGGCCAAGCTTGAGATCCGACCCTTCGGCGGTCTTCACTATTCGTCCGCAGAATTCATGGCCGAGGATGACGGGTACATGGGCGCCTGTAATTGTATGTGGCTTTTCTTTCCTGTTCACCACCAGCGGTCCTATGAGATACTCGTGGAGGTCAGTCCCGCATATCCCTGGCGAATGTCAGGTTGGCATTTATTTGGGAAGACAACGTGCAATGCGATATATGAACATCTCATAACAGTGTTGGGAGTACACTGACCGCACCATTCAACTTCGATCAGGACTTCACCCGCCTTGGCTTCTGGTACGGGAACATCCTCAACTCGAATATCGCCAGCGCCATGGAATCTAGCAGCTCGCATTTCGTCAATGTGATGTAAGAATGAAAGGGAATTTGAAAATTGTGTTTCCAAGATTCTTTGGAGCAGCGAGCTTCTTGTACCTCCTCCATTGTCAGCTGTAGCCGTAGCCGTAGCCGTACCTCAAGTCATGCCCCGCACGCTGACAGCCATGTTGGTTGTGAGATATCCACTTGGCTCCTTACACCGAGCCTAGCTGGAGTCGTTCGGTCGGTCGAACACAGTATGCCGGTGAATATTTAGCTCCAATGCCGCCGGTGCCTTGAACCCTGCGTGACCAAACATTTTTTCCTAGTTTAGACAGTCCAGGTAATCGCTAAGCACGTGGGTCCTGCGAGACATACGTGCACGAATGATCAACTGATGCCCTCGTATTCGACAATCCCAACAAATGTTCGCGTTTGTCGAATGCGTTCAGCGCATGAAATGGCCTTTTACATCGACTCAAGATGCTTGGCTTGTAGCTCCAGAGTCCTTGGTAGAACTCTTTCTCAAGATAAACCCATGATACTCAAACGAGCCCTTATCGTTTGAGAGGTACTCCATGTCAAGATCCCAAATATTGTCCCGATTAAGCAAAGGCTTCATGAAATGTGGCTGTCGATACGTGACGTACAAGAAAACTCCGTCGTCTTTGAGAACGCGATGAACCTACCTTCCCATCTCAGCAAATGAAGACGAAAAAAAAAAAAATGATGCAAAGGAGGAGACAGGATATCCTACCTCGTTGATATATCGACCAGTGTTGTCGAGAACCTCATCAGGTGGACTCCATGGTGAGCCATGAATCATGGCATCAAGCGTGCCCTTGTCGAACGCCACGTCAAAAGACTTGCTAGGCATGTCGTGCATATCGCGAACGTCGGCAAGCATCCAAGAAATGCCAGAATTTGCGTCATTATTATTGCGGCTCGTCATCAGATCAACGACGGCGTGGGAGAAGTCAACACAAAGCTGGTTGGTAAAACCTTGAGCTGAGAGCTCGGAAGGAACGGTCTATCGGGCAATATTATTAGCTGGTGTGTGCATCCCGCAAGACAATCGATTAGACAGACGCTATCTCCTGACCCGAGATGCAAGATCTGTGGGTTTCCCTCGTTGGCTTGGAGTGGGAATAGATGGCGTTGAAAGAATGGCTCCAGCGCGGCATAAGTCTGGAACCATTCGTGAGTTGGGTTCACTCCGTCAGACTTTGAGTCGTAGCGAGCGTTCCAGAACTCTGGAGTCGCCAATTGCCTTCCTTCTTCATCGTTGCCCATCTTCCTTCCGAAACAATGATGTTGTAAGAAACTACTGAGGGAGTGCAACAAAACTTTGTCGAGAATCCCGAAGAGAGTGCTCGGATCACATTCTGGCTGGTGCTCACGTTTCCTAACCGGCCAGCACAATGAATGCCATGTTGCCTGTACTCCTACATGCTGAGCGAAGAACAACGATGAGCGATGCGATCTGAAAAGCGCTGTTGACTCCTCGAACATAATTTGTATTCACATTGGTCCAGCACTTGTCTGCTATCAGCTATTACATACATAGTAAGCCACTTCTCGACCCCGTCGTCTGCTTGCAAATGTGCCTCACCATAGCGAAAGAGTCAAACGATCACTCCACCTTTCATGCATCGAAGATCAAGAACAGCTGGCAATCAGGGCATCAATCTTCCGATTAGCATGCTCCCGTTCGGCTCTTCCTCGACAGTGCTCCTCCCAAGAGGCCGCTGAAGCATCTAGCACTCCCAGCAAGACCTTTTCGAGATCCAGCAGCTCCCGAATCTTCTCGTTCTTCTTCTGTTGCAGATTTGATATGTACTGCTTGTACTGCTTCTTCTGTACTTCTTCTTCCCGCTCAATCAGGATCAACTCCCGTCGATAGTTGTCGTCGATCATGATCTCGGCGGAGGCCTCCTGCCCAGCGACGTACCCAGTCACGACGCGAGCAATCCTCACGAGTTCCYCATAGAGTCCAAGCTGATGCAGCTTCAAGCCTTTTCGCCATACACGTAAATCTTCTTCATCTCCTTCCGACGACTGCGAGCTAGGCTCCGGCTCTTCGAACATCTCCGGCGTGCCACCTGAACACGAAACTGGTGAAGAAATCTCCGAGACTTCTTTGGAGACCTCGGTCTCCTGGCTGCAGTCGTCCACGAGGGTCTTGTCTGGGTCTTCGTCGACAGCACGAGTAAAGGCAATATGCTCACGGATGGCCGCAACCTGCTTTTCAAGATCTGATGCAAACTTGTTGGTGAATTCGGGAGCTGTCACTGTCTCGGGGGGCTTTGTCGGCACTTTCTGCACTGGCGATCGCAACCCTATATTAGATCTCGTTGCTTTCTCAACAGCAGGCTGTCCGAGGTCATAAGCTAAGTTGAGCGTCCGCTGGAGTAAATGTTCTCCCTGCTGAGCACCGTAGACGAAGCCTTGAGATTCTTCGCGTGATGATGCAAACGGATCAGATCCGGCTGGCATTTCGATGCGCCTGTTCATCACCAAATCTAACTCCGCCTCTGTGAGTTTGACATGCCGCATAGTCTTGGAGCTCGAGCCTGAAGGGCCGGGCAGTGCCTTCTTGTTGCTTGGCAGGGCTGGTGGCTGATGCGAGGGCGGCACCGAGTAAGCGGCATCTTCGATATGATCGGCTAAGATCATGGGAGTTTTGAGGTGGGGCGAAGTTTGCTGAGAGCGGACTGAAGACTCGTCTGCTTGTTGCGAGAACGTTTCAAGGACAGTAGAAGCCTCGGCGACATCCATATCAGGTGGTACTGGACTGCCATTTAAGTCGACGGTTTGCGAGTTCTGGGACAGTTGACGATTCGATTTTCGTCGAGCATTATTGAGACGTCTGGGCTGCTCGTTCCGAGTAACTACTGGGTTGATGGGCCTTGGAAGGGGGTCGGCCGTCTTGAAAGGACTCGGCTCCTCAGGCGGCTGGGGCTCAGAAAAGTGGTCTTTTGACCCCACGGCCGTCGCGAACTTTACGCTTTGCTTTTTAAACGCCGTTGCAGTGTGCTCAATCTCCGGCTGAGCGGGAACGAGTGTCGTTGTCTTGGGATGACTTGTAGTAAGCTCCTTTGGACCCACCGAGCGTCGAGCATCGACAGACTTTCCTGCTTCCGCCTTGTTCGATATCGCAATGTTCGAAGAGAAAGACTCGGTGTCAATCTCTACCTTGGAGCTTGTCGCTTTCGCACGTTTCGGAGGTGGCCCTTCGGACGCATCTGCTGGCATTGGTTGTTTTGCGGCGGACTTGTATGGGCCACTTGAGATTGACGTAGTCGCTCCGGTTCCTACTAGCTCTGTCGCTATGATTGGGTCGCGTTGAGCTGTCTGTGATATTCCTGTCCTACTTCGCGATTGTGTTGCTGCATATGCGGTGGAAAACGGACGTGACACTGCGGTGGCTCTGTTTGGTTCGCTTGTTTTGACTTCTGTAGCCATTTGCGGCGAATGTATTTTGCGTTGTGGCGGAGGCATTATGATCTGGGAAGCAGTAGGTGCTTGCTCCAACTCTGCATGCAGCTGTTKACTTGGCGACGGCGAGTTGATGAAGTTCTCCAAATCGTTGATAGTGTTGAATCCGCTGTCATGATCTTCGTGATCTACTTCAGTCGCATGCATTCCCGAACCATGCTCACGTTCTTCTGAAGCTGACACTGGGAGTTGAACAGCGTTGACGGTGAAAGTGGTACCGACTGGTGCTTGTGGTCTGCTTTTAGCCAGCCCCGCAAGGGCGTCGTGCACATCGTAGGCTACATTGCTGGGTGGTGCAGCAACATTAGATTTCCCACTGCGCACACTTGTCGCAACAGATGACGCTTTCTTCCGCGCCATGTTGATGACACTTCCGGTTGCAGAGCCCCAATTCAGGGGAACAGTCGAGGGAGGCACGGAAGCGTTCGTGTGCCACGACTTTGGAACTGAGCCTTGATTGAGAGGACCTGCTTTGCCAAATCCGATGATTTGTGTGTTGCGAGACCGACCAGTACCACGACGCGACTGTGACCCAGCATACGAGAAAGCCCTGGGCGGGCTAGATTGCATAGCTGCAGGGGTCTCAAGTCGAGTAGCTGGTCTTCGAGACACCTCAGGCGACACGTCTGGCAACAGCCCAGGTGGTGGAGAGCCGTATTCAATGCTTGAGCTCAACTCGCTGCCGTCGGAGAGGACGATTGCATTGAACTGACTGCCTGTTGGATTGGCATTGTCTGGCAGGGAAACGGCAGGTTCGATGCTTGTAATCGGGCGAGAGCCCACAGAGTTGACCTCCTGACCCTGACGCGCCTCGTTTCCTTGCAAATGCTCACTCCGCCGAACAACTTGAGCGATTTTCTCGTGCGGCTTCACAGAGTCACCGGCAGATGAGGCTTCGGCATCAGGTTTCTTAGCGTGATGAGGCCCAGCTCCATCGACAACGACAACTTCCTCCTTCCCATCGGCTTCCTCCTCGATTTGAGGCTGTCGCATTGGTTTCCTTGGGCGAAGCTGTCGTCTCTGGCCCTCATGCTCATCAACAGGCATCTGACTTGGCTTTTCCTTGACTGTCGCCGAAAGTTTCTCGGGTGCCGCAGTCTTTATCCCAATGGCGGCCGTGGCGGCCTCTAAGACAGGCCTGCTGATACGCTTTCTTGCTGCTTTGATGGGATCAGCTTCAGTAGGTGACCCAGGAAGATCGAAGACGTCACTCGATGGACGATGATCCGAATGATGTGCCGCGCTCACTGTCGGCGAAGCGATCCTGTTGCGCATCGCGGGTTTCGCTCGTTTGTTGACATGGTCAGGTGCATCAGTGCTCTTACTCTCTCCATCGACCATCCCGGACCCGGCTTTGCGCTTGCGATCAGCAGGCTTGATTTGAGGAGATTCTCGAGGATACGAGCGAGTCGAGGGGCTGCCTTTGGCGGTAGTGCGAAGAATTGGATCGCCCTTCATTGTGTCTTTGACCTTGGTAGCTCCAGATGGGCCCTTTGAAACCGAGCCTACTGGGCGCGAACGGGCTCCGGCTAGCTTCGTAGCTGGACCTTCCTTTGCAACTGCTTTCTGGAATTGCTTGGTAGACGCCTCTCTGGAGTGACCGCAAGATCGCTGCTTCCTCGCTTGCAGTGCGGCAAGCGCTCCTTTGCCCGAAGGCAGCTTTCCAGTGGACCGCGTTTCCTTGCTTCCCAAAGCCATTACGGTGGTATGTGATGTTGCGTGTTCAGCTAGCGACAATGCTGTACTTACAGCATGAATGTGCGTTGCCAGGTGCTGAACGGTCGACTGTGGTGCTGTCTGCGGCGGAGCTGCCTCAGAGCCACCCTCTTTCGTTGCAGTCTCGATCGAGGCAGTAGAATGCAAAGCTACAGCTGTCGTGGGGACATGCGTCAAATCCCTCCGTTCACCTGGCTCCAGGAGGACAATTTGGCTCTTGCGTGGAGGAGTTGCTCCGTACAGATCTTCTTCGGCTTCCTGGAGTTGAGCGATCTTCACCTCTCCTGCTGTGTCAACAGCGGCGGTAGCGCTGCTATACAGGTGCGCTCCTATGGCTTGAGTATCGTGTGTGGCCGGATTTGGCTCCCTGGACGTCGTCGCTGCTTGAGCTGATTTGTCGCGTCCGAGCGCCACTGGTGGGCCTTTGACAAAACCGTCGGCGACGTCTGTAGGATGCACCTCCCCGCCGCATGCATCACCCGCAGGAGGCTCGTAAGTGAGAGTCTCCTCAATGCGGTCTTCTTCCCCAGTCTCGTCGTTCACTGGTGAAGGCGCGGATCGCGGTGGAGTGTTTTTCAAGACCGGGTCCGAGAACGAATCCAGGCTGACGTTAATAATCTCTTGGCTTTGCACTCTTCTGATGGTCGGAGCCATGGCAGGCCATGTCAAGATTACGAGTAATTGATTGGGTGCGCATGCATAGGAACGGAAAGACGTAGGAAGTGAAGTGCGGCGGAGGCTGAAGCCTGACGAAAACAAAAACGGCAGGACCGACCTTGACTTCAAAAATGGATGTGTTTTGGAGGAATTCAAACCTGATCGACAATTGGCGAAGACGAGCATTTATTCTTGCGTGCATTTCATCCTGCCATTTTCTCAAGATCTGTGTTGTAGACGCGCGTATTCGCGCCGTCGCCAAGGACACCAACATCATCCCCAATCGTTCGCTCTCCATCGCCAAACGCCGGCTCAAAGACGTTGTCGTAACTCGTCCAGACCGCCTTGAAGATCGTGGCAGTGAGCTTGGCGAGCCATGGAGGAGCAATGCCGTTCTTGTCCTGGAACATCCGACCGAGCGCGAACAGTAACAGGAAAAAAGGCACCCACATGACCGAGAAGAGAAGCATCCCAGCGCGCTGTTTATACGTCGTGATCCGATATGGCCGTATGGAGAGCAAGTACTGCTGGTACTCATTTGGAAGCCCAAGCTCAGCAGCACCATCAGTAATGAGCTTCAGGTACCGGGCTGAAGCCTGAGCATAGCTGGACCGTGGACGTTGCAAGCGACCGCCATCCTTTGGTGGGCGCTCTCCGGGCAGCGTGGCAGGCGCGAAGAGGGTGTGAGCTTTGAACGAGGGCGTGGTAGGATGTTGCTCCACAGGGACATGTACATCAGAGCTTACAAAGGGATGGCAGTCTACAAGAACATCCGCGTAAGTGGAGCCGCCGCCCTCAGTGGCTATGATATGCGCATAGTCCTTTGCAGTCACCTCATACACCACACCCACCATTCCCTTGTGCCATTCGTCTTTGCGATATCCTCGCTTCCTTGTCAACCCTCCACTTTCTTCCCTAGTAGAACCATTCTCAGGATCTCGTTTGGCGGAATTTGCGAAACAAGGCTCCAGGTAGGGTATGCCCGGCAGGTCAAATGTAAGCCGTAGGGATGGCACTATCACGTTGATCTGGGACAAAGGCTCTATGCCGCGGGCGCCGCGAAACTTTTCTATGGAGAGGTTGCTGCCATAGGCCAGATACAAAACGGTAGGTTCATTGGTTGTGTGCGTCTCCTCCACGAACTGGTTCAGATTAAACGGCCGCTCTTCCTGAGAAGCCTGCAGACGCGCGGTACATGGCGGCGGCGCTTGATGAGTATGCTGATGATGGTGCTTGGTCGTGCTTGTTGTCGTTCGACTCAGGATGGCGTGCTCGTGGTCTGCCGCGAGCGTTGATGATGGGCTGATGGTTTCAGAGATCCCTGTATCCATGACTGCACGTCGAAATGGTGATATTTTTGCTGGAGGCTTTGGCGCCAATTCTTGTCCGAGGGAGACAACACTCCCGCAAGTTACAGCACCCTACATCGCCGCCAAACAAAGCCGCATCGTCAGTGTAGGAGCAGCATTTCAAAGCAAGATCGGGTACTCGGCATCTGTGACCTCCGATGACATTGGCGCCAAGGTGAATCTCCTCGAGCTAGAGCCTGTCAATGTCATCAATCCGCAACACTCGCTCGTCGTCACATCACCCGCACAGCAGACCGCCACACGATCTCCGCATCCCAACCACCGACCACCGACCACCGACTACCGCCATGGCATCTCAAGATCGAGACACTAACAACACTTCCCCGGATCCTCACGATGCCGCTAATTTGGCCAAGGTCAGCATCAGCGCCAGCAGTGCGGGGGTCGATGGACATGGGCTGATAGCAGTACACAGGCGTTTCAAGAGCTAGCGAAAGGAGAGCAGACAGCTGCAGCACTGGAGAAGCAACTTACCGCCATGGAAGCGAAAATTGAGATGCTGTTAGCGCAGACCGAAGAGCAGCAGAGACTCACGCAACATGGAGGCGCAACTGCATCAGCCCACAATGGTTCGACAACTGGTCAGGATCAGGAGAAGCCGGACAAGACCTGAGGTTGAGAGAGGTTCRCAGTTCACTCGGTGAAACAGGCGGAATCGAATGCTCAGGGTCCGACTTGGGAATCCCACTCCAGATGAGTGTCTCGACGTACCTGTTGGGCTAAACTACCCCAATTGAGCGTACACTTATGCTGTGAATGCATACGCATCGAATGTCCTCCGGACGCGGAGGGATGGTATGACAGAGCATGAACCTCCATGCCGAGTTGTCTTTCAGAAGACCTTGCCGGGCGATTGGTTTGAATCAATCTGATCGTTGTCGGTTACGAGCGGAAACTGACTGACAAGGACGTTCGAGTGGAGACGCTTTCCGAACAGAAGGCTGTGCCTTTCCTCGGTCGCACGAACTCTGTAGCCTTTCGGATGAAGCATGCCCAACTCGGCAATCCCTGACGATCATGCTGTTGATGGACGCTGCACAGCCCAAAGTGGTGCCGTGTCCAGTCGAATCGCTAGGCCAATACGGCAATCAGCGGTTGGGGTTCCAGCAGCTCTCCCCTGTAGTCCAAGACGACTTGCTCTGCGGATTGCGACGCCTTGCCAAGATCAGTGGTCGCACTGCTATCCCAGTGCTTTCACATTCAGATAATTCAGCACTTCGACTCCTGAGTACTATCGCCAAACTGGATCAGAAAATTTATGAAAATATTCTGCAGAGAGAGGAGTCGGTGCTCGGGTGCACGTATCCACTCTGCACCCTGTTGCCATGTGGGTTTGGTCTGACATGACATCAGTAACCTGGCAAAACTTCGGTATCGATTTGCCGCGAGCGATCGAAGCTGGGCGCGCCATGAGATCTGGAAGCTCATCCATGAAGATGTACGCACGCGAGTGGGCTCGGTGGAGTCAGGCGATGCAACAGCCATCATCGCACGTTCAATCCTCCGCTCCTTCTTGCCGACCCTCCGTGTGTGGATAAATCAGGATTCGTTTCTTCCTCATCCAACCCTCTCCGAGCTCTCAACTTTGACTCCCCGATTACAGGAAGAAGCAAAAGCAGACAAAGAACACAGTCCAGTTCTTCGTTTCCAGTTCTATTAACAGCCATGTCAGCTGTGCAACACAGGCAAGGTCTGCGACCTCATGACCTACAGCTTCAAACCAAGAGTGAATTTCAACAAAGTCGACGACCTTCGACGCCAGGCTCACCCGAGGATTTGGCATCTCTTTCCATACGGCGGCCTGATTACACCTCGCGCTTCAATTCATGGACAAACCCGTCAACAGTCGACTTGGAACAACTGCGAGGGCGGCTGAACAATCTGCCCCAAGAGCTCTATGATGAAATCATGAACTTCACTTTGGTCTGCGACGCCGGCAACGACACTTTCCCAAGCTCGACTAAGAATGGATCCCCTATTGTAAACGCACAATATATTGACGAAACATACCGGCCTCCTGTTCAGCTCGCCATCAACCACAAGATCCGCCAGGAAACCCTCAAGGATTTCTACGGTCGCACTACTTTTATATTCTCCGACCATGGGGTCTTAAAACGATGGATGCGATCATTACCTATTGAAGCAATGGCTGAAATTCGACAAGCCCGTGTCGTGGAAGCCACTGCCTCCTGCATCTTCACTGGAATATACACCAGGCCGGAGCGTGCTGTCGGAAAGCCCAAGATTGGAGGAGATATCTGGAAGACCTGGGACCTGAGCATTGAAACGAGGCAATCCTGTGCCGGTAAAAGCACCAGGGCGCAGGAGTTTGCTACCGTTGCAAGGAATTGGTACAAATGGCACTGAGCAAGAATCGAGATTCGTTGGATTGAACGGCACCTTGAGGAAATCATTTTGACTAAAATTAGCGTTGATGATTTACGACCAGCATTTTCCCGCATCCCGTGGTGTGCCAATCTAGACATTGCGGCGTTGAGCTTGTCGGCAGCTACTTTTTAAGCCCTGGAGTGTTTTTTATTGGCCATCGTTATGTGTCGCATCCTCTTCACCTCGTTGGAGACGGGAGTTCACAACACATGCACATGCCCTTCAGCTGATTCGGGCGACCCTCGGCGAATAAACTTTGCGGTCGTCACTACACTCGGGTATTTTTTTGAGCACCCGCGCCATACAACAACGACAACGAGCTACACTGGACTTGTGTTCATTGTTCGCTGTGCGCGCATTAAGGGAAGTTCACACCATTGCCAAAGCCCCGTACCCAAGACGTCGCGAGCAACAGCACTCTCAGACACCTGTTCATTCGAGACTGCATAAACGACAATGGCTTCGGCCACATCAGACCACGCATCAATGATTGCAACGCCCATCTCAGCCACATTGGGAGCCGACCATGACAGGCTCTGCGAGCTTATTGGTGAATACACCGCAAGAGATATTCCACCAGGTCTTTAAGCTCATGTCCACTGTCGACAAGGCTCCATATCCCAGCGGTACCACCAAAGGCAGCATCATCGTCAACGAGGGGTCGAAGCCGCTGGCACAGCTTCAACTCAACAGGAAAACGCTCAAGCGATCTTCGGGCCTTTGGTATCTTGCTATTCCCCAGATGCGCTTACCCTAACCCGATGGATGAGATCGCTACCTGAGAAGGTCTTGGCTGAGGTTGAGAAGCTTCCTGACCACAGTTGCCGTCAGAACATGGCGATTTATGTCCACGCCCATTTCGGCCACGTCTTCGGTCCACAGCTTCCACAAGGGGAGATATCACGTTGCAGTATTGCAGATCCCTACTGTACAATGATGCAGACACGAAGAAGGCATGGCGATTATCGTATGTTGATGATATGGAGGGGATTCTGCAGGGAGTGGGTGGCATTATAGCCGATGGAAAGAAATACTGGTTCAGTGGCAACTGTCAATCTCCTAGGCGGAAGATGTCGGCAAAGGCCCCTGTGGTAGCCAACATGGTATCTGCAAGCGTGCTTCCAGGGCTCGTCGAACGGTGCGAATCGTTGATAGATTGTGTCACCTAACATGATGCCATCTTGATCATAGACCATTCATAGCGAGACCTACTTTGTGCAATCGCGATCCTCATCATTCATCAGCCGGCGATTGAGGCTTCTCATATTGTCACCAGGACGTCCACATCTCGTGAACAGGCTCAGCATCGTACTTAGACTTCTCAAAGGCCGCCCACAGTGACAGGCTTGATACCCTCGTTGTGCGCCTCCATCGCCAAGCCCAGGTCAAACCGCCCATCGGCGCCCTTCTCAACAACCCCAATCTCGGTGATGATACCATCAATCAATTCTGCAGGCGTGACATCAAATGATGGATTCCAAACATTGATCCCTTTTGCCGCAATACTGACGGTCTCCACTTTTCCCAAATCCAACGCACCAGCCTCACCCACACACGGTCCCTTCATGACTGTCATCTCACTACCAGCCCTCTCTTCGATGATAATGTCCTCGCCAGTTTTTGTGTTGAGATCAATTGTCGTCYGTGGTGCCGCGATCAGAAACTTGACACCATGAAATTTAGCTGTGATTGCCAACTGGTATGTGCCGATTTTGTTTGCCGTATCTCCATTCGCAGCAACGCGGTCTGCGCCTACTACAATCGCAGCGATGCGTTCCGAAGGACCTTTAAGCTTCAGAAGAGCAGACGCCATGGAGTCCGTGATGAGCGTGGCGGGGATATCGTCATGTACGAGCTCAAACGCTGTCAAACGAGAGCCTTGGTTATAAGGTCTCGTCTCCGTGCAAAAAGCGTGCTGCAGTGATCCGTTGGCATGCAAAGACCGAATAACACCGAGTGCAGTGCCATATCCCGCCGTTGCCAAGGAACCGGTGTTGCAGTGGGTGAGAACGCTGACTTTGCCTCCTCCGGCAGTCTTGGAGATCCATTCCGCTCCGTAATGTCCGATGCCTTTGTTGTCTGCAACATCAGCGATGAGCATTTGCGCAGCTGCTTCGCAGTATGCCTGCGTGACGGTATTTCCATCAGCACCATCCTTCTTGGCAGCTGTTGACACGATTTTGCTGAGCTTTCCGGCAGCATCGGCGAGGTTGACGGCGGTCGGTCTGCTGGTGACCAGATATTCCAATTTCTGCAAGAGGAGGGAAGCTATTTCCTGAGCTGGTCCTGTGTATTTCTGGTTGTTGTTCGTCTCCACCGCGAGGGATAAAGCGGCAACTATGGCAATGGCTGGAGCGCCTCTTGTTCGCATGTCTTTGATGGCATGCCAGCCGTCTTCTGCGCTTGTAATGGACTCATATTCTTCTTGGTGGGGGAGTTTGAGCTGATTGAGGATCTCCAAGCTACCTTTTCGGTAGCGAATGGCTTCAAGTACCATCTTTGTACCAAAATTGCAATGTCACTTGACGGTGGAGATGGGGAAAAGAAATCGGGAGACTTTGCTTTCGAAGATCCTGAAGCTGTATATGTTTCGAGTTATGCTTCATCTCGTTGGCAGAATTTGCATCAAATCCCGATTGGGCAGCGCCAATAATTGATGGCTGAATTTGGCAGTCGCGCACGTGTTGATTAAAGTAGAATTTAGGTGGAGGATGTCATGATGCGATCATTCTCCACCTGTTTGTTGGCATTGAGATGCAGTCTCAACATCCGGGTCCCTCCACTTCTTCACAACTTCATCTCTCATCCTGAAAGACAATCGTTGAAAATGGCGCCATTAACCCTCCGATCTACCGTCGCTCTTCCAAACAATGAGAAGCTTCCCCAACTCGGTTTCGGAGTTTGGGATAGCCCCTCAGACTTGACCACACAATCGTGTCTTTCTGCATTGAAGGCTGGATACCGACACATCGACACCGCACAGGTATATGGCAACGAGACTGAGGTTGGCGAAGCAGTAAAGCAATCCGGCCTTCCCCGCGAGGAGATCTTCATCACCAGCAAGATTCTCGGACCCGGTGACGATGCCGAAGAAACCTATCAGAAATGTCTTTCCAGTGTACAGAAGATTGCCGGTGATGATGGCTATTTGGACCTCTTCCTCATCCACAACGTCACATCTGGAGCCAAGGGTGTGAAGCTTCTCTGGCAAGCCATGGAGAAACTCCAATCTGAAGGCAAGATCAAGTCGATTGGAGTTAGCAATGCAGGAATTGGAATGATTGAAGGAATGAAATCGTATGCGAAGGCCTGGCCGCCAGCTGTAAATCAGTTTGAGGTATGCTATCAATCCTCTTATCTCAACCCGGCTTTATCAACTTATTCTCTACATAGCTTCATCCTTGGTGCCAGCAGCGTGAGATTGTGTCCTACTGCCAGAAGAACGGAATCGCAGTCGAAGCCTACTGCCCACTTGTCAGGAACCAGAAAGCCGAGGATCCCGAATTGAAAGGCATCGCCGACGCTCATGAAAAGTCGACCGCTCAAGTTCTCCTGAGATATTGTTTGCAGAAGGGCTGGGTTCCATTGCCCAAGAGTGACAACGCTGGGAGAATCGGTCAGAATGCTGACCTTTACGATTTTGAGCTCAGCAAGGAGGAGCTCGAAAATCTTGATGCGAAGGATCAGGGTGAGAAGGGTGCGCTGGTCATGGTCGTCGACAATGAGAAAACGACGTAGAGAGGCAGAGATGCAATAGACATAGAACAGGAACTTTCCTCAGCATGGGAACCCTGGAGATTAGAGTATTCAACCGACAGATAGCATGCTCCCTCGGAGCGAGAGAACGGCTTCTTTCTCCGAGATCACCCTCCGAAATCACTTGTCAAGGGTCAGAAGATTCCTGAGAATTCTGGCGGCATGTCTTATTTCGCCGACATCAGGCGGAGCAGGTACGGTAGTGGTAGACCATGGGGTTTTGTTATATCGAAAGCGCCGCAAAGCTTTACTTACGTAGCCATGTCTCTCATCGATAACCTTGAACTCAATCCTGCATCCATACAACTTTCCCACAACAAGCCATCGACTGCACATGCTTCAGTCACATGCGTTGACCTTGCACAATTGAAGTGATCAAAAGTTCGGCGCAAATGAGACCTGAAGCTTCCGTCCAAAGCACAAGGCCCCGTTGATCTTCTCCAGAACTTTTCCAGCCTCCTCTTCATCAACAAAGCGAGCTGTGATCTCCGAGTAGAATTCGCCGCCACTGTCATGGACATCCGTGGCGAGTTCCTCGGCTCCACCGATCTTGTCCAGAATGTCGCGTAGTGCGGTCTTGAAGTCTTCCTCCATCCAAGTCGGGACACGTGCGACTCCGAGGAAGGGAGTGGGCACTGCTGCGAGACCTTCGCTCTCCGTCATAGTACCGGCGGCTCTTCGCCAGGATTCAACGACTGGTGGCGGTGGAATGACCGGAGAGCGCTGAGGCTCCGGTGCGATCTGACGCTTGGCCTTCTTCTTGGCCTTTTGGATGCGGTTCGGCTGCAGATTGTCAGTTGCTTGCGCCTCCGAGGTTGCCAGCGGCTCTGACAGCTACTTACCACCTTGACGATTCTCTTCACTATCGAAAGGCTGGAATTCTCAGCGGTCGACTCCTTGTTGACCTCATCTTTGTGCACCGCGCCGTTGGAGTACGCGTTGTTTTTCTGGGACAGTCTAGCGAATGCAGAGCCTTCGGCCGGCGGCAGGGCAGCTGCCGTGTAGGCCTTGCTCTCGGCTCGGATCTGTGCGATCGTCTCATGTTTTTTGGCCGCCATTCTCGTTCCTGGCGGTGGAGGTGATGCTCCTAGGTCGCAGGGCAATTCGGAAGTTATGTTTACGCCGGAAGCTTGTTCAGAAGGGGATGCTGCCCGGTTACCATAGAAATATATGTTTGATGTCGACAGACTGTCAGATGTTGATAGCCTGACGGATGATATTTAAGGTGGGTGAATCCTGCCTCCTTCTCAGACGCTCTTGTATTTTCCTTCYGTGCATGTTGTACCTACCCTTAGTGACGTAACTACCCTACCTGCTGGGGGGTACCTACCCTTTATATATCTTATGCGGAGATCCTTCTAGAGCAAGCCAAGCGTTCCGACCGTTACAGGAAGAAGGAACGTAGGCGGCAATCCAAGGTTCTGAGAAGGAGGTAGGGTGAATCATAACGCAGCTCGTGCATAGCCCGAGCAAGAGAGAGATGATGGTATGCTAATGTGTTGAGGTATTGAGGACGGAGTGTTTTTGAATCCTCGCTCCGTGGTGTAATTGAAGTACTGGTGGCTTCCACTTTGGTAGCGCGGCGTTCGTAACTTTGAGAGAGAGTATTGAAGGAGAGGGATGGAGATAATGAAGAGGTGCCTGAAACTCACCCTACTTCACTTCCACACTCACGCATGTGGAAGCTGGTTCCAACATGACCATGAGACTCATATTTTGCTGTCCATGCCGCGACAGGTTGATATGCCTGCTGCATGTGTTTGCGAAGGACGCGAACGCCATCTCCTGAAGATGCGAGAAGAGTCCGTCGTCGTTTCGAGAATCTCCGTCTCCAAGGGAGAATGGTGTCTTGATCCAGCTCGACGACAAAATGCCACCACCCACCTGGAGTCTTCTCGTGGCATGACGGCTCATGCAGACAACTCACTGGCGCAGAAGAGTCCACGACGAGCTCACTCACGCTGGCTGAAATTTACTCAAGTGAGTACGTAGTCCGGTCATAGACAATGAATGCCTTTACTCTGCACCACAATCGCAAATGAACTCGTGGATGTATGTGAATGGGGACGATGGGGAATTTGATGAGCGGCTTGAGAGTGGAGTGAAGTGGAGATGGYGAATGTGGAAATCGTAAAACCAGTTTCGGCAGACTCGTATAGGAGTTATCGAGTGTTACACTCCGCAAATCCAGCGTCTTCTTGTAATGATGCTGCCTAGAATGTGTTTATGCTCCCGATACGGTAGCAAGGCGTCTTCTGTATATGGGTACATGATGTTGAGATGAATGGCGCGTAGCACAAGTTTGATTCTGAATTGACGACCACTTTCATGGGATTTGCTTCAGCGACTAGAACTGGACAGGGGTGCCGCGCTTCCCATCTCAACATGAAGGACTGTATTGAATATCAATCTAACATCCGTATATCCCTACTTTATGTAGTATGGATTGTTTTCTAGGCAGCCCACTTGATAAAGAGTGTATGGCAAGGCCTGTATACAGATCTATTGGATCGCTTACCTGACCACAGTTGCATTTCAGGCGCCTGCATTTTTATGGTCAGGGGGCTGGCGACGTAAGTTATTGCTCAGCGCGACAGGCAGCGATCATTCCAAGTACAACCTACCTTATTCCAATCCCTACCCACTTTACAGCGAGCCTCGCTGGCATTGTCACCAAGAATCATAGGATACCTAAAATGGATCAAGCACCACCGACTCTCTTGTCCCTGCCCTACGACATCCGATTCATGATATACCAACACCTGTTTCCCTCCTCGCCGCAAATTTACCTCCAGGCGTTGCAAGACCAGACCATCAAAGCCATCCTTGCTGAGGGTACCGTCCCWACAAGCATTCTCCTCGTATGCCGTGCAATCCACTCAGAAGCGGCCGGTTACCTCTACAATACCTATATTTTCAATTTGATTGGCGCAAAGGAAGACTGTATTCGTGCATACCGAGGATTCTCTCAAACACTGCAATTGCATGCTCGAGAGAAGGTCCACATCACTGCGTTCAGCAATGGCGTCCATTCCGAGACGATGTGCCTATCCTTGCACACAGGTGCTGGGAAGTTGGCGATCTTGAGACGTCGCCGTCGTGGGATCGAGACAACCTTGGATGAGATCCGGGCCGAGATACGAGCGCAGAGAGGCAGTCTCCGCAAAGGATGGGACAGTTGGGCTGCCGGCGTGCTGACGATATCCACGGCATCGCTACTCGTTGTCCTGTTGGGGTTTGTACTTCAGCAGCTCGTTTCAGCGTGAAGCAGAAGAGGGAGTTCTGTGTCATCTGCTCTGCGATTGACGCATCCTCTCTGGGCCCAGTCGCTTCCAATCCTGCCCCGCAGCTTGCGCGATATTGGCAGGGTAATCATCTGTGCATGATTCTGGTCGCCTGGAGATGTGGATCTTCTGGTGTATCGACAGGGCATCGAGTGGTTGGGATGTGCATCGACGATGGATGTGCGACCCTGCTTCGTTCTTGCGCGATCTCGCCCCTCGGCCCGTTCCTAGCGGCGCAGATCGGCTCGTTCTGGACTCTCGAGGGTCAACGGGCGCAAGGCCGAATCTCCATCGTGGGAACAATCGGCGGCAGCATCGTGTTACGCGGCGAGACACGGCATTTACAAGAGGCGKCCGACAAATGCACACTTGCGCCAGATTCTCTTCCATCTTCATCCACCCCGAAAACTTCGCGTGGTGGCTTGAAGGCCGCTTGGGCTGAACGAACATTCATTCGGTGGTGATTTGCAGAAATGCATTACAGTGAGAGACGAGCATTGTACACCACCGCGGAATTGTCACTGACAGGTCCATTTCATTAGTTCGCTTCCTCAAAACGCCAAAAGTGCACGTTGACCGTGGCAACATCTCCCTCAAGACCGTCGTTACCGCCACCACCGATCTGGGCGAGACTTTCTACCCCGACAATCTCGACATTGTCGCGACTCTGCGCTCCCCAGCGGAAGAGGGCGACATCTACCTCCGGAAAAAGGCGCAGTGGAAGGCAGGCGCTCGATCTTTGGCCATCGAATTTGACATATCGCGGCAGGACATCGATTGGCCGGCATTGGTTCACGTTGGGGTCAAGGGTGCCGCAAGCCGTGAAGATGGCTTCCTACCTCCAGTCGTCGACATCTGGTCCGGGCAACTCAATCCAACAAAGGGTCACTTTGAATCCGGTTGGCGGGTAGAAAGACGCTTCACATCCTTCCCCGGGAGGAATGTGAGTCTTCTGGAGGATGCGGGAGACAGTATTGCGAGGCATCTGTGGGACGGCAGCCAGGCGCTTGCACAGCACCTTGATCAAGCAATCTCACTTCTCCAGCCCAACACATTGCCCCTGCTTGAGTATGTCCTCATATCTGCGACGTACCGACGCTTGAATGTGATTGAGTTGGGTTGCGGATGCGGGACTGTGGGGATCAGCATTGCCCAGGCCATTCCGGAAACCGATGTGTTGCTCACAGATCTGGCTGAGGTGACTGAATTGGTCAAGGCCAACATTGCGCGCATGAACCCTGCCATGAGTTCTAGAGCGCGATTCCTTCCATTGGATTGGCTAGAGCCTCTTCCAGCAAAGCTTCAGACTCGCACCAATGATATGATCGTTGTGAGCGAGTGCACGTACAACTCGGATACACTGGAGCCACTGGTCGAGATGCTACTGACGTTGACTGTGAAAAGTCCAAAGGCTGTGATTGTGGTCTGCACCAAGACCCGACACGAAAGCGAAGCCGTCTTCTTCGATCTGATGCGGAACGCTGGCTTCATCGAAGAAGGAAGTATGCGACTTCCCCTTGCGGGCCAGCCTGGGCAAGGATATGCCGACTCAGCTACAGATGTCGGACTCCACATCTACCGCACAAAAGATCACAGATTAAGTCTGAGTCCCAGAAATCGGAGTGAAGACGAAGTCCCTACGAAGTCGACTGTTGGCGATATCGACGGCGGCTGCATATAATGGCTCTGACGACCGTAATGATGCATCTGGTCGGCGTTTATAATGGAGAGGTGATATGCTGGCATGGGAAGCGAGGCGTAAAAGGAAGCGGCGCTTGCCATGAAATACACAGAATTTGATACCCGGCTCTCTCGCGAATTTGTCACACGATCGTGGCTGGAATTTTCATTCCTTCTGACTGAATCCAATTTTCCTCTGAGCACACTGAAAAAAAGTCGGGCTCTGTGCTCAAGATATTGAGTTGCCCACCTCTGGCCAGTCCCAGTATGTAGACGCGTCTCATACAAGGCATCACATTTATCAGCTATGCTCGGCGGATGAGGTAGGTGATCTGCTTAAAAGCGTTGAGCGCAGAGGCTGAAGTCCTGGAGGCTTCGGCAGACTGAATACCTGGATCTGAAGTACCGAAAGCGCAGCAGTTTTTGGGCCACTGACGACTAATCCGACAGGCGTACATTATGGACGAGTACGAATTTGCCGCGAAAATTCATACCAGTTGCAGACTTCGTCGGAAGCGGTCGCTTATGCTGCATTCCAGCTCTTCGGCGTTCCGCCACAACAATGCCTCCTCATGTGACACGATCAATGCACATCACAAAGTAGAAACCATCAAGACAAAGGCATGCCACGTCTGCGGACGAGTATGAAAGCATCATGCTGCGTTGTATACCGTATCCGGTCGATGATGAGAACAAAGACCAACAATGCGTTCTGCGAACAGTCTGGTGGTACTTTATCAAGAAGAGTATTCGCAGCGCTTTCCTGCTGCCGTGGAACGAGTAGAACATTGCAGCACTCGAGAAAATATCTAAAGTACTCCGGTGAACATGGCGCCCAAGACAACGCCCACACAGCCCAAGGCCCGCGGCAGAAACGCAAAAGGACCAACCAACGTGGGCCCGGTTGCTGGCCCGGCCGGGAACACCAGAAGTCGCCGTGGGAACGATGGAGCCGTTGGCCTCACTCCAGGGTTGAGCTATTTTCCGACCAGGACTCGCAATGGACGGGTGACGAAATCTAGAGCCCCGAAGAAGGTAGCAGGCTCTGTATCAAAGCCAGCGCCGCCAGCACCAACGCCACGCCCCGCTTCAGAAACTACATTAGAGCCTTCGCAAATTCAGGCTACCAATTCTTCTGCTCCGGGTCCGGTGGTTCAGCAATCCGCTCAAGAAGCTTCGAGGGAGACTGCTCCTCAGACTCCGCTGCATCAACATCCCGCAACAGCGTCCAGACCGGTGGATGGAGCAGCCCCGGCGGTGAAGACAGGAGCAGCAGCCCCCGGGACTGGATCCAGCTCCAAACGTGCATCGTCACAGCAGCAGCGCTCTGGCAGCTCATCCGGAGGTAGCAAGCGTCCTACTGGTGACGAGGGTAATGATCGTAAGGGAGACTCGAAGAAGTCAAGAGGGGATGGGCCAGGATCACGCGGCGCAACAGGAAATCAACAGGCTACCCGGACGGGAGCGCCAACGCTGAATAATTGTGAGATCGCTGCAGCGGCCATAGCACGATTCGAGGAGATGGCCAATGCAGCAGGCACATTCGGCAGTATCGAGGAACCCGTCGAAGCTGGAGAGTACATGACAAACACCACGGTCTTTCGAGCTGTCGCAGCTGTCTCCGAGGCCATTTCACAGTCCGGAAGCGGCGTGGAGTTCTCGCTCATAGAAGATACAACCCTTTCTGTTGCAGCCAACTCTGCAGTAGATCAGCCAACTACTCGTCCTGGAAACGAGGTCTTGATCCCTTGGTGTCCTGGTGATAATCACATCTCATTKTACATCGTTCGCCGCAACGGGACATCGAACAATTTTCACCTTGGGCACTACGACTCTGCTGGCCGCGCATGGCACCGTGCGCCTGATGCTCGGACGCGTGCTCGCAATATGATCCCGAGGGTGCTAAATCAGACAGGCTGGAACAGTTCCGGGGGAAACGCAGTTTCTGTGATCGGCGTCGACGCCAACCGCACTCGGCAGCTTCGTAATTGGGAATGCGGCCTGCATTCAATCTTTTCGGCGTGGGCATACGCTTTGGGGCTTGAGCTTGCTGAAGAAGCACAAGGAACCGGCTTGATCTACGACGAATTCCTGAGACTAGGTGGAATCCTCATCAACATGGCCTTGTTAGGATATGTGGACAGCGAAACGATCAGGGCATTCCTGGATTGTTTCGGGTTTATTCGAGTGAACCAGACAGTCACATTGGCTAGATCGTTTGACAGCACTATCAACTTCGCCACGACATCCGTATATCGAGAACACCTCGCGCGACTTCGCCTCGAAGCTGCCCTGAGCCTGAGGAGGGCGAATGGCGAGAACCTACAATCCTTGGACTCTATCATTACGCAACTGAATGATAGCGGCTTCATGGTTGAATCTCTGATCAACGTTACCGTTCAGGATTTGCTTGAAAACCTGAATCGCTTTGGCCAGATGGGAAACCCTGGCACGACGCAAGAGAGTCCGGTCGACCCCGACGAGCAAATTCTCAACGAGATCATGCTTGCTGAGGCGAGAGAGAGAGTTGATGCACGGGATGCGAACGCGGCAAGCCTCGCTGCTGAAGCCAGTGCAGCGGCAGTTGCAGGACAATCTAGCAGCGCCACTTCAACAGACAATGTCAACGTCCAAGGTTCTACTACTGGCGAAGGCCAGGGCAACGCTCCGCCGACAGTCGACGGTACCGCTGGAAGTGCATCTCAGCAGGGAACCACTCAGCGACGTAGCACGTCTCCTGGAGTCGACCCTCCTGGCGGTGGCCGCAACTCGTCTGACAGCTTTTCTGGCGTTGGGTCTGATGATGATGATGACGACGATGACAATGGATTCTTTGGTGGCACGCCTTTAACCAGCATACCTGCTGTGCAAACATCCATTCCCGAATCCGCGGACCTGATAGCTTTCAGAGAAGCCGAAGCCAGGCGGATGAACCAGGCACGAGCAGCAGAGGCGAGATTGCAGGCTACCCGGGCACAAGAGCAAGCAGCGCAGGCGGCCGCTGCTGCTACTCCAGCTACCGATGAAACAGCGAATGGAATTAACCATCAACCCGAAGCCGACAATCCAGGACTCGGTCCATCACAGTCGCAGGTGGAGGATCCCAGCGGTCTCTCGGACGACGGCAATAATAGTCTCTTTGGGGATTCTGATCCTGCTCTACCGACACAACCATCAACCTTATCGCTTCCGCCCTCACCGTTCAGGTCGTTATTCGTAGATCAAGCACAGAATGCACCGCCGCAATCCAGTGTTCCACAATCCTCATTGGCGCAAGAAACTCTTGTTGAGGACACGGCCGTGGAAGACGCGCTCGCGGATGATGGCGAAGACGTCACGGGGTCGAGAGGAGATGTTATTATGGATGGCAGTAGAGTTATGGACAACGACGATGTGGGCGAGAACTGATCTTGCCCACTGCGTCTGTCTACCGAAGCCGTTGCGGTGGTGGTTCCCTGGCAAAATCGGAATGGCGTTGTTTGCGGAGAGGCGAGTAGTGAGGGAATTAAAGAACGGCAGGGGGCGATGGGTATGTTAGCCCATAGTGCAAGGCACTGGAACTTGTTATTTGTGATTGCGTACGAATTGAAAGTCGGTTTGCGTATCTCGATATAATTACACGTGTAGAGGCGATTGATTCCCCTTTCCGTATGGGATTCACTTTCAGACTTGAATTATGCGTCGAAGCCGCTATCTAGTCGTAACGTCCGAAGCTGTTCAGCGTCTGATTTATTCCTCACTTGCCCTCCATCTTGTCTCGTCTCGCTGCCAGCAGTGGACTTCTCGCAATCGGCGGGACCAGACCAGTCGCTTTCCATCGGACCAAAAAGGTCTGTATCCAATTTCGTGAATTCAACAATTTCAGGAGACTTCTCAGAGAAAGCATCAGGCGCAATTTCTTCATTCCGAGAGAGGCACATGAACATATCAGCACAACTTTCTTCGTCTTCCTCCTCCGAACCATACTGTACAGAGCCAAAAATGTTCGTATCCTGATCCGGAGGAGTGCCTCGTAGATCCGCCGCGCAAACAATATCTTGCCAGACATCCATCTGCTTTTGTCGCTCCCTTCCAAGTTTGGATTCCATATCCCTTCTCAATCTCTTCGAACCATTCAGATCCCATTGCATCTTCAGCACGAGAAGTTGTGCTCGGTTCCGCTCTGCTGCCGTCGCCTCCTTGTGGACTTCCCACCCGACTTCCACCTCTGTGATAGTCTGGAGGATTTGCTTGCAGATTTCCACCTGTGTGATGTCGTCTTTTTCGGAAATGGTATGGTCGGCTTGAGCATGCTTTATTCTCTCCCAGAGATATGATAGCAGATCGCCCCTCTCCCGCAGACGCTCCTTCAACAAAGCTCGTGCTTCCATTTCGATGGAGGACCGACGCGGATCGATATGCCGCTCGCAAAGTCTCTTGATGTGGTTCCTGTCCTGCTTCCCGAGGTTGGTGCTCGGCCATGGAGGAGTGGCATATTGATCTGAAGCGTTTGGAGTCGGTGTATCTCCTTCTTCATTATCGTCATCATTCGGTATCGCCTCAAGATCATTCTGCAATAAACTTCTTAGAGAGGTGATGCTCGGGTTGTTCACTGGCTCGGACGGTGGCTCATCGTCCAACGAGACTTCACTACCAAAGTCGCACCAACTCGAATATCCAGCAATTTCATCATATTCATGCTCCTGATCCCATGGCAAGAGCTTGAAGCTCCTTATAGTCCAACTCCGCTGATCCCACCGTGTGATCACATCCCGGGTTGGAAAAGGGCCAAATTTATCGTGAAGAGAATCATCATCAAAGAAGCTCTTTGGAGGAGCCCAAAAGTCTTCTTCCCGAACCGGACCGCGTTGTGCTTCCAGTTCAATGCGAGTCTCTGCGAGATACTTCTCAGATCTATACCAGGGACGCAAGGCGCTTACTCTGGCAACAGCACTGCACAAAGACAAGTACTCCTGGCGAAGGATGTTATGGTAARCCACCGCAGCATCAAGTTTCTCTTTGGCAATCTTCAACGCCTGTTCCTTGATCTGTTGCCCAACAGCAATCTCTACACATCTCTGCATGAAGTCGTGTATTAGGCGATCGGAATCACGCTTGATAGCGGGAAGATCGATGGGAACAGTGGTTTCCGAGTTTGTTTCTGTCAGGGATCGATCTTTCTCTTCTTCCACCGCTGCGTGTCCTACTACACCTCGACGAGCACCCATTGGGGAGCTTTCGCTATGCTGCTCCTCGGGCGAACTTGGCCACAGATCCGCAACATCCTCGCCCATGATGAAGTGAGGTTTTTCGGACGAAAAGCGGCGATAAATTGATTGAAGGAGGCTCATCGTTGGCGGATGTGCCAGGAAGAGGTGCAGTTTCAAAGGCAGTAACATTATATCAAACCTTTGAGAACCCCCACGCCCATGCCACTGTTATTATATGGGTATGACAGTCCAGCGCGTGAATTCCAATGTGTTTTCTCGGTCGCCCAATAGACGCGGGCCATAGTCATCGGGCACGCCGTCGTTGTTTGGGTGGAACACGCACGGGTCAAAGGTTGACATACTTACCTTTGCMAAATATGGGGAAGGGTTCTTTTAGCTAAGAACATACGTGGGCAAGAGTTCTGTACATGCYAGCTTTGTAGAGCATGAGAAATGTGAAAAAAATGTTGTGCTTCATCATGAAGCTGGCAAACCACGGAATCCTGAGAAGTGATGAAATACCGAAGCTTTGCAAAACATTCTTATTTCGCCTTCGTGCGGAACAAAAGGGGTGCAAGGGCTGCAAAGGGTGCACGAACTGGCAACCAATCTTTCCCCAGCCTCGTCACCTATTCCCAAAGTCAATGTACACATCAGTTGACCCACCCCACGCCGCCCGCTTATCGTAACAACAGAACTGTGGCCTCTGCCCAAAGCTTCTTTGACTCCTACGGCTGGTTGACAACCCAGACCGCCCTGCGCCTTGCCATGCATTTTGCTCAAGAAATTGTCCCTCACATGCCGCCGGAGAAGACCTGGAAAGTGATGYGATGATATCCGTACCTTCGTTCCCCATATCAATTCAAGAAGCCCTTGCAGTTCGCACTTCCGCAGAGACAAGGAATGCGATCGGTCGAACCGATTTCGCGCTCGAATTTGTAGTCATAAGTGAGCTCGTCGTCTGCAAGTATCAATCAAGTCAGCATGGATCCTCCAATGCGCTTCCACGAAATACTCACTTTTGCCAATATCTTTCAAAGCATATATCACAATCCTGGGCGTGCCTTCGACTTTGATGATCTTCGCTGTGCAATTTGGGCTGCAAGAATGGTTRATGAACCTCGCAATGCCACCCTTCTTCGTCGCGTCGACAATTTCGTCGTCGATCATGCGGAACAGGTATGAGGAACCCACGCCTTGCTTCTCGTATCGAATCTCTCGCATATCGGCGACCTTTTGCCGGACTTTCTCGCCCACATACTCAATGATGAGGTCGTTGACGGCGATGTTCTCTTCTGCATATAGGCCCCAGCCGTGAATAGCAGAACGGTCGAATTTGACGAGCTTTTTCCGTTTCTTCAACTGATTAAAGCGAATCGCCACGTCGGCGTCGCTGTTGGCTGTTGCCAGAACTTGTTTTTGCAGGTTGATGTCGTTGACAAGGCGGCGATTGTTGACACGATTGCTGCGTGACGTCGCGGTACTCGCCATCTTCTCCGCGGCCACAATCTTCGCTGCTTTTGCTGCTTCGGCGTCGGCAGTCGGAGTGGCCGTTGCTTCAGCTTGACGCTCCTCGCGTGCCTTTTGAACCTTGATGCGATGGGGAAGGTACTTAGACTTCTCCTCGTTCAAGATCTTCTTGACACCTTCGGTGCGTGCGCAACCAGATGGATTGGGAACGTAGTATCCGGAAATCAGTGCCTGCGGCTGACTGACGCCAGGCGCACTGGTTCCACTGTTGAGTGCCTTGATCTCCTTTTGCTTCCAAGCCCAGAGCTTCGCATCCCCAATGTCGTACGCGAACTGCGGTTCGAGGGCTTTTCTCAAAAACGCCATATCCTCTTCGTCCTTGACATACTGTTGCCAGCCATCAATGTCGAGCAAGATGGATCTGCTTTCTTCCACAGTCCGACGTGGCTTATCGTATGTCAGGTGGAGTGCGACGTCTTTGTCTCTCGTTTCAACCACCTCGAGTGTCTCAATCTCGAGCTCTTTCTGTTCAATCTTCGAGACTGTCTCCTCTGCGATCGGCTTGCCGGTATCCCTGGCTGTCTTCGCAGCGGCTTTGAGTGCTTCGCGCTCCTCGAAAATCTGCTTCTTGCTCTTCGGACGCTTCCTCACTCGCTTCTCCTTGGCGACACCGGCCTCGTGGTCCCCAGCGACAGAAGGTGTGCTTTCCAATTCCTTTCGTGCACCTTCGCCGACTGTGCCAATATCCTTCTTCACTTGGAATAGATCGTCGTCGGCCTTCGATCGTTGTCGAATGAAAAGCTCGTTCTTGGCGCGCATCGCATACTTGGAAGTCCGCGGGAGAGTATTCACGACGAGTTCCAGCTCCCGAGTTGCAAGATCCTCAGGCTGCTTATGCAAGAGGTGACCGAGCATCTCTTTGTGGAAGGTGTCAAACGCTTCGTCTTCTTCCTGGTCCCAATCGTCCACTTTCCTCCGCTTATGCTTTKGCGTGTCCGCGTCTGCGACAGACTCCGAGTCGAACGGCGTCGAATTACGACTGGCACGGCTGAGCGGCCTACTTTCTTGATCCTCCGTATCGCGTGTGCCCGATGTGTGGCGCTCATCGTCGGAATCGTCGTCCTCCTCCTCGACAAACATTTGCTGAAGTCGGAAATGTAGGCCTCTTGCGTGAGGAGGTTTTGGTGCAGGCTTATTGCGTCTTCTCTCATCAGCAAATGCATTACTGGGCTCTCGCTCGCGTCCGCCTCTTCTACCTCGCTGCTGGTTGGGGTCGTGCGGTCGGAGAGGCTTCTTCGAGTGCGACAAAGGATGCCCGCGGCGAGACTTGGACGCGTCGGAGTGCATGTCTCCAGCTTTGTTCAGATTGCTGAGAAGAAGAGAAGAGCCTTTGTTCTCTTTGTCCGAAGGATCTGGGAGGCCAAGCTTTCTTCTTTTCGCGACATGCCGCGACGGATCCAGGCTGTCGTGGAATATTGGTATTGCGACCCTCGTTTTGATGTCGCCCATGATCTTGTCTCGAAGCTCAACGCGGAGTTGATCGAGGGCTCCTTGAACCGGATCGAGGTTCTCAGCCCGATTCTTCTTCTCAATCTCCAAGTCTTCGGCCTCCTCGCGCAGCAGACGCTCCATCACCTCGCGCTTCTGCTTGACGGCCATGGCACGCTCTGGACTCGGGCTCCTCTCATAATCGGGATTGCCGTACTTTTGGCACTCCATGCCCATCTTGTAGGTGAACAACGCTGCTTTGTTGCACTCAGCGAAGCAACGCTCCGTCTCATCCTCCCCGCGTTTGGAGTCCTCGAAAACGACGTAGTATCCGGTAGCATCCACCCTGACCTCTCGCCAATCATATGCCTTTAGCCGCTTCTTCAGATGTGGGATTGTCGTTGGAAGGACAGGGACAGAGTGATTTGGGATATGGATGTATGGCTTTCGCTTGATCTTACTGAGAATCGGTTCGTCCTCGATGCCATTGGTGGAGCCAGAGCCAGGTCGCGGCGCGACCTCTGGGGCAGGTGTTGGTGTTGTCGCTGCCGCGATAGCGGCCAGGCTTCCTCGAGGACCTGAAGGTGGTTTCCCAATCTGCTTCGCCTTTGATCTGCCAGACGGTCCTTTAGGCGCATTGGGAGGTGGCGCAGGAGAGTCCTTGACTGGTGTCGCTTCCRCCAGAGTCGTGGCTGGAGGAGCATGTTTCGCACGCTCTTCACGAGCCTTCTTCAATACATGCTCAACATGACGCTTGCACTTTCGCCCTTCTCTGTCCAACTCGACCTTGACCGTGTGAAGTCCAATTCGCGCACCGTTGAATTCGACTTCGGCTCGTTTCGCTGCATTGACCGCTGGGATGTCTATGCCTTCTCGAACACAGTCTCGATACTTAATCAAGGCAATTCCCAGGAAGCTGCCAGTTTCAGGGTCCGTTTTATTCTGCACTGAATTGATAGTGCCAAATGTTCCAAAGTTCAACTTCAATGTTGACTCTGGTAGAAATGGATCAAATCCGACCACCACCACCTGCTGTGCCTCACCGGGTCCAATAGAATACCGATCGACTTTGTAGGGTGGCAGAGTATACGGTGCAATCCGCATGATTGCCTTGCTAGGCGCAAATCTGGGCCTGCATTGGCCAGACATGTAGCCGGGAATGGCCAGCCGAGGATCTGGTGGTGGATCTGGTTCGTATGCCTGCCATCATCCAACTTGTCAGCGAAAGGGTACAGAGCGGTTTTCATCTTTTTCTTTCTTCTTTATTTTCAAGTTATGTGTTGTGCAAGCTCAGCAAGATATGAAACATGTAGCGYACCTCTGCTCCGAATTCTTTCTGTCTGAATGTCGCACGTCTGCGTTCTTCTTTGCTGAGCTTGTTATCCAATTCCGGATCCCATACCGCTCTGTACCCTTTCACTGTCCCTGGTGGCGGAAGCATCTGCGGGCGAGGCGCGCGCTGTGGGGTGGGCTCCGAGGAGGAGGCGGCGGCGGCAAGCATGTGCGGAGGTTTGGACGCGTCGTCGTCAGCAGCTTTGACGACCATGCCCGCGGAGGCATGCGCGTAGTACTGCGGACTGTTGCCCTTGGTCGGGGAGGAGTCTGCGTGGTTGGTGAGTGGAGTGAGACCGTTAATGGCCGACGCTTTCCTGCTGTTGAGAGACTGTTCCTGATTATGCGCAAACGCATTGGAGTTGTGAGTGAAGACCGATGAGGCCGTGCTACCGAGGGAGCTCGCGGAGCCCGCCCCGCGCAGCATGTCACTGTCGTGGTCATCTGACGGGGGTGAAATGTATGGGCGTGCGCCGTTGCCATTGCTGCTGCCGTGGTTGGCGGCGGCGGTGGCCATGCTAGAGGGGTGGTTGTGTGATGTGATGCGCGATGCTCTCGAGGGATGCTCCGGAGAAGGCYGCTTGCGCTTCAAGGTGTCAATGCCGCCAGACTGCGACATACCGTCGCCGTCGCCGCTCAATCGAGCCGCATTCCCAGCATCACCCACACTACCGTGCGCGGGGCGTGGAAGGGTTGTGGAGAGGAGTGACGTTACGTGAGGCGCGCGATGGCCGGAGCGGTACCGAGACGCGTTGGTGGCAGGCAAAAGCAACGGTAAGGAGCACGGGAGAATGTCGTGATAGTAACGCGACGCGGTGGTTGTGCGGAAGACGATGGATGACTGACCGCGCGTGAATCTTGATCAGTCTCCTGGCAGAAGTTAAGTTGTTGAAGGCTCAAGGCTAAAATGGTCCAAGCGTCAGACGAACTCGGAAGGCATGCGGAATGCTCCTTCTTTCAATCACCATCACCGTAGTCATCGACATCAACATCAAAATAAATATTATAAACACACGTCCGTCCCCCTTGTACCTTACACTATGTTATGGCATTTCATTCCGATGATCGATGATACCGAGACAATCTGATGGCATTCCACGAGATGGWCTACATCGACCATCCGCTCAACACAACATCCCAGACATGTTCAATCAAACTTAACGGTCAACATGAACATCCTGCCGTCTCCAGCTCTTCGAACAATCCTGCTGCGCCACATTTGGTGAAGAGCCCGCCGCTCTGGCGAGATCGACTATCAACCCTATCCTATTCCCCTCGAGAGCGGCGACGACAGCCTTGGCTTCAGCGACGCCATCAAAATCGACAAAGCAATAGAAATAGTGCTGCCCAATCTGTTCAGAGGCAGATGGTGTAATTAGATTGCCGACATTGCGGACACCATGACCAGAGAAAATGGCTCGAATATTGCCATCCACGTCCTGTAGCTCTGGCAATCCGCCAACGAAGACACGGCCTTTGGAGATGCGTGAGAAACCTTGGACCTGCTCCCGATGAACTATCGCCGAGCCCTTGTTCAGMAGCTAGCTCGATATCTCCCACGGTAACGAGTGGGTCTTACATTCAGCGTTATAACCGCCTCTGCCGCTTCCTCAGCAGTTATGAGGTCGACGAATGCTTGAAAAATGCGAGCCAGGCTCCATCTGTTTCGAAGCGTGTGACCAGATGAGCTAGCTGACGGCTTGGATCTTGTAACACTTGAACAAATTTGCCATTTTGGCGCTGAGCGTGCGCTGGTGAGCAATCTGTGGCAATCCTCTAACATACAGGCGACGATTCTCCGCTGCGGGGTGTTGTCCAATGTGACAAAGCGTCGTTGCTATACCGAAGGCCACTGAGCCTTCCGAGCACACTTGGATCAGGTCGCCGGTTGTGATATGGGCTGTCGTTCTGTGTTGCGATTGATCTTCACAAGCTGGTCTTGCATGGTTCGCAGTGCTAACTCTGCATCTTCGTTGTGTACAAGCCCACGAAGCAGTAGCTAGGATTGCGACAGGTGAAAGCATCGATGGACATGGATCGGTCTTTGCTTTGAGACGGTGAGTCCTTGACGTTTGCGCAGAATAAGGCAAACTGCCGATATGCAATCGCAGGCTACTTTCTTCACTCATAATGGCTGATGCAATACAAGAGGTGCTCTGTCTGCCTTGGCTGCTCTTTCAACAGGGTGACGATACCCGAGGTCAGAATTCTCATGTCTTTTCTCTGTTCTTCCACATGCATCAAGAAAATCTTTCCAAAACAACAAGTCTACGTGAGCTTGACTACATGTATCAACAATCTTTCCGCATTTCCATGACGTAGGTCTTCCATCTGCTCCTTTATGAATATTCTGGCCTTCTCGATCTCCTTCAGAACCTCCAATCCCTTGCCGACATGAGATAGTCCTTGCCGACATGAGATAGTAGACGCTACACATGATCTTATCGATCGGCGCCGACGTGATCAAACACTCGAGTGTTGGCAGTGTAAACATGCCGCTGGTCGTGATCCAAACATTCTCGTTCCAGAAAGTAGTGCTGACACCTGTCTTCAATGCACCCCAGCATCTCGTGGTGCCGATGATGCGGTCAATCATGTACATGACGAAAGGTACCATGTCGCTATCCTGGTACGATCGTTATATTTCAAAGCTTTATGGCTGGACGGGTAGCTCTTCGACCGACCTGTTCATACGATGATCCAGCAGCCTCCCGGTTGCTGGCGAACTTCTGCCAAGCCAAAAAGCCGCCCCTAGCCGAAATGAGAAACGGAACAACCTTATTCCGTCTTATAATCCCTTCACAACAAACAAATGACACAAGAAAAGCAGGACGAAATACTGAGCAAGCGAACTGATTGCCATAAGGAAGTTTCAAAGTCAAAACGAATGCTGCGGAGCATAATGTCGCACTTGCAAATCGATACGGAGAGAGCGTTATGGCCAGCAGTGGCTGCATTAGCCCGGTCAGCTACAACTGCGCCATGGGCACCGGACCAGGCGGGATATACATCTTTCGTACAAATGCCCTTCGTGGAGAGGTATACACTTGCGGAACTTCAGGTGGAAAAGAGCGGATGAACTTCTTGATGGTACTCCAGAGCTGCTTTCGGTCAGACCAGTGGAACGCAGACGGGGTGAAGAAATAGATTGAAGCTCGGTGTGTACGCTTGCGCGGAGTGAGCCGGGGGTATTTGCACATGCACAGCTTTTCGATCGTTAAGTAGGCAGCGGAGGGTCTCAATGCTCGTTTGGTCAAGGCTTCCATGGGTTCAGCAGAGCTTTTTCCGGGGAACTAGAGCTTTGTACCTGGCGAGGTCAGAATATTCATGGTGCATTTGTAATGCTTAGGGCGAAGATGTGATCATAAAATTTGGTCGGACCACACCTGACGAAAGGGCCGAAGAAGAATTATACGCTTGTGAGTGAACAGGAAGATGTCGATGAGAAGACTGTGGGATCGTGTGGCTGGCGAAGAGATCGGCCCTGGGACGAGTTGGAGGGACTGGAATATGTGTTGTCAGGCTGACCGGAAACAGCTCCTGGGGATGTTGAGTAAAACCCCGCATTTTGCTGCGAATACATCAGCACAAGAAAAAGAAGTGTCACATTCATTCATTCATCTACGCACTTGGCGCCATCGCACCTTACCCACCACATAACCAAAACATGTCAATATCCGCATCGGACTTCACATCAGCCATTCAAATCCTCCGCGATACCTGGAGTGCCGTCTCGGAGCTCGATGGAACCGAGCGAAAAGAAGTGGCAATCGTCGAACAAGTACGTTACCTTTCGTCGACCTCGGTTCGAGCCCATGCTGATCCAGCATCAAGGAAGCAATCAATGCAATCCCTTACATGCGCCTGACAAAGCGCATTCCCTCTTCAACATCGCAGTCATTAGCAACACCAAGATCTTCTCCCTCGGAGTCTGAAGTAGAGGAAGAAGATCCCGAGYCCCTGTCACTTCCACCCCAAAGACAATCAGAAGAAGATGTTCTCGTAACTTACGACATCATCCATTCCCCGACCTATCTCGTCCCTGTCCTCYACATCACCATAAGACCACATCCCACATCAGCGGAATCCCTCTACGCGCTTCTCGTTCCACCGCTTCACAAATCTTCTTTGCAGAATAGAGCAATCGGAGTTCTGGGAGCTCTGTCCGCGACGACGCATCCTGAAAGTGGGAGAAGTTGTTTTTGGGTGCATCCTTGCTTAACTCAGGAGGGGATGCAGGGTCTCGGATTGAAGGGAGAGGATGGGATAGGGTATTTGATGGGATGGATTGGGATTGTGGGTGGAGGGGTTGGATTGGATATCCCTGTGGAGGTTGCAAGAGCTTTGGTGGATGGGTATCCTGCGTGCTTGGATGTACGTTAGAACAGCTCCAATATAATTTGGGGCTGTCAACACCTACGATCATAATTTGATCCACTTCACTTTCATCTTGGTGGACCGATCCGACGTTGTCGTACGGCCATGGCTTTATCTCCATATTCGCTTTGCTTGAGATCAGCCTCTGTCCTTTGCTCGTTTCTCTCAAACCGCCATTTCAATCACTATCCTCCTCCATCGGTGCATCACTATCTTCTTCCTCCATCGGCGCATCGCTCCCTTCTTCGTCGTCTTCCTCCCTCCGCCTCTTCGTTCCTGCCGGACTAGGCGCATTCTCCGCTCCAGCGCTTGCGGGCTGTAAACCTCCGTTCGCCATGCCCGGCTTCATCGGTAGTCCCGGCGGTGGTGGAAGTCCACTAGAGCCGAATCCAGGTGGTGCAGGCAGACCCGGCGGCGCAGGGAATGAAGTCTCCCCTTCTCTCTCCTTCTCCTTCTCTGCAGCCTTCTTGGCCGTGCTGGGATCAACAAAGGTGCCCGTCAGTTTCGCCAGTGTATGAGAGCGAGACTTCGCGTATGATATCCTCTGTAGCCATCATTAGCATGCGCGTTTTGACGGAAGTGAAGATCAATTCACCATTTCCCTGCCAAAGAACTCGAACCCATTGCAGCTCCTCAACGCCAATTGCGCGCTTTGAACATCACGAAACAAGACATGTGCTTGGCCTCGCATTTTGGCGGACTTGACAGCGGTGATGTCGAGCACGGGACCATATGTGGAGAAGAGCATGTAGAGGTTGCGTTTGAGGTCGTGTTTCTGCAACTTCTCGGGCAGATTCTGAATGTAGAGTGATTGCGAGGCATTGTTTCGTTGTGAGGGTGCGGCGAGTGCCATTTTGAAGGAGAATCCGTCGGAATGCTCAAGTTTGTGAGGATGGTGATGTTGTCGCACCTTTGCTCCGCGATTGAAAGATTGACGACTGAAATGGAAGTTGGCCGGCCCCGCCTCCGCGATCAAGCGATCAGGCAGCATCGTCACTTCAACACAGCTACCTTACCCTCTCGCCTCTTTCATACACATATTCCCAACATTGACAGTCGAGACGCCTCCCCTCCTGTCAACCTCCTTTCCAATGGCCTCTCCATCCGTCCACCACCTCTTCCATGCGCCCATCAGCGATCATTCTTTCTCCCAGGATCACTCCACATTGGCCGTCACACGCGATAACACCGTCGACCTCTATTCCGCCCAGAACAACTCCTTCGTCCTGTCTGACTCCCTCCGCGGCCACGACAAAACCGTCACAGGTGTTGATATTGCCCCCAACTCTGGCAAAATCGTCACCTGCTCTCAGGACCGCAACGCCTATGTCTGGGAACCCAACCCCACCACCGGCCAGTGGAAGCCCACGCTTGTCCTCCTGCGTATCAACCGTGCCGCTACTTGTGTGAGATGGTCCCCTTCGGAAACAAAGTTCGCCGTGGGAAGTGGAGCCCGCATTATTGCAGTCTGCTACTTCGAAGAGGAAAACGACTGGTGGATCTCGAAGCATCTTAAGAAACCTCTCCACTCTACTGTTACTAGTGTGGCATGGCATCCCAATTCCGTGCTCTTGGCGGCTGGAAGTACTGATGGGCATGCGAGGGTATTTAGTTCGTTCATCAAGGGCAGCGATGAGAGACCAGAGCCGAGCGTGTGGGGTGAGCGATTGCCCTTCAACACCGTCTGTGGTGAGTACATGAACGGCACCGCAGGATGGGTGCACGCTGTTGCATTCAGTCCGAGCGGCGATGCTCTTGCTTTCTCGGCCCATGATTCGAGCATTACCATTGTGTACCCCTCTGCACCGGAGCAGCCTCCCAAGGCGGTCATCAGCATCGCTACACAGGGTCTACCTTTCGCAGATCTCATTTGGATTTCAGAGGGCGCAATCGTGTGTGCTGGATATGATTGCGAGGTCATGAAGTTCGAGGGAAGCGATGCTGGATGGGCCATGACTGGTAGCCTGGAGAAGGAAGGCAAGAAGGGTGAGGTGAAGGAGGAGAGTGCTCTGAACATGTTCCGCAGTATGGACTTGAAGGGACGAAGCGGTGGTGGTGCAGCTGAAGACACCAAATTGAGGACGGTGCATCAAAACACTATCAACTCGTTGCGAGCCTATGCCGGTAGCAGCGAGCAGGTTGCACAGGTCAGCACAGCGGGGGTAGATGGACGTGTTGTTGTTTGGAGCTTGTAGAAGGTTCTTGATGGACCACTCTGTATGACATGATGGTTTCTATCTCGCATAGATCAGTCTTGCCACACAAGACCGCAAGGCGTGCGAAGCAACGACTTATTGCATCAGTCTTCACCTTCATCCGCATCGTCGTCGAAATCATCGTCGTCATCATCATCCATGCCCTCCAACTCCGCCATCATCTTTTCCCCCTTGCTCTCGGTCCCCGCTCTGACCACGAAATTTGGCGCAACCTCACACTCCGTTAATTTGGTCTTGTCGTCATCCTCATCAGCTTCCTTCTTCTTCCCCTYACCCTTCCCTTCGACCTCCTTTCCTTTGCCATCGACCTCCACTTCCGCAGGCTTCAATCCTTCGATCCTCGCTCTCCTTCCCACAACACATCCCGTAAGCTGCACTCCGTCACCAACCACCACACCATCCATCAGCAAACATCTCGTCAATCGAACATTGTTTCCGATCTCGCAATTCGCACCAATGACGCTCTCCTTGATCGCACATCGGATTCCGATAGCGACGTTCTCGGCGATCAAACAGTCTTCTTGAGTAATTCGCGTTTGCAGACCTACCTTTGCAGAGGGGTGGATCTTGTTTTCATGAGCGAGAGGGTGAGTTGCCGGTTGCTTGGCGATGTGGAGGGATATGCTGAGTAGTGCTGGAGATGTGTCCACTCTTCGAATCAGAGGCGTAGATGGCGTGGGGTTTGGTTGAATATATGCTTCGAGAGAAGGCACTTCAAACGAAGTGGAGAGAGGCGATATGCTACCGACGCGGCTTGCGAATGTTTTGGATGACCGGGCGGGAATTGTGGAGACTTTTGTGCTAGAGAGCTGTGATGGATCGGAAGTGTCTTCTTCGTCCGCATCGTGCATGTGTTGGGAATTCTCCAGGTCGTCCGAAGCTGGTGAGTCGGGATGTTGGGAGAAGACTTCGTCCATGCCGAGTTTCTCTCCGAGACCGTTTTGCCATTGAGCTTTGGCCCACCAACCGAGGACATCTTCACTAATGGAGTCAAATTTGGGATTCCGTGCCGCGTAGTCTTTGACCCATTTGGGGAAGACGTAAACGTGGGCATCGCGGTGCTTCATCTTTAACTTGACGCGTCCGTATTTTTGGACGAGTTGAACTCGAAGCTTGAAGATACCATTATCTTCCTCGATGCGATCTTTCAGCGAGTCCTTGGGAATGTGCATTACCAAAGATTCAATATCAGGGCGGAGAGAACCTTGAGGAGCTGGAACGGCAGGCTTTTGAAGAGGCACCGTCGCGATGAAATCCGTCTCGTCGTTCTTATTGCTGATCCCTTCGAGTCCATGGGTGGGGTAGAAGACGGCCAGCGCACCTTTACGCTTGTTATTACTTGAGGACAGCGGGTTAAGGGTCATCCACTGTTGAAGCAGCTTGTTGCCATCCAACTCTGAAACGAGATCACACGGGAGGATGATGAAGTCGGAGATAATGCTCTTTTGCACTTCTTCCAGCCGCAGAAGCTCTCCCGTTCCAGTCGTCTGCTCAAGATCTGCAGGCGCGAGAATCTCCGGCTTTCGTGGTAGGCTTGTAAGGGATGGATTTGTGGCCAGAGCAGCTTCCAATGCCGGTTGTGACTCAGGAGGTGTGATGAGTGTGATGTCTGGAAGAATTAGTCGAGTTTCGGCAATTTTGACCTGGAAACTCACGGTTGATTCCCATTCGATGGCACCAATCCAATGGATACCAGACCATCGGCCGGTTGGCAATGGGCATAAGCGCTTTCGAGAGGTCTTTTGGATTCGATGTGAAGGTACTGAGAGATTCGCCTGGTCCACATAGTATGAAGGCCTGTAAGCCCGGAGAGGGCACTGTCGCGTGCGGCATGTTATATAATCTCGAGTTGGAACAAAACTGAAGAGGAAATTATGTCTGTTGGTTGGAAGATCTTCGCATGCTGCGACGACTCACTTGGAGATCGCTAAGATTATTAGTCACCTGCCGATCATCCGACATCCGATATCCGATCGCGCCTGCCTCGCATCGCAACCATGTTTACGCTAGTCCCCCAGCCTCCTCCTCTTTACCAAACCCACCTTTGCGGTCACACCACGCGCGGCCCTGGATTTACTTCGACTTGCTGCAACCAATGTAATCAAAAATAACGATCATGTCGTACGATCGAACATATCGCAAAACGACAACGCGCAATAGTCGACGACCCAATTACTTGCCGCCGCCCCCTCCTGCGGGTAGCAATGGCCACTCAGTGCTGGGTTACTGGGTTCCGCTGGTAGCGATTGGAACCCTCGCTGTGGGCGGACTGGCAGCTTGGGTCTGGTCGGAGCGATCAGAGAACGATGAGGACGATTATGCCGAAGAGAAGCCACCACGACCATCGACTGGCATAGGAGGACCGTATCCTCAATATACTGCACAGCAACAGCAACCAACTGGAATCCTACCACATCAGCGACCTGATCAAGCGCCTCCTCCAGGTGTATCCGAGCAGTATGGAGGGAATGCGAGCAGCTACTATGCCGAGAGCTCAACCCAATCTCGCAGTGCCGAGCAGCGGACTGATGCCACCTTCTTCACTCGCATGAGCGGTGCGATTAGAAGAACTCCTAGCCCTCAACAATTCTTCGATTCAGCCTCTAGGCAAGTCGTTGCCGCTGGAGCTGCTGCTGGAGCTGCATTAAGCAGTATCATGGAAGTGGACAGCAACGGCGACAGGCATGAACGAGTAGCAAGGGATGAAAGAGACGGATTTAGTGATCATGAACGATGGAGCGAGGAAGCCGAGGAATTGCAGAAGACGGACAATGGCAGGGGCAAAGGCAAGGAGAGGGCGAAGCGCACAGTCGCGGTTGTCCTCAGCGCCGAATCGCACTCCTCGTACACTGCACACGATGACTCGGCATTTCACACCGAACACGGCGTAAGGCGATCTCCTCAGGCAAGCATGTCTCAACCATACTAACGTCTCCCAGTCGATACTCTCGCATCTCCCTCATCAACATGATCCTAACACGACTGAGCTTTTCGTCTTGATTTACTCCCCGACACTCAAATCCCTGCCCACAACCTCCTACGCATCTTCGAACCTTGGATCCTCTTATTCCCAGATCTCGACACCAGTTCATACTCCTGGCTCTGATCCACATTCTCTGTCACCTCGACTCAAAGCTAGTGGGACGGACGACCCGCACTTCGATGCCCTTTACAGTCAAGCCCTCGCTCTTGTCTCTCATCCAACTCAGATCATGCCGTTCACAACCTCTGATGGTTATGTGAGCATGCTGCGCCACCTCGCACCGCAAATCGTCTACGTGAGTGACGGTTTGAGCGGTAGGAATGGCGAGACTGTAGCTGGGCTCAAGGGTTGGGTTGGGCATACTGTGCTGGTTATCGGTGATGAGGGTCATGGTGGACTGGCGGACACTGAAACTGAGACTGAAGACGAGGCAATCCGGGAGGGGAGCAAGTGGTGGGAGCGAAGCGATTTTGTGGGACTAGGTAAGGAGGTGGACGTTGTTGATGCTGCGAGAATTGGAGATGATTGGAGTCGGCGGGTCGCAGGGAGGGAGTAGGATGTTGACCTCAGGATTTAATGTTATGTGTTGTGTTTGGATATCCCAGAGTTTTGCACCGTACATAGCGGATGAATGATTTCACGAAGCGTTCCTTGCATTGCTATGCTTGATATCTCTGACAGTATCCTGGAAGTTTGACCCTTACCGTTGCTGTTGGAGCATGGGAGGCGATAATTATTGGTGGTCGTGTAGAGACGATGGACGTCGTGGCAACAACGACATGAACGTTGAATATCCACGCGACCACTGCCGGCTGTCTGTGCGAAAATAAGATGAAACGGGATCTGCGGTTTGAAGTTTCCTTCCTCGCGCAGGGCCGCGTTCCGAGATGAGCGCGCTAAAATTTGGCGAGTGAATGCTCGAATTGCGTCAACTTCACCTCCATTCCGTATACACCAACAACGTCAGAAATAGAGAGTAGGCATTACGGACTCAATTCTCAATAATAGATTCATCGAAGAAGCACACCGATGCACGCTGCAACGCACGGCGTGGCCAAAACGAAATGTTAGTCATCGGAGCGCGGAGAGCCTTACCGTTGCGTGATGGCGCGTACCATCGGATGCGAACGCGTTATTACACTGATCTTCAGGAACCCAAAGGTCCTTCTCAGCTCTTTGTGTGAGTGTAGGACGCATGGCTACACCCTCAACGTGCACTGCGAAGATCCGTCATCTTCTCCACAGCAGGCAAAAGGGAGGTTTGCAACGTCGCAATCTTCCTACCCAGGGTTCTCTACCGTCGACTGCGGACGACAGCAGTCACCCCTCGCTGAGCGTGCCATCAGCAAAGGAGAAGTTATCCTTCTTGATGTATAAGTAAACACTCCTGTTCCACCCATCAGTCTCTTTCTTCATCCACTCAAACAATCTCATCTACTCCACTACACTACACTACACTACACTACACTACACTACACTCCTTCACTCTCAATTACTTTCAATCACTTCAACCCAACCAACCAACCAATCAAAACCACCACCGTAAACATGCAGTTCACCATCATCGCCATTGCTGCTTTCACCGCCGCCGTCTCGGCCATGCCCACCGGACCTTCATTTGGTGACGTCTCCATCAACAGCGCCYCTGTCAAGTCTTGCGCCGCCAACACAAAGACTTCTTGCTGTGACGTCACCTCCGTCTCGAGCGGTATCCTCGGCAATGTCCTCGGTGGCTCTTGCTCCCTCTCCAACTTCAACATCCCAATCATCGCCGCTGGTGGTATCTCCGGACCTCAGTGCAACAACGGCAACACCTTCTGCTGCCCTACCAACCAGAACGTATGTTGAAGCTTTAAATCTCGATCATGGAACTTCAATTGCTAACATCACTTTCAGGGTAACATCAACCCAACCCTCTCCTGCATCCCAATCACTCTTTAAGCGGCTTTCTTGAGAGTGCAAGAGTGTGATCGATATCAACAACATTTTACCATCCGAGCTCAATCAGTCGATTGTCTTTGGCCTGCTAGATTTTTAACGACCAGGAACAACCATGGGGAAGGGGGCCTTCAATAGGCGGAGTTTTGGTTGATATTTCAAGAGTGTGGGACAGGGCGCGAGTTCATAATACCCGAGTAGTACCTTGCTGTGCGAGTTTACAATACCCGAGTATTATCTTAATTGACATTGTAAGGGCAATTGCCCATTACCACCTGGCATACTTTTATCTCTCCCTTTTCATTCCTGTCATCGTTCATTTTCTGTCGACATCTCCATCTCGTACTGTCCGATCAAAGGTAAACATAACAAAACGGACCTGCTGTGGTCGATAACAAGTCTTGGATCGGTCTCGCAGGTCCAGCAGCATACCCGAACTCAATGAGGTCTTCTAACGTGGCATTCTCGCTTGGAGGATTGTTTAGAAAGGTCCTGGTCCCTGATATCGCACCCGAGCCGGACTCGCGAGATTTGGGGGCAAGTCGCTGCCATATCMACCTGAAGGCGGTTAGACTACATGACATGCCAAAAGAATGGTCGCACTCACCACATCCGATCAATTCCCCCATGATGTGCCCAAAATGCTGGATCTCCAGGGCTTACAAACACATCTCTGCCTGGGTCACCTCCAAGACTGTAGTGTCCGCCGCCATGTACGCCGATATCTCCACTTCCCGGGGCGCCTTGCATGGTCAATTGAAAGTCGTCAATAGTCTTGGATCCGTTGATGAGATTGAGCATCGATGAAGCATTCGCATACCGCCGATTGATAGCATCCACAAGATCTCGTTTCAAGCACCTCGAATTCAAATCTAGTGGATTTCCCGTCGGAGGCCCACCGACCTTTCCACCTGGAAGATCTAGAGAGACGGGTCCAAGATTGATGCTCATCTTCGTGAACGGGCCTGATTTGACACACCCTCCTCCAGAACCTGTGGGCAGGTAAATTGGAGGGAGTCCCTGTGCTGCACCAAGCATGATATCTTCTTGGGGTCCTGGGATAGCTGCACCATTGCCGCTTAGAGAAGTTTGACTTCCATCGAAGAGCTCGCTATGGAGAAGTCCTGTACGTGCAGTCTCCGACCAATCCCAGTACGGTAGATCTCCCTTGAATCCGCATTCTTGTCTGAGAGCAGTTTCGAACGCGTGTATATAGTATCTGTGCCAGGCCAGGAATGAAGCGGTGTAGTGAATGGTTAGAGTTTGATTGATATGGGTTGTGATAAAGTCGTCATAGCGGGTTCGCGTTCCGTTGCTGAGATGAGATGGCGTTCGAGATGGAAGGGATTGGAGGCAGATTATGGAAGATATGTAGTGTTTTCGTGCAGAGGTGCTAAGGTGGGAGTAGTTGCGGCGGACGCGTAAAGTTTTCGTTGAACACTTTTGCTGCTTATGCCCATACGATGCGGGAGGATTTGCAGTGCAAGTCTGCACGTATGCCTGCTCTGCCAATCTTGAAAGTTGTTCTTCATCTTGGCCGAGCGATGATGAACAGACTGTGCYAAAGAGCAGCGCTGCTGTGGCTGTGAGTGCGAAAATACGCATCCTGGAGTTCAATCAATGATTAATTGAGAATCTGGGGTGGTGGAAGCTATCTATGTATATGCCCGCCACACCTCTACGCTCTTCCGGCAATCGTTCAGTGAACTCGACTCGGGTATTGCAGCGTCTCTTTGCATGGGAGGTTGTCTGGACCCACGGAATCCTCTCGAGCATCCTAGTGCTGGTGCATAGGCAGCGAATCAATTCTCGCCAGGCTACATTGAAAGCGGATCAATGCCCATCAAGAATAATCTCCGATGCAAAGAAACGCTGTACAATGTCTTGACACATCGGAAGACCTTGCATCTCCCGAGGTTCCGTCAATAGGCTTATTACAGCCTATCCCATTGCAGGATATAACGGCCCGGACGGGGGAGGAAGGTCCTCCGATATCTCCAGACACTGTATATTCTGCAGTGTAGACAAGGATCACGATCCTTCGCGACACCCACGCGAGGTTACATCGCCAAGTCCATTCTTGGTGGGGAGGCGTGCAGCATCAGCCGCGGCTGAAGGACACTGTGCCTAAATTGAGAGTGAACATGATTGATACGTCTGACTGTCCAGGCTAGAGCTTGTCTCTTCTGTGAGATCCAGAGCTCTCTGGTGAACGTGGACCAGTAGAGATATACTTCTACTCGCGCTGAAGTAATAACGCAGTGAGCTGCCTGAGGAAAGTTTCTCGCCATGGTGACTGGGAGCTTGCCGGTGGAAGTCTTTGAGAGCTTCAGGCGTGAGCAGATGACGGGCAGTTCCAGCCTCAAATGACATACCATTCGCTGCGAGGTATCTGCCTTCATCAAGCAAGCACCCTCACCGGCTGGTTTGCCGCATCGAGTGGCCTAAGAGGGCATCTCCCACAAGTCAACCAATTTCCACAGAGCTCTTTCATCAAAGGTCCGGGTCGATGTGCATCTTGAATTTCCTATTCGCCCGGTCTGGCGCCCGACTCTCAAACTGACTGCCATGAATTTCGAAGACCATCGCCTTGCAGTCTTCCTCTTTACGCGGCAACTCAAACTTGAACAGTGTATGCTCCTTGGGCACCTTCTTCACCTCGTTGTTCTCCGTGATCATTTCAAACGTGAATCTCGTGTCCTTGACCACGATCCCTCTCAACCCGACGCGACTCACGCATCTGCTCCTCGCCACCTCTAACAACGCTCCATGATAGTCGGCCGAAATCAGCAGCGGCCCAGCAATATTGGCATCCACATACGAGCGCTCTCCCAGCACCTCCCTCATATAAGTACACCACATGGTGTGCAGTGGCTCGTATATGGAGTATTTCTGTTGCGACGCTGGTATATCATAAATGCATAACGCACGCTTCTGTTTTGCGGACAAAGGCTTCGGCTTGGTAGATTTTCGAGCTGCCTTGACTTTTTGAAGGCGAGCGTATTGTCGTTTTGAGCGGGCGTTCAAGCTGGGATCCGGCGAAGTTGGGCGGAGCAGAAGCGGTCGCAATTGCACCTTCTCGCGGAAAATGATGCCGGCGCGGTCGGGAGAGTGCGCACGGGAGATGAGGACGCCGGCCGGGTTCTCGGCAGATATTTCCATGATAAGATTTGGCCTGCTGTCACATTGTTAGGAGGTGAGTTGATGAGTGAAGAGCTCAGCAGGAAACCCAAAGTTCAAGAATGTCCCGTTTATCGATAACGCGGGAGCTTAAAAAAACGGGGCTCACCGAAGTGGAAATGGGTAGCGAGGGCAAGCGCCAGGGGAGGTGCCCTGGGTGCAGCACAGTACCTTCATCCTACGATTTGCAAGCTTCTTATTATGCATATAGCCAGCAGGATGATGAGGGTCTGCATTCCATTTCATCACTTCAAGTGAGGGTGAAATGCGAGGTTACGTCGCTCCGAGAGGCGTGCTTGGGATCGACCGCATCGGAATGAGGCTTCTTTCAGATAAGGAGCGGGGTGAGATCGGAAAGGCATCTCTTATCCTCCACGACAGACCGAGTCATCGAAGTTTGGGATCGATGGCAGCTCTTCAACTTCATTCGCCTCCACGTCAAGCCATCATAGCGTGAAGCTGCGGACAATGAACGCAGCCGTATCTTTCCGATCTCGGCCCAAAGGGKAGCTCCACCTCTGTGAATCTAAGCACCTGCTTTTCTTCTTATCGTCACATGCGGCAAGAAAAACAAATCGGAGGCAACATCACTTTCACTGGCGAGCAGCTATATCCCGCCGGTCCTCAACTGCACACCCTCTCTTTACGAACACATCCACAAACAACTCACGTTCAACAAACATGGCATCGGCGCTCCTCCCCACCTTTGTGCAGCAACGCCTCTTCTCCAACTCCTCCAACCCCAGCGATCGCAGTCTGAGTATCAACAACATCAATCCACATGTGAAGGAGGCACAGTATGCCGTGCGTGGAGAGCTGGCCGTCAAGAGTGAAAAATACCGTGCTCAGCTCGCCAAGGGCGAAGGCAAGGACCTGCCTTTCGACTCCGTAGTCAGTGCGAACATCGGCAACCCGCAACAGCTCGATCAGAAGCCCATCACATTCTTCAGACAAGTAGCCAGCTTGGTCGAGAACCCTCTGCTACTACAGCATGAGGATGTATTGAAGAGCAGCCTGGGATACAACAGCGATGCAATCGAGCGGGCAAACAAGTTATYGAAGGACGTCAAGAGTGTAGGCGCATACTCACAGTCGCAAGGAGCGCCCGGAATCCGCAAGAGCGTTGCAAACTTCATCGAGAAGCGCGATGGCTTCCCTGCAGATCCTGAACACGTATATCTGTGTGCAGGTGCCAGTGCGGGCGTCAACGCTCTCATGAGTGTCATTTGCGCCACCCCTCAGACTGGCATCCTCGTCCCGATCCCTCAATACCCTCTTTACACTGCAACCTTGAGTTTGCTCAACGCCCAGGTCGTGCCATACTACCTCAACGAGGAGACCAACTGGAGTACGGACGTCGAGGGCATGCGTGTGGCGTTGAAGGAGGCACAGATGAAGGGCATCGATGTGCGGGCGGTTGTTGTTATTAACCCAGGCAACCCCACAGGTGGATCGTTGCCTCCAAGCAACATTGAATCTGTCATTGAGCTTGCTGCAGAGGAAAAGCTTGTTGTACTTGCCGATGAGGTCTACCAGACCAACGTGTTCGAGGGCGAGTTCCACAGCTTCAAGAAGAGTCTACGAACGCTGCAGAGTGGGGATAAGAACAAGGACGGCAAGTTCGACAACATCGAGTTGGCAAGCTTGCATAGCATCAGTAAGGGCATGGTCGGCGAGTGCGGACACCGAGGTGGCTACTACGAGATGGTTGGATTCGATCCCGAGGTGAGTCGAGGAGCAAACACATGATCTTGAGAGGCATACTAATTGATGCAGGTCGTCGCTCAAATCTACAAGTTCGTCAGCATCATGCTCTGTCCACCAGTCATTGGTCAATGTCTGGTCGAACTGATGGTCAATCCGCCCGTCGAAGGCGAGCCATCTTACGCGCTCTACAAGGAGGAGTACGATACCACCTTCAAGAACTTACAAAAGCGTGCCATGGCTCTGTACGATGCCTTCAAGGAGATGGAGGGCGTGGAGTGCCAATCGCCACAGGGCAGCATGTACCTGTACCCAACGATCACTTTATCCGAGAAGGCGATTGAGGCCGCGAAGAAGGAAGGCAAGTCTCCTGACGAGTACTACTGTCTGAGATTGCTGGATGCCACGGGAGTGTGCATTGTGCCCGGCTCGGGCTTCGGTCAGAAGGAGGGCACTTTGCACTTCCGGACGACCTTCCTGGCGCCCGGTACGGATTGGGTCTCGAGAATCACGGCCTTTCACAAGAGCTTCATGGAGAGCTTCAGAGATTGATGAAACTGTGGTTCCCATCCCAAAGAACATACACTGAACCACCAAAACGGCGGCTGAAGACCTCTGTCAACTCGTCTATATCGAGAGCAATATGCCTGTCATAGTGCTCATGATGCTCGGTGGGCGGTCTTGGGGGGTCTTGAAAGTTGTTGAGCAGCTCGATGATGGAGGATCGATGGGAAATGCGCGAGGCATGATCAGTGTGGATCACGCATCGATACCAATGAGATGAACGATTTAGCAGTCATGCGATGAATTGAACCGTGAATTAAACAACATCTGCATGTGCTTTAAGATGAAACTAGAACTTTCCACGCTTTGCCATGTGCGGCCCAGGGATCGTGATCGCTAGTGCGCTTTAAAGTTTACATAGGGGTCCAACCAAATGCTACCTCGAGATGTTCTAATACGTTTAACCAACATCCGTCTCCACGGCATCGACATCGACACACTGCATCTTGCTGCACCCTCCCGCCTCTCCGCGACACACAAGCTGCATGCCCTGCACATAACCGACAACAACGCCTCGCTTTCGTGTCCCTCCAGAACCCCGAACTGCCACTCGAACCGGATTCCTGACCATGGCTTCGACCGAAATTAATGGTGGAAGCTCCAGCGCCGACAGCCTGTCTGCCGCCGAGCGGCTGATGCAAAAGCATGCTTCTGAAGACGCGCACCCTACTGTGACACTCGAGGAGGTTCCCGATGAGGAGTTTGTGGCTCACCCGCCGCCATCTGGCATTCCCGCCGAATCCGCTGCGTCTGGCAAGGCTGCCGGCAAGCAGCCGGTGCGCGAGCAGAAGCCCTCGACCAAACCCGCACTCGACACTCAGAACGAGGAGCTTTTCCCCGCCCTCGGTGCTTCCAAGACTCCTGCTGCCGCCGCACCGAGCATGTGGTCGAAGAAGCCGGCTGCTGTCGGAAAGGCTGCGAACGGCGTGTCCAATGGTGTCGCTGCCGCTGCTCCTCGTTCATCCGCGCCATCTTCCGGACTCGTTACCCCGAGCTCTACTGCTGGATCCTCGCGCGGCCCAACTCCGCAGATGARCCTCCCTGGTCGCTTCAGCGAGCGCATTCAGCTCCACTCCTCGATGTTGACACCCAAGAATCAGCTCAAGAAACCCGTCGCTGAGGTCCTCCGCGAGATCAACAAGCGCTCAAAGGCCAATGTCGAGATGAAGTCTGGACCTAACAACTTGATCATCTTTGAGGGTTCTGGTCCAGTTGACGCTGTCCGCATCGCGTTGAAGGAGGTTGCTGTGCAGCTGTGTGCCAAGGTAGGTTCTACGCAAGCATTAAATACCGAACTGCATACTGACGGCATGCGTAGCAATCCCAAAAAGTCCCCATTCCCGTTGGCGTTCGTGGCAAGATTGTTGGAAAGCAGGGTGCGACTATTCAGGCCATCTCAAAGAAGACCGGCGCCAAAATCAACATCACGAAGCAAGATGCTGCAGATATACTCGATGATGACGATCTGGACGCCACTGTCGACGTTCAGATCGAGGGCGATCCATTCGCGGTGGAGATGGCCAAGCAGGATATCGAGAAGATTGTCAATGAGCACACCTCGACTGCCAACACGCGCTTGAAGCACGTTCCTGCGGAGTATTACCCCTTCTTGAACCAGCAGATTGCCACCCTTCAAGGAGGACGTAACCTGCAGATGCAAATCCCGCAATATCACACCTGGAACACACAGGCTCCTGCTTCAACGGCTGCAGCTTTCACGYCTCAAGCAGGACTCCCAATCTCGATTGCAGGCGATCGCCAAGCTGTTGCAGAGGCCCGTGCCGAGATCGACCGCCAGGTTCAGCAGCTACAGAGAAAGCTCATGTTGGAAGAGATGCCCGTCGAACGTAACAGACATCAGTTCATTTTTGGTGACAAGGGTACCTCTCTCGCCGAATTCGTCAAGGAAACTGGCTGCTCCATCATTCTTCCACCTGATCATGACGATTCCGAGACCCTCTATCTCATYGGACCTGCGGATAGCCTTCACCAAGCCAAGGAACGTGTTATGGATTTGGCATCAAGCATGACCATGGCCAGTGCAGACATCTCTCGCCAGTTCGCAAGTGCTCCTCGAGGTGCTCAGGTCCACGCCCGCGATGTTACGCGCTACCTGCAGCAACAGCAGGCAGTCAAGCAGCTGGAGCGCACTCACAATGCCAGCATTGTACCAGACGCTAACGGGCTGTGGAACATCTACGCACCAGACAACAAGGCCGCAATGAAAGCACGCGCAGACATTATGAGCCTGGTCGGTGCACACCCGCCATCTCGCTTCCAGCCCGTTCAGGTTGATCCCTTTTACCACGCTCACATTCGGGATCAAGCTGCTCGTCAGATTCGCGAAAACCACGGCGTGCGCGTTGTCATTCCGGATGATCAAGGCGACTTGCCGGTCCTTCTCGTCTATGAGGATCGTGCACCTTCCCCGGAATATCAATTCCCACGAGCCCCACCACAGGCAGCAGAAGCCAAGGCCTTCCAGCAGGCTCTCCAAGATGCTCAGAAGGAGATTATGGCTCTCATGAGCGGTAACGCTGAAATTGTCTCAAGGGATGTCGAGGCTCCTGCGAAATTCCACGAAAAGATCCGACGACATGTCGACCGTCACCACCAGTCCATTGGTGGTGACCGCATCCCTGTGCAGGTGCAGTATGGCGGCCCCCGATCAGCCAACGCCAAACGTGCACCAGCTCCAAACGTTGCCCTTCGTGGACCACAGGACGCCGTGGATGGCCTCATGCAGAGCCTTCTTGCCTTTATTGAGCAAGAGAAACAGGACGAGCTTGAGCGCGGTTTCACATTAACTTTCGATTTTCCACAGCAGCATGCCAACCACCTGATTGGTCGCAAGGGAGAGAATATCAACCGTTTGCGCGAGGAGTTCGATGTCGACATCCAGCTGAATGATGGAAAGTGTGAGATCAAGGGCCCCGAAGCCAAAGCAAACGCATGCAAGAAGCATGTGCTAGAGTTGGCCAAGAAGTTCGAAGATGAAACCWCTCACCATCTGCATGTCCCCGCACAATACCACCGCGACCTCATCGGCGCTCAGGGCAGCCAAGTCAACAGACTTCAGGACAGATACAGTGTTCGCGTCAACTTCCCACGCAACAGACAGGGTACCGACGAGGACGGTGCGGAGGAGTCCGCGGCCGCTAAGCGTGGCAACCAGCAGCAGCCCAACGAAGTCATCATCAAGGGACCAAGCCGTGGAGCTGATGCCTGTCGCGACGAGATTTTGAGCCTGTTGCAGTACGTCAAGGACAACTCGCACACCGCTACCGTTTCCGTTGCGCAGAGCCAGCTCCCTTCACTCATCGGGTCTGGGGGCAAAGAGATGGACGCTTTGCGTCTCGAGACTGGTGCACAGATTGATGTACCAGGGTCCAGGGATGCAGCTAGTCCATCCGGCCGCGCGGAGATCAAGATCAAGGGATCGAAGAAGTCCGTGGAGGAGGCCAAGAAGCTCATTGAGGAGAAGGCGAAGGTCTTCGACAATACCGTCACTCGTAACCTCGAGGTTGAGAAGAGGCACCATCGTCTGATTATTGGAACCGGCGGTAAGGCTGCCCCTGCCGAATGTTATATCCACCATGCTAACATTGAATTTCAGGCTCCAACGTGCGTAACATAATACTCCAAGCTGGGGGACCAGAGGACCAGCGTCTTCACAACCGCATTATTCGCTTTCCTAAGAGCGACCAGGAGGGTAACACGATCCGTGTTGAGGGACAACAATCCGTTGTTGATGGCATTTGCGCCGCTATCGAGGCCCTTGTCCTCGACCAGGAGTCACAGATTACTGAGATGCTCGAGGTGAAGCCTGAGAAGCACCGGCTCCTCATTGGTCGGGGAGGCGAGACGCGCAAACAACTTGAGCAGCAGTTCGCCGTCTCGATCAATGTCCCAAGACAGACCGAAACAGGTCCGCAGCGCTCACAGGTTCGCCTTCAGGGCAGACCGGAGAATGTTGAAAAGGCCAAGGCTCACATTTTGGAGCTCACCAAGGACCTCGAGGGCGAGACCGTGCAGGTTCCCCGTCGTCTCCACCACGTCATTGCGGACAACGGTCAGTTCTTCCGCCGTCTGAGGAACGACCACAAGGTGACTGTGGACCACAATGGTCAGCGACCTCCGCCGAAGCCAACGGCTCCGGCTCCGACTCGCGCAAACGGCGGCGCACTTCCTCTCATCACCGACGACCCATCCGCGGGCGGTCACTCATGGGAGTCTCACTCTCTCCACACCTCATCCGAGGAAGGCGACATCCCATGGACTCTTGCAGGACCATCATCCGAGGCGGTTGCTAGCGCCTGCGCCAAGCTTCAGCGTGCTCTTGAGGAAGCTTCAAGGCAGGACACGACTGGATTCCTCATCCTCCCTGACCCACGGGCTTACAGACATGTCATTGGCCCGGGTGGAAGCCAGATAAATGAGATCCGCAAGAAGACCGGCACGAAAATCCAAGTGCCTCGAGACCAGAACCAGGGCGAGGCTATTGAGATCACCGGAGACAAGGCCGGTGTTGAGCAGGCTCGAGACATCATCCTGGAGATTGTGCAGAACAACGCTTAAAGTTGGGTAGAAGAAAGTTTGGTATGACTTGCACGGCCGACCTCGTACGTGTGCTGTTTGTTTGATGAGCGTGTAGGCTTTGGTTGTATATTACAGGTAGCGAGCGAACGGGATACAAAAGCGATCTGAATCGAACATTTGAGAAGACCATCACCTTGTGCGTCTATTCAGACCCGAGTCCAAACAATGCGTGATAGGTTGAGTGCACTGGACTCTTTCAGTATTAAACGCCCATGTTCGGTCACGTTGCCACGAAATTGATTGAAATTGCTCCTTCTGATGCCTCAAATCTACAAGTGTCTATACATGGTGTTGCTTGCAATGATTCAAGACCCATCACCGCCGAAAACTCGAATCACACTACCCCAACCCTAACCCTGGGGGATTCGGACTTCGGACTTTGTATCCTCAAATCTTTCTTTGACTTTCCTCTCGTGTAAAATACATCCCAGCCAAAATGTCCAAACGAAAACGCGACGACAACCTAGAAGATGGAGACGCGAAACCCAGGAAGGATTTCCGCAAACTGCGACAAATTGTGGGCGCATTCAACGAGAGCGCCGAGCAGCTCGCCAAAGCATTCAAAGCAGCCAAAGGACCGGAGAGACAAAAGTTAGGACGAAGGAAAAAGACGGCGACCGCGCAGAAGGATGTGAAAGAGGCGGAGAGAATAGATGCAGAGGTCGCAGCGCTGAAGACACTGGATGCCTTGACCGCCGCGCAGCATTTCCTCGCCAAATCGTTGATGAAGATCAAAGCGGTCGCTACCTCTCTGGAATTACCGAGCGAGATTCGAACGCCGAAATCTCTGCCCATGGAGGCGCCTGCTTTGAATGTGAATGCGCGATTGTGTAATGCTGCTGGGGTGAAGGCGGTCTTTCCGGCATTATGTGCGAATGTCAAGCGCGAGTTTGGGATTGTGGACAAGGTAGGGGCACCGGTCAAGAAGAAGAGGTTGCGAGCAAAGGACTATGAGGATGCGGAGAAATCTGGGAAGCGACTGGCTGTGAAGGAGGCGGAAGATGTGGAGGAGGAGGATATGGATGCCATGGCAGAGAGCGACGAGCATTCGGACGATGAGATGGACATTCACCGTGGACGACTGGCGGCATCAGACGATGAAGACAGCGACGACTATGGTATGGGAGAGACATCGGACTTGGAAGAGCTGGAGCGAAGGCTGGAGAACGAGGGGTTTGCCAGGAAAACCTCGAAGTATTCAAAGCGCAACGAACGGGCAGCAGATCTATCCCAGTCAGACGACGAGTCTGAGTCTGAGCCACCCAAGAAAAAGTCGACCACAGCAGTGGCGACCGCCAAGAAATCCGCTTTCCTCCCTTCACTGACAATGGGAGGCTACATCTCCGGTTCCGGATCAGATCTGGACTCGGACATGGACGTTGCTCCCGCCAGAAAGAATCGTCGCGGACAGCGCGCTCGCCAGGCCATTTGGGAAAAAAAGTATGGTGCGGGAGCAAAACACGTAAAATCCAAACCTCCCCCGGACGCACGCACAGGCTGGGACGCAAAACGTGGTGCCGTGGAGCAGAAACCACATCGGTTTGCTAATGCTGCTAATGCCGCTCCGCYTGGACCGAGAAAGGGCGAGAAGAAGGAGCCAAAGAAGCGGGATGATAGCGGACCACTGCATCCCAGTTGGCTGGCGGCGAAGGCCGCAAAGGAGAAGAAGGCCATTCCGGTCGTCTTCAGTGGGAAGAAGATTAGTTTCGACTGATGACATCAAGACAGTCCGAATAGACCAAGGTTCAACTGTCGGCGAGAGTGCTCACTCTGGCAGCGTCCATGCCATCGGATGTACCTGCGAGTAGTGCATTGCATTGATGTGATCATGTGAATAGAATGAGGGGAAATCCGGAGAAAACATCTGCCTTGTTCTTGATGCAAAGCCATTCGGTCCTACACGGTTCTATCTGTGTCTCCCCTCCCTGAAATACTATGGAGCCATGAAGTCCATCTCAAAGTCAGGGAAGCAGGTTTCGATACCCGTCCTGTCACTCGCTCCCGCATAAGTGTAATGTGTCGGACAGATCGCAGTGCTTCTGTCACTCAAGCACGGTCGCTTCCCGGGACGCCGCGCTCCTTGCACCACCGATCGACTTCCTTGTGCAGCTTGTCGTCGGAATCGTAGACGTTGGCCATCATCTCGTTGACAGTCTTTCCCTGGGCTGCCTGATCCGCCTCAGGAATGCTCTCCCACACGCTCTGCATCATTCCCATGACTGCGAACAATTGGTTGGGCAACCAGGTTACGATTGGGCTGCCTCCAGTTGCCACCTACAGCGAATTCTGGAGTTAGCAAGTGTCTATAGGAAGCCGCATGGAGGTTATGAGACATGCTCTACGCCTTCCGTACTTACAGGGTATGCGGTCTGTCGCAAGATGTACTCGCGGGCGAAAAGCCAGTGGCGCCAGCGGAAGCTACGCACGTGTTCGAGGAGACGAAGGTATAGGATCTTGGTTTGCAAGCTCTTGAGGCAGTACCTAAACACGAAGGGTCAAATGGTCAGCAATGTCTCGGAAGTTTGGGGCGGGCWGGCAAAGTTGTTCAGGCTCTACACAGTTGACAGATGCGTAGCGCCCTGCGCCCTTTGCCTTGTGCCCTTCACTGTACTCACTCTTTGACGGAAACCTCTTCTGAGCGTGTACGCACGTAGGTGAGGAAGTCGCGATGAGGCTTGGGTCTATAGTTGCGGAAGTCCTTCAGGATCTCAGTCAGGGGGTTCWGCGGCATCGGTATCTGCAGGAGACCGTCGAGTAGAGGGATGATGCTGTCGTTGGCTCCAGACTCTCCACGGAAGTACATGGGCTTCTCGTCATTCACGCCCTGGTAAACCACGCCGTCGGGAAACATCGATTGGTTCGTGATACCGAAGATGAAGGTCCGGTAGCTGATGTACTCCTTTGGTTTGGAATGGGCCCACATTTTCTCCATTGACTCTTCGATATCGTGCATGGTGTTGRGCATGAGTTCGAATGAATCGGCCAGAGCTTCACTAGAGTCCTTGGCCGCGACGGAATCGAGCAAACCGACTGCTCCCTCGATGAGTCCGCCCGTGTGCTTGACGATGTCCACATGTGTCAGAACGAAACCGGCCTGTTGATGAGTTAGCTACTTCTCAACACGAAACTCTTGCTTGAATGCGGCAGAGAACTCCCCACCAGTGGGCCGCTCTCTACGCTGCTGGACGATCCAGTGTGCGCACATGAAATACATACCTCAGATGAAAGTGGATCGAGGCCTTTCTCGAAGGCTCGAATCATCCGCAGGTTGCTGTACTTGGAGAAACCGATCGATGGGTCTTCAAAACGGTAGTTGAAGAGGGAGTACGCAGCGGCGTAACTCATGAAAGGTGGAATGTCGATCCTGATGAGATTGTCAGCTGATGAAGAATGTTCGCCAGACCTCCCGGGTCTTCAAACGCAAAGCAAGAGAGGATGCTCCCTCAGTTGGAATTTCGTCTCTCAAATTTACAGAGTCCTGCTTGACGCATGACTAGAACAACTCGCAAAAATGCACTTACAGCTTGGCGGTCTTGTACATTGGGCCGGCGATGCACTTGGRCAGCACGGGGCGACCAAGACCGTATCCTTCAAGGCCCTTGCTGAAGCGCTCCCAGCATGGCTCAAGCAAGTAAGCGGAGGCGAGGAAAGCGTAGTCGCGGAAGATGGCGGTGACAGCGACCAAATCAGGCTTGCCGTCCGCGGTGACGACGTTGTCGATCTCATCTGTGAGATCCGGCAGGGGCTTGACCTCATCGACGGTCGGTCCAAGCTTGAATGTCGCGAGCAAGCCAGGTGTGCCGTCAAGCTTGACGATAGGCATCTCATCGCAGAGAAGTGTCAGGGCCTTGAACGCTGGTGGCAGCTCGACTTGTGGGGTCTGGAGGGGCAAGAAGCCGGTCTGGGTGGTGATGGTGAATGGGTCGACCGAAGCTGGGATGATGCTTGGGTTCGAGGTGATGTGAGGAAACTCATGGATAGTGTCCTTCGAGACAAGTCAGCGACGATGTCATGAGTGGTAACGAAGGGGGCAGGCATCGGCATACTGTTGGGCGAGACTCGACCCCATGGTCGGAAGTCTCGGTGAGGAAGGGCGACATGATTGTTGGAGACGATGAGGTGGGGTGGGTTGATGTCTGAAGGTGGAGCTGGTCAGCGATGTCGAGGTTCAGAAGGTGGACAAAGAAAACCGACCTAGTGAGGTGAGGGCGACTCGTTGTCTCTGTCTATTGCCACTGGGGTCTGTGGGTGGCAATTATTGGTGTTGTGGCCAATATCGCGACCTATAATCTGTCGATAGACAGTGCAAGAGACTGTTGATGAGTGTTCGGAGCGAGATGGAGGTGGTGGAGGTGGTGGAGGTCGATTGAGTGATGTGACTCTTAGGGGGTAGCTTGGCGTCACGTGGACAAGCAATCAGAAGCTTGTGAAAGAACAATTGTGAGTATGTACACAAAGGAATCAAGTTTAGAAATGGGAATTTCGATTCTTTAGTATCTCGAGGCCGGAAGGAAGCCGGCCTTCGAAATTGTTCGAGATATGAGTTGTGACAACAGACGACGTCTCATTCGTTCGTTGGCCGGAATTTAAACCGGCCTCCTCCATCTTCATCGTATACCACGACGTGAAAATCAATGTTGAATCCGCCAGAGTGATGACCTGACGATTCTGGCATCTTACTGACGACGGCAGACTCATCGAAATACCTTCGATCTTGTCTCGTGCTCAAAACGCAAATGTGATGTTCTTCGTGGCCGGAAAGCGGCCGCGTAGACCATGATAAGACGATGAGCGAGGAATGGAAAAGCCGAAGCTTGTCGGCTCTCTTCTCACGCAAATCTCGGATCACGGACAAGAGCCTGAAGTTGACAAGTTGCGGGATCATACAGATAAACTCGAGGTATCCTCGTTGTTGCCAGCATAGACCGGACCATTGCTATCAGTCTCCATTCCATCCTTGAATCCTGTCTCTGCGTGGTACACGACAGTGCCTCGAGTAAGTAACTCTGTGCTGCGAGAGCGATTGCGCAGCCTATCAGTTGGTACCCACCAAAGTCCATGGCCCCCAGTGGTTGCGTAACAATGGTCTTTGTTGTCGGCGGAAAGTGTTATGCCATCGRCAATTGCTATTTCGATGTGAAAGTTAATAGCATATCTTTCAATATCCACTGGTACCTCATCTGCGAATACGATGAGGACGATACATGTGATCAACATGATAGGCGATGTTTCCCAGGTCGAGACGCTCTATTCGCTTCGTCCTTAGCTTGGTCCTATTCTGCTGGCAGATCATCCTGAGACATGGACAGTGACGAGTTCGCCTCTTCGATACCACTCCCTCTTTGCCGGAGGCACGTTTGCACGCGCCTTCTCGTACATGTGGAGAGCTTCCTTATGGGTTTCGCCMTCAGTGCCATTCCGTGTAGTCAATACCTCTGCGAATGTGCTTTGGACACGGACATAGTTCCCCTGACCGATCTTATCCACAAGAGCATCTTGTTTGCTCTTCCATTGCGTTTTCTTGCGAATTGCGCGGGCCTTAGATACGGCAGATATGGTGCTAAGAGCTCCGCCTTTGAGGAGACATGTTTTGCATGGCACGGATAGATGTAAAGTAAGAAAATGTTACCGACCAGGCTAGGATCTCGAGTATAGGCGCACGACTGATCGCGATCAACTCGATATTTCATGACTTTCCCTCTCGACAGCTGCTGTCGTCGGTGAACTGGATGCATCGATTGTTTCAAGCATCTTTCCATGCTTGGACATTTCCATTTTCTGAGCGCTTAATTATCGCCGATGATCCTGACTCTTGTCGACTCTCGACGCGCTCGTTGTTGTACCTACTTGGGTAGGTATGTTGCCATGATGAAGGAGTTCAATATTGGAGCGGTTGCGAGCGGGACCTACCCTAGTCTCTAAAACGGAACCCTGCTGCAGATCATACATCATCTCCCGGCGCGTGCCTCCCTCTTTTGAGATGGTTGGCTATCCACGGGCAGGTACCTTATACAGTCGTAGATCTCTGTGCGGGTTCGCGCTGAGCGAATTCATTAGTATGAAACTGTAGGTTGCAGCGATACCCGAATAACCTATGCATGAGGTTACAATACTGAACGACATGTATAGCACAACCCGCGCGACGCGGCGCAATGCCCTCGAGAAACTCGCTGCCCTCTCTGCTGAGAGCGCCTCGACCGAAAACGATGGCCGCGATATGCAGAGACTTTGTGACCTGGGGAGACCTCACAGCGAAAAGACGGGTAGTGGCAACATCTACAGCGAAGAGAAGCTAGCACAGACATCCTCCGTTCCCATGAGCGTTAGAGAACTCGAGGTCTTGACGGCGCTGTGCAGGGCTGCACCGCTTGTTCAAACGAGCAAGGATGCAGCGAGCCTACTTCGACAACTGGTACCATATGTCTCTGAGGCCCACGAGCAAGCGTTTGCCAAGACTCTGCTTCATCAACACCTTCCACCATGGGAGACGCTGGCATACGATCTCACGACAGCAGTCTTGGCACTGGGACTGAATCATCCTTCTCTCCGCCCCGAGGCGTGGTCGTGTATCAGTGACACAATCGAGGAGCTGACAACCAGCGCAGAGAAGACTGCCTGGCTCAAGCCGACAGAGGATGGAGGAAGTCAGCTGGAAATCAACGATCAGACGCTCCAGGCAATCCAGTTGAACGTATCCTTGGTTGGATTCTTCAATGCCATTGCCAAGTACGTGCGAGTCTGGACTCCGGAGCAGCGGGTATCGTTGGTTCCCCGACTTCGGCGCATACTATCCGAGCAGTTCATGGTCTCTCTGGAAGGTGCACTTTCCGCGATTCGAAATGCTGACTACGGCTCCCGATCGATCAAAGATTGGAAAAGATGGATCCGCCACTACAGTGTCAAGGGCAGGCCGCTTGGAGCCATGCTGCTCCAGCAGGCATTCATGAACGTGGTCGAAGACAGTGTGCTGGCATTGATATCATTACCGGAACCAATGCCTGGTGCGACACTGCTGGACATGCTGCTGCAGACGGACCCACTTCGCTACCGCGGTCACGCGCATGCAGACGGTCTAGTCGCAAGTTTGAGTGAAGTCATCTCTGATGAGCTGCAGCTCTTGGATGCCGATGCGGACTATCTGAAGCTTGGGTCTGATTGGCAGCAAAGACTAGCACGGGGAGTCAAGTCAAGTGTGCTACGAAGCTTCTTGTATTGCTGTATACTGCAAGGCGAAACCCCTCACACGGACGTGCTGTTAGCATGGCTCGAAGCCATCACGTCTGATCCAAGCCAAATGATTGACGAAGAGCTCGCACAGACCGTTCTCAAAGGCATGGCAGTACTCGCCAGTATATCTGAGGCTGTGGCATCTACATTGACGAGATCTCTACCTCGCTTGATTGTTCGAGGTAAAATGACTCCAAAAACTGCCACGGTTGCTTGCGAGTGCCTTGCAAGGGTACTGAAGCTGATTGCGCAGGATGTTGTCATAAGCACACTGTACAGCCTGGGAAATATTCTCAGCTCTAACTCGCAGAGGGGAGAAGGTTATAATACTGGACTCTTCGACAGCTCATACAGTATCGCTCAGACAACCCAAGGCCAACAGCAATTCATGACAMAGCAGCACACTGGAAGCTCCATCTCTCTTGTCATAAGCGATGAAGAAGAGGCATCCGCTGTTTATGGCACCGTTGCACAGGCAATCGTTGCTGTTGCTGTCGCTCGTAACGAGGCGCAGTTGACCGCACTAGTCATATCGATGCTGATTCAGAAGATTGGACGGATCAATGAAGCTGTCGATGCGAGACTCATCATAGAGACCTCCGGACTAGGTCTCTGTGGAGGTTCAAATGAGTTGAAGGGTCTTTTACGATTCTATGCCCGCGTGGGTAGCGAGGCTCTTGTCCAGCACAAGCCGCTCATAGCGGCTGCGGTAACAGAGGCTAGGGTGCGACTCGCCACATTCATCAAGAAGAACTCACCCTTCTTCGAGCCTTACCTTGCGCACCTCCTCAGCCTATGTGTCAGCAGCGGAGACACCGCAGGCGATCACATCGTCGACTCGGCACTTGCTTCAAAGACGATTGCGCAGCTTTTCAGGCCCATGGCTATCCTCGTTTCAACAGACACAGCTCATAAGCCAGAGCTGGAAGATGAAGACGAGCTGCTCRCGTTGGGAAGGAATGCGTGGTTCAACATTGCCGTGCATGGCTTCAGCCTCACTTCACCCTCGACAAAAGAGAATATCGAAGATCTGCAGACGCTAGCATTGTACAGTCTGCCTTTGATCGACGAATCTCGCGTGGACATGCCAGATAGCAGCATCGACTTGAACCCAGTCCTGCGACGTGGTGCAGGTCCTGCGCAGCTCATTCAGCAAAAGCAGACGCTGATTGCTGCTTTGCCGCAGTGTGAGTCCGATATCAAAGGCTTCAGCTATCCGGAGTGTATCTTCTTGAATGCCGCATTGCTGATCTCCACGTTGCGCGCGCGAGGCGGAGATTGCACCGCGGTCATGCCGTATTTCCTAGAGAACAAAGTCAAGACTACTTCTCTCGGCAACTGTATGCTTGCCATTGCGAGTCACAGCGTTGAGGTGTATATCCAAAAAGCGTTGTCCGGCCGGCGTCAGGACTTTGCAGCGCCGCAAGTTGCTTTTCAGCTGGCGGCCTTCTTCGAAGGCTGCTGTCACCGCATAGCCAAGGTCCAACAAGCCGCGATGGTGTCTTGCGATCGCATCATCAATCAGATCCCATCTGCGCTCTGCCAGAAGACTTCTCTATTCGCATTGCTCGAGCTTCTATCTCTCATGTGGAAAAGCTGCCTGGACACAGAAACCGACGAATACGGCTGGAGATCGACATACAGCTCGAAGAAGGGCAACGTCTCAATCCAGCTTTCCGATGATGTTAGCCATCGCCAAGCCACACTCAGCGCGTTTCACCAGCGTGCGCGATCGTGGGTCTCAAAGGCTATTGATGTGGCCCCTCTTGACGTAAAAGGCCACCTGCAAGCCTATCTCGAGGACTATGAAGATGATGGGTCGTACGGTCACATTGCATTGGGACGATCATTCGCTGTGGAAATGGGCTCTGTCATCCCGAGCACCGACCAGCGATTGACCAGCCTTGACGGACAGCGTAATGTCGGAATCTCTACCGCCTCAGACTTCGTGGCACAATACACCACGCGTCAGGAGTATCGACACTTGAACGCCGAGAGTAAGCCTGATGACCAGTGGGCTTTGGTGGACTACAACGGCAGAACTCGCGTCGCCACCCTGGAGGCTACTGGAGCTGTACACGACTCGGCCGTTGCATTGAGGACTCTTGCTCAACGTCTTCGCAAGCACGCATCTGTTCCATTCAGCCAAGTGAGGGAGACGTTGCGTAATGCAGCCGGAGTCCTTAGCAAGAGCGCGTCTGATCGTGTAGTGCTCATACAAGACCTCGTCGCCATACCGTTCATCATTTTCTCAAAGCAATCAATCAATTTGGGAATCTCACTTTGGCTCGGAGTCATCAAGGAGAACCCAAACCTGGAGTCAAGACTTCTGGTTGAAGTCGCCGCCGGTTGGGAGAACTCAGTCCGCCTGAGGAAGGGATTCTTCTCAAATCTGTTCCATCACCTGGATCCTTTCTACATCAAAGAAGAGTTTGCGCCGTCCGACTGGGAGGCTATTAAGCGGCGCGAGCAAATCACCCACAACTTGATCGATCCACACCTCCGCTTGGCGCACTTTCTCTCTAGCCACTTCAGCGCCTCCAGACTCACCTCGCCGTCCACCGAACGTGTCTATAATCGGCTGATGCGCATAACGCTACTGGCCATGAACAACACGGTTGCTCAGCCATTGGCGCGGGAGGTACATTTCCACACCGTTCTCCTTTCGTTGAAGATCTTGAGGTACTCCACACATCTTGATGCGGCTGCGCAATGGCGGCTCAAGGATGCGATCATCTCTGCTGGGCTGTCCTGGTTTTCCTCGCCGCCAAAATGGTCCTTTGGCAGCAATCGACTTCAACTCAAGGCGGAGAAAAAGCTCTTGAACGATGTTATGAGCGCATTGAACAGTCTGAGTGCGATCGGTGCGCAGGCCACTCGAACCACACCTTCGCTTAAGGCTAAACAGGCACTCTTACTGCAGCTCCTCACACATGAGATCGGGCGGCTTACAGTATGGATCGCACCTTTGGGCCACGAACCTCGAAGCATCGCGCCGGGACATAACGAGCTGTCCAGCCAGGAGGCAACCGTATCATCGCTTTTGTCAACCGCGTGGGACGAGGATACGCGAATTGCTGTCCAATTAGCCWAACGCTTTTCGACATCGCCGAAACTTGCCCAGGAAGTTCGCCGTTACCTACTTCGCGAGCCGGCAAAGGCGATTCATGATCCGGACGCCCTGTACATCCTTCTTGGGTCTGAGCTACCGACCGACGTCAAGCCACAGCTAAAATACCTGCTGTACTGGGCGCCAATCAATCCAATGGCGGCTGTTACATACTTCCTACCGGCTTATGGAAACCATCCCTTGGTAATTCAGTATGCTGTCCGCGCCGTGGAGAGCCATTCTGTTGATGTCAATTTCTTCTACGTCCCCCAGATCGTCCAGACGCTCCGATACGATGGACTTGGTTATGTTGAACGCTATATCATCGAAACAGCCACATTCTCCCAGCTCTTTGCGCACCAGATCATCTGGAACATCAAAGCGAACGCTTACAAGGATGAAGATTCACTAATACCAGATCCCGCCAAGCCAGTGCTGGACCGCGTGATGAATGCACTCATCGACAGCTTCTCCTCAGAAGACAAAGGTTTCTACGAACGTGAGTTTGACTTCTTTGGTAAGGTCACCGGCATCTCCGGCACACTCAAACCTTTCATCAAGCGCCCAAAGCCGGAGAAGAAGCAGAAAATCGAAGAAGAGCTCAGGAAGATCGAAGTTGACGTCGGTGTTTACCTCCCGAGCAACCCGGATGGTGTCGTGATTGGAATTGACCGCAAGTCGGGCAAGCCGCTCCAAAGCCACGCCAAAGCACCGTACATGGCAACATTCCGTATTCGAAAAGAAGAAGGCGAAGCCGATGGCGGCGTGGAAGAGCAACAAAGTGCGGCGCAAAACGGACAGATTGTGAAACGAAAGACGTACGAAGTCTGGCAGTCAGCAATCTTCAAGGTCGGAGACGATTGTCGTCAGGATGTGCTCGCTCTGCAACTGATTGCAGCATTCCGCGGCATCTTCAACAACGTCGGACTGGACGTATATGTCTTCCCGTACCGGGTCACTGCCACCGCGCCAGGCTGTGGTGTGATTGACGTCCTTCCGAACTCCATCTCACGCGACATGATCGGCCGCGAAGCAGTCAACGGACTGTATGAGTATTTCGTCTCAAAGTACGGCTACGAAGATTCCATTCGCTTCCAAGAGGCGCGTGGCAACTTCATCAAGAGCATGGCAGCATACTCAATCATCTCTTACCTGCTGCAGTTTAAGGATCGCCACAATGGGAACATCATGGTAGATGATGCGGGCCATATCTTGCACATCGACTTTGGGTTTTGTTTCGACATTGCTCCTGGAGGCATCAAGTTCGAGCGGGCGCCCTTCAAGCTGACACCAGAAATGGTCGCTGTCATGGGAGGGTCGACCGACGCACAGCCCTTCAAGCTGTTTGAGGAGTTGTGCATCAAGGCTTTCCTGGCTGCTCGGCAGCATGTTGAGCAACTGTCGCACATCGTGCTCACCATGTTAGATTCCGGTCTTCCTTGCTTCAAGCCTGCTACCATCCAGCACTTCAAGGAGAGGTTTGTGCTGGAGAAGTCGGACAAAGAGGCCGCGGAGTTTGTTCGGAAGCTGGTCCACTACAGCGAGAGGAGCAATTCGACGGCTGTCTATGATTATTTCCAGCTGCTCACGAACGGCATCCCCTACTGAGGGGGCGCTCCGCGGAAAGGTGGCATACCATAGTTATCAGAGCCTTTGCAGCCCGCTTCGAGATTGATGACTTCAATAATTGAGAATTTAGAGCCAATTAAGATGTCTCGCTGCGATGTGACTAGGACATGGAGTACGCTTTTGACCGCTTCTCACGGCTGCCATGTCAGCGGCACAACGACGAATAGTCAATAACGAGAATCTTCAGAAGCCTGATAACTTGATCAATCTGTTTCTGCTTTTCGGAGCACAAAAGGGTAGCGTCCGTCGGTATCTCTGTAGACTTGCCGTGCAGATCTTGAGCAAGCCACATTGATCAGATCGTGTGAGATAGAGTTCTTCGCTCCGCCACTTCGACAACTTCATGTTGCTACCTTGATAAATAAGGGCACGCGACAACCGTTTGATGGTGACGCCTTCCACGTGGACGAACATCGCAGCGATCTGGATTTTCCAAGGTATGACATATGTGAACTCCAAATAATTGACAGGGCGATCTTGATCCATGAGTTGATCAAATTGTTAGTATGTATATAACAGCATTATTTGAAATACCTCCTGTCCTGAGATTCTGCAGACAAAGCTTGGCAAGCCACAAGCCGGGAAGTTGGAAAACTCACCACAGAAACCGGGCACAGGTTCACAAGTCCAGTCTGTCGATAATTCCCTCTCACCCCAAGCGAGCCGAGGAGCGGAGGGAGGAGACTCCTTGTCCCAATTCCAGTAGTTTGGTTGAAGACGGTACTGTCCGCGAAGCGAACGCCGGACCGTACATCCCGAGGACTTTTCGCGCGTCGGCAGTGGCCAATGATAAAGCATCAGCAGACGACCTTTCGCTGGACATTGACGTTGCGGGGCTACATGAAAACACACGCGTATCCATGGCGCGACTGCGAAAAGCTCACAGAGGAGCTTCGCGTACCAATCGCGCGTTTGTGAAAGGACGATACGTAATCGACGGGAATCTCGGAAACACTCGTTCATCCACCACGGATCACGCAGCCTGTACGACGGCATACCCGGTACCGGTCCAGTCCGCGGGTGCTTCCCACGCTTTGATCCGCCGAAGGAAGTCAGCCTCTCGTCTTTCCGGTGCTCGCTCCGTCCTTCAGTGGCGACATGCTGGTTGAGATCTCCATCCCGGGGGTAGCTCGACGACACATGTGTGATTACCACACTGCAGACAGACTGCGACTGCCTGGTGCGACTGGTCTGTGATTCCCGTGAACTGGATAGGTAGGAGCATCCAGCTACGTGTTGCATGCTCGGCATTAGCACGCGATTACTACACTGTGCATCCTCTAGATATTATTACTACAGCTGCAATTGGGCCCCTCCACCAAGAAGGTTTCGTCCCTGCACCAAATTCCTCACTAGCTTCCATGGCCGTTAGACAAGCGTGTATGGCACGACCGGTTCCACATCCGCTGTGGCGCACCGCCGTCCCTCCTCGATGATGATGGCAAGTTGCTTAAACAAGGCCCAGTGGGCCTATTTACAGCGGAGTTCTAGACTGCCGACTGCACCTCACTCGTACGTGTCATTGGATCGTCGCAAGAGCTCTCTTTCATCTCCTTCCCTTCTTAATCCTCACAACACACGCTTGTGGCATTTCTTCCAGCCTCTCCTAGTTTTAGGTAGGGACCACCTTAGATGCTTCAATGTGCCACACGCTTTGATATGGCTGTACCTGATCCCAATCAGCAGCCGGCTGACAGCGGAAGCAATGCGGGTTCCCAGCAGCATCAGTCGCAACATGAGATGTAAGCTCTCCTTTGCATCGCGAACTTCGTTGCRCTAATTTGCATAGGAATGCGTTCCAAGGCCAATTTGAGTACGTCTCGCAGCAACAGATCGGCCCTGCTGCGGGTCAGAACGGCCAGCCACAGCGATTCGATATGGCAGCTATGGCGAGCGCTCTGCCCTACAATGGCCCTCAGTACAGCAGTCCGGATATGTCTCAAGGGTTTCCACCACAAAGTCCATTTCAAGTCCAGCAGATGCAATACCAGCGCGGGCCTCAATTCATGGAAATGGCCAGACAACAGCAGCAATATCTTGGAGCACAGTTTGGCAACGGGCCTGGTCCAGGCCTGGGCATGCCACGACAGCACGGCTTTCCTATGCAGCAGCAAGCTCCGTACGCTCCGATCGACCCATATAGCTATGGCATGCATCCAGCACCGTTTCCTGCAATGGACCCTCGCTTCGCACCACAATATMACCATATGATGCCTGGAATGCCTGCTGAGATGGGTACGATTGATGCAGGACATTTGAAGTAAATTCGTTCAAACGGCTGACTYCTGTATAGCTCAGTACGCACGCCGCGCCTCAGTAGACAACGCACCAATACCAAATTTTCCCAGAGGACCACCGCGAAAGCCAAAGCAATCTGGACATGCTCTATGGGTTGGCAATCTTCCTCCCGCGGCTAAGGTTACAGAGCTGAAGGATCACTTCTCTCGCGATGCTACAAGCGATATTGAGAGTGTCTTCTTGATAGCGAAGAGCAACTGTGCATTCGTTAATTACAGCTCGGACGCAGCTTGCGTGGCAGCCATGAATCGATTTCACGATTCCCGATTCCATGGCGTTCGACTTGTGTGCCGTCTCCGCCGCGGCGCCACAGCTCCTGCAGGGAATCCAGGCCCCGAGTCGTTTTCGCCAACTGCTGTTCCCAATCCACCTTCGACACCGGATGGACCTGCATCGACTGATGGTTCCACTGCAAAGGAGGGGGTAGTGAATGAAGATGCGCTTGGGCCAACCATTGCACGCAGTCACTCTGGACAAAGCCCAATGTCGGCGGATGCTGCAACTACACCGCCTACCACAAGTGAGGGCAAGGTCGCGGAGAAGTATTTCATTGTTAAGAGTCTGACAGCGCAAGATTTGGAAGCGAGCGTGAGGAATGGAACATGGGCAACGCAGTCTCATAATGAAGAGTCCTTGAACAAGGCCTACGAGCAGGCTGAGAATGTATTCTTGGTCTTTTCTGCRAACAAATCTGGAGAGTATTTCGGCTATGCGCGCATGGCATCTGCGATATCTGGCGAGCCTATCAAGATGGCCTCGGCACCAGCTGCAGAAGAAGCACCGGCAGACTCAGGTGTCTCACCACAGTCCATTCCTACACCAGCCACGGACACAGCGCCCAAGGGTCGCATCATTGACGATTCCGCCCGCGGGACCATCTTTTGGGAAGCAGATCWTTCGGAAGACGACGAGGTCTCACCCGATCAGGAGAGTAGTAAGGGAGGGCAGGACTGGGGACGACAATTCGAGATTGAATGGATGTCGACCAATCGTTTGCCGTTCTACAGAACCAGAGGCCTGAGGAATCCATGGAATGCCAACAGGGAGGTGAAGATTGCAAGAGATGGTACTGAGTTAGAGCCTGGTGTGGGTAGACGACTGGTGCAGATGTTCCATCGTCCTGCGCCTGCTACCCAAGCTGGTGGTCTACCTGTGTCGTACAGATAAAGTACGAGTGGAGTATCATGAATGATCAACGGTGGATGGGTGGAAGCATTGCAGCGCGCTCGATAATGGGGCTTCCAACATCCGGCAAGCCGAATCCGGAACCATCTGGCCAGGCTAAGTGACCTGCTAGCCGGACCAACTGATGGCCTCTACGAAGGAGAAATCCGTCGCGGTGGAGCTGGAGGTACGGGTGATCGGAGAAGGCGTTGGTCGGGTTGAAATCGTCGCTGGTCGAGGGAGGAACTTGTCGAGCTGAAGGTATCAATGTTCACTCACTGTGTGTCACTCAATGTGCTCTATGCAAAACTGCAAAACTCAATAATTAGACTAGTCTTGAGGAGCGTCCTCTACGACGATGGTGTTCCCATTCCGTCGGCTCATGTCGCCGCTGTGCCGCCAACGGCGTACTATCAAGAGCACATGATACTGATGAATGAGCTCGAGTTACAACGGAAGGGCCAGATCGACTCGCATTCATCAATGCTCGAGGCTGGACCCATGGTAACTCACTTTGCCGTGCTCACTGCACGACTAGCACAGCCATCGACCTTCGCGACCTTCACAGCCACGATGTGCGGCTCAAAGGGGAAAGAAACGCCGACTGGGTCGAACATGAACCATGTGGAGCATAATGTGGAGCGCGAGGTAATGTTGACCCCTAGTTTGAGATCGAGACGTGACAAATGTGCACCATGTGCGTTTAGCTCTGCCATTCCAGAATCAACTTAACATCGTTCACACCTTGCCAAATCCTACCGTCTTGCCAGCAATGTTATTGCCCATTTCCGAGGACAAGCACCCGTGTGCGTGCATGCCAACCTTATCGACCCTCCGCACGACTTGTAGTCGGCCTCACGACAGTGGACACGTCAGCCGCTGAAATCGAAGCATGCTTGTTTGCTTTCAGAACATGCACTCTGCTTCGAAGCCATGCTGCTGATATCACGGCTTGGATCCGTTGAGCATCTGGCGGTCCGATGCACATCTAACAAACGTCTCCGAAAGCTTGACAACATTGTGCATATTTGCTTTCAATCGCGCTCTGCTAGCTGGCCGCATCGGTCTTGGATGGCTACGTTGAGCTGTTCCACGGTGGCTTTCATGGCCGAGGTGACTTGCTGAAAGTGCTCGTCCTGTTGTGCTTCTAGGCTGCGCTTCCTGTTGAGAAGCTCACGCAAACGGTCGACCATCGGACGGATTTGGTCGCGGCTAGATGTTGTTGATGAGACGGGCTGCACGTGAAAGAGTGGAAGAACGACGCAAGACTAACGATCTCTCCTGGTGTCTCTGCTGACACTCGCTGATCTTCTTCTGGACCTTGTGAATTCGCTTTTTACGAATGTTGCGAATCCTCTCCTCTCCTTCCGCCTTCAATTTTGCAATCTGACAGCACATCAGCAGCTGCGGACCTGGCCTGATTGCTTATGGAAGCATGCCTTTGCATTCTGTATCTGTGCTATCTGTGCGAGAGCGTCTTCATCAACATGTAACGCTTCTTGAGAAGGTCGCTGGCTGGCCTCCTCGCTTTGGCTAGGAGATGCATCTTTCGCTGGCTTATTTTTGGCGGGCGCCATGACCGCGAGGGTGGATTTTGTCCCGCCGAGGCTACGATGCAGTGGACGGCAGGTTGGCGAACATGTTGTTATGCCAAATTCAAAGAAGGAGCTAATGTTCGTACCTGCCATCAGCGAGCGCCACATCACCAGCCATCCATGTCCAAGTCCAAGCTTTAAGATGACGTTGGGCTCAATTTCTATGGCGCGTACAGAATGCCTCCGTGTACCACATTTACATGTACAATCAACTCGATACCGATCACGTACAATTACCCAGCGCTGCACGAATCCTTCCTTGCAAAGACGACCGCTGTCGCTCCTGGCTCACGATCGCCGACCAGGTTTCTCCCAGGGTTCTCCAGCAGCTCAGCCTCACCAGCCATAGGGCAGGATCGGAATTAGAACAGCTCGTGTTCTAACCTCCACGCAGCCATCCATCACAACGGGTTGTGTCTCAAACTGCATGCGAATTGGTCGGACGATRCAGGCGCCCTTTCCGAACTGAATCGCAGAACTAAGCGCCGCAACACCGACTTTGGACGTACCAACTCTTCGAGCGTGCTATCGGGCCACACAGGACGATGAGCTCCTTTTCGAATTCCTTTTGGTCCTCGGACTATGCGGGAGGTGCGAGAGCTGCTTCAGCTCATGCAGAATGACACTAATGCGCGGCAGGTCTTGGAGTGCTCTTCCAGAAATTACAGCAAGGCGTACAAGAGAATGAGCAGATACTCACAGTCGCGCGCATGCGTGCCGATGCCGAAGACATGTACGGTCAAAAGCTTGGGGATATTGAGGCTGTCACGGACAGGATAGAGGGCGGGTTTCAGCGCGATGACGGCGCCAGCGTCAAGAAAGTTAGTTCTGCAACATTGCAGAGTATGAGATGAGGACTGACAACTGCAGGCTTACGATGGAGTCAGGACTGAAATGGGCGAGGCCGCACGCAACCACCGCAAGATTGCTTCGAACATTCGGGAACTTGTAGTGAACCCGTTCGCGCGATGGTGTGATCAGCACGCCGCGCGTGTACAGAACAGTCAGGACGATCTCCAAGGCCGTATCAAGGCACATGATAGACAGGCCGAAACTGTGCGCCAGTATCGCAGCCAGTACTACAATAAATGCCGAAGAGTAGAGGATCTGGACGAGGAAGAGAAGTTGGCTTTCCAGGATCCCATGTCAAACGCGACTGGATCTCCCAAAGCTGGGCCCGTGACAGTGCCCAGTATCAAAGTTGAGGAAGAGACTGAAGCTGAGCCGATTGAGATTGGCGATGAGGTCTACCAGCCGGAGCAGGTGAAGAAGATACTCACTCACGTACTGAACAACATCCGTCTCGGTGAAACGAAGGTGCCCATCTTGGGAACTTACCAGAACGTGAGCACCGGAGCAGACATTACAGAGTATATTCAGAAGCATCTGGGCGCGACGACTGTCACGTACGCGGAACGCATCGGGCAGGACATGATCTCGAACGGCTTTCTCCGGCTCATTGGGAACATGGGGAACACGTTCGCCAACAGCAGTAAAATGAACTATCAATGGCGACCGAAAGTGTTCCAGATTACTGGAGTGCCCGAGAGGAAACCAGGTCTCATGAATCGCACCTCAACAATGATGTCCGGCCTTTCGGACTCGTCAGTGCCGGGAAGCCCTGCCATTGGCGATAAAGTTGGCGAGTACTTGGGGGGCTGGAACCCGCTCAATAACGCGCATCCAAACGAGACTCCCGCTGAGAGGTTACGGAGAGAAGCGCGAGAAGCCGACGAGCGTTACAAGGTAGCAGTCCGAAAGCTGGACGGACTCCGCTGCAGTTTGGAGGAGGCGATGATTGAGCACATGAAGTTCATGGAACGCTGCGAGCTGGATCGCCTCWAAGCCATCAAGAGCGTAATCTTGGACTTCAGCGGCGCCATCAGCAACGTYATTCCGTCTTTGCAGTCTGGGGTGGACAAGATGATGCTTTTTCAGGAGACGGTGCAGCCGCTGTCGGATCTGCGATACTTGCTGGAGAACTACCGAACTGGCAATTTCTTCCCAAAGGTCACGACTTATGAGAACTATTACAACAACGTCGATGAGCAAGCATTCGGTGTCGACATCGAAGCCCGAGCAAGAAGCGATCGAAAACGTGTTCCACTGATCATCACAACCATTCTGACATTCCTCGATTCGCACTACCCTGACTTGGAAGGCGACGAAGCTCGCCGTACTATTTGGACTGTCGAAGTACCACTGGCGGCTACGCATCACCTACGGAATCAGCTCAATACTGGAAAGCCAATGTCACTACAACTGCTTGATCAATACGAGGTTCCGATTGTGGCTTCTGTGCTGAAGCTATATCTGCTTGAGCTACCTGACAGCCTGGTCAGCTCCCACGTTTACGAGATCATCAAGACGATTTACACCACGACATCTCAAACCTCTTCCGAAAGCGCTCGGATCCAGGTCATACAATCAACTCTGGGACAATTGCGACTGGCAAACATTGCTACACTTGATGCGCTGGTGACGCACTTTACTAGGCTTATCGAGCTTACCAGTGCTGATGAAGCATATGTCAACACGCTGGCAACGGTGTTGGCGCCGTGCATTATGCGACCCAAGCAGGAGACAGGTCTGAGCATGACGGAAAAGTACAACGTTCGTTTGATGAAAGATCTGTTTGCACACAAGGACGCCATCTTTGGAGAGCTAAAGCGTCAGTCCACGCTCACTCATACCAACTCTGGGTCAACGCGGCAAGTCCGTGCGATCAGCACAGACGAGTCCAAGCGTCGTGAGCACATGGAAGAGCGACAGCGGGCCATTGCAGCAGCACAGCAAGCCAACTCGAGCGGAACCTTCAAGAGCCGTCTGCCCAGCCCTGCTCCTGATGGACGTACACCTCTCGCAAGCGGAACAGGCCATCGAAGAGATCGCAGTCGAGGTCCTGAAACAAGATTCCCCGTCAGCGCAACCGCGGCGCAACAAAATGCTAACGCGAGAGACACCAAGGTCATGTCGCCAACCACATCGGTCTCTTCTAGCCATCGTGATAGCCTGGGCGTGCCACAAAGTCCGTCAGCCAGCAGAACTCAGGGCCATGGCTCCCCTCCCAGAGGCTTTGACACGCCAGACCGCACGAACGGTGCTGATGCTGTTTATCGTCAGCAACCTGTCGCCGATGATTTGCCTGCCAGGATGCGAAGTGGGACGGAGAGCGAGAGGCGGGCACCCGCAACATCGGCCTCGATCTCTTCACCCTTGGATCTTGCGGGGCCGGACGCTAGTCACCACCACACCAGCAGCGTTGATTCCAGTTCCAGTCCAGCGGCGAACGCTCTCTCGTCGGGAGCCCCGAACTCGGAAGCAACCACACTGGCAAGCTCGACTGTCAAGGCTGCGATATCGAAGTACAATAGAACCACCGACAATGAAACTTCGTCACCGGTACCTGAAGATGGCACACCCACGAAGACGGATAGTCTCAGTCGAAGGGTTGCCGGCGGTAGGCGAGGCACTGGAGGATTGGCGAGACACAGCTTGGTCGGCAGCAAGCATGACAGTGTTGAGCCCGAAGTGGAGGCCAAAGGTGTTCAGCTAGAAGACAAGCCGATGGACTTTGACTAGGAGTGGAATTCCGTGGAGCAGGTGCTGTGAGCGAGTGGGAATACGCGGGTATGGTGTGGTTTGCGGAGGGAAGGTCTTATTCATGTGAAATGCTACTTCAATGATTATGGGAACATGCGGTGACGCATGCATGGGGCATTAGTTACGATTGTATCAAGAGGTGGGTATTCGACTGGATGATCAGAAGCTGTCACTTCCCTAAGCGGTCGAAGGCTGCGGTTCAATACCGGGCTGCGTTTTATGGTATGTGAATCTTGACCCCGAAGGAGTGTCTGGAGGAGTACAGCCTTGGAGTCAACGACAAGACTATAGTTCTCTGCATACAATGGATACCATCTCTCCTCCATCTCTCCTCAACGTCATGTTAACCCGCTGGCGCGGTCCATCCCATTTCAAGGCTCGCAAGGGAGCGGTGTCCTGTATCTGAGGTTCTCCGTACGATGTACAGCATCTAGAAGTACTACACCGAGCTGCCCCTCCGGCGATTCGACTCGTGTGGACTGCTCGCTGCTGTTTCAGCGTTTCATTGGACGAGAGGCCTATCGCTTCCAACCGGAAGGCCAACCCTCAACGAAGGGGAAATGCTGTACAGGGCGGAGCCACAGCCGAATGCCCTTCCTTCAGCCTTGACTCGCGTGACCTCTCTAGAATCTCCGCTTAATGCTGATGGTTGACCGGCATATATCACCTCTTGGGCAATGATAGATGAAGACGATTCCGGGATATGCTGACGGCGCAAACCTTCGTAGATTTAGTAAGCATCCTTCAGTAAAACTACCTCAGACGCCACCGACGTTGCCCACTGCACTGCATCATCTGACCATTCCTGAACGCGAAGTCTCATCATAGGTAGCACGTAATCCTGCTCGGGTGGCCAAGCAGACAACAGGCTAAGCTCCGCCTTTTGAATGCTTGTCCATTTCTTGTGGTGTCCAGGACCCGCTAAACAATGGCGCATTTCGACAATCCAGAGCCATTTGCCTTAGCCGTCAGTGAGCTTGACAACCAAACTGGTCACGGTCGACTGAGCAGCAGCAGCAATCATGTTGAAGCCGCACCGGACGACACAACACGACATTCGGCTTCCTTGTCGCGTGACCAAACACTGGACAGTGTTGTAGGCCACAGTCTCGAGGCCCATTCATCCACGAAAAGCGACCATAGCGACAGTGAAGACAAGGAGCCCAGCCAGAAACACACGCTTGATAAACTAGCTTCCGCTGTCGACAATGTGCAGTCTGGTGTCAAAAAACGGGCCAAGAGAGCAAAGCTCCGTTTCGAGAGGATTCAAGCAACTTCTGTGTCCCGCTTTTTGAATCCTACAGTCCTTCGGATGACCGTGCGATATGACAGTGGCTCAGACTCGGAAGGTGCCATACACAGTGCGAAAGAACAGGATCTGGTGTGGCGTGCCCGAGATAATCGAAAGGGCCGTAACAGTATCGCTGTGCCAAGACTACCAGATGATGAAGACGAATACGGCGATGAGTTGATTTTGCCGATGAGGTTCACGCCTCGCATGAAAGCGACTGCCAAGGAGATTGGCCAGACGTGTTGGAAGATGCTCACAACCTTTCCATAGTAAGTTCCATGCGTATGAGGCCTCTTTATGATCCAAGGCTTATGCTCGTCGATTCTCTAGCTGGGACATGGCTTTTTGGAGCGGTTGGTCCTACACGCTGGGTTCCGCACTATTCGTCGCCACTGGGGTTATTTCTTGGGGACCAGTCGCTTTCGGAGAAGGCTTTGAAACGTCGAAAGCTGAAAAATATGGTGGATCATTAACGTTCTTCTTCGGAACTCTGTTTTACCAGGTCGGTGCGGTTACAGCCTATCTTGAGGCAGTGAACGATGGATCGTTCCATGGATCGGCCATGCGAAGACTTCTCGAGGGTCATCAAGATGACTCAAAGAAGCTCTTGGATGAGAAGATACACGATTTTGTTCATCGATTGTCTCCACACCGTCCTCATCAGGGCAATGACGAGCGAGCGATAGATGATATGCTGGTTGACCCAGAGGCTGGATGGAACACAAAGGAACTTCGACATCTTCGTCCTGGCTCCATCTATCCGGACGGCAAGAACCCCGCTCCTAGGCGCGGTGGAGTGGWTCTTGGCGGCGAGGAGGGGCATTCCAGCGTGTACGCGACGTGGAGGTGGTGGCCGACACTGTAAGTATGGCGAAAGGCAAGAGGTCTTCCGTGCTGGGATTCAAAGACACTGCAAATGAGGAAGCGGAGACACTGCTGACTCTTCTGCCCCGTGGCTTGTAGGCATGCTCTTCGTACGCACCACATTTATGACATAGGCTATATGGCCTGTGCTATCCAATTGTTCGGAGTCACCCTATACGGCGTCACAGGCATAGTCGACCTTCCAGGAATTCTGAGCAGCATGGAGAATTGGCAAAAGCTGGCCGCGTTTTGGATACCACAAGTCGTGGCGGCATTGTGTTTCTTGATTGCGAGCTTGATGTTCATGTTGGAAACTCAAGAGAAATGGTGGCGTCCAGAGCCTTTTGTGCTGGGTTGGTGGGTGGGAGTTTGGGCGACTATTGGTTCGGTAGGTTTCGAGCTCATAGCAATTTTTGGAATTCTGGCTCTGCCGGGCACTCGCCATTGGGCAGAATACCATAAGGAATTGGCTACTGGTATGTTGAAAAGAACAGCCGCTTGCTTTGACACAATTGCTGATTTCATCCTAGTATGGGGCTCGGGCGGATACCTCATGAGCGCCGCACTGCAGTGGTATGAGGCCCTGAATAAGGGTGAAGTAGAGGAACTCATCGGCAAGTGAATCTATCATCAGTGTGGATCTCACACACCAAATTCTAGCATTCCTGTGGACGTCTTGACTGATTTGGAACCCCGGGAAGAATGATGTCGTTTCCGATCAATCCCTTTGCTCATCCTCTGGCCAGGGATTGCACATCATCCATGTCTATATTGTCGGCATGACTCGTTGAGGAATGATATCATCTAAGGCTCAGACGCCGCTGTTCTCAGTGTACAGCATCATACGGCCTATCGGTTCATCATGGGTCGAATGGACTCTGGCGTCTGATAAGAAGTCGATGGAGAGAAGTTCACTCCGAGCTAAACTCGACGGGCAGCATTCGAATGCGGTCGTTTATGCTGTATGTGTCGCATTCCGGAGGCCATGGCCAAGAGTTCTGGCTTGATGAGCAGGGAAGGCCGCATGAACTCCAAACGAACCGAACCATGGCGTTGGCCAGGACTTCCCGGACCTGATGAGCCTTGCAATCGAATAATATCCCCGCCCATTTGCTTTTCAGCCGGAGGGTGAAGACGTCTTGTGAAGTGAAATTGCAGAACACACGTCGTCAATACAGCCCGTGTGGATGTGGAGAGCAGCCGTTGTATCTTGACACGATGAAAAATTTGCTTGACTTTGAGCGTTAATGTGGTACTGTTTCGAAGTTCGGGACAGGCTTCGTATGCGTGTTTGTGATTCGAAGCAGATTCTTGCGAAATAAGTGGAGACGGTTACTCGATGGAATTCAGTAGAATATGGCTGCCGACTGCTGTTCCAACACCCAAAGGACCTCAGCCTCGAGGTAGATCTACTCCTACCTACTTTAAGTAGCTGTGGTATGAGTGAGCTCATCGGCGTGCTGAGAACGAGCGGGGGACGCATCATGAAACTCGCCCATCTCGATTTGTTTCATTCACCAAAGGTGGAAGGCCTGCCCAGAACAACCAGAAACGCTCGGGAGCGCGCCTATTATTCAGATGCCTCCGACATGTCCAGAATCCGGCCCAGGTGTGTGTGTGTGTCGCACAGCGATAATCCCAACACGTGCTGTACATATTTCCGCCCGTTACACACACTTCTGACAAAGTCATCCCAAACCTGTCGGTGCTGCCGACGTCTCGCCAGTTCCGCCACGCTACAGTATAGACACGCTAGGAGGATTGAACACGAGTGGAGAGACGACGGAGTCCAAAAATGCTTCCATTTATAGCATGGAGCTAGTGTTTTAATCGTTCGTGCTTCTGAGGAAGCCGCGAAAAAAAAGGGTCTCAACGCGCACGCCGACCGCATGGCAGCAACGGCGGGTGCAAAAGAGAGGAAAGAGAGGAGGGACCATGTTCTGCGGCGAAAATAGCACACAGCGCATTGGCTGGCGAATGCAAGCATCGCGGGATCCCAAGCCGAATGGTTTGAGGCTGAGGAAGCTACTAGTTCTTCTGAAACGTCTCTCTGTTTATATGTTCCCATCCCGCATCACAAACGCCTGGGTTGCATCACCAACCCTCCGTCTCTCCTGACCACTTCGCTTACAACACCTTCTCTCTTACACCAGACCACTCGCTTTGCTCAACCAACATACCTCCCAGTGACCTGCATTTACGACTGGCATTGAACGCGCTTGCATCCTTGACACAGATAACACCCCTCACACCGCCATCATGTGTGGCATTTTCGGCTACATCAACTACCTGGTAGAGAAGGACCGCAAATTCATCATCGATACGCTCGTCAATGGTGCGTCGAAGCTGCTACGGATCTGCATTGTGTGGACATTTGCTGACCCATCCTCTCCCCCTCACAGGCCTTTCTCGTCTCGAATACAGAGGATACGATTCCGCGGGCATTGCCGTCGATGGCGATAAGCGCAACGAGGTCTTTGCGTTCAAGGAGGTTGGCAAGGTCGTCAAGCTGAAGGAGCTGATCGCGGAGGAGGCACCCGACATGACCAAGGTGTTCGACAACCACGCCGGCATCGCACACACCCGATGGGCCACCCACGGTCCCCCAAGCAGAGTCAACTGCCACCCACACCGATCAGACCCCAACTGGGAGTTTGCCATTGTTCACAACGGCATCATCACAAACTATAAAGAGCTGAAGACACTCCTCGAAAGCAAGGGCTTCCGCTTCGAGACCGAGACGGACACAGAGGCCATTGCCAAGCTGGCCAAGTACATCTACGATGAGCACCCCACCATTGACTTCACCACGCTGGCCAAGGCCGTCATCAAGGAGTTGCAGGGTGCCTTTGGTCTGCTGATGAAGAGTGTGCGCTTCCCTGGCGAGGTCGTGGCTGCGCGTAAGGGTTCTCCCTTGGTGGTCGGCGTTCGGACCGCCCGGAAGATGAAGGTTGACTTTGTTGATGTTGAGTTTGGTGACGGCGAGAACGTCCTGTCCGCAGAGGCGGCCAGCCAAAATGTTGCCCTCAAGAAGAACGCTGGTGGTCTGGGAAGCAACCTCCTGGCTCCTCCAGACAAGTCGCTCTTGCACCGCTCGCAGTCTCGCGCCTTCCTCTCCGATGACGGTGTTCCACAGCCYACCGAATTCTTCCYCTCTTCCGACCCTTCCGCCATTATCGAGCACACCAAGAAGGTGCTGTACCTCGAAGACGACGACATCGCCCACATCCACGAGGGTCAGCTCAACATCCACCGTCTGTCCAAGACCGACGGCACTAGCAACGTCCGCACTATTCAGACAATTGAGATTGAGCTGCAGGAGATCATGAAGGGCCGCTTCGACCACTTCATGCAAAAGGAGATTTTTGAGCAGCCCGAGTCGGTCGTCAACGCGATGCGTGGCCGTCTCAACGTGCAGGACAAGACTGTGACTCTCGGTGGGCTGAAGCAGTACATCAGCACCATCCGGAGGTGCAGACGTCTGATTTTCATCGCCTGCGGAACTTCATTCCACTCTTGCATGGCTGTCCGTGGCGCCTTTGAAGAATTGACCGACATTCCCATTTCCGTGGAGCTGGCCTCCGACTTTTTGGATCGACAGGCTCCGGTGTTCCGTGATGACACTTGCGTGTTCGTCTCGCAGTCCGGTGAGACCGCCGATTCGCTCATGGCTCTCCGCTACTGTCTCGAGCGTGGTGCCCTTACTGTTGGTATTGTCAACGTGGTCGGCTCCAGCATCTCGCTCATGACCCACTGCGGTGTTCACATCAACGCTGGTCCCGAAATCGGTGTGGCTTCCACCAAGGCATACACCTCCCAGTTTGTCTGCATGATCATGTTCGCTCTCTCTCTTTCGGAGGATCGCGCCAGTAAGACACAGCGCAGATTGGACATCATGGAGGGTCTCGGCAAGGTCTCGGAGCAGGTCAAGGAGATCCTCAAGATGGACCAGAGCATCAAGGAGCTCTGCCTCAAGTTCAAGGACCAGAAGTCGTTGCTCCTGCTCGGACGTGGTGCTCAGCACGCGACTGCATTGGAGGGTGAGTTGACATCGTTCCCGCTATATTCTCAGAATTCCAGACTAACAGCATTTTAGGCGCCCTCAAGATCAAGGAGATTTCCTACCTTCACTGTGAAGCCGTCATGTCCGGCGAGCTGAAGCACGGTGTCCTCGCGCTTGTCGACGAGAACCTGCCCATTGTCATGATTCTGACCCGCGACGGTATCTTCGCCAAGTCACTCAATGCCTACCAACAAGTCATTGCCCGCAAGGGTCGTCCAATTGTCATCTGCAACACCGGCGACGAGGAGTTCCCCGGCGACAAGACTGACAAGATCGAGGTTCCTCACACCGTTGACGTTCTCCAGGGTCTGCTCAACGTCATCCCTCTGCAGCTCATGGCCTACTGGCTGGCCGTAGCCGAGGGCCTGAACGTGGACTTCCCACGTAACTTGGCCAAGTCGGTCACTGTGGAGTAAATGCCAATGTAATATCAAGAAACGWCAGGCGATCAAAGGAGTTCATTGGGGGCGGARACGGCGATTGGAGCGTGTGAGATGAGTGCTTGATGACATTTGGCATTATGTGTGTTTGTGGGTTTTGAAGTCCCAGCAAAGGCAGCTTTGATAGCCTCAGGATTAGAACTGATTGAATCACGAAAAAATTATCACGACATGTTCGTCTTCTCGACCGTTTTCGTTGGATCTCGGCGATCGACTGCCAGCAGTCTATGCGCTAGCATCCCCAGACTGCACCTATCCTGTAGAAGCACGGCTGTCATTTCAATTCCTTAAAAAATGAAGCATTCAACGAACGCCTCGAACGAGATCCGTCCTTTTAGTCATAAGAATCGGTAGAGCCGATCGGTACATGTGAGCTTTCAACACTATCTCCACACTCGCAATGGTACCTGAACCATCATGCCTACACTAAAAGTGGCTCGTCAAAGCTGGAAACAGGGTGCCCTTGGTACCAGAGCCGATATCAATCAAAGGGGTGCCATAGCTGTCATCCTTGCCGACGTGGCACCATTCCCAGGTCCTTCTATCCCCTGCAACACCCAGCATATCCAATTGCTTCTTCGCAGAATCAGGCATGAAGGGCAGAAGCAGAATGCCCGTTATGCGTAAAGCTTCGGCGGCGAGGTAGATGGTACAATCAATCTGTTCTTCCATCTTCTCAGGCGTGAGACCCTCCTTCGCGGCATCATAGAGCTCTTTGCCGGTTGTGTCAGCCATGGCAGAACGCAATTGCGTCACCATCGTCCACGGGGAGGCATGTTGGAGGAAGGCGTTGGTGTCGTAGACGAGCTTCATGATTCGTTGCAAGGCGCGATTCGGGAAGAGTTCCCCCATGAGATGGTCGACTTGATTGGGAGACTCCTGGATGCTGCCATACATGCGTGCATTTTCAGCAGTCTGTGAAATGGCAGAATCAACTTCTGCTGCATTGGGGTGCGCAAAGCGTTGCACGGCACGTCGAACATCCCAGCCCTTACCGCGAGTGACGCGGCTGGCAAGATTTCCCAATCCGCCCTGCAGACCTTTCTTGTACTTCTCGATGATGAAGCTGTTCTCGTAGTCGGCATCATCGGCAATGCCGCCCTCATGGATGAGATACCAGCGCATGGCATCGATGCCGAAGCGTTCCAGGGCGAAGAATGGGCTAACAACGTTGCCTGTACTTTTCGCCATCTTCTGCTTGCCAAGCGTCCAGTGAGCGTGCGTGAGGACTTGCTTGTGCAGTGGAAGATCCAGTGCCATTAAGAATGCAGGCCAGTAGATGCAATGAAATCGAACAATGTCCTTGCCCACAACTTGCACGTCGACTGGCCAACCTCCAGCACCCTCCTGGCCGGGTGTGAATGGGTAGCCCACTGCCGTTGCGTAATTCAAAAGCGCATCTAGCCAGACGTAGATGGTTTGTGAAGAATCAGTAGGCACAGGGACACCCCAGGTGAGGCGCTCAGCAGGTCGCGACACCGAGAGATCTTCCAAACCAGCAGTGACCTGTCGCACCACATCGTCCATCCGTGACTTTGGCACAATGTATTTTGGATTCTCCTCGTAAAACTTCAGCAGTTTCTCCCTGAACGCGCTCAGACGAAAATGGTAGTTCCTCTCACTCGTCCATTCCACCTCCTTGCCCGTCTCAAGGCTCACCATGATCTTTCGGCCTGTCGGCGGATCCACAATGAGATGCACCTGGGCCTGAGGGTAGAAGGTCTCATCCGAGACGCTATACCAGCCCTCATGCTTGCTCTCGTATATCAGATCGCGCTCCTCCAACATCTGCCAAGCATATTCGACGCCTTCCTTGTGCTTCTTGTCGGTGGTCCGAATGAAGATCTCATTACTTAGATCCACCCTTTTACCAAGATCTCGAAATACTTCCGCACCCTGATCGCAGAACTCCTTGGGATCSACACCAGCTTTGGCGGCCGCCCGTTGAATCTTCATGCCATGCTCGTCAGTGCCTGTCAGCAGCACCGCTTTCCTTCCCTTCATCTCTTGCCATCTCTTGAGGACATCGGCCAGAATCATGGTGTACATGTGGCCGACATGCGGCGCGGCATTGACGTAGAATATCGGCGTCGTGACATAGTATGGCTTGTCCTGATCAGACGGCTTCGAGGTCGAAGTCGCCAGCGCACGCCATGGCTGCTGTCGAGGCCGGCAGCTCGAGCAGACCCATTGTGGCCGCCATCGACGCGTCAGGAGAGATTGGAGCGGTGTCAGAGCCTTTGCGGCGACAACGACGCGTGGACGCATGGCGAGATGCTTTCACTTGCCAGAGGTGGAGAGCTCCTGCAGTTGTTCATCCACAGTGTATCAGTTTCTGGGGTAAGTGTATACTGTGCACAGCTTGTGGAAGAGCAACACTGAAGTTACTAGCTGCTCCTGGTCCGAGCTTTGACAGCTCAAAATCGTCCAGAGATACATACATACGTAGGGTCTGAACTACAGGAACGACCACCAAAAACTTGGAAGTACATGGTTCGCGACAAATTTGCGATGACATACATGGTCTGTAGGTCGGTCTGCCACGTAGGAAGCCTTCGCTCGTCGAAAAGACCTCATGAGGATCCCCCGCTCTCCAGGTCCACCTTGCATGGGACAACACAGAACCGCAGCTGCATGTAGTTACATGTACTTTTTGCCGGACTATATTTCGACTGATTTTGCTGGCGTGCGCTTGATTCCTTCGTTGTACAGCCCCTTCACGATGCAGAACACTGTGCAACCTACACTGCCGGATGAGCTTGTTCTAGAGATATGCAAGCATGTCGATCAAGAGGAGCTTTGGGTCTCCTTTCGAAACGTCAACTCACAATACCGCCGTTGTGCCGAGGATGTTGTTAAAAGCCATGTTCGCGAGCATATGACCATTCAACTCAACTTCGCAATCGGAATCGGACTGAAGCATAGGGTATTCCAACACGTTGAGAAAGGCAAGCCGATTATGATGCTAACATCACTAGTGGTACGACATTCGAGCCAGCATCAATCTCGAATGCTGCGAGGTTTCGAACGAGTACGCATTCTTCAGTGCGCCTGTATTCCTGCCCGAATCATGTCGTGATCGCGCAGCGGAGAAGTGGAAGGAAATACTGGCAGCTGGAATCGACTGCGCACAAGCTTGGAAAATATCCCTCGAGAGCAGCGATCTCCGATACGCGTGTCTACCGAATCTTACACTCTCACAACACGGAGCTTATATAGACTGGAGGGAGCTGCTCGATGCATTCTTCCGAAAAACGGTCCCTCCCGAGCAGTACTGGGCAAAGCAATGGCAAGCAGTCTGACGTACCTCCTTGGCAATTTGTTGCGAATGTTGCACAGCTAGTGGGAGTCGGCCGGGGAACTGCAGCTCAACGTCCTTTGGTGGGACAAAGTAAGCCGTGTAGGCTCTAACGTGCCTCGATGTGTTGGAGCGAGTGCGTGGGATCTATCTATAGCTCAAACACTCTTTACCAGCAGATTCCAAGCTCTATTGGCCGCCTGCCGGGAGTGTTGCTACCTTGTCTTGGAACAGCTTGTCAGCTTGCTTCCAGACACGAACGTTCTTCCAATCGTTCAGCCCGAGGAGGCTGGGAAGCAAAGCAGCACTGAACGATTCGGAAGCCTCTCTGGGGAGAAGAGACGGCAAGTGATCGATGCTGATAACGCTCAGAGGGATGTTGTTGGCTTCGGGAGTGAGCTTGACGGGGACCGTAGGCTTGTCGAATGTGGTGTTGATGTCGTAGATTGGGATTGGGTTGTGCGGGTTCGTGGTGTCACAAGACACATCGCAGACAACACTCAGCTTGCGGTCAGGCGATGCGAGCGATGCTTGGTCGACAAAGGGAGGAATCTTGGCCGAGAGGTAGATGCAGTTGACGAATACATCGGATTCGATGATTTCCTGATATGGGCCGGGCTTGGCATTGGTCTCTGCCAGGTCCCATTTCTGAAAGACAATTAGCGACTGGGATCTGTTTCCGACGAGGCGATGTTCTTTCATSATACCAAGATATCTTCAAGTCCGGCCTTGATACAGAGATCCACGGCGCCGCGACCACAACGACCGAGTGCGCCAATAACGAGCACCCGTGGTAGACGACCAGCCTTGGCCTTGCCCTGCTCGACGGCTTTCTTGACATCGTTGACCAGAAGCGTCTCATTCTCGTATGCTGTGACGCCGGGAACGGGCTTATCGGTACCATGCTCAAGCTGCCATGCCCATGTTATGAGCGAAAGGGCGGCACCAGCAAAACCGGCGTGCTGTGAAAATGTCAGTTGGGAGCACATGCCAACATATGGATAAGACTCACATAACCAAAGGCAGCAACTCGCCGACCCTGCTCTATTTAGAAGTCAGTACAACAGGTGTGCTTAAAAGAAAGAAAGAAGCTACTTGCCATCCTCGAGGAACTCCAGATCCAGGAGAGTACCCCCGCCKCGAGGGAAACGACCCAGCACCTTGTCCCATCCACCCTGTCCTTTGTAGCCTAGTCATTGTTAATTGAGACCGTCAAAGCGCATCTTATGCTTCAACTCACAATGGGCGAATTGAACATGCTGTATACTGGTGAGAATCGTGTCAAGTAATCTTGTTGGATGGTACTCACTGTGTGCTTGAGAGGGAAGTCATCCTCTGGCAACTCTTTCAATCCTATGATGATGTGGTCTTTTGGAGCTTCAGTCCACGAGCCAGCAGGAACAAGGGTGGCACCAGTTCCCTCATATTCTGAGTCCGGGAAGATGCTCAGCTCAGACCGCTCCACGTTGACGGTATAGCCAGCATCCACGAGCTTTTTCGCAATGGTAGGAGTCACGGCGGAGCGGTGCTCCAACGGCTTCGTCTCCGCCCGAACGTGCAGTACTGTCGGCGCCATTGTGTTCGAGATTGATACAGTCACACCCGATGTAGTCGTGCAATTAATGTTTGTTGGAGGATGCGTCACCGCCAATTTTTATGGCCATTCCGACTCCGACCTTACCAATCGGGATTAGCGCGTTCAAGTCCTTATCCGACCGCCAACCCCATTCGTCTTCGCGGTCAAGGGACATACCTCACATCTTCCATCACGCCCGGCAGCAGCAGAACTCATCCGAAGTATTCCTCACATGTGGAGGAGGAGCAGCATGCCCAGATTGATCTCGCAACATGAACCACTAGCTTGAAGGATTCCCCAAAGTGCACGGCCATGCCAGGGCGGCCTCAATTATGGAGTATAGTCAGACGGCGCAACTCTCTTCCTCTTCGACACGGCCGCCAATAGTTCCATCGCTGCATTGTGGGCCACGCCCAGGCGCAGTCCCATCACATGGTGTATCAATGGACATCGCCCCGGCCACTCCGACTGGAAGAGGCCGCTTTCGAGTCATCCTCAGGCCACCAATCCCATAACGTAGATCCAATGTGAGTAATAATGGGGAGCTGGAAAAGGAGGGAGGTACCCAGTCCGATGGGAATGAAAGTTCGTCTGATTCTCTGAGTTCGATTCATGCCGCTTATCCGCTATCTCACTTCTGTCCCGCAGAAGAAATGTGAGGCCAATGAGCCACATCCCATGCCCGTCCTCAGCGCTTGAGTCCAGTTCAAACGCGCCTCGTGCTATGCTGTGTTGATCTTTTCAGACGCTCCAAATCATCGCTCGCTATGCATAAAATCAAAGGCAAATCAAAGCATTGCGTGAGCAAATCCATGTCCCCCATTCTAGTCCCAACTCCAAATGCAAATGCCATGAAGTCTGAAACAATCCTCAAAGCAGAATGCGCTACCTGAACAGTCTCTAAAACCCAATGCAGCCCCTTCTATGTCGTGATAGGACCGGCCCAATCTCCAAGATGTTGATTGCTGTAAAAGCAGCCTGGTTGGAGTCATCCAGCTCCATTTCCAGGTAAAGATGAATTGATGGTATCTGAGTAGACATGCTACCAGCCAGCGTCTCGAGGTTGGGTTCTGTAGAGACCACTGTTCGCACACCGACTTTGAAACACACGCAAGGGACCTCCGTTTGGCGGATCTCGAGGATTTGGATCCAGAGCCATATGGCGACCGTTTGGGGGATCTCGAGGTTGTGGTGCTTTTGAACCAGAGCGCAGGGTGTAGAAGTCGGTATCCATAGTCCGACTCATCCCGTCGTCTCTTGGTTGGGGTCCCTTTGGTGGACGGGGACGACTTGGGGCTGCGTTTACTCGGCGGCTTGATGTTGGCGTTGAAACTTGCGTCATCAGCGAGGTTGAAGTGATGGTCGGTGACTGTATTGCTATTGCTCGGCCAGGTATGGGTGGCAGTAATGTTTGATCTTTGATGTGCTGAATGTTGTGCTGTGATATTGGAGGAAGAGGAAACAGGAAGATTAGACAAGTACTTATGTATTGGAAAAGGAAAATAGAGAGGGACCCAATGACTTCTGCCTCCTACCACCGGCCTCCACAGCCTCCAACGCCCTTGAAACCCCGGAGAGACGAGGACCAAGAACGCTTTAGCAGTTGGTAACGCGACCGACAAGCATCACATACGAGAGAGCTAAACGGTACAGGAGCGCTGAGTCAGTATGTATGTTGGAGGATTGRCGGCCTGTACCAGGGACACAGACCAATCAGTCGATAAGAAGGGCAGCTGCCTGAGGAAAAACGGCTCTTGTTGCCTAGCCCATGTTGGAGGCTTGACAATCCCTCGCATATCTCCGACGGGAGCAAGACGCATCATGGTGCGTGTGACGAGTGATGACTCCGAACGGCCCAATCTCGTCAGGGCAGTGTATTGTTGATTCTGGTGATCATGAGGTGAATGTGTGAGGGTGAAGGAAGTCGGGTGAATCCCGGCTTCCGCGGGTGGACTCAGTCGTGCCTGCACATACATCCCAACTTACCAACACCACCAACATTCACTCATTCGCACGCTTGTGCAAGGTACGCCCTTGGTATGCACTGCTGCTCAAGATCTGCTTCTAAATCCGCCTCGAATACCGCACCCCTTCAAGACCTAAGGCTGATGTGGGGGCTTGCACCGCCTCTTCCGGATCCTTCCTCCCTCAAAGATTGAATCCTTCCTCAAAATAAACCTCCGAACAGGCTTTCAAGCCTGTAGCGAAGTCAACACAGTTGGTGCCTTGTAATGGCTATGCTGGAAGGACCCTTATACACATGTGGGCTTCTTTGCATCGCGATTGACTTTGTCATGCACCGGAATAGGAGGATCCACCACCTTTGCTCGATATATGCTCTTGCCACCTGTTCTTGCCCAGAAGTGGACCAACTCACCAGTGGTGTATGAGACGAATCCTCCGCATGTATCGGCAGCTAATTCTCTGTCAGCAACCAGTTCTCTGTCAGCAATCCTTGAGGCTTGAGGTACAGATGGATCTCGGAGCCACCCACTGCCACGGCTGTGGGATCGTACAACCTCGTTCGATTCCCACTCTAGTCGCACGCGGCATGTAAAGTGGACATGTAAAGTGGACAATGACCGTACGCCATCGGGTGCAACACAATCTGCCTAAGAGTAGCACCTGCACTGGATCGAATGTCCTTTGAGATCTGGCTAACGAGCCCTTGCTGACCAGCAATCCAGCGGCTTTACAATCTCGACGCAGTGATGTTTGCATTTCATTCTAATGGTGGTATAAAACTACTTGCCGGCGCTGCGGCCATTACAAATCTCAGTCTAAATTCYTTTGCGGCGCACATTCGTAGCCATCTTCGGGTTTCGCCTGAGGTGTTAAGCCAAATGTAGCTCTTTCTTCTACCAGTATCCTCCTGACTCTTCATCACCTCTCTGCTCTGGAAGTCGCCGGAATAAAGCTTGTTCGCTACCATTGACGTTAGCCGGATCGGAAGATTCTTCAGCAGGTTGGGAACATACACACTGAACGGGCTCGTCGGACGATTGATCTTCTTGGAATGCCTCTGCTTGCGGTATACGATCATTGGCGATGGCCTGAGTAGAAGTCTCCGTAACTCCATGGCCTGGTATCTGGTGGTTGTGGTGCACTGCCGTTGACGATGATTGGGTTGGACTCTCCGTAACTCCATAACCTGGTATTTGGTGGTTGTTGACGATCCTGGGATTGGAATCTCCGTAACTCCACAACCTGGTATCTGGTGGTAGTGGCGTACTGCCGTTGACGATGAGTGGACTGTAAGCCTCGACTTCATCACCAATACCTGCGGCCTGAGTCGAAGCCTCCGTAACTCCATGGCCTGTCATCTGGTGGTTGTTGACGATGCTGGGATTGGAATCTCCGTAACTCCACAACMTGGTATCTGGTGGTTGTGGTGTACTGCCGTTGACGATGATTGGACTGGAAGGCTCGACTTCATCACCCATACCTGCGGCCTGAGTACCAACAGGGTCCAGAGGATAGGACTCACATGCGGGAGAGTATACTAGGCGCGAGTCTGTTCTCTGCGTCTCGAGGTCTACCAACGTTTGCATCGCCTCCATCGCAACCCGTCGTCGCCGTTCTGCACTCCTTTCAAACAAAGTCCCCAGCTGTTCAGAGAATATTTGCCGACGTCGCAATCCTCTGACGTATTCCGGCCTTAAATCCATCTCAAAATCAATGTCTTGGCAATACCTAAAATGAAATATGGAAGGTGAGCATGTGTCTCAAATATCTATGATGTTGGGGCGGGGTATAGAGGCTTCGAGACATGCTACATGTCTTCTATGCTTCACGTTAACGTACTCATCTGGAATAGGATTATCCTCAAACGCCGACCTTTGACCAGGAACGAAGCACTCGATCAATTCGCCCGGTGCAGTGGAGAAGAAGCGCCTCTCGCAGCGATAGCCAACATTGCATTCTCTGCCCGGAGCGTGGTGGTGGAGGTGCATCCTTTCTTGGACGGTCCTGGTGTATCGGTCAGTCTCCAGTGGGGATAGCGTGGAGATGTATGGTGGTGGCTCCGCGCTTCCCAAATAGTGCCGGAGCTGTGATTCGTGAAGAAACTCTGGACGAGTGCTTTCGAAACTGTTATGCAGAATATGATTCCGTTGAGATTCGGTAGGGGGCTGCATCGGCTCCTCAGCACTGGATTGCGAAGAATGCGATCGAGTACCAAGGCCGATATTGCACTGGGGGCAAGCAGGACTCCCGCAAGGTAGGTTGCCTGCCGCTTGAAACGGGGTAGACTCATTCGGAAGAACCATTGTCGACGATCTGCTTCGACTCTTTACGAAAGCGTTGTTCTTGAGTGATGCAGGAATATGAAGGGATGCAGGAATATTAAGGGAGATAAGTGGCCTTTCTTTTTCTCGAGGATATAATTTTGAGTTATTCATGGAACCACGGGATGAAAAGTGAGGTTACGAACCTTTCACTCTTGGTAACCACTTACACGTTCGCCATATGAAGAAGGCAGAAGATCCAGGACAGGAACTTAACTGGGCGCATGTCGAAATCGCAGCCGCGACGTGGCGAAGTGATGTTCCGCTGGTCTCTGTACAATCAAGGCAGTTGACCAGGTGTCTTTCCATGCCCGTTCACATCCCCGGCCTTTTCGACGGCATACTCGTCGGATGAGTACCGGCGCACAGCCTCGACCCACCCAAAGCTATCCTTGACCTTGCCTTGTTGAATTCCCTTCAGCTCACCAAGAAGCTTTACAACAGCCGGGCCAGGCTCATCGCCACCCCCTTGATACTTGAATTCATCATTCTTCGAGCGCATGGTGATGCTTTTGATTGGGACCAGCGCAGCCGCGGTACCCGCAGCCGCGACCTCCGTGAATGTTGGGAGTTCTTCGTATTTTATCTATCGGGTGTCAATTCAGGCCATCTCAGAATCTCTGGTCATACAGAACTTACCGATCTCTGCTCAACCTTCCATCCCCACTTCTCCGCGATGCGACAGATGCTGTCGCTTGTCACACTCTTGATCACATTTTGGCTGTCGGGAACCACAACCGTGCATCCCTTCTCTGGATCACCGTGGATACCAATGAATCCGCTAGTGGAGAACTCATCGATCTCAGACCTCGTCCTGCTGTCCAGATGCAGTGTGATGCCGAAGCCTTCCTTCTTGGCTTTGCCGCTATGCCGCAGCACTGGCGCGTAGTTGCCACCGATCTTTGCGCTCCCGGTTCCTTCCGGAGCCGCGCGATCAAAGTCCTCGAGAATGAGGGCAGCCACTGGATGCACCCCATGATAGACCCCTGTAGGCATCACGAAGACAAGAAAAGTGTATTCTTCCGGAGGATCCAATCCAAGCTGGGCGCTGCTCCCGAATAAGAGGGGGCGAACATACATGCTGGCACCAGTTCGATGGGGAGGCACATATTCAGCGTTCAGCGAGACAGCCAGATGAACGGACTTCTTGAAGTGATCCACAGGAATCTCAGGCATGGAGACGAAGGAAGCCGAGTGCTGCATTCTCTCGGCGTTCTTCTGTGGCCGGAAGATTCCAATCGTATCATCGTTGGGTCCACGGGATGCCTTGAGGCCTTCATAACATTGCATGCCATAGTTGAGGCCGGGGGCCATGCCGTGCAGGCGGAGGAATGGATCCGCAACGAAAGTCGGAGGGGTCCATTGTCCAGTCTTGGTTGAGTAGGTGGATTCGACATGGCCGTTGACTGCTGATGTCAGAAAAGGCTTTGCAGGGTTGGGATGACGAAATGTTTTCCGAACCTTCGCGCACACGGAATCCAATGTCGTCCCAGTCTGCGAGAGAGATGGTCAGTCTGATGTTGGCCAAGCAAGACAGAAAGGGGTTTGCCGACCAATGGTGTTTACAGGGGGAGGAGGAAAGGCCATGGTGAGAGGTTGATAGACTGAAGTTGATGTAGTACGAGTACATGTACCTTAGATGGAAAGATGTCGTTGGCCTCCAATGCGCCTCCTCCGAAATCGGACTCACTTCGATCTCACCTTAGTAAGCGCCCCGAAGAACTGGACATACCTCACCTTCTTTGTTGGATCACCCAGAAACAGCACGTGTAGCCTGCAAATCTGCATCTGTATCGGTCTGCTGTCAGCTCAGACTGGGCTCATAGGGCGACATGCACTCTCTCTGATCCGCTCAACACATCGAGCGGCACACAGCCAAGATGCCCTCCCGGCGACACGTAGCCACGCTCGTGGCACTATCCGTTTTGGTCATCTTCTTCTTCACCTTCTTCCGCACCCAGCAGCTCGGTACGCGAGACATCGACTACCGTACCACCGCCGCTATACCTCTCCAAGATCCACTTTCCTCCCATGCCATCGCACCCAAGCTGGGGAATGAAACGGCCAAAGCCGAGCTGGGCCGGGCAACATGGAAATACCTGCATACAGTCATGGCCCGCTTTCCCGACAAGCCAACAGAAGATGAGAGTACCGCGCTGCGGACGTTTATCCATCTCTTCCAGCGCCTATATCCCTGTGGGGAATGTGCAGAGCATTTTGGGGCCATCATCAAGAAGTTCCCACCTCAAGTGAGCTCGCGATCAGCAGCTGCAGTGTGGGCTTGCCATGTGCATAATGAGGTCAACAAGAGTCTCAAGAAGGACATATTCGACTGCGCGAATATCGGTGACTTCTACGACTGCGGTTGTGCGGAAGACGAGGGGAAGGGCAAGAAAGACGGCGAGAAGACGAAGCGCAGCGCTTGAGAAGGACAGCAGACGAGCGATGAGACGGTGGAGAAGATGGCGATTAATGGGAGGGGTTTGAATGTTGACAAGCTGCTTGCGAGCCGCGGGGCGCGATGATACCCAAATCCAACGACTGGATGCAATTGAATGAGTTATGCAGTTACGAAACGCAGGATATAATACTGCATTGCCTCTCCAGACGACTGAGTAGTCACACTTTCCGAAGCATTGGGTCCTCTGAGCTCTGCTTCGCCGATGGAGCATTGTAGAAACAGCCAAATACGGATGTAGCGTCCAAAAAGTAGACCAGATGAAGAAGCCGATGCGACGAAACATCCACGACAAAGGAATCGCGTATGGAGCGCGCAATGCCGCATGTAAGAGAAGCATGACATCCGGGCACAATGAAGGACCGTTACTCCCGAAAAGAACAATGTCTTGAATCTCAACATGATCTCATGTTTCGCATTCCGAGGCCGGGACATTGGCTAAAGAGTCTTAGAAAAGCAGCGTATGGGATTGCCTTCACAGTCTTGCACTCATGTTGCACTGGTCTAGGATGTATATCATTTCCAGCGACAAACTGGAAGCATAAGTACACCATCCATCGTCTAGGTATCTTCCTCATCGTCMACCAGCTCTCCCTCTCCTCTCTCGCACACCTACAACGCAGGCGTTTTCCATCACAAGTTCTTCTCCCCCATCTACAAGATGTCGATCGTTCTCCAACATACCACAATATCTCTCACCAGCCTTGCCGATTTTCTCCTCCCATTTCTTACCTCTATTCCCGAGCTGGAAGGCAACGACGACCAGCCCTGCGTTATCTGCATAGGACCACCCCATTGCGCAGTGAAGACACCCTGCAAACACATATTCTGCTTGAAAGAGATTCTTATCTGGCTCGATCATTCTAACACTTGTCCACTTTGTCGCCGCCCATTATACGTTGACTCGCCACCCTTCGGCTGCTGCTGAAAGGTTCTGTTGGGAGGCCTCGCGCTTCAGAGGCTTAGCTATAACTGCATCGCATTTGTTGAGTATGCGGCATGAAGTTAGAACATTCATATGAGTAGGTGCCTGACCAGATCCAGAATAGCCTTTTCTTCAAATACTAACGACTCTCAAGTCTACGACTCTTAACCGATGAAGTCGTTCGTAGAAAAGTAGCGCATATAACATCGTTGAAATGGGACTTCTGGGTTCGCTCGACCGTGAAAGTGCAGAGTGCGGACAGCACGTAGCGTGGTGATGGTGTGCAGAGGATGAAATCATGCCCCCCCAGGTCGGCTCACTCACCGGACACATCGATCCTCATCCAGCGTGGTAGGCTGACAATTCTGGTCATTCGATTTTTGAACGCCTCGCTTATAGACTACCTTTTCCATTCATCATCATCGCTAATCGATTGAATCAGCCCTTCACAATTCCTCGTAAATCACTTTACATGTTCACGGCAGTACGGAAGTTGTTGCCGGCGTACACAGCCTGGTCACCGAGCTCCTCCTCAATACGCAAGATTTGGTTGAGCTTGGCGAGACGCTCCGAACGTGCTGGAGCACCGGTCTTGATCTGTCCGCTTCGGAGACCAACAGCAATGTCCGCAATGGTCACATCTTCGGTCTCACCGGAGCGGTGAGAGACCATGACACCCCATCCAGCGCCGTAGGCATCCTTGGCAGCCTGAATGGCCTCGGTGATGGTACCGATCTGGTTGACCTTGAGCAGGAGAGCGTTGCAAGCCTTGGTCTCAATGGCCTTCTTGATGAAGGTGGGGTTTGTGACGGTCAAGTCATCACCGACAAGCTGGAAGTCGGAGTTCTTGTAGAAGTATGACCACGCCTCCCAGTCGTCCTCGGCGAAGGGGTCCTCGATGGAGACGATAGGGTACTTCTTGGAGAGCTCGCGGTACTGGTCAGCCAGCTGCTCGTAGGTGACCCACTTGCTCTTGTCGGAGTCTGGGTTCTTGAAGTCCAAGTCATATTTCTTCTCCTCGGTCTTGTAGAATTCGGATGAGGCAACGTCCATGGCAATCTTGACTTTTCCAGTGTAGCCAGCCTCCTCAATGGCATCGGTGATGAGGGTCAGGGCCTCGTCGGCGGTCTGAATGTCAGGGGCAACACCACCCTCGTCACCGACGTTACCAGCGGACTGGCCGTACTTCTTCTTGGCGAGAGACTTGAGTTTCTGGTAGACCTCAGCACCCTGGCGCATGGCCTCGGTGAAGGTAGGCGCTTCGCTGTGGGGTTGTTAGTGACATTCTTGAGCACCAAAAGGGGTGTATGTACCAGGGAACGACCATGAACTCCTGGAAGGCGAGACGACCACCAGCGTGGGAGCCACCGTTGAGTACGTTCATGAATGGGACGGGCAGGACATATGGCTTCTTGGTACCAGCGAGGTCGCTGATGTGGACGTAGAGGGGGACCTTCTTCTCAGCAGCGGCAGCCTTGGCCACAGCCATGGACACACCAAGGATGGCGTTGGCTCCGAGTTCAGTCTTGTTGGTGGTGCCTGAAAATTGAACAGGACTTGTCAGCAGATGTTTTCAATTTGCAGTACGCTTCCAAACGCATTCGCTGTGAGCTGTTCTGACGTACCATCGAGCTTGTTGAGGAAAGCGTCAACGGCCGACTGGTCCTTGACATCGAGGTTCTCCTTGATGAGAGCTGGAGCAATCTTCTCGTTCACATTGGCGACAGCCTTGGTGACACCTGAGGTCTATTAGCCGCCATTGAAGTAGTACGTGTCCTATCATTCTCACCCTTGCCACCCCATTTGCTCTTGTCGCCATCGCGGAGCTCGCAGGCCTCGTGGGAGCCGGTAGAGGCACCAGATGGGACAATGGCGCGGTGGAGGCCGGTCYCGGTGACAATGTCGACCTCGACGGTGGGGTTACCACGGGAGTCGTAGACGGAGCGTGCGTGGATCTTGGAGATAGGCATCTTTAGTTAACTAGAGAGAGGATTGTAATTAGTCTTGAGCTCTTGAAGGTGTTGTATAGATAGATGGTGAGCGCCGAAGTACTATGGTTCATTCGTGGCTGTCCGCGTGCAGGTCATGTTTCCATTCTGCATCAGCGTAATTCCCACTGCAAGAACGCATGGTATGGCTGCAGAGTTGCGGGATACAGTAGAGAAAGCTGCATGTACTGACCTGGTAGATGTTGTTTGTTGAAGGAAGCAGTAAATATTTGGTGAGGAAGAAACACTCGACCCCTCGCACCTGCCCTGCCCCGCGCTAAAAAAGAGACCCTGCCCACCAATCCATCCATCCCGTCCAGTCCCATCCATGTGCATACATTATTAGGTATCCTCATCGGTCCGACAGCGAATCTGTTCACAACCAAGAGTAAGACTTCCCCCGGACCTTTGCTCCGAATGTTGGACTCAGGTCTTATCGTGGCTCCTGTGAGCGTGACACGTGTGACTCGAGCGACGATTACGGCGTACACGTCGTATAAAACGAAGCGCTCCGGACGATTGACATCTTACGAGCAATAGTCCATCCCAAAGATGCTTCGTCTCAATAGAAGTGATGATAGCTGGTGTCTTGGCGTGTCTGATGTCTGTGGTGGTCTAAGTTGTAAGGCAATCGGATGACTATAAAAAGTACTGGGACGCTAATGCGGGAACGCTAGGTACTGCCTTTTGATTATGTCACGCCTGCCGCGTCTCTCGCCCTAGAGCTACGAAGTACAACGCCATCACATCCATCACCATTCGACTCCAGCCGATTTTCCAACGACCTCCGAAACGCTCAACGATACCGCCGATTCCGACACGTTGCCACGAGATCCAATATCGTTCCCACACCGCCGCGATGAGCGACCCGGAGAGAGATCACGCACTGGAGGAGTACAAGACCAAGCTGCTAGAGTCGCGCGAGTGGGAGGCAAAGTTGAAGGCGCTGCGGTTAGAGATCAAGGGCTTGCAGCATGACTTTGATGTATCAGAAGACAACATAAAGGCGCTGCAGAGTGTTGGCCAGATCATCGGCGAGGTGCTCAAACAGCTGGATGAGGAGAGATGTGAGTCGCATCGAATGATGATGGGGTAATTCGATAATGGACACATCACTGACAGGTTCTGGCAGTCATCGTCAAGGCATCTTCAGGGCCACGATATGTGGTCGGATGCCGTTCCAAGGTTGACAAGCTGAAGTTGAAGCAAGGAACCAGAGTCGCTCTCGACATGACCACACTCACCATCATGCGCATGCTACCCCGCGAGGTCGACCCGCTCGTCTACAACATGTCGCTGGAGGATCCAGGGCAGGTGTCATTCGGTGGGATTGGTGGGCTGAACGACCAGATTAGAGAGCTTCGCGAGGTCATCGAGCTACCGCTGAAGAACCCCGAGCTCTTCCTGAGAGTTGGAATCAAGCCGCCAAAGGGAGTGCTTCTGTATGGACCACCCGGAACCGGAAAGACGCTTCTTGCACGTGCCGTCGCCAGTTCGCTCGAAACCAATTTCCTCAAAGGTGCGCATTATATTTACCCTGCTGACTCCATCTCCGTAGACTAACAATACCTAGTTGTCTCCTCTGCCATTGTCGACAAGTACATTGGCGAGTCCGCACGTCTAATCCGCGAAATGTTTGGCTACGCCAAGGAGCACGAACCCTGCATCATCTTCATGGACGAGATCGACGCCATTGGTGGTCGCCGCTTCAGCGAAGGAACCTCCGCCGATCGTGAAATCCAGCGCACATTGATGGAACTGCTCAACCAGCTCGATGGTTTCGACTATCTCGGAAAGACAAAGATTATCATGGCCACGAACAGACCCGATACCCTAGACCCGGCGCTGTTGCGTGCGGGTCGTCTCGATCGAAAGATTGAGATTCCTCTGCCAAACGAGGCAGGACGTCTGGAGGTGTTGAAGATTCATGCCTCGAGCGTGCAGAAAGATGGTGAGATTGACTTTGAATCGGTGGTCAAGATGAGCGATGGTTTGAACGGGGCAGATTTGAGGAACGTGGTCACGGAGGCGGGATTGTTTGCAATCAAGGACTACAGGGAGAGTGTGAGCCAGGATGACTTCAACAAGGCGGTGAGAAAGGTGGCTGAGAGCAAGAAGTTGGAGGGTAAGCTGGAGTACCAGAAGTTGTAAGATGTGCTCTGTCGAGATGAATCGTCGAAATCGAGGCGCATGGAGCGCGGCGTTTGAACTAAGCTGCATGGAAGAGCGAGAAGCTTACACGTTGCACGCACTGTACAATACAGATGGCATACTACCACGAATGAGCATCAGCTCCCAGTTTACGACAGTCTTCTTTGCGGAATTGCTCGAGATTTACCGCAAAGGTCATTGTCCGGAAGACCAGGAGTGCAGCTTGCGACTTGATGGTGAGATTCTCCACCTACCATCGCCTTTTATCTTCATGTAAGTACTCACTTCCTCTCTGCTCATGAGAACGGCAATCAATCCTCCAATTCATACTTGATTTCCTCCGATCTTTCCCACCCCTTCAATTCCTCCAAAGCCTTCAATGATGGCTTCCATCGCATCTCGATTTCGCCAAAGTAGTTCGCGCCCTCCCCAACTCTCTCAAAGCCCAAGCTCTCGAATAGTCTCAGGCTTCCCACATTCGTTTCATTGACTTTGACTCTCAGGTAATCAATTTGCACGTTTGCCTCCTTGCCATCGAACTCGTCCCCAATGCCCCCCCAATGCCTCAAAACATAATCCAGCAAAGTCAACAACGCCGCTCTTCCGTACCCTCTCCGCTGAAGCTCCGCCCTTGCGATCATAAGCTCAATCTCACCTATAGCCTTCTCCACAACACRTTCCTCTCCCTCTTCGGGGTCGGGATGAAAGAGGAACAGATTAATGTCCCCCACCATTTTCTCCGGCGCATCGTCGACCTGAGGCGTTACTGATTTCTGTTCAGAGGGTATGGGAAGACAGATGACAAATGTGAGCTTGTCTGAATCTTCGCGCCAGCTGCGACACATGTCATACTCTTCTTTCAGAGAAAGAGGTTCGGAGGCTGTAGCGGCTTGTAGGGAAGGGTCTTGCATCCAGGTGTGGTAGGTGGGGACTTGGTGAGCTGAATAGGGCACTAGAAGGACCTTTGAGGTAGAGATGGCGGTTTGGGCGTTGATTTTCATGTTGCCCAAGAGTCTTGCAGAGAGTTGAGGTGGGAAAGAAGAACAGGAGTGAGTTCTCGGGATGAATTGATCAAATTTGACCGGAGTGGAAATAAAATATCAACACGTTACCGTGATGGAACAGAGCTAGTCTGAGAGTGTTGTGAGCATCTGATGTGTTCTCGTTTATGTTGAAGGTGATTCGAGACGTGAGGTTGAAATGCACGCGGTGAAATTGATTGAGATGCGGCTCTTCTTCGGCAGTACTACGGTGGTCTTTTAGCGACTTCCCTGCAACAACGCGATCTAATRTAGCTTAACGCCACTAAGTGGAGTAATTTCACAYCTCGCTTATTGATTTAATTGCCCGTACAATTACATATAATAAACGTCGTTATTTGCTTATATGTGTGTGATATTACCGTCCCGTTATTACTTAGTTACCGGTCCTAATATATAACGGGTTTCGGTTACCTATATCTTACTTTAATGCTGCTATTATGCATATGCTTCTGCTAGTAACTTATTGTACGCGTAAGAGTAATATTTATGTGCTATAAGACTCTTCCCTCTACCCTTCTACCGTCTTCCCTAGTCCTCCTAATAACTACTACATTTAACACTCTAATTAGCACTCTTACTACCTATCCTCCCCTCTTTACTCTATTCTACCTCTCCGTATAATAACCGAGAAGGAAGTTCGCCGCTTCGGTATAGGCGACGTCGACCTATWRGATATATACTACTCGTYRGACGATAATAGTAATCTATGCCTTATAGTTAACGACGATAATATAAGTAAAGATAATCGCCTTGCCTAGACGAGACTAACTAGTACAATCTAGCTTAAGACTAGTAGCCT